CCTTGGACGCGGTTCTACACATCGTTATTGGTTTTTTTTGGCCATTACTCAAAAAGCAAGGTGGATATATGGAGACTGACATACGGAAGCTGGCAGAGAAGGAGTAGTAGTAGGCTATTGTCAACACATGACGTGTCTATTAGACTACATAACAGATTGTTGAAGCTCTGCTAATGGACAAGACATTCTGCCATATATATACCCACATATATACCAGATTGAACTCGAAATTGACGAGAGAGAATCCCCTTCGCTGCTGGGTTTGTACACCAATCACCCAGCTCAGGTATTGCATTGCGATGTAGAGGGCAGCCCATCCTTATGCCTCTCCAGGAGAATGATTGACAAGGTATACCTACGCTTTGATTCACGATAAACGAGCGCACACGGTCTCCAGCGCACATACGAGATATTACGCAAACTAGTCTTCTTCTACGATATGAAACATCACGTAACTAAATACGAGGTCAGTTACCCAATGCCAGAAGGCACAACTTCAAGAGTCAACGAGCACTGACAAAGAGGGTGATTCAATATGTAATCGCCAGCAAATATGCGAGAACCCCAGTACAGAGACGAGGCCAAACCTCTTCGAAGCCTGCTATAAAGCGACATGTAGCGATTACAATTTACCAGAAGCCTGAAAGGCTATCATTCAGCAGCTTCTCTGATTAATTATTCATAACTACTACCGCTTAAGAGTCGTTATCATGTTCTCTTCTCTCTCCTCATTTCTCTCCTTTGCTTTTATTTCTCCTTACCCTGGATTGCTTCGATATCTGCACTGGCCAAACAAAAGACCTTTAACTCGTCCTCTTTTTCTCAAAAGCTTGCCCTCCTGGCTTTCGTCACCAATTGGGTATCTTACTTATCCCAAAGCTTTCTCATCATATGCTGATGAAAGTGAGTCAGCGTTGAACTCGGAGCAAGCACTTCTTACCTCTTCTCCCCAACATTATGGCAGCTGCCGTGCATTATTATGCATCATGCTTAATAATTTGATTTTATGGCGACTACGGTGGGTAGGGATTATGATCAAACGGCCAATTTTATCGAAAATAGGCCCAACGTAGATCGACGGCGGGATTGATGTTTGTTAGCTTCAACGCCATAATCGAACCAGCTTCCCCCACACGGGCCGACCCGCTGTGGCAGCCGCCAAATGCTACCCTAAATGCTACCAGCATTCCAAAGTCCTGCTCAGTTGGTCAAACGGCAATCCGCAGAGACCTAGATTTGCTAAAAACGCAACACAAGACATTTTCGTGAATAAAGGCGAAAGGGACCACAGTCTATTCATTGTATGGAGGCTATCATGTTATCGCCTAGTACAATCTTAGCATAGATTCCCCAGGTTAACCATTCTAGCCCAGTAAGCATGCAATTCTTCTCTTGAAATCACGCTATCCTATGCATGATAATCTACTAATCCAAATGCACTTTGATAGATCATTTCTCCATCCTTAGATACCACCGTCTCCAAGATATTGACCATTTGCCGAGTTTCTAAGATCTATACGGAACATCTGCAGTGTCATTTGCTTCGACCCCTGCCCACCTTGCAGTATTCCATAAGCAGCATTCTTAACAAGAATCTACCATTTCTCACTTTCCTATAGGCTGGCGAAACATCTAGAATCAAGCATGACAACGAGTTTTGCAGCCTTGACATACCTAAAGAGCATCAGGAATAAGACATTATGAGTTCGTGCCAGCTTCTAGAGTAATTGACGCAAATTCCTGCGAGAGATTGGACAGCATGTCCAAATTTCGGCACCTCCGCTGACACGGCAACGGGTTTTGGAGAGACAGAATGCTTCCTACGCTCTGCCTCTAGCTCCAATGCTCTCTCTCTTCACATTCAAGCATTCTCAGTGTGGTGTCACTTTGATTTCTGCCAGCCTGAAGCAATATATGACGACGGAGCTGAGGCTAGCAAATAAATCTATCTGCTGTGTTGGATGTTAAGCTATGCCGAAATATGAACAAATATATTGGATTTGATCCACCTGATATATAATGTGATATATCGCACAAACCAAGGAAAGGAAGTCAGTGGACGGTTACTTTACTATTCTGAAGCATATTGCAGCCAGAAAGTAAGTCAGTAGGAGAGGGTATACAGCATAATGTTTGTTTGCCTGCTAGTCAGCCAGACCCCACTCGATCTTACAAGGATAATATTGCTAATATCCAGGCAATCCATTAATTTGACCTTGCATTAGTGCTTTAAAGCTGGAAGGGCTATCCGAAGACGCCCTAAGAACATGTTTAAACGGAGAAAGAAATGGCTTCTTGCGGATGTTGCAATCTACCAGCGGAATAGAGCCCGTGACTTATACGCATACTGACTCTTCTCAAGTCTACGAGCAATTTTCTAACTCTCGATATAGTACTAGTCGCAGTTAAGAAAAACGCACATTACTTGTACAGGTGGGTAGTATGATTCATCCAAGACCAGCCAAGACATCACAGGACCACGACTACCTATAAGGGAACAGGGAGCTCCCTCTCCTAGCCGATAAAGGCACTGTGATGTCAACAACACGCCTTTACAGAACAAAATAAGTTGCCAGCAAAGCAAGGCCAGTAATCAGACCAATCGAATTGACCAGCACAAGAAAGACACTGCTCATACAGGGATCAACAGCCTCAGCGGAAGCCGGCCAATCGTGGTTGGTCGCCGAGCGAACTCACCGGTCGTCTTGCAGGACGCTCGGCTAAGCGACTGCCACTCGGACATGGATAAAATGCAAACAAGGCATCGATTGGATTGAATGCCTGCGTGGGGCTTATCTGGCCAACATGGCTTGTGAGACTGCTGGACTGGGAGGCGCGTAACAGATGGGGGAAGGGCTGGCATCACATTCGCTGGATGCCTCTTTTTTTTTGGGGGGGGGGGGGGAAGTCACCATTATCATTTGTACGGCAAAAAGGAAGAAAGCATGAACAACCTGCAAGAAGGGTTTTTGTCATCGCATTGCATACTGCTTGATATGCTGTTCGAGCATAAGAGGACCGAAGACGCAACTCCTTGATGCAGAGGAGCCTGAAGCCCCAAAGGTTGGGCATCTATCTGGGCAGCATGTATGGAGCAATCCGGGTCTAATTAGACAAACCGGGAAGATCCCAGAGCAAGAGAGAGTCAGCTGGTCCAAACTGTGCCGGTTGCCTTGTGGGTGGGATGTCGTACAAAGAGACCGGGAGGGAAGAGGGTGCCTTTGGTGGCTTGATGTACAAAGGCAGGGAGGAAGGGTACATGCGGTGTCTGACCGAGAACAGAAAGAGAGAAAAGAAAAAAGGCAGAGCAAAGGTTCATGAGACCAGCAGAATGAGCTCCTTGTTGTTTCGAAATGTGACGATGTTTGCATTTATTTTGGTCAGCAGGTTGAGGAATTCAAGGGATATGCGGGCAGCCGTCAAACTTGGACGATGCTACTCCAAGACGGACAAGATGGAAGACGCTGTTTCCTCCATTTCTAACTGTGTCTGGTGCCTCTACGGCTTATACGAATCTAGTTCAGGTACATCGAGATCTGGAGATTGGCGTATTGGGCATAAGTGGGAGCTGAATAGCTTACAGTGTGAATATGGGACAAAACAGGCTGACTTTGTTTGATAATCGCACCGTGCGTCGCTCCTTCCCAACAACCTCCGTCGCATCACAACCCCACTTTTATGCTCATGCCGTCCCACAAAACCGGGGTATCTTATCCGAAGTTAGACCCATCCAATAAGAATAGTAGGAAATACGGGGTTCTGAGACAACGCCCCACCTACCCGCGACTTTGCTTTTGTAATTGCGTACTTTATACTCCATTTATTAGGCTTCATAGGCCATGCTTTGTATTACTTTTTGATTAGGTAGTATTATTCTGTTCAGACGCGTTATCTTGTACAGACGCATAGGTAGAGGCTGTGTCAGTATCTTGACCACTTTGGGAGTCAAATGCTGCAACCCGGCTCAAATCTCATCGTAATGAATACGCCTAGCTTGGTTCTCATGCCTCTCCGGGTTGTTACTTGGCGGGTATCCGTAAGCCGGGAAACTTGAGATCTCTCGGCTTATACGAGTAGACTACCTATACCTAGCACTATATATATTACCCGAATATTCGCTAATATATACAGCAATATGTATTAGAGGGTGTTCATTTCTGGACGCTGATTTTAATCCCAACACAATCGTCTCCCAGCTTTTGGGCAAATATACACATAATACACATAATACCTCGTCCTCGCAAACAATCTCTCCCACGCCGCCACCCCTCTTTCAGACGCGGCTAGGACCTGCTGTGTCTCCCTACCTACCCAGGTATCAATGCACGATGGCAGCGAATGATACAAGCTCCAAATCCTGGCGCTGAGGCTGAAGTGTTTGTGTGCAGCTGCAGCCAGCCACTTGTTGACCGACAGCCTTGTCCCAGTTATTGCTTTTTAATTTCCAATACATACTTAACCATGGGCGTTCAGTTTTGTGTGGGAGGGGGAATCAGTCTTTCCTCACTCTCGTCCTTTTGCTACCATTCTCCATCACTTCTCCTCTTCCTCTCCTGTGCCTCTTTCTCCCCTTTCATATTGCATGGCAAAATTATAGAAGCATCCTCCTATATCACAAGCATTATTGTTGCCTTTGATTTGTTCCTCTTTCCTAACACCTAACCGTCACCATGGAAGTGGACAAGACCAAACCGGGGCTACTCGATATGCCCAACGAGATCCTCATCCAGATTGGAACTCTGCTCGTCCGCACTGGCGATATTGCGGCGCTCGCGAGGGCCTGTCGACACCTCAACAATCTATTCGGCGACTACTTGTACCGGGACAACGAAAAGAATGGCAAAGGCTCCTGTCTGCTGTGGGCTGCAAGCCTGGATAAGATTGAAACTTTCAACAGGGCCATCAGAGCTGGCATCAATCTCCAGGACCACGGCTATCTCGTCTTTGTTGTCTCGTGCAGTGGAAGCAGTCGAGTCGCCGAGGTGGTGCTGGCGTCTCCTGGGGCAGACCCAATGGCTGAAGACACAGACGGATGGACACCTCTGACCCTTGCGGCCTGTTACGGACACCCGCACATTGTCCAACAGTTGGTGGAACACGGTGCCGACATTTCGTCGCTCACCAGAGGCGGCTGGTCGCCGGTAAACCTGGCCTGTTGCCATGGGAGGTTCGGTGTTGCGAAGCTCCTGTTGGACGGCTACGGGGCCTCGATGGAGTGCGAAAGCGAGACTGGCTGGTCAGCGCTGCGATCTGCCGCTGCTTATGGTCACACGGAAATACTCAACTACCTCCTTGGAAGGGGGGCCAATATCAAAGTCAGGAATAACGTCGGCTGGACTTGTCTGCACTCGGCTGCTGACGAGGGACACACGAGCGCAGTTCAAGCCCTCCTCGACCATGGGGCGAACCCAGAAGATACCGCGTACCAAGGATGGACTGCCCTGACTCTTGCTGCCGATAAGGGGCATCACGATACGGTCGAGCTCCTTCTCGAGAGGGGAGTTGACGTTGAGCAGTCGTGCACCAATCAGTGGACTGCTCTCTGCATGGCTGCGGACCACGGCGACGTTTTCACAATTAAGCTCTTGCTTGACTATGGGGCGAATGTCGCGGTGAAAGCAGCAGGTGGACTGTTTCCGCTCTCGTTGGCCGCAACAAATGGGCATTATCCTGCTGCCAACCTTTTGATTCGCTATGGGGCGGATGTCCATATGACTACCAACGCGGGCTGGACACCGCTCATGATGGCCTCAGATAACGGCCACGCCGAAGTTGCAAAGCTCCTCATCGACCAAGGCGCTGATATAGAGGCCAAGAGCGAAACTGGATGGACAGCCCTTGTGTGTGCCGCCGATGGCCGTCACTTGTACGCTGCTAAAGTCCTCCTGGGCCACGGCGCCAGTCTCATGGCCACAACTCTTGCTGGGTGGACTCCGAGCATCAGAGCAGCTCATTCCGGGGGGCTTCGGCTTTTGGAGCTCTTTCTTCAGGTTCCTGGGCTTGACATGGACCATCTAGACAACTGTGGCCGCTCGGCACTCTTCCACGCTGCCATGCGAGGGCATGTAGGAATCGTCAAGAAGCTGCTTCCCCTGACGCAGATGGCCAACCATAGAGATCGCTACGGAACAACCCCAATCTTTGCCGCTGCTAGGAACGGCCACCGACGCGTGGTGGAGCTTTTAATCGAGGCAGGGTACGCAAACTTTGAGGAGAGAGACTTCCTGGGCGCCACACTCTTTGCCTCGGCGCAAAGATCGAAGAAGAAGCAGTTTGTCAAATTCCTCAAGAGATACACTCAAGAGGCAGGAATCCCAATCCGGCTGGACGACCCAGCAGGCCAGCGTACGGGATACAAATACGACTACTCGGCATGTCAATGCGGGATCTGCGGCCGGTCTAGCGTGCATGAAGAGCAGGCGTATGTCTGCGATACGTGCGCCGGCGGGCTCATCATCTGCGCGGAATGCATCAGCTTGGGCCAGATGTGTGAGGATAGCACGCACGTATGGAGAGCGCACAAGTGTTGTTGGAACCAGCACTTTGGGACGGCGCCCGAGTATCGTGCTGCCAGCGCGAATAGGGATGTCGATGTTGATGTCGATGTTGATGCTGATGCCGATGCTGATGTTGATGTTTATGAGACCACTGAGGCTAACGCTGGTGATGATTTCAGTGCTAATGGTAATGGCAAAGCGAATGCTGCTGCCGCTGATGACGAGTATGAGTTTGGTGACTTTGATATCAGCGAGGGTATCTATGACGACGATGAAGATGGCGTTGATGGGGATAATACTGAGGTTGATACAGATGCAGATGCAAATGTTGCTCATGCTGGATGCTAGTGCTTATCGCGACACGAAGGCCAGTGGTAACGGTTATGATGATAATGAATTTTTTCTTTATATTTCATATTTTTATTTTTATTTTTGGGAGGGTTCACCCTCGACGAGCTTGAAAAATTTTGGGATATATTGGTTAGGGATTATGAGATATGGGATATGGGATATGGATTAATATGGGATATGGCTTGTCAGATGTGGATTATGGGATATGGATTATGGGACATGGCTTATGGATGATATATATACAGGCTAGACAGAATGCTTTCTCACGATAAGTTCCTGTATCCGGAACCAACGGATCTGGTTTTATAAAAGCAGACATGGAGAATATTGGCTGGGTAGTCTTGGATAGGTTGTTATAGCAGCATATTTTTTACCTATTTACATTTTCCCTTGAGTTCTACAGAGTATGTTCGCCCCCCAGTGACATGTCAGATCGCCTACCGTTGCGCGCACTGCATTAGAAATACGTATGGATTATGCAAGATCCGTTTTAACGTAGTCAGGGTCCCTGATTTTTTAGCGTTGAGGGTGGGCAAAGATGGCCGATCGGCCAACGGGCGGCGGTGCCTGGCATGGGATGTGATTGAAACAAGGATGGCGTTTCAAGGGTTGTATTTTTAATATCGCCGGCAGAATCCCAAGACGCTGGTGCGTATACTCGAAGACTTTGTAGTAGTAATTCAAAGAGCATAGGCAGCTTTGTTTGATACTATCTTATTGCAGAATATAGCTACAATATAGCAAATGTTAACATTGTCGTGTGGGAAAACTCTATTGAAAATATTCAGGCACTAATACATTTGAAATCCAAAGTACTGCTGATGTACAGAAAATCACAACATGCCTTGGTACCCAAATCTGATGCTGATGCTGATGCTGATGCTGCCGATGACGGGCCATTTCTGGCCGTGGGCTACAATACCCGGGTCTGGGGTCGTTTTTCTGCAGGTGCACGATGCGCTGCTGTGGCGCAGCCTCACCAACCACTAACCACAGCGCGTCGGTCCCCTATAAAAGCCCCCCCAAAACACACAAACATGCCCGCCACAGGCAACGCCAGGCCTGGCAGCTGCTTCCCGCCTTGTTGCCAAAATGTCCAATTTACCCCTCCCCACCCTCGCACCTGCCCAATGAAGTCACCACAAGCCAGCCCACCCCCCCAGCGGCCACAGGCTAAGGCTGCAAACTAGCATCACCTGTCTTCTGCTGTCTCGTGCTTCGTGCTAACCCTCTCTCCTCCGGCAAGTCAAGCGCTTTGGGCGAGGCTGCGACACGGACGACCAGCAAGCAGCAAAGCAGCAGCAGCAGCAGCAAACGGAGATCTGGCATCGAAACTGTGTTGCACTGCGGCTGCGCCGTCATCGAGCGCCGGCTTTTTCTTCCTTGACTGAACCCTGAACTCTCACGCTGATTTCGTGTCCTTCTTTTTTCCTGCCTCCTGCATTCCGTTCCTTTACCCAAAGTTGACAGCTACGCATAATTTCATACGCCGTAATCCACACACTCTCATTACCTTTTTTTCTTTCTTCATTTCGCTTTTCTTGTGTTTTACTCTCCTTCACATCAAACAAGATGCCAATCATGGGCTGGCTTTGGCCGTGGAAGGTAACATTCTAACCGTCGTCTCCCTGGCTAAGAATATCTGGCTAACCTGGCAACCCCCGGCGCGCGCTGTGCAGAGAAGCGATCCCTCTCCGGCTTCCTTCGAGAAGGCCCTCTCCAGCCTCTCCAAGAAGATTGCAACCACACAGTCTCGCCTTGAGTGGACTCGTCTGCGATTCCGCAAGATCAAGGTGCTGGGAACCCTGTATACGTCTTTTGCCTATCTGGTTGCCGTCATCGTCCTGTTGTTGGTTGTTGGATATACAAATCTGGGGCCTATGGACTGGACTGGCATGGCTGGTGGCCCTGTCTTGTGAGTAGCTGGCCTTTTCGATATCTTGCTGCCTGTTCTCTTTGCGCCTCATGTTTTTCTCCTCGTCTCTTCTATATGCCCTCTCTTCTCGTCTGTCTCTGCTCACTTCCCTTTCACATGTCTCACTCTTACCCCTCACGCTCGCACTCATCTCACTTTCTCCTTCACCTCTCCTGATTGAACCTTTGTAACCGCAAAGGCTTGATTAAAGCACCCTCAATATATCTGCACACTTATAAATAGGGGGAGAGTTGGTACCTGCAGGTTTAATGAATATCACACCTGAGCTAACAAGTCGTTGTATAGCATCTACACTACGCGCGTGGTCATTACAAGCTACTACACCTTCCGGATTGAGAATCTCGAGGCAAAGCTGAAAGCCCTTCAAGAAGAGCGGCAAGACACCATCCAAAAACTTAAAGAGGCAACCAAGTATGAGTCTACTCTTGAACTCCTTGAAAAGTATGGCGGTGCGGAAGGCAAAGATGGCAAGCCCCAGATTAAGATCAAGGAAGAAGCTCCGCAACAACAGCAACAGCAACAGACTGGATTTACGCTCCCTGAACGAACTCACATCGCACCTCCCGCAACTGCAAATATCCCTCGTCGTGATCTCTCACCGGCTTCTTTTGCCAGCAGCAGACCAGTTACTCCCCTGACCCAAAGCGTCACTTCAAACGACGAACCAAGCGCCATTGGCCAGCACCTGCTTCGGCCCCAGTCCGCCCAGAGCCAGCATCACAGCTTCCCGCCGCCCCAGGCCGCCGCAGAGCCTCACTGGTACGACCGCATCTTCGACGTCCTCCTCGGCGAGGACGAAACGGCCGCCAAGAACCGCATCGTCCTGATATGCCAAGTCTGTCGCCTGGTCAACGGACAGGCCCCACCCGGCACCAAGAGCCTCAGCGAACTCGGCATGTGGAAGTGCATGGCCTGTGGATCGCGTAACGGCGAGATGGATGAGGGAAAGCGCATAGTAAGAGAAGTTCTCAAATCGCAGGCCAAGAAGGGGGGCAAGGCAGCTGCTGCCAAGGAGGAGCCGTCTACTGCCGCTGCTGCCACGACACTCGTAACTGACCTTGGTGACGATCAAGCCGAGCCTGAAACCAGCACGGAGAGCCAGCCTACGACGCCCCTTTCCGCTACTTCGCAGCCCCCTAGCCCCTTGGAGGACGACCCAGCCGCAACGGCCAGGCCCAGGCGCTCTGCCAGAAACAAGAGGTCGTAGGGGGTTGAGGAGGGTCTTTCAGGGGTATCTTGGAGGATAATATGGGCCATGAATGGAGTAGGGATGGTGGGCAAAGGAGGGTTTCTTCTTCTTTTTTTTTTTAAAAGAAATATCGGGATATCTACATAAAAAAAATAAAGAAAATCATCTAACTCTTTCTTTCTTTCTTTCTTTCTTTCTTTCTTTCTTTCTTTCTCTCTTTCTTTTTTTTTTTTTTTTCCTTTTTGTTTTTGAAAACATAATGCGATTATATATTCTTCGGAGCTCTTGCTCCCAAGAAAATCAACACGCGTAAATGAGGCATTGGCGATGGTGGTCCGTGCGCACAGTGACATATCCACTCCATGAGGCTAGAGTTATCAAGAGCCGTTGCGTTAGGTAGAGTATCTATTCAGGAATCAAGAGGCCATCACCAAAATCATGGACAATATCATTCATCGTAGGAGGCACCTACAGCCGTTGATATTGACGCCTTAGGCCGCAACTAGCTCTTTCTTCACCTTCACCGCGCTTCACTGTAAACTTGTCGAGCTGACAACTTGCGGGTTATAAAAAATCACATGAGAAAAGACACACGCTCGCAAATGTTCAGCGCACATGTATTGTAGATAAGGATAGCGCAGTAAGGCGCTGCAGGGCACCGCAAGGCTGGCAGCAGGGCTGGCAATACTACAGGCACATGTACATAGTATACCCATGGTTGCCGCGCAACCACGACAAAGCTAAAGCTTCAGGTACGGAAAGCTACATCTTGCAGCGAGTGGAAGGCGGGGTACTCAGTCCAGGTCTGGTTGAATAAGCAGGAAGGTGAGCTCTGCCTCGCTCGGGCTAGATAGAGAGAGAGAGAGAGAGAGAGAGTCAGTCATAAATACCAGGGGCAGCAGTCGCCATCTCTGGGTTGATGAGCGCGCTCAAAATTTGTATTACTGCATGAAATGACACACACAACGCCTGACGATAGGAATCTCTATGCGCGATCGCGGTTTTTGACGCATCAAGTCTACACGGCTCCCGTTTATCGCCTTCTCACCTCCGTCGCCCAGCCGTCGATGCCCTCGCCGCGGCTACCAACTTCCAGCCCCTCAATCTTGACTCCCTTCATGCCGGGGGTATCGTCCAGCCAGGGATGGCCGGCCATGCCGCCGGCGTTTGCTCGCTTCTCCGGCACGAGCTCCAACATCGGAGTCAGGAAAGCGGAGATGCGCTTAGCCTCGTCCTCTTTGAAATGGTATTTCTCCTTTAGGACATCGGGCAGCGCCCAGTGTCTCAGTCTGTGAATGTGCCGGAGCTCGCCCTTCCGGTTGAATATTTCTTGGCTCCATTTGCCACTGAGGCAGAGAGAGCGCGGGAAGGGGCCAAGCAGTTCGATGATCTGTGCAATGTGGTCGTCGTCCTTGCCATACTTTGTGCCCGACTGTGGATCGAAGAGGTAGTCGCCCGTAATCAGCTCAAAGACCTGTCGCGAGGATGAAACGGTTAGCAGAGAGAAACGTTGAGAATGTGGGAGGAAGGATAACAAATGCAAGGTTTTGCGACAGGTGGCGGGGTAACACGAGAGACATAAGACTCACCATGGCAGACATGCTCCATACATCCGTACTTGCTCCCCATTTTGCTCCTAAAATCACCTCCGGAGACCGATATTGTCGCGTCTGGATATCATTGGTGAAGTGGTGGTTAACCCAGCACGCGTTACCCAAATCTGCGATCTTGACGCTGATCACGTCATGTCCGTCCTCGGTCGGGGTGTTGAGAGAGATTCCTGAGACTTCGCGAGTCAAAAGGTCACTGGCACCGGTGCTTGATGTTAGTGGCACAAGGCAACAAAGGAAAATGCCGACAACGACGATTTTAATGGTGAGAAGAGAGAAGCGAAGAAAAGGGGTAGTATAGTAAAGGGGAAAAAGTTATGTTAAGACTTACGCAGACTTTTCTCTCTTGTTGTGAGCGTCATCGGCCTTTGAAGAATCATCTTTTTGCTTACCCGCTGCACAGTAACAGGTTAGAGATACGCAAGAAAGAAATCGAGTTGACAAGAACTGTCGGATCAGTGGCCAACATACCTTCCGTTTTACCAGAGCCTCGATCCATGGCCGAGTATGGGTTGTGCAAGAAGGATTCAAAGTTGCCGTGGAGGGGCGATGGCAGCGGCTGGCTGCCTGTGATGAGAGTCCTGCGCCGTCTGCGGCCGTTGCGGTTGTTTTCTTTCTCGTCCTTGTCGCCGCCCTGGGGCAGGACCCTCTTGACGATCTGCTCGACGTCGCCAATCTCGATGAGGACGTTCTCGGGCTTGAGGTCGGTGTGGATGATGCCGCATTCGCGGTGCAGGTAGTCCAGGCCCAGCAGCACCTGCTTGGTGATCTGCTTGACCAGCGCCATGGGGATGCCGCGGTGGTTCCATCGCTTGATGAGCCCCAGCAGGTTCTCGCCCAGCACCTCAAACACCATGCACATGTGCGTGCCGTTGGGGCCCTTGTGCTCGAACGAGTCCAGCAGGCTGACGACGTGCTTGCGGCCGGGGTGGTCGGGGTTCGCCTGGACAATCTTATTGAGCAGCTTGATCTCGTCGACGGCCGTCTCGGTGTAGTGCGTGGCGGACCGCACCACCTTGAGCGCAACGTGTTTGCCGTTGCTGTTGTCGCGCGACAGCCACACGGTCGAGAAGTGGCCCCATCCCAGCTTGCGCACCACCGTGTACCGGCCGTCCTTGAAGTTCTCGCCAATCTGGACGGGATGGTAGCCGCCCTTGCAGTAATCTTCGGAATCTTCCTCGTCGGCCGTGTTCTCGGCGGGGTCGTCGGCCGTGGACGTTGACGACTGTGAGCGAGTCATGGAGGAGCTCGGCAATTGCTGGGTTCTGCGGCGCAACAAAGCACAAGACAAGCAACGCGGTCAGCCCGCGATCGCGCGTGGAAACGAGATGGAGAGGCTGGATTGGGGATGGAATGAAGCGATGATGGAGATAAAAGGGTTGGAGTTTGGCTTGGAGAGACTGGCGGGCGCAAGGGATGGCGGCAGATGATTGGGCGGTCAGCGAGCGAAGAGGGGGCAGAACGAGGCTAGTGGTGAGCGAGGCCAAAAGCACGCTTTGCGGGGTGACGGCATCAACAAAGCCGCGACTTGCAGCGGGCAGAGGCCCGGAGAAGCTTCAAGTTGGTGATTGACTGCTGCTGGCACGGAGCCCATGGCCACCAGCAGGCAGCAGATGGTGATGACGGGCAGCGGCAAGCACACAGGCAGAGCCCTGAAGCGCAGAGCGGGCCGCCCGCTTGGGCACGATAGATAAGGCACGTATGTATGTAGGTATGTAGCACATATGTATGTGATGTATTATGTAGCAGCAGGCAGGCGAAGAACTGAGCCCCTTGCACCGGGCAGTCTGGAAGGGGGGGCAAGTCCCCGCCGCTGGGGGAAAGGGGGGGAGGTTTAATAGAATTTTTAAAAAGAGAATAAAAACAATTAAAGAAGGATGAAATAAGAATATAGGATGGGATGGGATAGGATAGGATGGGGTGGGATGGGATAGGATGGGACAATAAAAATCAAAACAGAAGCTTGGGCAAGGAGAATAGAGAATAATAGGTGGGCAGCAAGTCAAAGAAAGCCATGGCAACATACCGAGTCTTGAGAAAGCTCATGTTGCCTTTGACATTATGCGGCGTTGCGGCGGCAAATGGTTGGGCGATGATATCAGGCTGGATCTAAATCTCCCAAGGCCGCATAAATAGGCAGAATGAGTGCGATGAAGAAAAGGTGTCTATTTGATTTCGGTTAGGCGGGCAGAGAGCGAAATATTGGAGCAAATGCACTGCAAAAGAATGAGAATGAAAACGAATGCAAATCAGACGGCGGATGCGAGACCAGGTGGCGAGTCAGAGGCGCGGGCTTTTCTTCTCTGGGCAGCAAAATTCGACCAGACAGGTGAGGGTTTATTGTGGTAGAGGCGGCGGTATCGTGACAAAGTGGCAGGCAGAGGAGAGAGAAAGAATGAGAAATGCAAGACCGAATAGCATTGGCGTTAGACTCGCTGAGCACACACTCATCATACACACTATACACACACACATACACACAGAGAGAGGGCCACTCCAGTTCTAGCGTTCAGGCTTCATTGGCTGGGCACGCCATGATGACGGCGCCCAGCAGCTGAAAGCGGCGCCAACCAGCTTCAAGGCCGGGGCGTCCTCCATACTCCTAGACCTCCAGTGGGGCCATCACAGGCGCTCTGCAAGCGGCGAAGCGCCCTGAAGCACTGCCTTGGTGGGACAGAACACTTGGAGGCAAAAAACAGACTAGCAGCACACGATGTAGATGGGAAAGATGGGAAAGATGGGAAAGATGGAGGAAATGAAGACAACGTGGGATGAGGCCAGAGACAGCAAGGCTCTGTGCTTTGTGACGCCGTAGGCAAACAGGTACTAGTATCATATGTAGGCGCAATACGCATATGTAGCCAAACGGGAGATGGCGAGCAGCACAAGTGGGATCGGCACGGCATTCATGGCCGTACATGTGACATGGAGGAAGCAAACAGTAAACAGCTCATGTATATTAACAGCACTGTAAGACGAGAAAGAGAGCACCGAACATCAAACGCCCGGCTCAGCACATCGAGCCCGTCACTTGACAGAGCTGGCTGATGCAGCCCCAAACATGTCCGGCGAACAATCAGAATAGAACCATGTGCCCTGCTTGCTCTTTTCTTGGGCTGAACAAGGCCCAAATGCCGTGCTGCTGAAGAGGCAACCGAAATCTGTGGTGGAGCCAGCCATGTCATAAAGCGGGCACAAGCCATTGAAGAAGTGAGGGGCAGGGCAGTGGCTTGTGGCTGTCGGTACGCTTATCAACAAATCGAGAAGCTTTGCGCATGCTAAAAGGCTAATGTAAGACGGCCGGGCAGGGGAATCAAACAGGAACTCGGGAATGGTGCGTGATGTGAAGGTGGAGTTGGGCAAACTCGGTCAGGCACCCGGCCAGGCGTTTTGCCAATCAGCTCTCGAGCGCATACATGCGCAGCTTTGCGCGCAGCTCGGATTGCTATGACGACGCGCTGCATGTTGACGAAAGGGAGAGTCGTAGAGGCGAACAGAAGAGTGGATTTGGACACTCAGCAGATGGAAATTCCATGAAGAGCAACACACAAAAAGTCTCACCTGCAGGATGACGTCGCTTCGTATGAAAAAAGAATGAGCAAGAAAACGCGGGGCGAAACTCAAACAGGAGGAGGAGGAAGCAAGCAAGCAAGCAAGCAAGTAAGCAGGCAAAAGCTCAAATAGAGAAAAAAATCAAATGAGGATGATGAGAGAGGAGGAAGAAAAAAGAGATGGATAAAGAGAGAGAGATTGTGACAGCTGAAAGGAAACGACGGGAGGTGGCAGAATCTGGCAGACAAAGGTGGTGAAGCTCGATTAGAGGGAATGTAAACTGCCATTGCTACCAACCTTCCTTCTCTCTGTGCATTTCATGGCCAGGCAGGCAGGTAGCAAAAAGCACCTGGGGAATACCTACTCTTAGGCATAATTTGGTAATACTAGTAAGTACAGCACCTACACGAGAACAGTGCAGTACACCATGCTCGACCGACTTTTGAGCATGGTTGTCTCAAGTAGCGAAATTTCAGAGAACGAACCGAGGAGGGCAAGAGACAGAAGCTAGGGCGGAAGGAATCAAGACGAGCGAATAGCCGCCACTAGAGATGCATCGTCTTTGGCTGGGGCTGCCTCTGAATATCGACATCTCAAACTAGATATTAGACTCGTGCTCTATTCGATTGACAAATTCTGCGGTGCCGCTATGCAATCGGGACGGATCACGTCCACCGGGGGCAGCGAGCGGGAAAAAGAAATCATTTTGCCTATTTGAATGGAGGCCAATAGCGCCGGTTACAGCGCTTCGATTCTCAAAGCTGAACCACGACCAGCGAATAGTTCAGAAGAGGTAAAGAAAAACAACCGGGTTCGCCATGCGAAAGAAAAAAAAAAATCTCCTGTTGTAAGACGACTGCATCAGCCGAGATCGACCCACGAAAGTAGCGGCCGACGAAGATGGGTGGCATCAGTTTACGCTTCAGGCAATGTGCTACTTGCACCACGTCTTCTTTAGGCCAGTTGATCACTTGCTAACCAGTTTTCTCTTAGTAGAAGAAGAAAAGAAGTAAGACTTGTCCCATCACGAAGTAAAACCGACAAGCAACGTCATTGCAAGGGGTGCATCCCTACGAGACAACAAACCGCCGGAGACGCTGCTGCGATCCTCCAAAGACAGAAAGTTGCCTGATATACCTATTCTAAGCTGACTTGCTACTAGGTGGCCCGGACCGATCCGGTCTGGGTTTAGCAAGCAGGAGCAGAAAAAGTCAATTGGGACTAAGCGCTCCTTTTCTCTCTATACACTTACAAGTTACAACTGAGAAATGTGGCTGACAACAATGGCAGTCACACATTGTTCGACAAGTTGGGGGCAACAAGCGGGTCGGAGGGCGTTGAGGAGCGTGGGATGAATCTCTACTAAGAATATACCTACATGCAAACCATCCTCGGCCGAGAGAAGCGTTAATGACGCAGCTGAACAGGAGAACAAGACCGGCCCCACCCATGGAATTCTTCTCTCCCTCTTTTATGGCCTCTTTTCCTATTTAATTTCGGTTGAGCTGCTGAATATGGGGTTTGTGAAAGACTCTCTCCACATACAAAGCTGGGACCCGACTCCATTGCGCGATCTCGACTTTCCGAGGCATACGGAGTATATGGAGTACATACGAATGTTATGCAGTCTTGGATCTACGGGGAGCTCTTTCTATTCCGGGTTGTCCCTTTGGCCCCGTCACATGTGACGCATCATACCAATAGTCTCTTCTTTCTCGTCTAATTTGAAGCAGGGTCTTGAAGTACCTATTCTACACAGACCGGAGCCTACGACAGCACGGATGCCGCGATTATTTCTGGGTCTGCTCGAATCCCTCCGAGCCGAGACATAAAGAAGAATGCCGGTATAGGGTCTTACAGCTTCTCTTCTTTCTACACCTCTCCTGTCTCAGCATCCCGAAGAGCTATGCGCATTAACAATTATCGAAACAGCATGGAGCGCTGCATCATCACCTCGTACGATTTTACATCCATGTCCAGAGCGCGGGATGCGACAATACTAATGTGCCAAAAGTCATAGGGTTTGACGTTTAGAAAATCGCCGAATGCTACCAAGAGTTGGTGCCTAGGTAGGCCGCCTATGTAGTATTGCTGGTGGATCAAGCAAGTAGCAGCTGACGAGCCTCAAAGGGGGAAACACTCGCTAGTACATACCTACATACCAACTGGCGGCCCCGAGTCTCAGTACCCGGATGACTGGCCGCACAAGTAAGCACCACACACCGTACCTTATACGGCTGGCCCCCGTGGGAAGATTATAGGCATTATAAGGAGCTGTTCCGTCATCTCCAAGGCGTCGCAAGCGCAAACCGCCGCCCGTACGTGCAAGCGATTAACACCCAGGCAAATCGCGATGCGCTTCATGCAAAGAAGCACGGGTGGCGGTCTTCTCCGTAGCGTGGCTGTGCTGTCCATGCTGTCCATGCCGAGGTGCTACTTACTATCGCTGCCGTCACTACTAAGTAGCTGCCGTGAATGCGAGTCAGGACCAACATACATAATTGTACATACGGACTCTTTAGTCTTGCCGTCTGTTGTCCGCCAAAGTGCGGCCCGTGTTGGTGGCAGACGAGTAGCGGCATCAAACCATGTGGCTAGGGCTGGAGCCTCAGTCCCGATACTACCATGTAGACTTCCTAATGCTAATCGTGGTTACTACAATCTGTCGGTATTCCCAATGCAGTATTGTCACTACCGCTGCAGCACTACCAATTCAGGCGAAGCTGCCAATGACAACAAAGACAAAGCCCAGTCTATCCCATAAAAGCTTACGAGGGGTATTAACCCGGAGTAACCCTGGACGTCTCCTCATCTTTTCCTAGTCAAGCTCAAGGCCTCTCCCAAAAGAATCACAAAAGATGCTACTGCCGACGCAGACAAAGACAAAGAACCTTGACAAAAGGGTAAAATCCCTTGACATTTCCCGGGGCTTGATTGGCCGCCCAAGTCCCGGTTGTCGGCAAGTGGCCTTGCATAATACCCGCACAGCATACCAGGAACCAACAGGGCTCAATAACCAGGTGTCATTGAGACAAGAGAATTTTTTTTTATATCCCTCTGATGGCGTGTTATTGACAGAATGTACCCATATTTAGTCGTTCGATTTTTCGGTCGCCCCAATAGACTAGGGTCCCAATCTACGGAGGGCCCTGATGCTATAGTTTAATTTGGAGGTGACGGCATCCCGGCCAAGCCACTTGCTCGCGTGCTGGCCAGCCACTGTCCACTTTTTTTCCTCTTTCCTTTTTGTCTTGCTTCTGTATAATCCTGCCATCTTCCATGGGTCGGAGGAAATAATGCGGGATGAGTGTTCCTGTATTCTAGAACGGGCGCCTGAGATTGGGTGCTTTGTGAGCCGTGTCCACGGAGTCGCCCCCCTGTCTCGAATCATACGATTCACTCGGCTTTCGAAGCCTCCATCAACGCAAATGTGGTCCAGAAAACGCGGTGACGTTTGTGCAGCGAACGGATGAGAAGGGATTTAGAATTTTTTTTTTTTTCCTTTTTTCCTTTTTTCCCTCTTTTTTTCACTAGGAGCCGCCGGGATTGGCGCTGTGAAATGCGGCACGAGTGCGGCCTTTGGCCGGGTCATTACGGGGAGAAACCGAGATAAGTCGCGCCATGATGTTTGCTTTACTTTTTGCCTTCTCCCCAACAAGACTGGGACCATCTTTGAAAAGTTTTTTTCATAGATAAACGGCTTTGTGCCTGCCTGCTCCCGGAATCTTGGAATCTTCCTTTCTCCCCATATAACCATATAACATTGATTTGCCACTGCTGTTTGTTTCCTACGGAGTCCTTCTACTGTCTTTCCTTCTTCAAGTTTCTGTCGTGTATAGTGCTTAATAGTTTTTGAAATTATTTTGTTACATCTTCGTGTACTATACCATCTACCCTTGACTTGACTTGACTTGAAGCAGCCCTTATCAACACTTTCAACTACTCCCAACTCAGCTCAGACAATGGCCTTGACTGCCCATCAGGTCAAGATTGTCAGGGATACTATCCCAGCCCTGACCGAACATGGAGAGCTCATTGCAAGCACCTTCTACGGCAACATGCTGAGAGCTCACCCCGAGCTCAATGACTACTTCAACACAGTCAACATGGCCAATGGCCGTCAGCCACGAGCACTCATCGCCATCATTCTCAGCTTCGCCAACAACATCACGCACATCACCGAGCTGATCCCCAAGATGGAGCGCATGTGCCAGAAGCACTGCTCGCTGGGGATCCTACCCGAACACTATGACATTGTTGGCAAGTATCTCATCGCCGCCTTTGGAGAAATCCTCGGCCCGGCCATGACTCCTGCAGTTCAGATTGCCTGGAACAAGGCATACTGGGTGCTTGCAAAGATGCTCATCGGGCGAGAGGCCCAGCTGTATCACGACTGGCAGCACTGGCAAGGCTGGCGACGCTTCCGCGTCCAGCAAAAGGTGGAAGAAGCTGAGGACGTGTATTCGTACTACCTGGTTCCCGAGGATGGCAAACTGCTGCCTTCTTTCATGCCGGGCCAGTACGTCTCGGTGCGTGTCATGGTGCCGGACATTGGATACTGGCAGAACCGACAATACTCCCTGAGCGAGCAGCCGAAGCAGGAGTACTATCGCATCACCATCAAGCGTGATCGAGGAGCGCAGACGGTTCGTCAGCCGAGCTATCTGTGGTCCTCATATGGCACGCATCCCGGCGTCGTGTCCAACATGATTATCGACCAGAAGAACGTCGGTGACATTATCGAACTCACCCACCCTGCTGGCGAATTCTTCCTCGACACGTTCAACACTGCCAACGCACCGCTCGTGCTGCTCTCGGCCGGTGTTGGCGTCACTCCCATGGTGTCCATCCTCAACTCCGTCATTGAAAAGCAGCCCAGCAGGCCGATATCCTGGATCCAAGGCTCACGAGATTCGGTTCCCTTTTATCTCCACGTCCGCAAAATTGCCCGAGATAGGCCCACCATGAAGGTCAACATCTTCAAGACGCAGCTTGCGGATTCCGACCTCGCGGGCGTCACGTACGACCACGACGCCAAGATTGATCTTGCAAAAGTGCACAGGGAGGATCTGTGGCTGGATAATTCCGCCACCGAGTATTTCGTCTGCGGGCCGGAGCAGTTCATGATGGAGATGGCGAGGCGCCTGAGAGAGTTTGGCGTGCATAGCGATAGGATCAAGCTGGAGCTGTTTAGCACTGGCGATACAGAGTTCCAGGTGGATGCGTTGAGCATTGCGTCTGGACGGTCGTTGGGTGCACCGAGATCTGGGGTGGCATCTGGAGCGGCGTCTACGAACAGCGGCAGCGATTAGAAGAAGAAGAAGAAGAAGGAAGAAGAAGAAGAAGAAGAAAAGAAGGGCGAGCAAAAAGACGAACGATGGCACATTCTTGCTGTTGGGAGACAAACGAGGCAACGCAACGCAACGCAACGCAACACAAGATTGCATATGCATGCATATTACATACACACAAAACTTAACGCAAGTGAAAAGAACGAAATTTAATTGGGTCAATTGGAGCATAGAAGATAGAAAACCGGGCAACATGGAAAAGAATTTTTGATTGGGATGGATGGCATTATTATTATTATTATTATATATACTGGCAGAGATATACGACCATGTTGAAGATTTATATACAATATACATATGAAAGAGAGAGGCTGGCGGGAAAAAGAGAAATTTTTGGAATCTTGCACTGTTTTACTTGAAATGGTATTAGTTAGTTGGTTGGGAAAGTTGCGCATAAAGATATGTTTTAATACACAATTTCTTCTCCTCCATTCAAGATCTGTATGTGCTTACGTATTCGAATTGGATAATAGAGACATGATGCATCACCCTTTCGTCAGATCAATCGTGATTCTCCATGTTTTATCTCTGCCAAGCTCTTGCAGTTGGTCCCCCTTTGAATTCCTCGCAGAAATCGCTTATCTAGTCCCACTGAGCGCCGCGTGGGTATTCCTACATGTACAAAACCGTCATATGCAGCTTGCCATTGTCCATGTGCTTTTGCCAAGATACGACATGTTATAGGTACTCAATCGTCGTTGGCTATTTAGCTACTTCGGCAGCCTGGCCTCTGTCGTCTTCTAGGGGTGATTTATATACAAGTTTCATGACGGACTCTTCATCCTGGACGGTGGATCTGTGCCGCCGTCCTTAATCAAGCTTGTTCTGAGAGGACCCGTGCCTTCGGGGAAGACTCCCTAGCCGTCGATCTTCCATATTTGGCGCCTCATTAGTCCTTCAAAAGGGGATTTGGTGGCTGAGATGGGGAGTCTCTATATACACGCAGCAAGTTTAGTTAGCACGCATAAGCTCTCGGGACGATTTGAGCCAGTCATTATGAGATTCTTGCCTTTTTTGAGTATTTGATTTCCTTTTGTAATTTCATGTCGATGGGCCTCCTTCACCAAATGCAGCTGTCCACAAAGCGAGCCTGGCCATTCTATGGCCGCAGCCGTGGCCAAGTGCTTCTTCGAGCGTCTCTGCTCCACTTTTGCTCCCCCATAACCTAGTAGCGTAGCATTGAAATAGCCACAATTAACAGCTAGAGCTGAACAGTGTCTCTGCCGAAAAGCCTGGCCAATTACAGTTCCTCCGCTATCACAATGTGACTGTTCTCGCAGCCTCTGCACTACAACGATGGAGAGAGCAAGCACAAGCGAGAATACTGGTCAGCAGCAATCCTTCCTCGCTCTAAACTGCAGGGGCATTCCATGTTAGTTGCAGTATTTTGAACATTGCATACGATTCAAGGCGGCTGTAATGTTAGTGCGCAAAAGCCCTACACCATCCATTCGCTCTTAACACCGAGCACCAGTTGGCGGAATAATGGGTGTGCCCTCCAAGAAAATTCTGGATCAACAAGGGTTGCATTCCCCTTCTCACCTCGCATGAATATGACTTGTGATAGCTTTCTTTCCTCCTGCTTGCATGCATGCGGTTGGCTGTGGCAGAATTGACCGAGTAGACAAGTATCCTCTTCCAGGTACGTATTGGTTTGAGCAGTCGAGTTGCTCCTTTGGGATAACATGCAGCGCGGTTTCGGGCTTTCGGCTATACAGCTGCAAGCCGGAGGAGAGGAGGACGGGGCGCCTGTGGACTCAGACGTTACGCGAGTCGGGTGCCTCACTAGGATATGCAGACAGATAGTAGTATTTATGCATACTGTATCGGTTGTAAAACTGACTCGTAGTAATCAAGGCCAACAATTGCTCACAGTCGCCGACGCGTTACTCTTCAGATAGGCAGAGCTTAAATCGAGCTGTCAAACACCCAACGCCTTTCTTTAGGCTCATACCCACTCCCCGAGTAGTCTCGTCGGTAGGGCGATTCTTGGCGCCTTCGCGGGACGCCTCCCGTCAGCACTTTCAGCGCGTCCATCAGCAGCCTAATGTCAACTCCATAACGGGTATCGGCATATCGCTTGGTGCTTTTCTAGGCGTCACGATTGTACCTAGTGTTAGCACCTTCTAGACTATGGGTAGTTCCGTGATAGGTTTCGTTAGCCGGAGATCTACTCCGTGGAAGCCCGAGGGAAGAACCTTGGTGATGGGCAGACGGCGGCGGATAGCTCGCCTCGAAGCTGCTAGTAATCATAGGCAGTGCTGCTAGCTAGCTTGGAATGCCACCATCGTACTTGTAGAAATCTGACCAATCCCTTTTGTTGTCTTCACGTTTCGTTGTCTTGGTCTTGATAAAGCCGCTGACAGCAAACGACTACGAGCTGCCTGGCACAAGTTCAAGGGCATGCTTTGAAGGTTTGCTGCCTTTCGCCTCACCCCCTTTTTTTCCTCATCTCATCTCTTGGGAACTCGTGCCTCGCACACTCCTTCTTTCTCTTTCTCTCGACAATTCTGGCCTCGTGTGATTTTGCTCAATCATACCATGACTCGAGCCCCTTTACTCTTGTTTGCTCCCAGCAGGAATGGCTAATTGGACTGGCAAACAATCGGCAAACTTACCCCGCGTCTCTCTCTCTAATCTTGTCCTCGTTTTTTCTTCGCTATCTCTCTCTCTTTCATAATTTGGGGGGACCCCAGCCAGGTCCAGGCTTTTATGCTGATCTGGACGAAAGCTTCCAATCCTTGCGCACGGCCTGAGCGTCAACTGTTTCTCTTTTCCGCCATTTCGCAGGACACCAACCCCGGCAGATTTTCTCCTCAATTCAATCAAGGACACTTTTTTTTTTTTTACCGCCAGTGTGTAGCATTTTATCTTTTCAAAGCAAGCGATATTGAAAAGCTGCCTCTGATATTAGCTTTTTCTTCCTTGTTCATATTTTCTAGCATGTCTTGACTCCGTTTCGTCCGCTTTTTACCGATTTCATCTATTTTAATTTTCCCTTTTGAGGCTCAACTGTTGTTTTGTAATACGAAATCTGCAGCCACAAAGGGCTTACCAAACAGATTGACTGCATGGAAGAGCCGGTGAACAATTTGGACACTTCATTCTGCCATTTTGCCCGCGACTCGTCATGCCACGCAGAGTCAGGAAGACGCCATGGAGTCGCACAGGATGCAGCACTTGCAAGCGCAGAAGAAAGAAATGTGAGTTTTACGCCCATTTGTTTTAGTTCCATCGCCGAGCTCCAGTCCTAGATCCAGGCTCCAGGCTCCCACGCTCTAATTCCGAGCGAGCGGGCCTCTCTGGGAAAGATCTCGACGGCCCTGACGGGATCTTGTGGGTGCGTGTATCAGACACCTGAAAGAGACGGAGAGACGTGGAGAGAGACATGGGGAGACAAGCAAGAGACAAGAGATGAGATAGCTGACTTGACCTTTTCAAACTTTGCAGGTGATGGCCAGAAACCAAAGTAAGTTGCCATGCTGCGTCGGAGAAGTTGTCAACTGCCGTAGAAAGATTCTAGCCCCGACGTTGCCGCCCCTACTACGATGATTCTTACGGTTTTGGGCATTTATAAATAGCTCTTCTTTTTTAGCAAGGAAATCCACTAACGGCATGGCCTTTCTAGATGTCAGACATGTCTCCGGCTGGGCCTTGAGTGCGTGCAGTTCGACATCTTCTGTCCCATCAACGTCGTCACGCCGACACGCGATTCTCGGCCGACCAGAGCGGTGACAGACGGCGAGGACCAGGACGAAGCGAGCCACTCAAGCCCATCCTCGTCGGGTTCGGCTGATGACGCCGGTGGCTCCAGCGATGCGGCGGAGTCTCCGCCATCACCGTCGTCGTCTGCGGCGTTGATCCCGGCAACGACAACAGCGGCAGCTTGGAGACACAGGAGACACTCTGAGCTGATGCTGTTGGACTCCTCCCAGCTGTCATCGTCATCGTCATCGTCGTCATCACCGCCGTTGTACGGCCAACAGCAGATCGTCTTCCGCACTCGCGGCAGCGCATCGGCCATGCGGCACGGGCCGTCGATGGCAGGGCCAGTGCCATCACTGTCTGCGTTTTCTTACCTTTCTACGAATCAATACTTTTTCCTGCAATACTACCTGGAGCGGCTGAGTAATGTGCTAGTAAATGCCAACAGCGATTCTAACCCACTCAAATCGCTCATCTTGCCGCGCATCGCCTCGTCGAATCTACTGCTGGACGCCATCTGCGCCACGGCGTCGCTGCACCGGTCCAGCGCCTCTGATGCGGATCCGTTGGCGTATTCGGACGCAACGCGGTACTACGTTCGTGTGTTGTCTGCGGTGCGCGATTTGATTCCCCAAGTGACGAATTCGACCTCAAAGTCGCCAAAATCGGGCAGCAGGGGGGGCATGATGATGATATCCGATGGTGAATCAAGTCCGGGCAGCAGCAAAGGCAGTAGGAGCAGTAAGAATAGCGACAAGAACAGCAAGGCCAAGAAGAAAACGGCGGCGGGTGTCGAGGACGTCGAAATGGCTGAGATGGCCATCCTGGCGTCCATCTTCCTCTGCAAGTACGAGATTATCAAGGACGGCGTGGAGAGCTGGCGCCTCCATCTGAAAGGCATCGAATCTTTATGCCGGTCACTGAGTCCCGAGCAGACGGCTTCCATGGCCAACACGCTGGCCTATGTCCGTAGTTTGTATGTTGCCAACTCTGATGACGATGAATATGAATAGGGCTAATCGGGATTTGTAGCATGTCGTATCATAAAAACATTGCGCGCATCACCGAATATGCGCCGCATTCAACAGGAGAGGAGTTTGAGCATGAGCCATTCGAACTGGGCAAGCTATTCCCCGTAGACCCGTACATGGGATTCTCCCAGAGTCTCATCATCCTGCTGGGCCGGGTCAGCAACCTGCTCGTTATTAACACGAGAGACGGGCCACACGAGCTAAGGCTAGAAATAGAGACAATGTATGTGAAGAACCAGAGCCTCTCACTGTTCTCCTCAAACTCCCTCATATAGATGACGTGGCTGACTCTCCATGTTCAATAGATTGAGCCTGCTTGCCAGGAGAAGCTGGGACGCAGACCGCTTCGCCATCCCTGAAGGCATGGGCATGTCGACGATTGAAAACTCAACCACCATTGCTGAGGCATACTACTGTGCCATCATTGCCTGTATTCATGCCGTGCTCGAAGTTGTAGCCGAGAGAGAGGCTGCAGCCGCCATCTCACCCATGGCCATGGCTGAGGAACAATTTCAGTTTGGGTCTCCTCCATTACAGCCTTCATCACAGACCTTTATCGACTGGGCATCCCTACATGCCCTCCTTCCTATAGCTAAAGCCGATGCTCTAACGGAATGTCTTGCCGGCATAGCACGGGTACCGCTTGGAGCCCCGGAGGAGGCCGGCCTTTTGCCGCTACTCTTCATCGTGGCGTGCGAGACGACTCGAGAGGATCAGGCCCATGAGGCTCTGCTCAGGGTCGAAGCTCTAGGGAGCCACATTGGATTAGGAAACGTTAGATGTGCGAGTGAGTTGCTGAAACAGGTGTGGTTAAGGCGGTCGACGCAGCGAGACTTTCATGATTGGCGAGGACTGTTGGCGCAGCTGCAGTGGGATCTAATCATTACCTGAAGAACCCTCTAAGCTACATAGAGGTGGTTTCTGTGAAGTGGCCCCTTCATCATCATTATCCTCATCTTCACCACTATCTCGTTGTTCACGATTGGCACAGGAGAGAGAGAGAGAGATGAATAGAGAAGAGACATGGCGCATTTTTGATCTAAAATGATGTCTTTCGTTGCTCGTCTTTTGCTTGCTCGATAATTTCGTTTCGGCTTTCTTAGCTCGTTTCTGCTCGGTCTGGCGTGCTCTTTGTCCGCTATCGGTTCATCTTATTCGTTCTGGAGCTGTTCTAGAGCTCCATGCTTAATCGGTTTGTGGTATCTGCATAGTATCTCATGGGGCGCACGCGAAATGGAGGATATGGCGTTATTGTCGTAGCTGTAGAGATAGCTGCAAAACAATGAAGAAAATTACCAAAATCGGTAATTCCCTGAGAATTCCATCATTGGAGAGAGCAACAAAAAATGGGGTCCTTGAGCTTTCTTTTAGCTTTTATTAGTTCATTGGAGTTTGGTCCACAGAATTGATAATGGAGAACGGTTAGTGCTGTCTCCCACGTGTTTCATTGTGAGAAATAGTAGCCCCATTTTGCTTCTTTGATGGCTTCAAGAAGTTGTAGAAGTGTAAAGACGGACCAAGCCAGCAGCAATAAAGAAGGACAAAATAAATACATAGAAGAGCAATGCTGTAAAGGCGATTAATAAGTAAAAAAAAAATAAAGAGAGAGGGAAACCCCCACAGCGGGATCTTTCTTTAGTGCGCGTATCTTTGGCCCAAACGGGTCATGGAAAAGGATGGCGGAGTGCGGCACAGGATAGCTCTTTTTGGGAAAGCAAACCTCCGCATTTCTTTTTGCTGTTGGGTTTCTTATGGGTAAATGGACAATCATTGTGGCTTCTGGTGTGTTGTTTCCGGTTTGGGAAGCTCAGGCGTAACTTGTACCTTAGCTGGCGAAGATATGACGGGTGATCTGATACCAGCAGCAGGATATACTTTTCACACTGTGATACAAGTTAGTGCCAAGACTACGGACCGTATAGGACGAGCAATGGAGCAATGCCACGACGAACTCCCTGCGTGTCACAGCCGCCGGTACGAGGCTTTGGACTGTGGCAGATAAGAGCATGGCTGGTATAAGATGGCGGCCAGCCCCCTTCTCGATCCATCGAGCCCTGGGCACCTGTCACCTTCGGAGTGTTTCTGACTAGTCATCTTGGATCTCGGCTTCGTTACAGACCTGGGGCGGCATATGAGACATCCTTGCTCAATAATACCTAAACGTTCTTGTGTTAGCACAGGGGGGTATACTACTAGGTTTTCATAACAACAACTCATACTCCGTTGTTCATACATCATACTGAGGGGTAGAGGGAAAGAAAGAAGAAAAGAGAACAATACCTCTAGAGTTCTCCGCCACAATGTCTCACAATCATCCCTTCGACCCTATTCGTCCCGACGAAATCTCTCTCGCCACAACCATCCTCAAAGCCTCTCTCCCAGGCGTCAACCTTCGCTTCAAGGTCATCGACGTCAAGGAGCCCATCAAGAAGGATGTCATCCCCTATATTGAGGCTGAGCGGACAGGCCAACCGCTCCCCCCGCCACCTCCACGCCTGCTATACAGCTACTTACACCGACTGGACACCCATGCGTTCCTCAAGGCCGTCATCAACGTAGACACCAAGGCCGTCATTTCCCTCAAGGAGCTGCCGAGCCATATCCAGGGCCCTGTCGATATCGATGAGATGATTGGTCTGGAGACGGTCTGCCTGCAGCACCCCAGAGTCATCGAGGAGATCGCCAAGCTGCAACTGCCGGAGGGCGTCACCGTCTGTACAGACCCCTGGATCTACGGCACCGACGATGAGAAGGAGAACCGCCGCCTAGTGCAGTTCTACATGTTCATCGTTCCCGTGAACCATCCACAGTCGAACCATTACTCGCTGCCGTGTGCTTTTTCTCCTGTTCTGGATGCCAACACCAGCGAACTCGTCCGTATTGACTACCTGCCCACAGGTGGCGATCACAGCACCACTGAGACACAGCCGTGGAAGCCGGTCAAGGCTGTCGAGTACGCTCACGACCTCATTGAGACGCCACCGAGACAGGATCTCAAGCCATTGATTGTGCAGCAGCCCGAGGGCCCATCTTTCTCTCTGGAAGGCCACCTTGTGCAGTGGCAGAAATGGCGGTTCCGCGTCGGCTTCAACTACCGTGAAGGCTTGGTGCTGTACAACCTCGCCTTTGACGGCCGCAATGTCTTTTACCGTCTGTCACTGTCCGAGATGACGGTGCCCTACGGTGATCCACGACGGCCCTTCCACCGTAAGCAGGCCTTTGACGTGGGAGACGTTGGACTGGGCATCACCTGCAACCAGCTCAGCCTGGGCTGTGATTGTCTCGGCCACATCAAGTACTTTGACGGCTTCCGCATCAACTCCCAAGGCCGGCCCGTGCATCTTCAAAACGTCATCTGCCTCCATGAGCAAGATGCGGGCATCCTGCACAAGCACACAAACTACCGTAACGGTGAGGCCACAGTTGTGCGAAACCGCCAGTTGGTGGTGCAAATGATCTGTACCGTGTCCAACTACGAGTACATTTTTGCCTGGGTGCTGGACCAGGCGGGCGGCATCGAGTTCGAGATTCGTGCCACGGGCATCTTGTCGACCATCCCCATTGACGACAACGAGGGCCTGAAGCTGCCATTCTCGACGCCCGTGGGCCCTGGCGTCTCGGCACCGTATCATCAGCACATCTTCAACTTGCGAGTCGACCCGGCTATTGATGGCTTCAACAACACGGTTGTATACGAGGACAGCGTGCCCCTGGTGCCCGAGGAACACGGCATAGATGACCCTTACGGCGTTGGATACGTGGCCAAAACAACGGTTCTCGACCGCGCAGGCTTTGCCGATAACAATGTTGAGCTTGGCCGAGTCTTCAAGATCCGCAACGACAGCGTCATCAACGCCATCAGCCACAAGCCCGTCGCCTACAAGGTGCAGACGGTGGCCAGCCAGCGCATGATTATGTCGTCTCGCTCATTCAACGCCCGTCGAGCGCGCTTCCACGAGCATCCCGTCTGGGTTACCCGCTACCAAGACGACGAGCTCTATGCCGCTGGCGAGTTCACCAACCAGAGCCGTGAGAGCACTGGCGTGGATAAGTGGGCGGCGCGAGGCGACAACATTCAGAACCAAGACGTGGTGTTTTGGCACACATTCGCGCTGACGCACAACCCGAGGCCCGAGGACTTTCCTGTGATGCCGGTCGAGAGACTCAGCGTGCACTTTAAGCCAAATGGATTCCACGAGAAGAATCCGGCCTTGGATGTGCCTAGCTCGCAGCAGGCAGTGAATAAGTCGACGTTGGTGGAGGAGGTGGCGAAAGCAGTGTGCTGTGCTGAATCAAGGAGCGGGTTGTAAGTACCTAGACATGAGAAGAGTGTTTGACATTGATGGAATAACAAAGGGGTGAATGAAAGAAAAGAGAGGCGAATCAGAAAGGAGATGAAGAAATATAGAGAAGGAGAAAGCAGAGAGAGGTGGCGCCGGAGAGGATAAATTAAGAAAGGCAAGAGAGAAGGACAGATTATAGAGGAGAGGAGAGGAGAAGATAAGGAGAGGATAAGGAGAGCGACGTCTGGGATATTGGAATTGAAGATGTGATATCATGATGATACATGGTGGTCGAAAATCATGGCAACTGCCATATCAGTCAGTACCTTCTTGTTCTTGAGAAAAGCACTTGGTACCATGTAGAAGAGAAAGAACAAATATTACTAGCATTTGATTTGACGAATTTAAAAAGAGAAAGAGAGACAGAAGAATCAGTGAAATGAGAACAAATACAAGGCTCTAGATGATCATCACATGCTAATATAAAATCGATTACTGTTATAGCCCCACTTATATAAAGATGAAGAAACGAGTATGGATCGTGGCCAAAGAGTAATAGCACATGGTATTTCTGCTAAATCCTGCTGGTAGGTAGAGACAGGTTATCCTCCAGCGAATACCTATATCAATCAAATATCCACCTCCACATTCCCATTCAGAGAAGCCATAGCAATACGGCAGTGCCCCCTTTACTTGGCAAGCAAAGCCTTCTCAATCACCCGCGAAGCCTGCAGCACCATCCTCTCGTGATACCGCTTCCCAACAACCTGGATTCCAATCGGCAATCCCTCGGCGTCCTCTGCGCTGTAAATCTCCCAGTAGTGCTTCTCCAAGTCGTTCTTGGGCTTGTACTCGCTCCTGAGCTCCGCGGCACTCGCTCCCCCCACCAGCTTAGCCGCGGGCATCGCCACGGCTGGGTACTGCAGCAGGTTCCAGATGGCCGTATAGCCCCAGTATCGTGTAGCGCCGTGAGGGCCGGCCACGCTCGGGTATATCGGCGCCAGGACGACATCGACATCGAACTGGTTCCAGTGGTCGCTGTAGGCCTGGCGATAGGCATCGCGCGCTTCCTTGAGGCCCTCGGGCGACGAGGCCACCGAAGCCCGGCCCTTTTGGCACTCTTTGATGATCCATTCCGTCAGTGGCAGCACGGCCTCGCCTCCCTTTTCGCAGATGGCGCGAATGTTGGCACCGCCATCTTCAAAGTAGTTTGCGGCGATGATGTCCCATCCCCTGGCGTGGTCCATGGGCGAAAACGACACGACCTGGACGTCGATGGCTTGCCGCAGCTTGTCGGCGACTTTTTGCAGGACTGCTCGCACAGGGGGCAGAGGTGACACCACGCCGTCGTCGACCAGGAGACCAACCTTGAGCGGGCGAGTCTCGTCCAGTTGACGACCCATAGAGGCCGAGAAGATGTTGCCGGGGATGAGGGAGACATCTTCGATCCAGGGGAGGGTGGACGAGTAGGCCTTGCAGAAGAGCTCGATATCACGAAGAGAGCGAGCAAAGGGGCCCAGAGTGCCCGCGATGGAATCGTGGCCAGGTGTAGGGACGACGACGCCAATACCGCTGAAGCGACCAGGGGTGGGAACAAAGCCGTAGAGCTAGGATTTGTCTTGTTAGCAGATTGTACTATATCCTCATGGTAGTCGATGGCTTCTTTTCTTAAAACTTACGCCATTAAAGGCTGCTGGTACGCGAATCGACCCTCCAATGTCACCTCCAATTCCAAGCACCGACGCATTCATGCCCATCAGCGCCGCCTCTCCTCCCGTGCTTCCTCCCGCTGTCAACTGACGATTCCTGGGATTCACCGTCGTGCCATAGATGTTGTTAGACGTCTCTAGGTGCATGCCGGCCTGTGGCTGATTTGTGCGCGCAAAGACAACTGCGCCCAGCTTGCGAAAGGTCTTGACAATAGCGGCATCGTCTTTGCTCGTGTTGTTGATCCAGGTGACGAAGCCCGCATTTGTCAGGTGTGATTTCACGCCGATTTGGTTCTTGAGGGAGAGGGGGATGCCGTGGAGGGGGCCCATGAGGCGTCCGGTCATGGCGAGATGCTGGTCACAGGCTTCGGCGTCGTAGATGGCTTCGGGGAGGAGTTCAGTGAGGCAATTTGTCTTGTTTGTTTGAAACTCAGGTTAGCCCTTATTTGGTCTGTCGCCAGGGGAGAAAGAGAAGGGTGGAGAGGAAGAAAGGTGATGTGATATAGTGAGAGAATTCGGCAGCAAAAGTCAAGACTCACGCATTGTTGCGCAATCGTTGCTCTCTTCCGAAAAGCTGACAACAGCTCCACCGCAGTGACCTTCTTCGCCGCCAGCATCTCCAGCAGCGCCGTGGCATCGTAGTCTTCCGTTAGCTGCAGCTCGGCGTCCGTCATCAAGTCGCTGGACCGCGGCACAGACGTGACATCTTGCGGCAGCGATGTGATTTGCGAGAGCGAAAACAGCACGCTCTTCTCGAGAGAGCCATCGCGCAGCGAGATAGCGAGGCGGATGTTGTCCTGAGATTCAGCCATGGCGAGGCTGACAGAAAACGACAATGTTAGGTTAGCATTACGGCTGGTTCTAACAACTAAACAAGGAAACGAGGGGGGAACGAGAAAAGAAAAGAGAAAAAGAAAAAGAAAAAAACGTACCTTGCATGCATCTGCTAGCAACTGCAATGTTATGCTGCTGTCAGTCGCCCCTCAGCTCTTCTGCTCCTGATAAACGATAGTATCATCATCACCACCGTCTCCATCCCACTTCACCCCTCAATCTCCAAAAGCGGTAGGAAACAGCTACCTAATGAAAGTGGATCGATGCCCAACATGCATATACCAGAAACACCTTACAGGGTATTAGTGAAGAAAAGTAGCAATCGCATATCGAATATGTTATGGGGAAACTTGCCTCAATCCCCTAGCACGTATGTTACCTCGTTGGGCATAGATCATCCTGCCGGTACTTCAAGCCGGTGGCCTAGCTGGGGCTCTATTTAATTTCGTGTTTGTTTTCTCTCTTTTATCAGCTGCTCTTGGCACCCATATCCTAAACTCCTCTAAGACTAGAAACGAGTCTTTGATCACGGAACGGCTCGTGAAAGGCTCTTCTCGCGCGTGCGGGGTAGGTGGATTTAAGTCGGAGGCTAGCTAGTCAGGGATCTGCTTGTTACTTCATGGGAGCTCGGTTGTTTTAACGGAGGAGCAGGAAAGGGAAATATGACCAAAAGAGAACTCATAAATGGCCTGATGTGACTGTTGCAGCGAAATGCTCGACAACGAAGCTAGGTCTGCGGTCCGGATGCGACGGGCCTTGCATCAACACCATCAGAAATATTAGTCTCTTGGTCATCGGCACTTCCACAGGCTGAAAAAGAAAAAAGAAAACATTATTCGTCTGCGGACAGATATCATTTCCAAAAAGTATGGGTAGCATCAAATGCTCGTCATCCTACAAGTTCTGCCTCAAAGCAAATAGCCAAAAAGTCTCATGTCCATCCAGTATCCAAAAGAAAAAAAACAACATTACTAGGTATAAGATAATATATATGTGTGTGTAATCATAAAAAGGACAACTGCTCCCAAAATCGCAGGCTTGCTACATACAACATAAAAAATAATAAACATAAAGGTAACACGCATCGCTCTACTCCTTTTGTGAACCTGCCGATTCGCTTGGGTCGATAGCTTTGTCGTGAACTTGCTCGTGAACTTGCTCGTGGTGCTCTTCGATGACTTCTTCAAACGCCTCGGGTATCACAACGCCTTCCTCTTGTCCGTATCGCGTGTTTGTCGTGTATAAGGAGATGGCGACCATGGTGAGACACAATCCCACAATCATCATGCCAAAGTACGCACCCGCCTCTCGGATAAACTGCACGCTATGGGTATCGATTCCAAACGCTGTTGCCGTGCCGAATGCCTGGAACCCCTTGAAATAACCACTGTAGCGTGCCAAAACGTGCGGCTCGTTGGAAAAGGTGCTGTAAGTCCAGTGATGGAAGTTTTGGAAAATGGGGTAGCAGGCTCCGAAGAAAATGTAGATAACGAAAGGTCCGGCAAACTTTGATGTCTCGGTCCAGTCAACTGCTCTGGGCGTCAGGTTGCGGTTGATGTCGTTGACGGAGAGGAATGAAACCATGGCGATCCAGGTTCCTCCAATGATGACAGCGACGAAAGCTCCGGCAACAAATGCTCGTTGTCGACGCGAGCCAAAAACTTTGGCATCACAGATCCACGCAATGGCGAGGGCTCCCAGAACTTGGAAGATCCAGTAGCAGAACTATCATTAATGTTAGAATCGACAGAGTAGGATAAAGATATAAGAGAAAGAGATGTTGGACTTACGTTGGCAAGGGATCGTGTTCTGGCATTAAAGTACCACGCATTAAATGCTCCCGTCAACGACAGATACATCTCGCTGCTGTAGATGGACAGTGTGATGAGTGCCATCTTGGGCTCCAGCAAAGTCAGGCCAAGTGCCTTAAGCTCTTGATACCACGGAAGAGGGGTAAACGACGCGATGGGGCGACCGTCATTGCGTCGGATCTTTGACGGGTCCAACAGCAAACCAGCAATCAGGAGACCGGCGCATTCGAGGCAGATGAAGGTGGTGTAGACGGACGAGGGCACTCCAGAGACGGAGGTGTTGTTGACGGTGACACCCAGGACGATGGCTATGTGAAAACATTTCCTGTCAGCAATCATTTACTTGAAAAGGTATACGGGGAGAGAGAAAAAACATACCAGCACCAACAATTGAGCCCGTGGCATTAAGAACCCAGGACGTTGCAATGTATTTTCCCTTTTCGGCCTCAGTAGGATAGCATGTGGTGATGTAGCCTACAGATGAGCAAATAGCATTAGTAAACTAGTCTCATAAATCTGTTTTATATGGATGGTTGATTATTGACATACCTTGTGTAGACCAGAGAAGACCAGCAGAGAGGCCCAGCCAAGTGCCGCCAAACAGAACAAACCAGCTGCCTTGGCCCTTGTCAATCCACCTGTGCGGATCTCAATATTAGACTCCAAAAGCTCACTCTTCAACTCAGAATCTGGCTGACGGAGATGGACATACCATAGTGACCCTGCGTACATTGGGTATCCCGTAGCACCAATCATCAGTGCCCATCGCGGTCCAATCTTGTTGATGATGCTGCCGCCCAGAATACCCGACGCGCCGAACAAGCAGTACAGAATGACGTTTGCTTTGTTGACGATGCCGATCAGCTGTGGCTGCTTGCCTCCTGCGCCGAGGCCCGTGATGGCGAGATATGTGCCCGGATTGCAGAAAAGGACGAATCCCATAATGATGGTCTGGACGTATGGCCTAGAAAGAGAAGCAAAAGGCATGGAGAGTCAGCAGGATGCTTCCCGAGTGTCAGATATCGGAGAGTTGATTCAAACGCACGAATTGTATCGCCATGTGGACAGACGCTGGTGTTGCGGCTGCGCCTCTGCAACAGCAACCTCATCCTTTGCACCGCCCATGGTTGGTTGAAACGAAATGGACAGAGCCAATACAGGAGAGATTCAAGCTTCGATAGTGTTGATGCCAAATCAATTAACCCAATCCAAGCAGTGGAGAGATAAAGAAGATGGGGAAAAGGAAGAGGAGGCAATGGAGAGGAAGCTCAAATAGACCGGGCCAACCTGATGATAAATGATTCTGTTCACGCCCTTCGTTTCTCTCTTTCCAACACTTCGTATTAGGTAGACTATGCCCGCCTCTCTTCCAAGAACGCAAACCTCAGCGCAAGGCACCCAGGAAATACCTGCACAACTAAAGATGGAAAAGAAACCAGTCAGTTTTCGCCAATGGCGGCCGCGGGTTGATGCAAACTCACCCTCCCTGCCTGGCTCTTCTCCATCTTCCACTCACCTAGAAAGACATTAGCGTTGAACTCTTCTTGGGAGGGTCAAGCGTATCTTTATCCCTGAAAGGGGCGATGGGAAAAAAGAAGAAGCGAAGACGAACAGGGGTTGTCTTCTCATGCTTCTTCTGCCTGTCTGGTTTCTAGCGTGTGACTACTGACAGGGCGAAGAAAACGTGCTAAAGCTGCGCGGGCTGGCGGCAAGCTGCAGGTCTTCTTTTCGTGGGCGGCGGGGAATTACCGATTCGTGCAGTGGACCGACATGGATGGGTTTGGTTGCTCGGCATGTTGGTTGTTGGTTGTGCTCTTGAGACTATCGGCATGTCAAAAGAAGTCGAAATGCCGGCAAGTCAGGTGGATGACACTTGTAAGAACGTAGTCTAAGTGACAGTCTACTTACCGGGGACTTGGTTCTACCTTGTTTAGTAGCGCCTTAATACCGTTTGCCTGCTGATGCATCATCATCACTGTCGAGTTCTCAACCGCAAGGTATGTGCCTCATCTGCCAAATCCACCAAAACCATGCTGCGCTTTCTGCCTCTACCAAGGTGCAGTAGGATTTTTAGGTGCTACTAACGGCAAAGAAGCCAGGCTCTTGTTTCGCAGAAAAACGGACTGGCTGCAGGTACTCGAGATTGAATGCGACGCTATGCGCAAATCAAAGTATCGGTGACGACGCACTGTCCTGCTTCCCAGGGTCGCCAAAAGGGTGATTTCTTACAAACACGATGTTCCTAGCGCAGGCCATGGGGCGTTTCCAAGGATTTATGCTTGCCCAGTCGATGGCCGCATATTGGAGACCAATGCGAGAGTCCTGAACAGGCAAAAGCACAGACTCAGCTGGGACGTTGCAGCAGCTGAAGATGGAAAAGCAACAATAACCCTCGTTTATTTTTTTTTTTTGTTTTTTTTTTTTTTTGTCTCTGTCTGCTTCACCGTCTCTTTACTCAATATGACTGTTACCTCGCTTGGTGGCGTAAGTGGACGACTCGCATGATGGCTGGCAACGGCGCCTCATCAGCAGGCATCGCATGCTGGATCTCCTCGCAGAAGCCCTGTCGGAAATACAAACCGCTGCCCGCTCCTCCAGCCCGCCCGAGTCAGGGCGTGGGCAGCTGAGCCTGGAGCTGAGCATCGAGCGAGCCCGGCTATCACTTATCACATCTGTGCTGTCAACTGTCATTGTCAGCGTCTACTACTAGCATCAAACAAGCTTTAATACTCGCAGTGCTCTCTCTTGGTATAACAACCAAGAAGCCCTCGCTTAACTCGAAGTTCCCCTCGCGTCGGCTAACTTCTCTCATCGCTGCCGTCCCATGACCATCTTCCTACACCATGAGCACTCGGCATTTTGTTATCTCGTCAACTGTAGGCGAAAATCGCCCATCCAAAATGTCTCGCTAATCTGAAATTATCATCGCCATTGCGCAGATATATCTTAGCTCAAACGAATTGAGAAACAAACGGTACATCATCTTCGCCTGCTTGCCTTGATAGGCCTTCGTTTAGAGATACTGCTACTCGTGGCTTTTCTCTCGGGGAATGAATCAGCGATGCGTGCAACGGCCGAAATCACGCCTTCGCCTCATTGCGGAACTGCTCCGAGCTGGAGTGTTAACGCAACTTTCAACTCTGCTATTCTAGGTTCTGACCCTCAATCTCGTAGTTCCACTCACCATAATGTATTTTCACGCTCTTGTTTGGTCCATCGTAGTGGATTCATATCCAACACAAGACCCATTAAAGGGCTCAGGGTGTGCATAAACGTTCGCTGCTTGCCCAATAAGAAAATTTCTTGCCCCCATCCTCTTGGTTCTAAGGTCTATCAAGAGTCTTTTTCCGACCAGCAGGCCCGCCTTTGTCGATCTCAAGATTACTGGGAAGTAAGACAGTCTGTCGCTTTTATAGACTGGTGGCCTCAAATACAGCTCTCCAAGGTAGCCAGTAACACTGTCGGGAGCTGATTATATAAATCGGCCTTCTATAATGTTTCAAACGACTCTATATGGCACATAATGTCAACGATATGGCTGATTGTAACTGGGGCCGCTTGGCTGGCTTTTCATCATATCACTAGGTCGCCTGTCAATATTTTCACTCCCTACGTTTATGGTCGAGACGAATTTGGGATACCCAATAAACGTAATTCCACTCAAGAATGGCAATCCCTTGTCGTCGACTATATATTTGAAGCATTCCAAGGCACAATTCTACAATAAGTTACTTCGCCGCGTGGAATCATCACTTTCATTATATCCACCGTATCAAATGAAATACTTTATAATATTCAAGCCAACTTTGTATTATATAGCAAGCGCTGGTCTGCATTCAGATTTCAGCGTCGCAACGCTACCATACCTCGGTCTAAGAATGCTGGGGTTCCACCTTGATGTGATTCAAAACGAAGGGAGAAAAAAAGGATATATCTGGAACAGTTACATTCACAACTCGTAGAGTTGGGTAAAGGTATTTCCCGGAGACTGTATGGTTGTAGCAGGTATGCCACACCGGGGGTCCTTGCTTCATTACATCCACGCTATATTGCATGCGTCGCAGCCGATATCTGGCATCAAAATCGAATTTCTGGACCTTTGTGTGTGTAGGATATCCGTCAGAATGCACAACCTCCAGCGTTCTCCATTTTTCGCCATTCTCCGGCGTCGATCCATCTACCTCGCGGATCTGAATGTCCGACGATTGAAGATGGAACGGAAAGTTGAAATAGTTCCAATATGCATAGCCGATGAAATATATAAGATTATGGGCATCCCATTTGGATTCATAAGTATGTGAGTCGAATGCAGCCCTGGGGTTCTCTCGAACATCCAACGGATCTTGAGAACCAATCCTGGCGACTTCAGTGCGCTCGGTTGACCATGATCCGTAATAGGGCCCAAATTTCTCAATGGTGACTTTTTGGCTTTTTGTATCGACTAATATTTTGACATCATGAGGCCCAGGATGTCCCCTATTCGCCAACGCTGCTCCCGAGAACTCAAACTCTACGGCGAGAGACTGGATCGATTCCCAGTATTCTCGGCCGCCATGAGCGTCAATAACACTTTGTAGGAGATCACAACTAAGATATAATCAGCAGCCAATCCATTTGTGAAATACTTTTCTTAAGAAACGAAAGAGGGGCATTGTAGAAGTACCTATTAGAGGACATTGCGTGGAATGGTTGGTTGAGAAATAGATGCTACCATTGCTGCGCCACGAGCTATATCTGGGCTTCACGCAGCTATTTAATTGAACTGCTATCGACACTGGGAAATTGTTACGGAGCTAACTTGTGAAAGCGTCAAATAGATTGATCATCCTCAAGGGCTGTGTCTAAAGGATTCAGCGTTAATATATGTTGACAATTTCGCTGCATTTTAATATTACTGAACCTGGAGCACAACTATGTGCATAGGGGGCTATTGAGGACGAAGATCAGTAAACAGTCACAGTATGTGGATCGAGGCCAAAGAAAAACTTGGCATCACTATTAGAACGAATAGTCACCGAAGTCGGAAGAGATACTTAAATAGGCATTTTGTGTAGGATATCCGGGATGGATGGTCGGGGATTTTACTCGGTAGTTTGGAATCAATATACGTTCCTCATAACGGCGCAAATTTATTGGCCTAGGTATCTCTATTAGCAAAGGGTATTTAGCCAAGATCTAGCAAGATTTAAAATCACCTTACCGTATGGATTAGTAGACCGGGGAGTTGTCTAGGGATTTGAGATCCTGGTGACGATAGACTCGCATCAATTGCCGCTTGATTACTGACTCTCCTAGTCGTGAACCGCCTGATACATATATGGCGGCATTTCCTACCCATTTCCTACAGCATCGTCAAACACAATCCAACAAAATTGAAAACTCCCTTGATCAAATTCCCCTCAGAAACTGTCATTTGCATCCTTGTCTTCCTTCTCTCCATCTTTACAATGTCGACAGATAGAGGTCTCGAAATTTCAGCTGCCTTCCCGTATAAGAAGAAGAAGGTGCAAGTTTTAGGAAGCAAAATAGCCTATGTCGACGTCGGCACTTCTTCTTCCGAATTTGCTGTCGTCTTTTTACATGGCAACCCGACTTCTTCATATCTTTGGCGCAACGTCTTTCCACATGTAGCGAAGCAGGGCCGATGCATTATACCCGATCTCATCGGCTTCGGCGATTCTGACAAGATTCCTGGATTGGAATATAGAGTCCGCGACCACCAGCGCTATATCGATGCTTTCCTCGACGCTGTATTGCCAACAGAGCGCATTACTCTCGTCATCCACGACTCGGGGTCTGCTCTCGGTCTTGACTGGGCTAGCCGTCACGAAGATCGAACTACGGGTATCGCTTTTATGGAATGGATTCCGGCTCTTGGTGGTAGCTGGGACGCTCGGTCTCCTGAATTTAGAACGACCTTTCAAGACCTTCGCACTCCTGAGCTTGGTCGGAGGATGATAATCGAGGAGAACTTCTTTGTCGAAACTATTCTGCCTAGGGCTGTCTTTAGAGACTTGACAGAAGGGGAGATGACTGAGTATCGTCGACCATTTCTCATTCCTGCAGACCGTGAGCCTACTTGGAGATTCCCCAACGAGATCCCAATTGATGGACACCCCGAGGATGTATGGGAGAAGGCCCAAAGGTACACCAAGTGGCTTCTAGAATCAGACTTACCAAAACTATTTTTCTGGGTGAAACCAGGAGCCATCATCAGAGAAGAACATTTCAAGACATTGAGCGAGAAGATGAGGAATGTAAAGAATGTCTATCTCGGGCCTGGAAGCTATTTCGTGCAAGAAGACTATCCCCATAGCATTGGGCAAGAAGTTTCGGAGTGGATGGCAGAATTGAAGCTTTGATGTCAGCACATGCTCCATTAGAGATGATTAGATACGCAGGTAGGAATCGAACAACTTCTTCAGCATAACAACAGTCACCGAAGGCTGACCGCCTAATTTACTGCCGCCAGGTGCAATGACCGCAAGTCTCCAAAGTTTAGTAAACGCAAATAGTTTCTCCATGCAATGCGGCCACAATCTAATAGCACACTATCTGAAATGGTAATGATAAAGAAGTTCTTGTTTGTTGCAATTACTCGCTCATTTCAAATATTGAACTTTTAGCGAGATTTGCATGACCAACGCGCGGCTGTACATCGAAAGCCAGCATTAGAGAAATCCAGCGAGAACGATTTATTCGAAGAGAATGACCTATATTGCGCTTCCATCATGTCGAAAGCTGTGATTATTACAGTTGATAATGGAGACAAGTTTATTAACTCCCAAACTCGATGTTTCTCCAAAGGCTTCCCGGCATATAAATTAGCGACAGCCGCTCGGAGCTCCGATCCGATCAAAATCGCGAACTCCACTAAACTAACACTGCTATCTTACAACTAGCATCGAGACATCATAAGACGGGATCGGAACTGACAGCCCAACGGCAGAGAAATCCGGTCGAATCCAGGCCTAATTGATCAAAAAATTCTGGGGGGAAAGTATGAAAAGAATGGAATTAGGCTCTGCCACAATTACCGACTACACAACTCGACCCCTAGATTCCTAGGTCTGACGAAGAAATGTTTGTCTTCGTTAATGTCCTGCCCTGCAAAGCTACTGCACAGGCATCCGGTTTTCGGGTTTCGGATTTGGACGGTGGCACCATGTCATGTCATTCAGAAGCTCTGATGTTAACAGCTCACATATATATGGACACGCTCCATCTCTCTGATACACCTTGTCTCGGTTTACTGTTAATATCCTCCAAAGAAGAGCCTCCGAAGAACAGCCTCTATCCAACAAAGCTTTGCTTTCGCTAATAAGCTTGGCATGAGCATCTAAACAAGATAATCATTTATACCCATCAATAGCTTCTAATCCGACATGCCGACTTGGGATCCATCACGCCTCTCTTCATTGGTGCTTTCCTATATACGCCAGCACCCAATTATTTTTACATCTGCTGTTGCTATCGTTCCTCTAGCAGCTCTAGCTATGCCTTCATATCGTGGCTATATCGACCTTGGCCCCGGCGGTCTCCCACATAACGTCTTTGGCTGGCTTCTTCAAGAGACTCTGCGCCCACTCAGTCTGAGCAGCACTACCGATCTAGGCGTCTTTCAAAAGACTGGAGTTTCAGCTCCTTACGAACCGCATGGCAACACACGATTTCTCCAGGAACCGCTCGCGCAACGTCGAGGTGACCGGCCAGTCATTCCCAATTACGTGGCGCCTCAGAGGCAGGCCACAGAAAAAGGCGATGCTGCTCTAGTCACCCGGATGAATAACCATTTGAGAGATTTGTCCAGTCATCACCCAGACAAGCTGGCCGTGAAGGCATCTGGCTTGGAGGCCAAGGAGAATCCTGCATTATTCGTGATTATCAACCCGCTGCCAAAATACCTGGAGAACGGCACAAAGGGCGAAATTGTTCACGTACATGGAGAAGCAAGTTCTCACATGGTTCTTAGCCTAACTGACGCGAAGGAAGCCTTGGCAAAGGGTTGGGCCGAGTTGCACCCGCTCAGTGGTGTGATGGGACGCATTCCATTGCCGTATGTCATGATATATGCGCCACGGGATGAGGAGGAGTTTGGGCAATGGGCAAGATTTGTGGACGCAGCTGTAGCATTTACTTCTGCGGGGAAGGAATAGCGGAACAGTGCAATGCTCCAGGGGTTGAATGCACAGAAATACAGCACATACGACCTGTCAGATTTGGACTGTTACAGTTAGCCGATATCACAATAAAGCTCCTAGAAGCTGGTTATATGTTTTCAATATTGCTTGATTCATACTGCCTCAAACAAAGCTAGTGCTAATGCGTGAAGACAACACACACGACTGTTGCTGTTCCTTTAGCTACCGCCAATTCCTCCTCTCTTCTCTGTTTAGGAAGAGACACCACATTTTTTCGGATCCACACACAGTTGCAAGACAATATACGCAGCGGTATTTATTTCATGACACCCCACGGTTGTTATGATAGTGTTGATCGGACCGCATTGATCTTGGCCATTGGCTGCAGGGCTGCGAACAATCAACTGGTTCCCGTCTTCGAACAACGAAGCGGGAGGAGACAACCACAGGCGGTACGTCCCATCAGGCTGCTCCCCGCCTTCTATCTGGTCAAGGGGATAGATTGGGCAGTTATTTGGGCCGAGGCTACCCTCGAATGGACCGAGAGATATAGCTTGAGTAAAGGAGCAGTCGGGCCCCAGATAGACTGCGACTTCTTCCAGGCCGTTGACTGCAGTCATTGCTGAGGCGAGAACTAGTAGAATAGTTTGCAAGTTTGCCATTGTGTGTGGGTAACTGATTGCGTTGACGAAAGACGACAATGCTTGGAAGTGGGGACCGCTTTTCTATATTGAAAGTGTCACAGGCAGAATGGTTGCTGTTCGCTTCATCAATGGCGGAAGGCCGGTTTATATATTCACATAAGTCGTTGCTTAGACTGCTGGACTGCTTGGTTGCGTTGCAGATTATTCCTTATATAATTGCTGGTTCGAGATATGTGCAATTGCCTATTTCGGAAGCTGGCAATCCTTCAATGACAATTAGTAAAACCCATCACTCAAATTTTAAGTTTGGGTCTCCTTATGCTGTCCTTTTGTATATACAAGTACAGAGGTCCCGCCTCAACATCATTACCAGGCCATACAGGGCAACTGTATTATGTCACCAGGGCTAAATACGACGCAGTATATATAGAAACTTAGCCATTTGTCTCTTACCTGCCAGCTTAGATTCATTTCTTTTGGTGGAAAGTAAGCGAATACTCCTTTATTGTCGATTAGCTAGATGCAAGTAATATTTCAAGAAGGATTTGTAAATTAAATGGCTTCTCTGCTTCACTTGTTATTATACTTGTAAATACATGCTATATTAATTGACTATTCAATGTTAAGCTGATTGTGTAATATATCAGATAAATAAAGATAATCTTGGATTCTAGAGAAATGTATTAATGAGCCAAGGGAATCTCCACTTTGTAGTATTTATTCAAGCAAGCCAAAGTGTAAGAACACAGCGTAAAAAGACTACAGCTCTCCATAATACTAAGTTGTAAGATTTTATAATGGCCACTTAAATTTCCATTCCATGCTCTTTAATCAAATTGCCAATTTTGTCTTGGTCGGCGGACTTATTACCTATAGCCTCGGTAACTTGGTCGAAGACCGCAGTATTGTCCTTCTGATGCAATACCCATGTTGCTCCATTCTCCTTCCACCCAAGAATATCAGGACTCACTGGGTTACAGGCATTATTCTCACTAACAACGCCCTCTCCCAATTGCCAGTTTCCAGCTGATATAATAGGATCTCCATTCGGGCAAGCACATACACCACTCTCCAACAGTTCAAGAACAATACCGCATGCGTTTTGATTACTATTCACGAAAATGGCCGCGAGGCCATTCACACCATTGTTTGTTTGAAAATTCGCGCAGGTGGCGAGACCTTCTATAAAACAGCAGTCACCGGGAGGGAGACCGGTACATTCAGCAAAGAGTCCTGATGCACAAGCAGTATCTTGATTGAAAAACTGGATAGTTGCTGTTTGAGCAAGGGTAAAAGAGAACAATGAGCTCCAAGTGAGGATTCGAATGTTGGACGGCATGATTGCTTTATAGAGGTGTTCCTTATATAAATTTTATAAATCAGCAGACGATATAGGTGTCTTGGGGGTCTGCGGAACTAACTGAAGGTTTTTTGACTGTGTTTATGGCACTTGAGTGTAACTAAAAGATAAATAACAATAAATGAAGTCGGCCAACGCAGTGGTATAAATAGCTTAGCAGACTCTTCTTTATCCAATCGAGATTATAAATTCTGCCGACTATACTATACATATTATACATTAGTTAGTTACAATAGCTAAATGTAATTTAACCAATTGTATATATTTTTTTCCTCCATTCGTCCGACTGTATGCTATGTGCTGCCACCGGATTTTGCCTACGCCCACATATTATTCTATTCATGCAGCCATAAGCTACAAGTCATTCTTTTCTCTCGCATCAACAGCTGATATGTCTACGTCAAAGTGATATATGCTGTCTGATATAAGATGCTCCATGCAGCCATTAGCTACAAGTCATCCCTTTCTCTTGTATTAACAGCTGACATATCTAGATTCAAATAATTTGTGCGGTCTGATATCAGGTGCTCCTGCCTTTTCCAACGCCCGCACTTCCATTATATCCATGCAATTGTAAGCCACGAGTCATTATTTTTCTTCGATATTGCTAGCTTCTATATCTATTCAAGTGATGTATCCCAAAACCATTGTTATCGTAAGATACATATCACAAAAAAACCACGCCTGAGCGACCAATAAAAGAAGAGTCAACGCAAGCCAAGCATCAACCTTGTCTAAGTCAACACAAGTCAGCCGTCCCCCTCAGTCCAACCTAACATATCCAACCGAATATATAAAACTTCATTCATCCACTTATTAAATAGATTACATACTCAATTTATAATAATTGACTGGTACCAGATTCAAGTTATATCCTATCTAGCAACTATATAACTAGCCTGCAGCTTAATGAACTACCCTATCCTACTTGCCAACATAGATATATGTATTTATCCCTTGGGAATCTACCTGACTTATAACAATAATATGGGAACGCGGGAGCGATACGTCACATTATTGGGAAATGCAAGGTGGTATTAATGACAAATGAATATTTGATGGAAAATTCGCTGATAATCACTAAAATATAGATGGGTGTTCTCGGATTAATACCGATGAGAAAAAGTAGCATTCACTAGCCCGCAAATAAAAAAAAAATCACCTGATAGATAGCTTACTATCCTCCTCGAATCCTATAACTAAATGTATACGAAGTAGTATTAACTTGAAATAGTAACCTAACTAAGCTTTGCAGCTTTTTTTATCACAAGCTACCTTATTAAGTAAAAATAGTCATTTAGTCACTGCTAAATCTTATGAATACTCTAAACAACAATTATTTCTACTATTACCATTTACTCTGGAAGAAATCTCTAGCCAAGGCATTATATATAGACACAATACCCCCTTCAAAATATCCTGAATGTTTTATACTTAAACTTATCAACTTACACATACTCGACACGCTCAAAGATAATTGCAATAATGTTGTTTTTTCACAATCTCTTACTTTTGACTACTACAGCTGTGGCAGTTAACGTTATCATCTTCATTGTCGATAGTAATCATAATTGCCCAAACGATGAAACTGTTCTTATTTGCAGTGACATTGGCAGGGGAATTTGCTGTACCAGCACTGAATTTACTGGCTTTCCTTCACTGCAAGTCGCAGGGATCAGTACTCAACCACAAGATGGTAATCTTGCTATTGCATTTTCGGAATCAGGAGATAATAGATGCGGCGTTACTTGCGATTCCGCTTTTGCAGAAAACAACGCCTGTTTAACTTGCGGCAACGATGGTATTAGTGGCGGAGGATGGGACATTATTCCGGTGAAAGAGCAATCTATGGAGTCGCTATCTTCATGCACAGGCTCGGTAAAGCCTGACGAACTTAGATACCAAGGCCGCTCATATAGGATTTACCATGACGTTCCAGAAAATATTACCGCTGAACTCATCGACCTGGTCAACAAGAAAACAAATGTTGCTGATTTTCCAGCGCACTTAGCTCAATATGAAAAACGTACGAAGTATGAAATGAACTGCAGAATAAAACCTTTGGCTGATATATAATAGTCTAGTCAACTATGGCCACTAATGTTGTCTCATACATCTATTTTTGTTGACTTTATCCTAAGAGTCTGGGCTCAGACTATCCTTGGAATAAAACACTAAGACACAGAATAAGGTGACTGACTCCAAATATACTAAGGAAGAGTCAGTAGGAGGATCAGAGTTGAACAAGAACACAGATTGAACAAAGAGGATTATTATTGAATCACAGTCTTTTCTGATAAAATATATGCATATATTTATATGTTTGTCTGATTTTCCTTAAAGAAGCATAGGTATACTACAATCATTTATATAATCTAACCCTTATACCTTTAACCTGATCTATAATGTAAATATCCTGGAACAAGTATACTCTTGAGTATACCATATAATAATTTATGCTCGGTTGAAAAAAAAAAAAGAATGAATGAATGAATGAATGAAATCCCATTTACGCTGCCTCTTGTGGCAGTCCTAATAGCACAGTCTACTTAAAACCGGCATTTTATGCTTTCATTGTCTTCTGGCACGTGAAGCATTAAAATTAGTCCGCTTCATAGACAGCTTGGAAGATCAACTGGGTGTTTAAATTGTATTTACATTTTCTGTCTCTGAGGACATTTTAAAATCTAGCTTGGGATCCAGCTTAATAACTGCTCTCCATACAAATTCATTTCTTGGCAGCAGCGGTAAGATCGAGAGTTTAGGCTTTGGAAGGTGTCCATCGTTACCATTCATCTAAAGCTCAGCCAATTTTCTCATCCACGTACTATGCTTAGAGATAGTGCTTGTGTAGGACTGTTATGAGATAATACGTCTATAAATTTCCAACGACGTTTATTTATTCCCCACTAACGTACTACTCTTATTACGGATCTCGCAACAGCGTTATACCAACACAGGGACAGTGCGAAGAACTTCAGATTTCAGCTCTCGTCCTCGCCATTACTCTCGCTACAGTGTGGAATAGCAGTAAATACAGTAAGAAGATGTTGGAGTTCATCCTGTCAAGATTCAGTCCTCCAGCACGAGGAAATAAAAGACTGCATCTAGACTATAATCCAAGATCATGCTTGAGATCATCAATCATCTTGAAGCAGCTCTTTCTCTCATTTCTTACAACAAACATATCACTGCCTAATATTCAAGTACCTGATAAATACTTTAGCCGCTGTGGGATCCTTTAGCTGCTAAAAAAATAGCCTACAGCAGCAGGTGGGGCGCTATATCTGCTCCTGTACGGCTTATCGATTGCTTGGTGGGGGACGACCGATGACTGAATCTCAAAATTTATTTCCAGCCTCATCCGAACCAGCCTTGGGTCACTATCCGCAAGCTCAATCGCAAACTGACGGCCGCCTCTTCTGCCAGTTCTCAGGGCCCTCAACATCGAATCGAGATCATGTCTTCATGATATAAACTGCGCAAATCGAAGTTCTCTCCGCCGAGGAATCCCAGTTTGAAGAAGCGACAGCATGGCGCACGCCGCGTTTGTGAGCTCCACCAAGGAGCAGCTCACTGATAATCTCCCCAAGCGCTTCAAGGGGATCAAGTTTGGCATCCAGTGAGCTTGGCCCTGTTCATATGAGAAACTCTACCGTGTTCTAACAGCGGCTCTTGTGCAGATCCAACCAAGACATCGTCAACCAGGGAGTGTTGGAGGTTTCCCAGCGCATGCTCTACGACATCGACAACAACCGATCTCCTCTTACCAATGGAGCTCTTGATCTGCGTATGGTGAGTGCGCGGCTTGGCTGTACTCTTGTGCTGCTGATGGTGTATTTTGCGGCAGTTATATAGCCGTATCATGCGAATATGAGTTGGACTACTGACCTTTGTTTGCTCTAGGGAACTTCGAGCAAGTCGGGAAAATGCGGTACCTGTCAAGAGCCTCTCAAGTTCTGTATCGGTCACTTTGGCCACGTTCGACTAGCACTCCCTGCTTTCCACATCGGCTACCTACGATTCATTCAGACAATCCTCCAAAATGTGTGCAAAACCTGCGCCAGAGTACTTCTTACCGAAGAAGAGAGACGGAGTTTCCTCAATGACCTGCGCCGACCTGGGTTAGATAACATCCGCCGAACAGCAATTTACAAAAGGATCAACGATCAGTGCAGGAAATGTAGGACATGCCCGTATTGCGGCGAGATCAACGGCCAGATTCGAAAAGTCGGAGTGCTCAAGCTCACACACGACAAGTTCTCTGCGTACAAGAAGTCAACGTCCCAGAAGAAGCTGCCTCCGGAGAGCAAAATCGCATTCGATGCCTCGTTCGATGAAGCCAAGAAATTGAATCCGGATCTGGACAAGCATCTTGTGAGGGCCATGGAGGATCTGAACCCTCTCTGGGTGCTCAACCACTTCAAGATGATTGGTCCCACAGACTGCGAGCTTCTTGGACTGGACCCAACCGAAGGTCGCCCTGAGATGTTCATCTGGCAGTTTGTCCCCGCTCCCCCCGTGTGCATTAGACCGTCAGTTGCACAAGAAGGAGCCAGTACAGAAGATGATCTTACCGCAAAGCTGGCTGAGATTGTATACATAAGTGGTTTGATTCGAACAGCCCTGAACAAGGGAAAGCCCATGCAGACCATCATGGAACAGTGGGAATATATGCAGCTGCAGATTGCCATGTATGTTAACAGTGATGTCCCTGGGCTTAATCAGCCGGGCTTTGGAAAAAGCATCAGAGGCTTTTGTCAGCGTCTCAAGGGCAAGCAGGGACGATTCAGAGGAAACCTTTCTGGAAAGCGAGTCGACTTTTCAGGCCGAACTGTCATTTCCCCAGATCCAAACTTAGCCATCAATCAGGTCGCCGTTCCACAGCTCGTCGCCAAGAACTTGACATTCCCTGAACGAGTTCAGAGCCATAATTTGGAAAAGTTGAGACAATGTATCTTGAACGGGCCAAAAGTCCATCCGGGTGCAAATCACGTTATCAAAGACAATGGAAACTGGAAGCAGGATCTGCAGTTTGGTGATAGAGCTCTTGTCGCCCGAGACCTTCGGATAGGCGATGTTGTCGAACGGCATCTTGAGGATGGGGATATCGTTCTCTTCAACCGACAACCCTCTCTGCACAAGCTCAGTATCATGAGCCATTTTGCAAAGATTAGGCCCTGGAGAACTTTTCGTCTAAACGAATGTGTGTGTGGACCTTATAACGCCGATTTCGATGGTGACGAGATGAACCTACACGTTCCACAATCCGAGGAAGCTCGTGCTGAGGCAATGACTCTCATGGGCGTCAAGCACAATCTGGCTACACCCAAAAACGGAGAACCCATCATTGCTGCTACCCAGGACTTTATCACTGCTTCATATCTGCTCAGTAGCAAGGACAGGTTTTACAACAGAAAGGCCTTTTCCTACATCTGCACGCATATGATGGACGGTGTAGTCAATATTGATCTCCCCCCACCGTCAATTATTAAACCAGAAGCCCTCTGGACAGGAAAGCAGATTTTCAACGTGCTTATGCGCCCAAACAAGGAATCGCCAGTGCTTGTTAACTTGGATGCAAGGTGCAGAGAATACTCGGCTAGGCCTGGACAGTGCCCAGATATGGATCCTAACGATGCCTGGCTGGTCATTCGAAACTCAGAGATCATGTGCGGCCGCATGGATAAGTCCATCATTGGATCTGGCAAGAAGAACTCAGTGTTTTACATTATCCTCAGAGATTTCGGCCCCGATCACGCCGTTGCTGCTATGAACAGGTTGACCAAGCTTTGTGCCAGAGCGCTAGGAAACCAAGGCTTTTCACTTGGTGTGGGCGACGTCTTCCCCATTACCCAGCTGACAAAATCAAGAGATAGGCTTGTCCAGGACGCCTACGACAAGAGTGACGCACTTATCGAGACTTTCAAGGCGGGAAAGCTTGAAAAGGCTCCCGGATGTGACATGGAACAGACTTTGGAAATTTCCATTTCTGGTATTCTCAGTAAGGTTCGACAGCAGGCCGGTCAGCAGTGTGTGGACACCCTAAGCCGCAACAATGCTCCTCTGATCATGGCCAACTCCGGTTCCAAGGGTCTGCACATCAACGTCGCTCAGATGGTTGCCTGTGTCGGACAGCAGATTATTGGTGGTCAGCGTGTGCCTGATGGTTTCCAGGACCGCAGTTTGCCCCATTTCCATAAGAATGCCCGGCAGCCGGCGTCAAAGGGTTTCGTACGAAACAGCTTTTACTCGGGTCTCTTCCCAACCGAGTTCTTCTTCCACGCCATCTCAGGTCGTGAAGGTCTGATTGATACTGCGGTTAAGACTGCCGAGACAGGATACATGTCCAGACGGTTGATGAAGTCTCTGGAAGATCTTTCCACTCAGTACGATAACACCGTCAGGACATCGGCGGGAGCTATTGTGCAATTCCAATTTGGTGCTGACAAATTGGATCCCGTCGATATGGAGGGTTCTGCGGTGCCTGTGGCGTTCGACCGCACATGGACTCACTCTGAGAGCACCACCTGGGATAACAACGAAAGATCTTTGCTTCCCCGCGAGGTGCTTGCAGTGTGCAGTAGCATGCTAGAGAAAGAAAAGCAACGCTACCAGAGACACCGCTTGGTGGACAACGCACTACTCAACTATTCCGACCCCACCGATGAAAACATTGATGAGCACGAAAGCGCTCGAGGCTTCATTGAGACGATCTATTCTTACGTCTCCGATCGAGCACAAAAGATATCTAAAGCTCGTGCATTGGTCGGACTGGATCCCGACCCAAGCCAGGAGGACATCATCGCAGATGCCTCAGCAGACCTCAAGGTTCAGCTGGCCCGAGTCGAGCGAGTTACCAAAGTATCTCTGACAACGCTCCAACGATTCGTCAAGGAGTGCTTAGAGAGATACCATAAGGCCCACGTCGAGCCTGGCCATGCTGTGGGTGCTGTTGGAGCACAGTCTATTGGTGAACCCGGTACGCAGATGACGCTGAAGACTTTCCATTTTGCTGGTGTCGCCGGTATGAGTATCACTCAGGGTGTGCCACGTATCAAGGAAATCATCAACGCGTCCAAGAACATCAGTACTCCAGTCATTACATGCCCTCTGCTAAACGACAAGCAAATTGAGGCCGCGCGTATTGTCAAGGGACGAATCGAAAAGACCTACGTTATCGATGTGCTAAAGGCAATTGAAGATGAGTGGGTTACTGATCGCGGAACCGTCATTCTATACATTGATATGGAGGCTCTGCAGAGCATGCACCTTGGCATTGGCGTCGTTGATATTGCGGAGGCCATCTTGAAATTCAAGAAGCTCAAGATTCAGCCATCCGATATATCAATTGGTCCCAACTACATCAAGATTTTTGTGCTCAACAGCTGGGTGGATCCGGACGCGGCCAAGAAGAGGCAGCGCAGTGGTGCATCTCTAACGATGACAGAGGAGACTTCCGACTTCCTCTTGCGGGTCAACCACCTCCGCCGTGTACTTCCCAAGATCCCCATCTCAGGATATAACGAAGCCACAAGAGCCATTATCCAGACATCCGAGCAGAGCGAACACACGGTGCTGGTTGAAGGATATGGACTGCGAGCGTGTATGACTACCGAAGGTGTTATTGGCACCAAGGCGAGCTCCAACTCCGTCATGGAAGCCCGCGATGTTCTGGGTATCGAGGCTGCTCGAACCACCATCGTTGTCGAAATCTCCGCCGTCATGGCAGGTATGGACATTGATCCTCGTCATATCCAGCTGCTGGCCGACGTCATGACGTTCAAGGGCGAAGTTCTCGGCATCACCCGTTTCGGTCTGTCCAAGATGCGAGAGAGCGTTCTGCAGCTGGCGTCGTTTGAAAAGACGCCCGACCATCTCTTTGACGCGGCTGCCAAGATGAAGACTGATCGCATCGAAGGTGTCTCTGAGTGCATCATCATGGGACAGACTATGAGCGTCGGCACGGGCTCGTTCCAGGTTGTGAGAAGACTCAACATCCAGGATTGGGAAGTTGAGCCGAAGAAGACGCTCTTTGAGGATGCGTGGGCGGAGAATTTGAAGGCTAAGAAGGAGTTGCGAAAGCTAAAGGTCTAATAATTTGGGGTTGAATGACTCTAGGTTGGGAGAAGAACTCTAGGTTGGGAGAAGAACTCTAGGTTGGGAGAAGAGTGCTACATATGGGCTTTTATTTTATTTATTTTTTTGGTATCTGGCGAAAGGGCTGCAAAGAAGAAAAAAACGATGAATATCGTTTCTCTCTATCTAGGTTTGACTTGATGAAGTTTATGTATATAGAAAGCAAGTCAAGTCGCATGCCGAATTTCGAGGTATTTTGGCAAGCAAGACGAAGAAAAAAACATAGTCTGGAACTTATAGTTACAGATAAATAACTATAACCAAGCCCAATGGAAAAGTTTCTCTATCCAGTTTCATCTGTAGACTTCTTTCAACCGTCAGAAGAGCAGAGAGGTCAAACAGGTCCAATTATTGTTAGCCTTTGACATCCAAAGCCTATATGTAAAGGCAGCTTGTAATCACATTGCATGTTGAGCGGCAGTATCTGCAGTGAATTATAGGTATTCATTCGAATTATACTTCTTTTTAAAACCATTGTCGTATGACCATTCTTGCATTTAGTATTGTGTTTTCCCCCTTAAAGCTCCTAAAAACGCCAGTCTCTCTTAGACGAATCTTGGGCCTCTCCCTGAAATTAAAAAACTAAAAAAATAAAAATAAATAAATAGACATTCCACTCCCAAAATGGCACACAAACGTGATGCAGCCGACTAGTTTTGAGTTGATGCCATGATGTGCGATGCGTTGTACAGTTTGAAAAAGTCAATAGGCTCTCTAAGCCGCCTTCTTCTTCTTCTGCGTCATTCTCCTGAAAGCTTCCATTCCTCCAGCACCGAGAGGCCGGTGATCTTGGCTCTTGTTGCCATCAAATGTGCTGAGAGGAGCAATTGTGTAACTGGCGGGAAGATTGACCATACGAGCCTGGTTGCCACCACGGACGGGGGCAAGGAATCGTTCACGTTCGGCATCTGCTGCCGACTGTGCAGGTCGCTCAGAGAGAGTGAATTGGGAGCCTTGTTTGCGGCGTTGAGCCATTTTGGCAGCCCTGTATCGTCCATCGTGTCAGCCATCAATGATATATATAGAGAGAGAGAGAGAATAGATGCAATAAAATAAAAAAGGGGTAATGACGAGTGAACATACTCATAATCAAACTCGCGAGTCTCGATATGGCGCTTCTTGTAATCGTCAGTCCGCTTGAGAATTGGACGGCTCCATTCTCCCAACAGTCTCTCGGCCATTCGCTTGATGCTAGGCTCTGGCTTCTTGCTCCTCGTGTAGAACAACACCACTTTGCCGATACCGCTGCTCAGCAGAGTCTCCTTTTCGATATTCAGACGCGTCAGAGCCGTGAAGATGTCCCGCTGGATGTTGTAGGCGGGCAGTGAGCCGTCGTTGAGCGGCTCTAGGAAGAATTTGACGTGCTGTAAGAAGTTGGTATCCGGATCGAGCACCGCGTGTTGGACGTTGTTGCGATTCAGAATGCCAGCAACTTCGGGCAGCAGCTTGAGCTTGTGGAGCGCAGGCTGTCCAGACTCACGAGCACTGTTGTCTGCTTGACAAGCACGCTCCATCTGGACCTTGAGCGCAGCGAGCTGTTCGTCAATCTCATCTTCGAGATCCTGGTTGGCGATGATTGATTAGTGTCTACCTCACTCTGCTTCCCGTTTCCACATAGAAGACATACAATTTCATCCTTTCTCCGGCGCTTGGGGGCCGCGCCGCGGTTCTTCAAGGCCGCATCCAGGCGTCTGTCGATTTCCCGATTCTGCCGCTGCTCTTCGGTGAGGTTCTCGTCGTTGGCTTCGTCGTCCTGGGGCGATGCAGGCTTGGCCCGTGGGCGCCTCTCGGCCTCTGCTCGCTTCCTCCTCGGCTTCTTCTCAGCCTCGCCGCTGGAGACATCCTGCAGGGCCGCATCTTCCTCTCGATCCCTCCGCTTCTCGCGGCGAGTCTCTCTGGGCTTCTTGGCTCCCTTTTCTCCTTCAGCTCGCTTGCGCTTGCTGGCTTTCAGCGTCCGGGCAATGTCCTCGTCAATCTCGACCGGTCGATCCTCGATGTTTGCGGTCTCGGGGTCGTAGTCTTCAAACTGATTCTCGTCGATTTCGGAGAGGAGGTCAGAGTCGCGGTCAGAGTCGGCCTCGGCGACCTCGTCCTGGAATTCGTTTTCCTGGCCATCGTCGACCGGCGAACCCTGGTCAGACATGGTTGACGGTGCAAACTGGCGCACAAGGACGATGGACGATGGCGCAGCAGGAAATGAAGGGCGTGGAGATGAATCAAAGATTTGAATCTGAGATTCTGCGAATGGCAAGTTCCTCTTTTTTGCAGCGGCAGCACCCAAAAGAGAAGCTGAGAATGACGGCGAAGTGAAACAATCTTCAGACCAGAAAAAGGTTCATTCCTCTCGTTGCCTTTGAGACGCAGCCAGCGCGTTGCTGACATAAGCGGCCGCTCCGAATCTGATCCGCTGCGGCCTCAGGCACCCGCCACTAGCAGTCTTTTTCTGCCTTTGTTTACTTCCCCCAGCACTAAGGCCTGGTTGCCACTGTGACGATATGCAGATTGTGGATAAGCAAAATAAGGCCCGGCATTCGAGGTAACTAAAAGAAGCCATGCCCACCCTTGCCAGGGCAGATCGGCCTATTTGTACATAATTGACTTGGATCCAGATCATGCGGTTGCGACTCGCTTTTCTGACGGCCGCAGAATCACACAGGAATACGCCATCACGATCACCATCGCCATCGCCATCGCCATCGCATCACACCACCATCGTCTATAGTCAGCGATATTCGCGGCCATGGAGCGTCGCACATTTGAAGCTCCCATGGAGTGGGAGTACCAGAATACAGGGCCCATCGATCTGACGAGCCCGTTTGCGCAGGTGGCCAAGAAGCGATCAGACAACTGTGGGTGCCCCTTGCTCTGCTGGCCGGAGCATCACGGCTGTTGTGACGATAGTGATGACGGCTAACCATGGACAAAATGTGCAGTGTTTAGTAGTTCGTCGCCCATCAAGTCGTCGTCCGCGAGCGGTTCGTTCTCCGTCTTTGGAACGCCGTCGAAGCCGCCCACGAAGTCATTCTTCACCCCCCAGCTCGCCCCCAAGGTCGTTGCGCCGCCGTTTCGAAATCCAGCATTCACCACGCCGAGAAAAATGGACGAGTCCTTCTCCTCCTTCACCACCGTCGCCGAGGACAGCCCAGACGCAACCGAGGCCTCGGCAGCTTCAGCAGTTGCAGCGCTGCCCAACGACACTTTGGAATCAGAGCACTTGAGCGATGTGACAACGAGCACCATCACGACTCCCACCAAGATCGACAAGGCCTCTCGCTACACCAGGGGGTCGCCTCGGAGGTTTGCAGCCGGCAGAGGGGAAATCCGGCCAGTCAGCAGAGAGTCCCCGCGCAAGGATATGCAGGTGCTGAGGAAGAGGAAGCGCCACAACTACGACAAGGACGTTAGCAGCGTGATCCGACACATGCCGCCAGATTGGGAGGGCGATGCCTCGGACACGGACACGAGCGCGGTGTCGTATGGAGGCACACCACTGGGCACAAATGCGTCGCTACATCCCCATCCATCATCATCATCACAGCAGCGCCTGCAACAGCAGCATGGCCCGAAACGCGAGGGCTGGTTTGTCTCTGCGTTGGGCACAATGGACCGGTACCCGGGAGCTCCCGACCACATCTACCGATGGCTGCAGCTGGGACTCAACTGCTTCATCATTGGTGTTATTTTGTTCTTTGGTTGGAGCGTTGTTGACGCTGTGCGATCAGACATCCGGAACGCCAACGAGATGGCGCGGATGGAAATCAAAAGCCTCATATTAGATTGCCAGAACCATTATATCAGCAACGGGTGCGCCAAGAATGACCGGCCAGCGCTGATTGAGATGTGTGCTGAGTGGTACGACTGCATGACGCAGGATTCGGATGCCATTATGCGCGTCAAAGTCACAATCAAGCAGGTGGCCGATGTCATCAACGAGTTTGCCGACGCAATGAATCTCAAGGCCTGGGTAAGCATGAATCAAAATCAAAATCAAACCTGTCCTCTCTTACTAATTCATTGCACCAGCTCCTGTTCGGCGCTATTGCCATCTTCGTCATCTTTGCCAACATCATGATTGGATGGGGACGATCCAAGACCCAGCCAGCGCCAGTACATCCGCCCGCCTATTCTCACGTTCCTGTTTTGGGGCCAGACGTCACGCCAGCGCATTTCAGACAACGCTTTGAGAGTCCTGGGAAACACTTTGACACCCCCAGGTCACAGCGATATGCTTATATTGAGGACGACACCGATTTTGACATGTCAACTCCCAAGGCTCTGGGGCAAGGCTTTGGGTATATGCCAGCAGGGCGCCGCAGCCCAGGCAAGGGGGAGTGGTCAGCAAGTACAATCAAGTACCACCGAAGTCCCAGCAGGGGATATTAAAAGATGAAGCTAAATTGACGAATGGGTATTTGCATTTCGATTGGTGTACACTAGGAAAATTGGTCTGTTGCATGTTTCATGGATTGGAATGGAATGGAATGATTTTTGTCGGCGTTGGCAGGGAGGGGCTGTGAACAGCTATGTGGAATTCGGTATTAGGGTGGTGCATCAGATTCATGGCAAAATTCAGCTTAAAAGGATTATCAACATTGAACAATTGGTAGGACATTGTCGTTCAAAGCGTGTGACCGGTTAGCAATATATTGACGGTTTATGAGCGATGCGCAATGTTTCCCATTTTTTTGATTATACAGCTTAATGCGAATTCAATTACTACTACTAGGTATTCTCAGCTATGAATAACAAGTTGCTTAGATCTCAAATAGAGATTTTGCAAGTGTTTTTAAGAAAGGACATTTTTGTATAGGAGGTAGTAGGTACTAAGGTGCCTACTAAGGTACCTAGGTACTACACCCTACAAGCATCTAAATTATTATTTCGGTACCTTTTGGTACAAGTATAGCAACCTTATTATCACCTATTTTAGAAGACTAAATAAGTATATAGACTTGTGTATATAATAATCTGCTTGTACCTTGCAAACACAGCCAGTTATGCCTTATATCAGTTTATCACCAACAGAAAGGCCAATTTCTAGCTGGAATTACTCTATATTATTTAATACCTTATTTACTCCTTATGCTATTCTTAAGGACTTCTCTTTCTCTTCTTTAAAGTATCGTGCCTTATTATTTATATAGAGAAGGTACTTTCGCTGATCGTTGCCGATTATATTGCTCGTACCCAGTGAACTGCAAAACTAACAAAGTAGATGCTTGTGGGGTGTAGGTACCGTAGGTAGGTAGGTAAGCAGGTAGTACCGGTAGTAGTGGCCCCAGTACAAGTTGCTCGCGTGGTCGCTGCTCGGCAGTAGACGGCAAGCTAGGGCCACTGTGCGGCTGATATCAGGTACCAATTGGTAAAGCTCAGAGTCCCCGATGACCTCATTGAACCATCATAGCTACCACGAGCATGAAGAAAATCAAACACAATTGATAGCCACTTGATGAACTAGTGGTTAAATTATACTAATCTAAATACGTAATTAAAAGGGGCAGGATAAAAGAAATTTGAAACCCAGAATTGTGCACTGAAAAAATGCAAAATGCAAAATTAGAAAAAGGAAGAAAAAATAAATTAATCAGTTCAATGTCCCGTTTTGCGCATCTGCTTTTTTATCATAGCTCCAGTCCCCACTATAATTGGGGGCCGCTGCAACAGCACTTCGGCTAGGCTCGCCACGCTGCAGCGACGCCCATCACAGGGCCAGGCTCAGTGGCTCTATCGCCTGCATGAGCTCCTGGAATATTTTTGGACAAGGCTACCAATCGCAGCAAGACATGTATCGCTGCAGTCCAATTGCTCGATTCCCTTCTGTTCCACAATAACCACGGCTTCTGTAACAAACTGATAGTATTTTTTTTTCTTCGTTTCCTTCTTCTTTTTTTTCTCCTTTGTTTCGGTCTGGGGTCCATTAGCGTTCAGCCACCATCAGCTCTAAGCTTTTGGCTGACGGCTAGAGTAACTTGCATATTTTTTCAGGCCATTATTGATTTGATATTCAAGGGTAAACCGGCTGAAGTCGCTGAATCAGCCCCCCAAGTTTTAGGGGCGAATAGCTCCAACGTCTAGCCAGCCTACAGCTCTAGCGGCTGAGTCTGACGTGCTGGGAGCCCACTGTAGCTGCTGCCGGCCCCGCCATTGGCGATGCTCTACAGCAGCTGCCGTCACTACCACAGTAGCTTGGACAGTACAGGTAGGAATACACGCTCGATCTTCACTCCTCCAACCTCTCTCCATATTTTTCCATCTTCCTCTGCAGCCTTCTAGACGCTTCCCGCCGATGCCTCCGCCACTTGGGCTTCGTCCTCGACACTGAAGCCACCGCTTGTCGCGATTCGAATCCCGCAATCCTTCCGAGCCTTTCCTCGCTGCTCTGCCAGGCCCTCGGACAGCTTCCCCCGCAGCATGTCTTTCATCCCACGAGGCTGCAGCTACCGCAACTCACGCCTTGGATCCGCGCTGGTTCCCCATCGCTGAAAACAGCCTCCTCTTCTCCCGTCCTTTTTTGCCCAAGCCGGGGCTTCGCTTCCGCGTCCCGCGCGCGCGCGTCTGGCACTTGCTCGCTGAGGGCGACTCGGCAGCCTCGCGTCGATGGAGGAGGATCTGGGCACGCCGTCGGGCCAGAGCCAGCCCAGCACCAGCGGCGGCACTGGAAGCGGCACGACGCCGCAGTCGCAGTCTGGGCCGCCGGCGTCGAGTGCCCTGCTGCAGCTGTCGAAGCGCAGACGCGGGCTGGGGGTGGTGACGCCCAATGCCTGCACGGAATGTCGCAAGAAGCGTGCCAAGGTGAGCTCGTTGTGTTGTGGATTCTGCCTCTCTCTCTCTCTCTCTGTCTCTTTCTGTCTGTCTGTCTGTCTGTCTGTCTGTCTGAACCTGGGACCACTTTATTTTTTTTTTTTTTTTACAAACTCACTTTTCTTTTCTTGTTATATGGCTGTGGCAGAGATTAGAGTGGACAAAATCAAAGAAGAAAGCAAAAAACAGTGTGTACTGACGACGCGCTTCATAGTGTGACGGACAGAAACCTTGCGGCCGCTGCAAGTCCCAAAAGGACGTGGAATGCGTTTACGAGATACCCGTGCGCCAGTCAAAAGAACATCTGCGCAATGAGATTGAGAATCTGCGCTTGCGCCAGCGCTCCAGCGACCAGGTCTTTGCCGCTCTGATACGGCCGCAGCTATGGGAGGAAGTGCTGGCGCGTCTTCGCGGAGGCCAGACCGTGGAGAGCATCTCCGAGTGGCTTACAAGTCTTCCACCAAGCGGGCCTACAGCAAGCTCGGCATATGCGCATACTGGCCCTAGCCTAGGTACTGGTGGTGGTGCCGGCGGCGGTCATGATATATCTTCGATGCAACCCTTTGGCGATGCTTCTGGTGCTCCTATTCCGCCAATAACCCTCACGGTAGGAGCTCGAGGCGGATCGCTGCAGATGCCTGGTCTAAGCAACGAGATGGGAGGAGCTCCGGCCAGTCCTTGGCACTTTTCGCCGCAAAGCCAGGGCGGCTCTACCAGAAGCGGCTCTCATCCCGACTTGATGAATTGGGCTACCGATGCAGGTCCGCCACAGACGCGAGTGGGTTCTTGGGCTGAGAGCATGCAAACCGACCATCTGCCCGATGGCATCCAGCGGTTTCGGGGGCTTGAGCAGGTACTATCGCCGCCCAACGCGCCTGAAATGAAGCCTCCTCCGGGGTCCTGGACCAGCATCACAAACGATGTGAATTTGGTCCAGCATTTGCTGGCGCTGTACTTTTGCTGGGAGTATCCCACCTTTGCGTCTCTCAGCAAGGAGCACTTCCTTCACGATTTCCAGGACGGAAGACACCGATACTGCTCACCAATCTTGGTCAATGCGCTGCTGGCCCTTGGCTGTCGATTTTCCACACAGCCCATGACGAGAGCCAACCCCAATGATCCCTACTCTTCCGGCGACCACTTCTTCAAGGAGAGCCAGCGACTGTTCAACGAGGAAATGGACCATCACTCGTTGACAACCATCCAGGCTCTGGGCATCATGTCAATTCGCGAGGCCAGCTGCGGCCGTGACTCTGAGAGCTGGTATTATGCCGGCCAAAGCATAAGGCTAGCCCTCGAGATGGGTTTGCATCGCATCCATGACGACGACGACGAAGACGAACTTGCTGTTCAGTCTGCGACTTTTTGGGGGGCGTTTGCATTAGATCAGTGAGTCCAAAATACCCATGACAAGCTATTTCTTCTACTTCTGCGGTTGAGTTTTGAATTTGTATTTATTCGCACTTGCATTGGGAGAGAAAATATGTATGACGGTTTTCTAATTTGCCTGATCCTTGTAGTGCATGGTCTCTGGCCACCGGCTCGCTGCCGCAGTGCTCCTCTTTCCCTCATCTACCACCCAAGCCGGCCATCATCGGTGACATTGAAGCATCTCTTTGGGTACCGTATACCGACGACGGTGAGGACCGAACGACTACTTTTGGGGTTGATTTACAAGGGCTGCCTACTAACATCTCCGAAGGCGCGCCGCTACAGCGGTCGTGCGAGCAGCCGTCCAACGTGCGGTCAGTGTACAAGTGCTTTTGCGAGCTGAGTGAGCTTGTTCACCAGTCCCTCTACGTGCTCCATTCTCCAGGAAGGCCCCTTACTGCCCGGGACCTTTTGAATATTTACACGCAGTACCTGAACTGGTATGATCGGATACCCGAAGTTTTGAGGCTAGGCCATAATTTCACCCCGGCCGTCTTATTTGCGCAGTGAGTACAGCACATATCAACTTGATCTTTTTATTTTCATTTTCATTTTTTTTTTCTCCCCTCCCTCTCTCTCTCTCTCTCTCTCTCTCTCTCTCTCTCTCTCTCTCGCCCTCCCTCCCTTTTCTAGAGTTGTTGATGCTAACGTGGACAATGATGAAATGAAAAGCATGTACTATCACTTTGCCATACTCCTCCTATTCAGACCCTTAATCAAGCTACGTATCATCGGCTCCAAGGTTTCGCCACGAGACGTCTGCTCGCAAGCTGCCGACGCCATCCAAGGCTTATTAACATCCTATTCTCAACTATATACACTAAAAAGAACGCCATCTTTTGTCCCTTACTTTGTTTTAACATCAGCTATTATGCACCTTGCCATAGGCGCTACCGGAATCGGCGACGAAGACGCTGAGACAAGCGAAGAGAAGATGAAAAAGGCCGCCAAGATCGATCCGCGCGTGACGGATGCCCTTAACCAGGGTATCGCGGACCTCACAGAGATGGCGCCGTGTCACCACTTTGCCGAGCAGGCGCTGAATATTCTACGGTTTCTAGCTAAGAAATGGAACATCGAGGTCAATGTTGACGGCGACAAGATGCCGCCGGAGGACCCCGACAACCTAGTTAGGCCTTACACGAGCAGCCTCAACTTTTTCGCACCCAACGTTCGGGAGAGCGATTTCATGTGCGGCTTTGGGCCCAGCACAGAGATTGTCGACACGCTTCAGACGCCCAGCACGAAGAAGTCGGCAGAGACGGCAGAGAATCCGCTCTTTTGGCCTTTTCCAATGCAAGGAAGACCAATGCTGCCTGCCGGGAAAGAGTTGGAGGATGCAGGGTTTGCCAAGCTGTAGCGACGGCGTGAGACCTTTTACCTCCCTTTACTCTCTATTTTTACTTGGATATTTTATTATCTTATTCCTGGGCCAATGAAGTTTGGGAAACAAATATGCGCTGTACATGACGTGTAGGATATCAAGGGGGGGTGTACGTAAACGAGGGATGCGCCTCACGGACGCGATAAGGGCTAGAATAGCACTCTGGATAATCTTGTAATTAATGCGCCTGTGGATTTTTTTGTATATAACAGAGATTAAAAGAACCACGGTCTGTTGATACTCGGTTTCGCCTTATAAACATTGTGATTGACTTGAAGATTCCCAGAAGTACGTATAAGCGCAGATACAGATGCTAACGATGCTATGCAATGCAACATTGAGATTCATTTGATTTTTACAGTTTCTCCTATCACAATATCCGTTCAATAATAAAGTATATCATTAATTTTCATCAAAGTCATTTGTATATTCAGCATTGTTTTCCCCCCAAAATCTTTATATCAATAGTTAGGCCAAGATGCAGGGTAGAAATGGACAGCCTAGCGCAGCCACAGCAGACCGCGGCATGCGCCACAAAGGGGCGGACCTCGGCTTCTACTGAAAGCGTCATCCCGGCCGGCTCTATCATTGGATCTGTCGTGCCGCAGCAGCTGAATTCGAGCTTTGACAACAACAACAAACCGCTGTCGCCGCCGCCATCGCCACCTCGACATGGTGCTTGGCAATATCTCGCAGACACTATAGGCGACGCGCGAAACAATTAGAGCAGATTGAGAAGACGCCCGACGCAGAAAGGGCGCGAAACACGGACGAGACGACGAGAGATTGAGGAGACGAACACAGAGGCGCAATCACAAATCACCAGCGAGCGACAAAACAGCAGATGCAATGGCGTCGAATCCGACGAAGCCGGCCACGAATCGGCCCCAGCGGCGCGTGACGGTGGGCCAGATCCTGTCGATGCCGCCCAAATGGCTGAGCATGTACGACGACTTCATCACCAAAAACGCTGGCCAGGTGTCGCAGATTGAGAGCGCGCTGAGAAGCCTCACATACATCATTCCCGGTTGGTGGCTCCATTTTCATATCCTTAGACATATATACCTACATATATACACATATATCATAAGAGCACGAACTAACCTCTTGAAATTTCAAACACGCATCAGGCCGCTTTCGCGATGCCGAGATTGCATCCGAGTCCATTCACTCAGGCGTCCAGCTTCTGTCTCTCTACCACGATGGCATCCTCTCACAGGCAGTCTCCAAGCTGCCGACGCCGCCGATCCGATCGGCACATGCGCGCTACACGCGGTACTGGACGCAGAAGAGCAAGACGTACCGCCGGATAGCCATGGTGCTGCAGATGGTCGTCTACACCGAGCTGCTGTGCGAGATGAGCGCCAAGCGGCGCGGCGGCGAGAAGAGCCGGTGGAACGTGATTGTCCTGCTGGAGGGCATCAAGGCCTTTTGCCGCCTCATCCTGCTGCGCGTCACGCGGTCGCGTCCGCTGGTGACGCCGGTGCTGCCGGAGCGAGAGCCGATCCCCGAGGACGAGGCCGAGGACGACGATTTGGTGACGGCGAGGAGCGAGAGCGAGCTGATGGACGAGACATCGCCCAACGGGTCGGCGATCCTTCTCAGCAACCCGCAGAAGTCTGCGTACGAGAAGGAGTGGACGATGCCGAGGACGGGCATGAGTCTCCCCTCGCTGCCTAACCCGGGGGACATCAGCACCTACCTGCTGGGCCGGGTCCTGACGGCCGACGACATCAAGCCGGCCAACAAGCTGCTGAACCAGCTCCAGGGCGGCGGCCAGTTTGCCGAGATGCTGCACATCCTGACGCCGCTCATTTACGCCGTGGCGCTCGCCCGCACGCGCAACAAGAAGTCGTGGACGCCGTGGCTGGTGGGCGTGGCGGTCGAGTACGCGGCGAGGCAGCTCCGGCAGCGCAGCCTGCGGACGTCTGCGCTGGAGCGTGACGAGTGGAACAAGCGCGGCTGGGCGATGATCTGGTGGGCGATGCGCGGGGCGTTTTACGAGAACGTGACAAAGGGGGCGGTGAATGGGATGACGAGGAGGATGCCGGGCTTTATTGCGGGCATTTTGGAGGATTATGAGTATCTGTGGGAGAATTACTATTTCAGCACGAGTGCTTGAGTGCTTGGTTGATAGTATTCTATTCCAGCACGAAAATGCTTGATTTGACTGATATCATGGCCATGGACAAGAAAGCGTATATGCTTGTCGTTTGAGAATCCAGCCATGATCAGCCATGAGCAGCCGAGATTGGTGGCCTTTTTTTCTTTCCGTTTCTTTCTCTCATATGTCACTACTACTACTGCCTACCTATATATCCAGGTGGCGCCTTTTACTTATTGGTGCTACCTGTGCGACATTATTTGGCGAGATACTATTACTTTTTCTACTGCTGCTGTTACTACCACCTATATACGGAGCAGGATACTTGTGCTACGATCGCGGAGTTGAGAGCGGACCTGGACTAGGAGCTGGACAGTTCTGGACCTTGGAGAGCTGGAGCTGGAGCGGAAGCTGGATACAAAATTGGCGACTGCTCGGACTTGTCAATATAGAGAAGGAGAGAGCGCGGCTATAATACATACCGGCATGATAATCTGATGATTGGAAAGCATTTACACATTACCTTGTACTTGTACAATGTTGGATACCTCGGCAGAAGCGGAGATTTCGAGTGGAGCGCGGAAAGAGAGATAACAATCTGGCAGGGCTTTACAGATGCGCGCGTGGCATGATTGATTGATTGATTGCGTTGCGTTGCTTTTATTTGATACAGCAGCAGCAGATTATCTATCAGCTGGCAAGGAATGTACTGCTACATACGAAGTGATTGTGTGTTTCTTTCTTTCGCAATGCAAACTCTGGGCCACCCTTGTTTTCTTTGCCGGACCGAGATGACGAAGAGCCTTTTGGGGGAGGAAGAGAGATAGAAAGAGGCGTTGGTTGTGTGTGAGAGAAGGACCTGGCATTTGTCATACAGGCAAGGGTATGTATTGTTTATTTAGTATTGGGTGATGGTTGAGGGCTCTATTGCTATTCTTTTCAAGTCTGTTTTGTAGAGTATTTTTTCTTCTTCTTTTGGTGATTTACTGTGAAATGGATGGGATGGGATGGGATGGGATGGGGTAAAGTCCATTACTGCTCGTTTTATCGTATGTTTATCCTGTTTTGGTGGTTTCCTTTGTCTATGCGTTGGATGCAGTTGGAAGACGATGATGTACTGTTTTTAGCCTTTTTCCCTTTCTTCAATATTGTTTGTCTTAAACAGACTTGTATTATTATTATTATTATTACTATTATTACTTCATTCATTCATTTGCGTTTATTAATTGTCTGGTTCATTTTAGGAGGCGGCTGTGCCCTATTGATGTCAAAACAATTGCATGAATCTACAGCTGGATTGCTACAACGTCCACTATTGATTGGCACGGCAAGCTAAAAGATTGATGTGATGTGATGTGACGTGATGAGTGTCAAGGTTTCAATCCTTAGACTTGGCTCTCTAATAGTATGCAAATCTTAATAAATTGCGAACCCTTGCTTTGCCTCTTCTTCTGCTGGCATCATGGGTCGAGGCATGATGCGCAATCATGTGGCTTTCAGGGATTGCCTGGGTCGTAGATCGCCGACTATCGTCATAGCGCATTGACTAATATCGTGCCCTCATTTCTTTCTCCGTATTTTGCTACGCAGGGTGTTTGTGGAGGGGGAGCAATTAAAAAAAAAAAAAGCACAGAAAAAAGAAAAGAAAAGGAAAAAAAAAAGAGGAAAATCGAGCGACGGTCCCAGCGGCAAGTGGATCTATGAGATTCATGCTGGATAAATATGGACATCAAGGGACCTGTCTTCTACTATCTCGAGAGCTTCTTTGTGGCGGAGGCGTTTGGAAACGAAACGCATAGTGTGTTTCACTAGGCATGAGGAAACGACTATACGGCTACTACTAGTAACTAGTATAAGTACTATCTGAGTACAGTAGCACAGAGAGACCTTATTCTGTCTCCATATAGGATACAAAATTGGAAAATGGGAATGCCGAGTGTATCATGTTCGTCCCGAAAAAGAGGCTAAGATTGGGGATACGATGTATGGCATCCACAGCTTCTGTCATAGTCGTAGGGTCCATCACAATCGAGGGGGGGCCAAAGGGAAAAAAAAAGAGGGCACAGACGCTGTTTCGAGCTCTGAGCTCCGTAATTAGTGGCAAGAAATGACAAAGGAGCTCACGGCGCCGGACAGGGGATCCCCTTCTATCGAAATAAGAACGGAAAATTTCCTGGATGGAAGCAAGACAGAAACGCAAAAAAAGTTTGAATGAGAGCCGAGGGAAACGTGCCGGTTGGGCCGGGTAGCAGCGCGGTGGAGAGCAGAGAGATAAGAGAAGCGACTGGAAATTATTCCAATCTAGAAAGCCACGTTTTTTCCGACTGGAGCCTAGGCGGGAAAATCGAGAAATTGAGATGCGAGAGGCGTCAATGCAACGCTCTTTTACGTAGTAGTACTTGCTTTTTGCGAGCTGTGTGGGAATGCGTGTAAGACGCATATTTTGTTTTGTTTTGTTCTCGTCTGTGCGTGCGTGGCGTTGTCGATGAGCTTCCTGATGCGTTCCGTTCAGAGCTGTTTGTGGAGTAAGACTCTGTTCTATTCTGGAAAGAAAACGCAACGCAACAGCATCGGGAGGGAATAGCCGAAAGGATTCAGGGATTCTTCGCTCTCTTGAAGTATTCCAATGTCACTGTCTTTGCCACTGAGCAAGACCAAGACGCCAATCTATTTCTGACACAGCGGCTTGCAGTCCAGGGGGGTTCCAGGCATGGGGGGCTAAGATTCTCTTTGCCTCTCTTTTTCTCTTATACAGAGCACATACATACGGTACATACTATGTATGTGTGGTTAAAGATTAAAGGGTACTTGAACTGAATACGCTGCGAGGCTGTGCAAAAGATGCGACACGACCTCTGTGATGTGGTGGTTTTGGGCCCATGGAGTGCGCTCTGATTGCAGTACCGTTTGGCGGCTGCTTGCACGGAAGTTGGGGATATTCTGGTTAGTATTCCGAAGTCGAGGGGGAAGTAGCAACATTATTAATTGATACGACTCCAATTGGTAAGCAAACCTACAGAGGCAAAGAGCAAAAGAGCAGCTTAAACCGCCCATTACTTACGAAAACACTATGGAATACTAGGCAGGTAGATCAGATATAGGTACTAGGGAATTACATGCCATCTGAAAGGCCGTGCTCGGTTCCTGGAGTTGCTCACGGGCTCTCAAGTCAGCGTCGAGCCTTGACGGAAGCCAAATAGTGTTAGCAGATGGCACATCATAATACGGAGTACTCCGAGCTAGCATCAGCAGCAGCCTTTTTCTGCTTGTCCGTATTTTCAAAACCAGGGGTGGGGAGGACCAGCTTCTCTCGGCTGCCGTTTATGACGCGCGCGCGCAAGAAGAGATCAAATCTAGCTTAAGTAGAAGCCGGGGATCGTGCAAGGCCCCCAGCGGGACAGCAACTCCTGCTGGAGAGGGGAGAGAGAGCTCCGTCGACAAAGTTGCTGCTACTGTACAGCAGGCACTAGCAGTGCTTCTCATCGAGCCTCGTGTTTCGAACTCACGGCTGCTATTCCCAAACGGCTGGGACATGCTCACGAGGTTGCTGCCGATGGCTCTCGTGCTAACGCAATCGCCAGTAGCTCCGAGCTCAGCCGCAGCTCAAGTGTTTCAAGGCCATGCTTTGCCTGCTTGGCGTGGGCTTCCCCCATCGATCTGCAACATACTTTTGCGTTGTGCCTGTCTGTCTCTCTCTGTATCTGTGGTTTGCGCGACTTATTTTGGTGCCTGGAACTGTGCCTGGTGCCGCAACTCTCATCTTAACCTTTTTGATTTCTTTTTCTGTTGGCTAAGAATATTAGGGCGTGGTACAGTTGCAGTCGTTGGGCAAAAGTGAGACATGATGAGACACAGAGCGCGCGCGAGTGTGTGTTGACGCTGCATTAGTGGCATGAAGATCACAGCAAAGGAAGATCGCGATGAGAAGAAATTGTCAATTTAGCTAGTGATCGCCGCGGGAATAATAACAATGGGAAAAATTAAAAATTCCAGTTGCCAAGGGCGTCCAATCAAACAGACAGATCTTGTGAGAGGAAGAAAGATTTTCTCTCTTCGTTGTTTCTTCTTTTTTTTTTTTTATTTTATTTTAAATTACGTTGCGAAATGCAGAGTCAGACATGGACTCGACCTACTCACGCAGTTGGAGACTTTTCTTCACACCCCCCTTTTTCCTCTAGACAAGCTTTGTTTTGTTTCTTCAAAGTGAAAAAGAGGCAATTGATGAGGAGAATAAAGCCGGTAGTTGGAGAGAGAAACAAAACTAGGCCCAGGCCAAGGAGCCAGCCGTTACGATACAAGTAAGCCCAGGCTTACGAGCAGCAGCAGCAGTAGTGCTACTACATAAGCACGACTCCAGATGAGATGCATATGAGCATCGATCACGGCCCATCGACTAGGAGGGAAAAACCTTGAGCCGCTGCCCTTTTTTCGTTTTCGCTCCCGGACGGAGAAGTCATCCGAGGCAGCGTCTCCTCTTTCATCCATCCCCATGGAAGAAGCAAAAAAAGGGACGCGCTTCTGTTCCTTTTTTTTTTCTTCTTGCGCGGGTACGAGCCAAATCGGAGCCGAGAAGACCAGGGGGTTCACTGGGGGCTGTTCCTTTTTCTTCTTCTCAAATTTGTTGCTGGGGGGGTTCCACTAACAAGCAGTGACAGGGGTTGGATGTTGCCATTGGCACGAGCGAAGCTTTTAGTAGCGTTTTTAGTGTCAATTAATCGTTTTGCTGTCTTGTGCTGCTCTCTCGAGTGCATGGCTAAGAGAGACAGACGAGAAAAGAGACTCATGGGTTATCCCTGCCATACAGAGGCCATTCCCACCCACACACTTTTTCTTTTTCTCCCTCTCGCTTCTTCTGCCTTTTTCTCAGGATTCATGAGCAAATCAAGGGCCCCTGAGCTAAAAAGAGAAGGGCCAAAGAAAAACGTGTATCACCCCCCCCCCTCAGCAGCCGGACCAGTCACATCTCGGTATTTTGCATCTTTTCAGCAGGACAAGGTTTCGTGATGTCCCGGAGCAGTCGCCGAAGTTGAAGGAGAGAAGGCAGAAAAAAGCGACAGATTACTTTTTTGAAAGTAGCAGCTGCATGCATATACTACACGCGTATTCTTTTATTTTATTTTATCTTTTTATTTTGGCTTTTGCCAATGAGGCATAGAATACGCTGGTCTACATCTCGTCATGCTGCTTGAGCATGCTTTGTAACAGTGTACAGTACAGATACACATTGCCCAAGACGTCCTTTCATGACAGCTCGACATGTAGAAGCAGGACTGTCAGCGTACACTGGAGTACTGCAAGCTACTACTACTTGTACAAGCAACATGATCGCTGGCCAATCCATCCCAAAGAGCCGCTAAACAAGGGTGCACGGATTGCCTTATTGCCATAGCTAAAGTCTTGCTGGCAACACGGGAGAGGGGGGAGGGCCCATCGTAAAAAGAAGATACAAAGAAAAAGAGTGGACATCATCGTCATCGCTCTCATTCTTTTGCTCGATTGCCCGCCACGGCACGCGGCTTGGACAGCCACTTGTACGCGTTTAAAAACGCCTTGTGGCATGGCATGTCCCACCCGAGAAACGTTCGATGCTTGTAGATTTCTGTACGCGGGTTGTGAGACAGCTTGGCGAGACGAGAAAGCTTGCCTTGGATTACACAGAACCAGCGTTGCCGAACGCAGGGAGAAGAGGGACGACTGGAGACGACCGCCTCCTGTAGTACCCCGTATTCTGCGTGGCGTCGTGGCACAGACTCAGCGCACGTTTACTGTGCTGTAGCACCATGTCTTGCCAGGCGGCTCTCTTGTCTCTTCTCTCGTCTCTTCTTCTACTTCTTCTTCTTCGGCCTTGGTGCGGACGCAGGGTTGTGCTGGCAGCGATCCATAATGCCGTGCCTTTCCATCTAGACTCTCTTTTGCTCCCTCTCTCAGAACTCTCGCTCGCTTCCAGCCCAGCCTTTTAGTTTGATAAAGCTCCGGGTCCTAGACTAGCACCTGCACCTACTAAACTAAGGCACACGCATACTACTATTCTGCTATGCCTTACTGTACCATAGAACTGCGAGGAACTTGAGCCTTGGCCTAGTGTTGGGATCTAGCGTCAGCCCGGCCATCTCGTTAGCGCTGGACTGCTTCCTCTTCTCTGGATTCCCTCTGAACGCGCCTTGCCCGGAAGAGCAGTCGCTACAGCAGACCAGCAGCTCAGCTGCTAGCAGTAGTACTGTAGTTTCTGTCTCTCTAGCGGAGCAGCTTCTTAGCACCGGGACAAGGCGGACTGGGGCCTGGCCTTGACGCAATGGTAGGAGATGGTGCCTGTATTAGCTCTGGAGTAACATTGCTCTGGCGCTCTATTTTTAATTTCACCATCCTTTTATTGATTTTTCTCTTTCCTAGCGGCGTCTGCTTGGGCCTGTTTTGTATTTTTTTTTTCAGCTCTTCCCCAATGACTCCGCCCGAGCCTTGCTCTACAGCATTAGCTCCCCCGGCTTTCGTCTCGCTTTCTCATCGACGTGGGCGAGTCCAAGGATGCCTCATGATGCTCAGCTCGTGCTTCAGCTCGCAGTTTGCAGCCACTCCGACTTCCGCAACAGCTTCGGCTCTTGTCTCATCCTCTTGCCGACCAGCGTTTACATATTCTCTTCCTCTCTCCTCTCTCTCCTTCTCTCCTGCTGCTGCTACTGCTCCATCGGGCTGTACTGCAATGTATCCAAAATATATTAACGACCGAGATCATTCAAATGCGGCCCAAGCCCGTGTCGTTCTCGATTGCCATGTACACGGTACGGCAGCCTCTCTGCTGTTTCTCGCTCTCACAACCTGTAGCTAATACATACAAGACAAACACACACACACACACACACTCCCATACTCGTAAACCCTGTCCTCTTTTCTTGATGCTGCTTGGCTTGCAAATTATCCAGCCCACGCACACGCCCACGTCCACGCCCACGCCCAGCCCAACCCAGACCTCTCCAGCATCCATATCCATATTAATCACGTCCAGCCCGCTAATCCCTTCAGGGCCTTTTGATTGCACGCATTCTCCACGCCGCGAGACATGGTTGCTGTAACTCCGTGCGTACCTGTACCTGTGCTCAACTCGCTCGCTGCTCACCTCCAGATCCCATGTCCAGTCCATTCTTGTACATCGATGCATGCAAACCTGTACATACACCATTTGCTTCTGCCTCTGCTTGGGAAGCAATCCAATCCAATCCAATCCAACCCAGCTAGAGCTAGACATTCTTGCTTGACCCTGCCCATCCTCTCTTTTCTGTCTCTCCCCCCGGCCCTTTCTTATCTATGCTTCTCCGCCAGTTCCGCCTCCATCTTGCCCTCTTTTCTCTCTCTCACTCTCTCTCTCTCTCACACACTCTCGTCTTCAGTCCCTTTTCCTATTACTCACAGCTTTATTATACCCACCCACAGCGTACCTCACTACCTAGCATTATAGCAGCACAGCATATATAGCATCGTACTGCATCGGTAGCGTACCAACACCAACACCAACACCTGCTACATGGTCTTTGCTGCTATACATACTTCCACTATACTTCTTACTCTACTCTTACCACTACTGCTACTTGAATATTAGTCGTACATAGTAGTGCCTTTTGTACTAGCTGGCGCTACCTCTAGTACGCTCTACCATCACTTCATCCATTTACTATCATTCATTATTTTTGCCCTTCTCCCCTAAAAGGCCTGGGTCCCCGGCGTTGGCGCGCCATTAGGTCCCCGACCAAAAAGCTACCTCGTCCCGCAGTACCCTCCACACCTCCCAGCTACATCGCATCTACAAGGCCTGCGAGTATCTTTGGCAACCTTTCGACTAGCCTCGATTCTGCTGCCGCCACTCTATTTGCTACGCAGCGCCCCCCTTCGTCACTCAACCCGCTGCTGCTTGCCTTTGGGTTTTTGTTTGATTATCTCTGATTCCATCGTATTCCCACGCTCGCCTAAATCCTGCTACAATTTCCAGCAAAAAGCCGCGCTAAACAAGCAGCAGCTCGACGAAGGGCCCAGCCGGAGCCGTTTGTGCTGGGATCCTCTCGCACGTGTCGGGAGTACCTGGGCCTCAAGTACCGGTACCGTCATCAGGCTGGGGCTCGCAACCACGCTTGGCTGTACCTGGCCCGTACCGCTGAGTACTCTGCTTCGGACGGTTCCTTTCCTTCCTTCTCTTCCCTCCCGCAGCCACAGCCGCTCTTTCCCATTGTCTGCTCTCACGCAATTCTTTTTGCGCTCTTCTCTTTCCATCTTTCCTCCTTTATCCGTTATCCTTATCCTGCTTTTCTTCTTCTTCTTCTCTCCTCTGCGCCTGAACCGAAATCCTCTCGCTCTTTTTGACCTTTTTTGATTTTTATTCTTCCTTCATTCGTTTTTCTCTTTCTTCCCCGACTCTCGCTACCTCATTCGTTTTTATCCAATTCGTCCGCGGCAAAAACACACACTTGAGCAGCACTCGTACTTGCCTGTCTCAGTTCCCGGCGCTCGACTCCGAAACGCACCAAAATCTAAATCGCCACTCGTTAATACTACAGCTGCGCAACCAATAGGGGGAGAAGAAGAATAAAAATAGAAGAAAAGAAGAGAAAAAGGACAACAAGAGGAGGGAATATCGAAAGACGGAAAAACAACACCCATTTCGCTCTCCACCAGCGTCAAATGTGAGAGTTGCTCTCTCGCAATGGATCTCACGGTTCAGTCTCACCAGCTCCACCAGCTGAGCCAGCCTCAGCAGAATTCGCATACTCATCCGCATCCTCCACAGTCTCAGATGATGTCTCAGTTCTCGCAGCCTCATATGCAGCAACAACAGCAGCAGCAACAGCAACAACAGCAACAGCAACAGCAGCAGCAGCAGCAACAACAACAACATCTTCAACAATTGCAACAACAACAGCAGCAGCAGCAGCAACAACACCACCACCAACAGCAACACCAACAACAGCAGCAAATCGAATCGGCCAGCGCCCAAGACGTCCTCGTTGAAGCCCGCAAGAACCTCCAAGTCCTCATCGACTTTGGTCTCTCCAAAGACCTTCTCCATCAGTGGGTTGACCAGAATCTCGCCACGTCCGGCTCTCCGCCAGCCGCTGCCGCCACGCCCATCCCATCGCCGTTGCTGTCTCACCCTGCTTCCTCCCCCTCGCATCAGCATCTGCAGTCTCCCCAGGCTTCGGTTCTCGCTCCTCCACCGCCGCCTTCGGTCTCTTCCGCCGTCCTCAGTTCTCCCGTCGCGTCTCTCTCAACATCGTCGGCCGCTACTTCGCCTATTCCAGTCTCCAGCTCTACCACAGCTCCTTCTCCTGGAACCGGCGCACCTCCTTCCATCGCCATAATCAAAACAGAGCCATCGTCCTTCGCCGATGATGTGACCAGAGCCTGGGCAGCCGTTAATGTAAATGGACTGCCGCCGCAACAGGCCACAGCTGGCCAGATCCAGCAGGTTTCACGGATAGCTCCGGCTGGTGCTCCTGGCGTCGTGAAATCAGACCCCTCCGCCTTCATCTCGCCTTCCATGTCGTATCTCAACCACCGCCCTCGAATCTCCGTCTCCTCCACCAGCTCAGGATCCTCTGGCCATGCCTCTCTATGGTCCGTCAATTCCGGACGATCATCCATGTCGTGGGCATCAGCGTCGTCTCGATCACTGCCTATGACTCCTTCTCCCTCTTCAGCCAATAAGACAAACATCTACTGGTGCACCTCGTGTGAGACAAGTTTCAAGCGCAAGTACGACTGGAAGCGTCACGAAGACGAGTTCCACGAGCGCTGGAGGAAATATCCCTGCCCCGAGCCTGGCTGCAACCGCAGCTTCTGGGGCTCCAACTCGTTCAACCAGCATCATAAGCAGTGCCACGGCTGCAAGACGTGTCCTCATGCTGAAAAGGTCGTCAGATTCCTGCGCAAGCGCAAGTACTGGGCCTGTGGCTTCTGCTCTGCCCTGCATCCTGCACGAGAGCGTCACGTTGAGCATGTTGCCAGGCATTTCGAGTCTGGTCTGGGCAAGGCTGACTGGATGCACTCTCGCGTCATCTACGGTCTGCTGCACCAGCCGCTCATCCACAATGCCTGGGACGCCATGGTGACGGGCAAGCAAGCTGAGTTTGGTGGACGCCGTCCGCAGTTCAGTTGGCATCCGAGCAAGACGGGGCGTGCTCAAGGCTTCTTAGAGAAGGAGAATCCAGGCCAGCTCCAGGACCTGCTCGAGTTCTTCTCCGGCGACGAAAGCGAGGCACAGTGGATTGTGGGAATAGCCTTTGACCTGTCTGACATGGCCTTTTCAAATGCTCAGCCATCACCGCAGCCGCAGTTTTCACCCACGGGCAATGCCATGGTTCCTCCATCGGGCTATCCGCAACAGCAGGCAGATGCTCGCATGTCCTTTGCCACACCGCTGCCGTCGCAGACACCGCAGCAGATGCTCGCTTCTCCTGGCGCACCAAACGCCTTTAACTCAACCCCTTACCGAAACCCCTCTGCCTTTGTTCCGTCACAGGCATTCCCCTCAGGACAGCAGCAGTCTACTCATCTTGATAAGCGCGAGCTGCCGCCTGTTCCTCAGGGTCCAACTCCCCCTATGACAGAGGGCATGATGGACTTTGAATATTCGCCCAATCCCGTCATTTTTGAGGACTGGGAGAGCATCGCTAGCTCAACCTTTCTAGACACATCAGCTCACCAACAGCAGCAGCAACAGCAACCTGACCAAACCACTGGCTGGGGGATGGGCCCATTTTATAGCGATCCTAATGTCAATTGATCAAGATAAATTGATCAAAACAAGGGAATAAAAAAAAAGAAAGAAAAAAAAAAACACACACGAAAAAACCATTACGCTCCTTTATTACTTACTACTACTACCACCGGCACTACTATCGTTTTTATTACCACTGCTGTCTCCTCTTAGCATCGATTGCTTTTCACGTCGACATTGCATCAAAATATTTCCTTAATCTCACTTGCGCGTTTGTCGCCTTTTTTTGTCCTATGTACTATTATCACCAACTCAGCGCTACTCAGCGAACGTTTTTCCTTTACATGTCATCGTCAGTATCCTATTATCATCTGTTTAACGGGCATCGAGCATCGAGCATCGAGATATCCACACTCTCAAGGCAACAGCACCTGCTTTTTTTTTTTAACCGCTGCCTTGGTTAATAATGATAATATCAAAATCTACATCGTTTTTTCTTTCGCCACGAATAAAAAGCGTTGGGCGTATATCTAGCCGCCGTCTGATTTGAGAATCTTGCTTTCTCTGTTACAATCGCAGTCTACAACATCAAAATTTCCTTAATTTTATTATGTGTGTCATCTATATAGTATTTTATATCGCGCGGAATCCACCCGAGGGAGGAGTTGGAGGTTAATTTATCGAGATGGATATCTAATGGTCTTGTTATTTGATCTCGACTTGGGAAGCTTGCAGAGCTAGTTTCTTGTTTTTCCTTTCATCTTTTATTATTGGAAATGCTCGGAATCATATATGCGTGCGGATGAAAAAGGGAGGAACTTGGATTTGTTTGCTGCTTGGCTTTTTGCGTTTTGCGTTTTGCCCTTGTTTTTGTTTGTCTGTTCCTAGCAGTTAATCGGCCATGTATACAGGTATGAGGGGATGGAATCTGCAATAGGACTGGTATGTGTGTAGGTTAGTGGAGCGTATAGACGGATAAATGACGATATTCTTGGTTATTGAGATTTTGATCCAAGGGAGACTTTATATGTTTGATGTAGTGATTGTAGAGCAGTACTCTGCTGGTCAAACTACTCCCTTAGTCTCTGTTGGTCTCCATGTAATGGATGGCTTTGAAATCGCTTTGTCCTACCACGAGAAAAATCGAAGGTAGTTGGGATGACTGACTTGGACAAAAGAAGGGAAAAGGAATCTCGAGTAGTCACATGGCTTCCACAATGGATATCCACGACGTATATTTGTTTGTCAAAATGTAAAAATAGACTTTTTCGACGAAGATGGAAACGAGATGTTCAGATTAGCGCCTTTTGTGCCCTTTAAAGTTTTCTCTTTGTGTGAATTTTGGCCGCTGAGGGGGTTCAAAGAACGAACAGAGGAAACAAGGATTGCTGTTCAGTCACGACTGTAGGCTCATGGAAGATTTGATGCCTTGTTCAATGCCATTGAATCTGCTCAATCGTGTCTTGTGGTTTATAAAAAGCTACGGTCATTTCCCATAGATTAGATTGACTTGGCACATCATCACCAGCATTCAGAAACAGAGTTGAGCACGAGACACCGATTTTCACAAGTTGGTGAATATACGTGGTATCTACGGCCTCCATACGTATCCAAAATGGACTCCGCGAAGAGGATCTTGAAGCGCGTTGGACGCAAATCGCAACGAGCTAAGGGTGGCGACAAGTCCGTTGTCGACGAGAATATAGAAGCCCGTTGGAAGGCAGAAATTCAAGTGGGAATGCAAGACAGAAACTTTCAAATTAAAACGCACCATATCTGGAAGGATATGAACGAGAATGAAAGGGACGAATTCGAAGACCTATTTAAGAAACCCGAGAACTGGGACCAGGGATGGTGGTGGAATCAGTTTGAAAAGCTTTGGTTAAAGTATTGGGCCACTGGGTCTGGATCGAAGCAGCTCATGGAGAAGAATGGCTACAACGTTGAGGAGGATGCATTGGAAATTCGATGCTAGCAGCAGTTATTGCCAGCACTCTGCTCAAACAGTGCCCTCATCGAGGAGAATTACAAGTCAATAGAGCGGAATTTTGCCGTCACATTCGAAAGATCGCATCATCAGGAAGTTGTTGGTGGTGCTTCTTCGATCGAGTGATGGAAACACAAAAGACCGTCTTGAGCGGCGCTGGGACGAAGGGAAAAGCTGTACGTACTGCTAGTCAACGCCATAAATGTCAGAGAGCTTCTCTACAACAAATAGGGAAGAATCAGAGAGAGAGAGAGAGAGACTGACACACATAACACACAGAGAGAGAACAAGATAGAGTGTCAAGATTGCATAGGATATGATATCAGAAGTTGTAACACCAAAAGGAAGAAACAGAATAAGTGAAAGGAGAATTAGACAAAGAAAAGTAAAAAAAAAAAAAAAAAAAAAAAAGAAGGGGGGGGGGGCTGCGAAGGAATAGACGTTTTGGACACTCGATGAATACTTAAATAAGATAACAATTAGCATATGTCAAAGAAGAAGTAGAAGAAGTAACAATTTGAGATTTCAATGGTAAACTACCTACCTATAGTGCTGTATCAATAGCGAGTACTGGCCAGCTGCCTCGGGCATCAGAGGAGGTGCAGCATAACGTGACTTTAGGATGAGGCCTTTCTTATCTGCTCATATCTATGTGCACAATGTTTCGTTAATGTTTTTTTTAACATTTTCCTTTTCTTCTTTTTACTTCTATTTCATACCATAGCAGTTTTATCTAAATTATCTGGATATGCGCTGTTTGCTTATTTACTTCCTGCAGCTCCTATTTCTGATTCTTCTTCTTTCGGTGCCTCAGGCGCCACCGCTTCCAACGACTTCCTGGCGTCTTTGCTCTCCAACTTTTAAATCTTTCTTCTTCCCGAATTATCTCTCTTTCTTCTCGAATTGCTTCTTCGCTTCTTCTATTAGTTCTTTATCAGTCGCTCCCAACAACTGACCCCCCCCCCCCCTTCCCACCATTATCGACCACAGCTAGGGCCCCTGAAAGCCAGTTCCAGGTGCCTTCTCTCTGGCGATGCTCGTATCAATCGTCTATTCCTTGACATTAGTTTGATTCCCTGCAAACTATAGTCCACAAACGCCACTGTGTATCATTAGCTAACAATTATCGTCAACAGGCTTAGGTATTATTTGCATCGTTCCCGTCATCCCATCGCACCGTCTTCTCAAGCATCAGACTCGACGTGAATCTCATATCCGATGAGCACTTCTGTATTCGTTCCATCCCATCCTCTTGTGCCCGCTGCACTGAGCATGAACCTGCTCGATGGGTCGATGTACAGACTCGAGATGACACCGGCCCTGGGAGGTCCTGGGATGATGAGAAACGGCACGGTTGAGTGCTTGAAGGCACGAGTTTCGCGCAAGTCATACAGTCGGAGGATATCATGCGAGGCACTAAACGCAAGAAGTCTTGTTAGTCCTTGAACAAGCAATCAGATGAGCCCCAAACAACTGCATCGCCGCATCGCCGCATCGCTCCTCACTCTTTATCTCTCTGCTGCTTGTTGATCTTCATCTTCAACCTCATCTTTTCTTTCTTCTCTCCCTCTGTTTCTTCTTTCTTTCGTTCTTGATCTTCTCTTTTCTCTTCCCTCCTGATTCTTGCGTTCTTCCTCTCGCTTCTATTTTTTCTAAACATCTTATCCGTTCTTCTCTAGCTCTCCTTTCTCCCTCTTTTCTTTTCCATCACCACATCATCACAATCATCATTAAATTATAGACTTACCAGACTAGATGTCGTCCATTGACCATGGGCTTGACTGCGCTCACTGCACCACTTCCCGCTGGAAACCGCAGTACCCTCTCTGGCTCCCATCCTCTCTTTGCCTTTGCTATGTCGAACTCTTCTACCGTTCCATTGCGCCTACCCGCATAAATCTTGTTGCCGTCTGGGCTCCAGCAAGCGCTCATGCACCAAGGCGGCACACCGACGCGGTTGTTGATTCTCGCTACAGGATTGGGCACTCGGCGATCCCAGATGCGAATTGTGCCGTCCATGGCTGACGACAAGAAAGTCGTACGTGATACCTGCGAAGCTTCGTGCTGCGTAGGAGGCGGCTGCGAGTTGAGCATCATTGGAGATCGCGATCTTTTGAGTTGCTCAGCTATATCAGCCATGGATTGGCTTTCCAAAGGCTGCTCCTGCTCTTGCGGTGCTTGGCTAGATTCCTCTGCTTTTATTGTATCCGTATCTGTCGCCAGCTCTGTCGGCTCTGAGATCCCTGACATGGCTGACACTTGCGTGTCTCCAGGGCCCAAAGCTGGGGCTGGAGCAACAGCAGCAGCAGTAGCAGCAGAAGTAGTAGTATCTGGATGTGGGGTATCTACATCCATGGCATCTGCTCCTGATGGCGATTGCACGGGCTCTGATGACTTGACTTCATCTCCAGTCTCCATACTGTTTAGGCCGGCCATGGTTGCATCGACTGAGTGATTCATGCTCGCGTCATTCTCTGCCCCCATACTCATACTAGCCCCAAATTCGTCATCATCATGCCCAAAAGGTTGCTCGCCCGCTGTCTCGCCAAACAGACTACCAGCGTCATCGCTTCCCCCAAAAAGACTTTCATGAGCTGGAGAAGCTGCAACGACGATTTCATCTTCCCCTCTAGCTGCAACAGTGATTGATTTGTCTTGTCCGTTGGAGCCTCTATTATCGTCTGCCCCGATGAAACTTGTCCTCCCCATCGGCGCCCCGTTATTGGTGGCCATGGTGCTTGACGGTAAAGGCTCGTCGGCGTCTGCAGGAATTGGGGCACCGCTCGCAGGCCTCAGCTCAATAGATGAAATCTGGCCGCCGTTACCGTCGAAGCTCCGTTTCACACTGCCTGTATCAAGATCCCAGTCAAAGATGTTCTTGTCCCATGCCCCGCTGAGCACGCTTCTCTCGTCGGGCGCCAATGTCAATACGCTGACTGCATTAGTGTGCTTCTGCAGACATGATATCCTCTTCCCCTCGTCGTGGCGCACGCTCTGCAGGTTGATTGCACCAGACTCGAGCCCAGACAGGAGCCAGAGCGCTTCTGAATGAACGGCCAACGAGTAGACAGACGAGAGAACATGTTCCTGATCGCTGCGGCCCGGTGCCGCGGGTTCTTCGTTGGGCCAGTACGACATGAGAATGCCAGCCTTTGTGACCGAGTCGACAAACGGGTGTCTCTGTGCGACCGTCAAGGCCAGTTTGCCGTTGATGGTCCCCTGCCCGTCGTACTTGCGTATGTACCCGTCCGCTCCACCCGTGATCCAGTACCGCAGATCCGGCGTGATGGCCATGGCGTTGATGCTCGTCGACATGGGCGCGGCCATGGTGGGCACAATGTCGTACAGCCGCGCTGTGTAGACTTCAGGTCGGATCTTGGGGCGCCACGTTCGGTAGAGAGTCGGGAGCTCGTCGAGCTCTGGCGAGTCGGCTTTCTTCTCGGGCGAGGAATGCTCTCTGGGAGGGACTCTGTCGTCGGTGTCGGCATCGACGTCGGCATGGGAGTTCGAGAGCGAGTAGGAGTTGGTCGCAGTCTGGCTGTCGTCGGCCGTCACCACCACCGTCGTGGTCTCGTCGCCACCGTTTTCCGTCTCTTCCCTCCTACTTCCCTCTTCTTCGTTGATGTTCTCGCCGTCAAAGTCGCCTTCCTCTTCTCGGTCGCCGTCGTCGGCATCTTCCATGACCTCATCAGGCTCATTGTCGCGGTCGGAAGTGGGCGAGCTTGCCCGCGACTGCTCCTCTTCGTCCATTCGTCGTCGCGATGTCGGTGATTCGGGTCTAGAGACACAGAGGCATTGAGTCAGTATCGTCGCCGGCAATGCATCGCTGCCTGGAGGAGACGAACCTGGAGCGCGATGCAAAGCTCACCGTGACGCAGCAATTGATGGAGCGTTGTGGACGATGCCGCCATCACGCCTAGAGAACCGGCAAGGCTGCGCCGTCGTCGCTTACGTAACCGCCACCGATGTCGCTTTGGGTTTAGCCTTGCGCGCCGATTCCGCAGCCTTACCCCAGAGCCACTTTAGCTGTGCCTGACAGCTTATTTAGCTGCGCACGATAGGGCTTTCAGCTGCTTGGTGGTGATGCACCCAATTAAGGGAACTGACTGCCTGAGGCAGCGCGACGACTATTTTCGAGATTATTTCGAAACCTGTCCGAGATCCTTCTTTCAAGGTGCACTGCGAGATAGTATTGCACTGTAAATTTTCTAGAGATAATTGACTGTATCTTCCTGGCACTTGAGCACCATCTTGCAGCCACACGAGCATATAGCCACCCACCTGGATATTGCCGTTTCACTGCCTAGCCTTGCTTTTTTGTGTTTGATTTTTATTTCGCACCTATGCCTCACCCTATCACCACTTTGATACCACCGTGAAGCCACTTGATGCCACTTTATAGCCACCGAGTCTAGGACAGAGTCACGTGACCACTATTAATATTAACGACGAGAGTCGACGTAAATGTCCTCATGTTGGCTCGGTCAGGCGATGGCTGTAGAGAGCTATGGACACTATCGTCAACAGTTCTTTGCCATATGTGTCCTTGGCTCTTAAGTGGTCACTGGATTGGTTTACATAGCATATTGCGCTTATATAGTGGAGTACACAATGGAAATTAAAATTTTTGGGACACAGTAGTAAATACTAAGCAGAATTGAAATTTATTTTTTTATCTAGTCACTACCAAAATCAATCAACAGCTGCTCCTCCTCCTCCCTCCCCTTCCCCAGGATCTCCTCCTCCCGCTTCCTGCATACGCTCGGGGCCCATTTCTGAGCCAGTGTTTGGGGCACGGCTGCCCCGGGCGATGCCGCCTCCCCCACCCTCTCCCCCATCACCAGCCTGCGATAGCCGTAGTGCAACAGCTCATCGATTGTATAGTCTGCAGGGCTTTTTACAGCCCTGGGCTCGGCCGGGAAAACGCCTTTTTGGAGGCGCTTGACGGAGGCTGGTTTTGGCAGGCGGGGGGGCCTGGTGGAGCCTGATGGAGCCTTCTGGAGCCCCGATGGAGCCTTTTTGGGGCCTTCTGGAGCTTTTCTAGAGCCCTCCAGCCGGCTCCCGGCCCCGTAGCACTTGTGCAGGCATTGGCAAACTTCGCCGCACATCTTGATGCAGGGGTGCCCGCAGAAGGCCCTCCCTGAGCAACGTTGCTGGCAATCGTGTGTTTGATTTTCAGCATGGTATTCCTTTTTGCAGGGATGCCCGCGAGGGCATTTGCTGCTGCACGTTGCTGTAGTGACGCCGTTGCCTAGGATGCGTGCCCAATCCTGAATGTAAGCAATGGTTGCTTGTTGCCCAGTCTTAGAATGTGTTAGGGGGAGATAATTGCCGGTTTGGGACCCAAATGCATTAAAGACTTTCTGCCAGGTATGTCTGCTCCTATCGGTACTAGCGAGAAGGTTGCGTACGTTGCCGAAAATAAACATGCCATGCTTTGCTCTGCTGGTTGCTACAACAGCGCGGTTCTCATCCTGTACAAATCCAGCATTTGCTTTTGTTTGGCCTTTGGAGGGATCAGGGCTTCGAACTAAGGAAATAATAATGACCTTGTTTTCTTTGCCTTGGAAGCCGTCGACAGTATAAAGGCCTAGATGATCCTTGCAATGCTTAAGGGCTGTATGCTGGCCGATGAGCTTCTGAATAAGGTCAAGCTGCGCATTGTAATAGGTCAAGATAGTAATGTCGGGGGCTGGGAGGCCGCTGTTGATGAGATAATGGCAAAAGTTGACTATCATGTTGGCTTCCTGAGAGTTGAAATAGGAATGCTGGCTATCTCGTGATTCCGCCCACTTATGTTGGAACCACCAGAGATTCTTACCGCCCATTCCAGGGACAGAGGCGCGCTTGTTAGGATGAGAAACATCAGGATGATTTTTAAGCGTTGGATAGAAGGTCTGGACAATCTCGCAAAGCCTTGGGATCATTCGGCGCTGCATCTGGAGTGTATGATGAGGGGCTCCAAGCTTAACCAAGCGCTCAAACATAGAAACATGGAGGTTGAAAGGCTCTTCATTCAGGCCGTGGATGTCAACGTGAGGTGGTAATTGTTGATGATCTCCAACTAGGATCAGTCGCTCCAGCGATGGGAATATGGCAGCCGTAATGGTTGATTCTTTGGCTTCAGCTGCTTCTTCAACAAGCATTACCTGGGGCATGAGGGAAGCAATAAGGCCGCGGTACTTTGATAAGCCAGTTGTTGTGCAGCCGATGATATGAAAGCCTTCCCTGTTGATAATGTGGCGAGTAGTGTCCCAGCGAGTTATTTGTAACGAATCACAGAGCTCTTTGTATTGTGGGAGTAGCTCTCGAATCTTGGAAATGACCTGCTCTCTGAAAAGGGTTTTAAGGTAAAAGTAGAGCCTCTGTCTATCATCCTTGGGAACATCGCTGAGGTTAGAGTAAGCGTCAAGAACCTCTTTGGCCCTTCCACGCCAGGGCCCGTGAATCGAAGAGAGAGTAGCTTGTGGCACTTGGCACATGCTGTGTTGAGGGTTGAAAGGTAAGAATAAGCCGCGAAGCTTGAATTTGGCGTCATCGGGGGCTCGGCCTTTGCGAGGCTCAAAGGCGTCATCCTCATCCCAGTCTCCCATATCGTTGTATTTCTCCAGAAGTGGGAGATTCAGCTGGTTTAAGCCTAGACGCGTTTGAACTTCCATATCTTTCTGGCTGGTATGAGAGCCAATGTCAAGCCAAGAGAAAATAGGGTTATCAGGCGTTTCCTTAAATTCGCCTTCTTGCTGGGCTGCAATGTCAAGCAGAGATTGATACTGCTCGTCAGTGATCAAGTTAAAGTCATGAAGGTCGCTGGCGCGGACCACGTTGCGAGAATACATGTCAAACAGCTCCTCAATAGCTGCGGAGATTTGTTTCCAGGCTGCTTGACCTTCAGAGTCAGGCCTTCGGAACTTGGAGTATGCTCGAACATTGTAAATGGTAAGAGGGCCAATGGTCTCAGAGCGGGATTGTCCACCAAGGCGTACAACTTTTCCCAAATCCAACCGTACGCACTCTTCTAAGAGCTGGTCTAGCGCATGGTTTGTCTGAGCGGCAATAATGATAGGCGCAGGGCGACGAACGCAGGCCTTCAGCGTTCTAACGAAACTATCGATGGCGACAGTAGATGTGAAAGTTTTTCCTGTTCCCGGCGGTCCTTGGACGATAGAGAATTCGCCAGTTACCATAGCCTTGCATGCGGCTTCCTGAGAAAAGTCGAGCTTGTCGGCAGCTGCAGGTTTGGCTTGAGGCTGGCCTGCCAGCTGACGGGCTGGTTGTATGGTTTTCGGGCATCCGACGATGTATTTGTCTAGGGCAGTACTGAAAATCATTAGAACTGAAATGATCCCATAGTAGAAACAAACCCTACAGTAGAGGTAATTTGAAATGAAGAGAGAAAAAAAAATAAAGTAAGATACTTACTTGGAAAGCGCCGTATGCTGCAAGCCAAGCATTGTGTAACGAACGTTCTCAAAATATCCAACCTTTGCCTCCAGCATTACGTACTCCACGAATGGGTCAAGAACAGCTTCGTTGGGGTCAGCCCAGAATAGCTCTACCTGGGGCTGTGTAAAGGGATCATCTCCAGCCTCAGCGCTCGGTATGGCCTTTCCTTTAAAAGAGCGCGTAGCAACAGTTGCCACGATGCAAATGTTTTGAAAATTGTCTGAAGAGGGAGATAGCGCAACTAACTGGCCTGGAGTTAGGCGATCTGATTCACGCCAGTCAATAGGCTTAGGAGCTCTCTGTGTAGAGAAGGATATCCGGCAACATGCACCCTGTCGGCTTAACAGATATCCTCTTGGGCGAATCTAGGTGAGCAAATAAAGTCAGCAAAGTGTTACCAAGGCAGCGAAGAATAAAGGAGATACATACTTCAGTGTAGATGAAACCGTATTGGCTATCTTTGGCAGTTGGGTCAAGGCGAAACTCGTGAATGGTTCCGCGAAGAGGGTCGACGGCCTCGTAGCGCGAGAGCTCATAATGTGTGCCAAGATAGCTGGATTTGGACTCTGGAAGGCGATGAACTGGATTGTGGGGAGGGCAAGATGGATTAGAAGTCATTAACTCCTGAGCAAGAGGCATTTCAGGGAGGGAACGCCATTCTTCAGCCTTTGGAAGGCTCTGTTGCTCGACGAGCTGGGCATTTGTAACGTGAAAAGAAATCATCTCCTCTGGTGAGAGGCTTGAAACAGGCTATAAAACAAAAGTTAGAATAACAGAAATTAAAGAAATCGGAGGCAGCAGAGACAGTAAGAAAATTGGAGAAATCAGAGGCAGCGGAGGCGATAGAGATATCAGAGATATCAGAGGAACCAGAGACAGTGGAGACGATGGAGATATCAGAGGCATCAGAGGCAACAGAGGCAAAAGTCTTACCTTGGAGCGGTCCATCTTGATTGGAGCATGGAGAGGAAGAAGAGAGAAGAAGAGAGAGAGGTGGCGGAGGTTGAAATTTATAGAAGGCACCTGAGGGCAGGCGGTCTGCAGTGCGAGCACCTGAGGCAACCACCTCTTTGTGTGCATGCACGCTGTTTTTCAGCTTTCAGTTTTTGGCCTTTGTTCATTGCGACAAAAAGAAAATTAATCTTAATTTGTGCCCTTATCTTATTGATTAATCAATCAAGAGAATATGCTGTATTTTACATAGATTTTTCTTTATATATCAATTATGCTTGTCAGTTGGAAATGCACCATTGGCCTAGTTTTGCCAAATGTATTTTACATGCGTGTGTATATCTAACAGGAGCCTCCCATTAGATGCCTTAATATTGTATTTAATTTGCTCAAAATTATCTTTCAGATTTTAATTAGCTGTCTCTAGGTATACTTTCTATAGACAGTATACATACTAGTGCCTGGTGCAATCGCAACAATTCTCGCTGGAGGTTTGCTACCATCAAGATTTTATTATGTATATCCAACACATGCAAGCTCATAGATATCACCCCAAGCTGTCCTAGAATTTTTTTTTCTTTTTCGTAATTGGATAATTTCAAACGAATTTTACGTTTGATTGTGCGCTTGTCTCGGGGATGCCTTTTTACCCATAGCCGACACGGTCGCGATGCATTTTGTGCATATTGCATTGTAAATGGGCGCGCATCGTCCCTTTGTAGCCACCCTAAGAGCTCCTAAGCAGTTATTTCTTCCAAATGTTTTAAAAAATTTAATGAACTATTTTCCTATTATTTGTTAGATTCATGAATATAGCGCAGTATATCTGCTGCTTGCTGTAGACTTGATACAGTTAAACTCATAAAAGTAATTGATTGGAGAGAGCAAATAAAACTGTTAACAGAGGTGCGATCTGCGGTATATATTAATATTATTTACTAGACTTTTACAACCGATATTTCGCATCTCTATCGGTTGGTCGGAAATTTTTCTAATGTTTTTTTTTTTTTTTTAACTTCTTGCGATTTTGACATTTGTATAATACTACTCTAAACGCTTGGTGGAGAGAAAGGCTGTATTGAAGCAATATACAACAAGACACCACCCATGTCATCAACGCCTAATACAGCTAGAATATCGAATTTTTTATTGCTTTTGTTGTTTTCTGTGCAATGCAATTTGCGCAATACAAGTTCTCCCCCNTTTTTTCCTCGCGTGTGGAAGTTTGGTGTTGCTGCATGTGCTTGGCTGAAGAAATGGGTCGCAAGATTTTGTAAAGCAATTAATCTAACGTGCGCCGACGCAGCCCCTTATATGCTGCACTAATAATCCAATCCTTTGTATCTGTGTTTATTTATCAGCTTGCCAGAAGCAATTTGAGTTGTTTTATTTCCTCGGCGACGATAAGATCAGGGTTGTTGGAAGTTTTACTTGTCGCTTGACTTGCTCAAGGCCACTTCCCTCTTTGTTTGAGGCAGTAGAGCAGAGAAAAAGGCAATGAAAATGCCTGGAAGGTATTGAATAGAGAAATATTAAGAAAGATTAACATAAATTTTTAAGAAGTTGTAGAATTCTAAATGTTATAGCAAAAAACAAGCAGGGGAAGCCAAGATTTGCAGGATAATATCATGTAATGCTGCAACTGCCTAGCCTCCTTGTTTGTCTCTAGCCTGCGCGACGTGTCTCGATAGAGTAATATTTTTTGCCTCTATTGCTCTCTTCCACTGACCATACCATTTTCTGTGTAGCCTTTACTTTTTTTACCCTCGTTCCTCTCGTTGCTATTCCCCTCTTCTTTGGCCTTGAGTGTGCGTGTCTCAAGATGATAGCTGCTTCGTGGAGAAATCGGCATACATCTGTCTAGAAAATTCGTCAGATCCATTTTAATAGAAGAATAAATATCTCTCTCCAACTACAGTGTCTCTGAGGCACGATATGAATAGATGCCAGCACGACGAACTGAGCTATTAGCCTGGCATGCTTCTGTAGAGGAGACAGTCAGCGCGCCCAACTTTGTGTGGGGAAGAAAATAAACAACCTGAAGAGGGAGTCCCAAGAAAAACCATGACTTACGGGAACTCCTTTATCTATTGCTGCACTATATGCTCATATTCATCGGGTTTTTATTAAATTCTCGTATCTTGCGCCCGTTTCGATAAATCGGTCGTAGACATACTCGTACATGGCTCCTCGCTCAGCCTCCAACGGGGAAAACTGCTCAATCCTTGGATTTATCGTGGATTTATAGAATGGTCTATGGCAAAGAGGCATTAATATCTTAGTAGCACTGATTCTTAGACAAATAAAGAGTATAAAAAAAGTAGGGGGAGACATACAATCGGTTAGGTGGATACTTGTCGAGACCGAAGACGAGGGACGAAACATGTTCGCGAACAGCTTGGAAAAGGCTTATGGTGTTGAAATTAACTGTTGAAATGGCATTGAGAGCGGTCAGGACCATGGTTCCAAAGACTTTAGTACCAGAGAGGCCTTCGTTTCTGTTTGGAGACCTTTATCTGTGAACCTTTTTGACGGAGGAGAGATCTGAACCTGGCTAGGAAGAAGAACCTTCCAAAGATTAAAAGGACAGCGTGGTAAACAAGAAGCTAACCAGCCAATATTCCTGCACCTGAATGTGGATTTTGTGTCACAAATTAGAAATAGACGTGTCCAGGAGCTGCCAATTGAAGCTTTCTTCTCATGTCGTCGCTGATGCCATTTTCATGAGGTAAAGGATGATTAGAGACTCAGATAAGTTGTACTGTCTTTATTCTTTAGCAAGCCATTTCTGAGAGAAGAGGTTTGGCATCGGATGGCAGCCTCAGGGAAAACGTACAGCGTGGTGGAGCATGGGAAAGCCGTATTTTTGGCTGTAAAATCGAAAATGTTGGCTTTGAAGTTGCATTTTTGACGTCGTTGCGGTCCGGCAGTTGTCTTTTGCATCAGAGCCGTTTTCTAGCTGCTCATTTCCGTTACCTAGCAACGCCAAGTCCCATATTAAAGCAACATTCAACGGCAAACGAAAAGATGGAGAGCAAATATTTGTCCAATTCTTATATGCTTGCAATAATTGTGCTCAATATGTATTCGCTGCTGTGGTAAAAATTTCGACAAGGTTAAGGAGAAGAACGAATGGTGTCCGAAAAAGGTAGCCGACCAGAGCGAACATACTGACAATTTGCGGACAACGTTAGAGATCCATGCCCTTTTCTCGCCACGTTCTATGACAATTTTCCTATTGTTTCAAACATAATTCTTGTGTCTGTTAGAAGAGGAAGTAAACGAACGAGAAATACGGTATTGTATTGTATTGTATTGTATTGTATTGTATTGTATTTTAGTGTAGTGTAATGGTGAGAAAACTCATTGTTATGACCGCCATGAAGAGAATGGAATCGCACCACCGATAATACCCCTCTATGCATATCTTCAGAGAGTAAAAAGCCTCGGACCAAGTACTCCATGGGTACGTTTTTGTTTATATCAGTTTAAATTGTGGCTCGGGGGCTCCAAGTCCATTGTATTAGCCGTGCAAATGTTCAACCGCCTGCATTACTGATGTAGGAAAGAGTCGCTCGCGAAGTCCGCTCGCCTGGCCGATAGAACAACTTTATAGTCAACATATAAGTCCGAGACATATCCATCACTAGGTAACCCTGGGAGGTGACACCATGAACGCGGGATTAGCGTAGAGTTTGGGAACACAGCTCTATTTGAGCTATCCTTGAACTCTCTGCTGGGAAAGAGAATGGAAAGTGAAAAGAAACTGAAAGATAGAGGAAGCACAAGAGATGAGAGGATGGTAGCTTGTAGGGTTGACAAAAGTTTGAGTGTGATAGAGCTCAAAGCTACTCGTCCAAGTCCACATGATTCATACCAGTGGGCGTTGAGGTTTGTCAGGGTAACGAGTTATGACGGTGGACAGTATTCCTTCGCCTAGGCCTCCCATGAGTCCAGTACACATCTTCCTGAACTTCTCACTCCCCGTTGTGTTGCTTCACCGTCAGAGCCCGCAGTCTTCAGTCGACCAAGTTTATGCTTCATGTATCGACTTATTATATTTGCGGCAAGTTTTGCTTTCCCTGCTTTTCTTGTATCGGCCCTGGTTCCCTAGGAGCTCATAAGTCATGTTAGGGACATGACTCCAATCGTCAATCGTGGACTCCCAATAACCGGTCGCGACAGAGTTCTGCCCTTTGCACTCATCCAACTCCCCAGACATCAATCAGATCATATCAGATCATCCATTTGCACGGTCCGATTTGATGCCGTATGCGACCTCATGCTTTGACCTTAATGATTTAGAAGTATCCATTATAAATTCGGCGCCGTCGTTAGCGAACACTATTCGACGAATTTTACCAATTCCACCCAGGGAGCGAGCATCTCTTGCTTGCTATGACCGTCTCTATAAAGAAGAAGGCAGCAGAAAAAGTGAAGAAGTCTCCAGAGAGCCTGGAGAATAAACATCATATCCACTTCGACCATCACCCCACCTCTTTCGCAGGTGTCTACACCATCCCCTCAAAAATATCCAAGAAACATCAGCTACCCGAGCCAAGTATTTTTGGTACGTGCAGGCGTACTCGTTTAACCGTAAACAACTTGGGAATGAAGACTATTGTGCTCGCAAGCAGATGAAGTTGGAAATTGTAGTCGCTGTTAACGTTGCCGTGGCAGAGAGGGTTAAAGCGAGAACACTGCCAATGTCTCAGAGGTCTGAAAGGGCTTCCACGACTTCCACCAAACCTAACACTCTTCCCTTCAGACCCATCTTTCTCGAGCTGAAAATTCGCTTTAAAGAGTCTTTAGAGTCACCAAAGAGACATTTGATTTAGCTGTTATGAACAAAACGACGCTGTGAAAGGGGCTTCGTTACACATATCTGGTAGATTAATGATTGTGTGGGTGACAACCGGCGAATCTTGAAGGGAAGGGGGGCCAATTGACAGCGAGAGCATTTGTGTCTTGAATATCAGTCGGCGGGTCGTGGGTTTTGTAGGCTTTTCATTTGCGGACTTGAGAGAAGGTTGTGGCATTCGAGTCCAAGTCGAGCGCAGTAGCTTGCATTCTCGTCACGCAATCGCATCATCCACGCTGTGTCATGATTTTCGGAGCTTCTTCGCTGATGGAAATAAGATTAGCGGCTTCTCAGTATCCTATGGACTTGGAAATGTGTCGTGCACACCGAAGTTAGGATAAAGATTTGGCAGAGTATATCCATTCCAACGATGAGGAGAGCATCAAACCGCCGCACGCCGATTCCTGAACCTATTTCCATAGAAGAGATTTCAACGAATATAAGCTTGGAGGCTATGATCTCCAAAGTGTTGAAAACTATTTCCGAGATTTAACAACACATTCTGGATATGTCTTTGACGGAAGCAGTATGCGAGTGGGACCAGTTAAGGCCGCACAAGGCCGAAGTTATTGCAAGGATAGGAGGTAACCCTCTCTGTATTGCCCTTAGGACCACAATAAAGAAAAAGGTTTCAACATTGTTCTGTAGTTTGCCAAGAGATTTTCTCAAACGTCATAACTTCGTAATATTCGCCGAGTCCTACCGCGAGTCGTCGCTTTGCAGCAGAGCTTGAAACCGGTCCGAGTAGTAACCACTGTTGCGAGAGGGGGTAATTGGTGGCTGACAGAGTTGGAGTAGGCGAGAATGTATCATTCGCCGTGGAAAGAGGAAAGGATGTTGAGATCTTTCTCAACTGAAAAGATGGTAGCTTCTTTGGTTGTGAGAGGACGCGCGGGGCTCTGTGATTATCTGGGTCGTTAAATGACGATCGAGATGGTGATAAAAGTGGTAGATTATATCAGCAGTGACAGGGTGGGGGGAGGTGGATGCTTGAAGCTCGTAAGGGTGTGATTGTCTCGGAGATTCATCGTGCTGTAGATGGTATCAGTTCTTCCACATTCGTTTTCGGCGGCGTCTCCAGGATAGGGGAGCTATCTGTGTGAAATATTGAGATTCTCTGGATTGTCGAGGCATTTCCGAGATTATAAAATGTCTTCCGTTCGTAGCTCGTGATCGATCTTCGTGGGTCTCTATGGAGTGAAGAAGTCCATTAGAAACGCTGTAATGAGGGGATGTAAAATGCGTAAATGGTTCGTAAGCATCATTCGGAAATTGTTACTATATACGGGAAATAGATTAGCCAACCTCCCCTCTAGGAGCTTTCCGTTAGAGAACGGAGAGATCTGGACTAGGACGAACCGAGAAGTTTGAATTGTTATCGTCTAGGAGGCACCCAACGAGCATAGAATGGGCGATCCAAAAACTCAATCTTAGAACCGCTCTGGTGTTCTTGAGCCAAGTCTCGGGGCCCTTTATTTTCCGCAATTCATCCAGCGTGGCGCCCGTGGTAGGTACTTCACACGCCCTCGTGGGTGTAGATCTTCAAGGTGCAGTCAAGGGGTCCCTAGTATAGGCGTTCGGCCGTGGAGGTGGCGTACTGGGTCAATAAATGAGATTTGATGTGCCAAGTGTGCTTTAATGGAGTGGCGATAAAGTTAACGGTGGAGCCGGCCATGACTGACGAGTACAGAAGCATCCAGCTTGGCACCTTATTTAAATCCCGTCACACTTTCTTTCTGGATATTCTGGAGGACACGTTTAGAGAGGACTGCTGAAGCGTGAGGCCGTTTGGTGCCGTCGATAGGGTCTGTGCAGATGCCTTCTTCTCGGTGACTTTGATGACATCCTCTCAAGTCAGGAGCTTAGGTAGTAGATGCCGAGAGTATCCACGCCGATTAGAGTCCCGTTTCTAGCGCCTGTGTTGTCGCAGACATGTTTTCTTTCTCGGGCATTGTGGGAGTTGTGGTTAAGTTTGTATAGAAAACGACACCCATCACAAAGGCCAAGTTGCGATCTGAGTGGGTGACCACCAGCGAATACCTCGGGTGTGGGTTTCGAACAATTTCTTGGCCAAGTCTTTATTTTCGAACGAGATTGAAGTTCTCTTGATAATTTCTTCCGCCAGTGATGCTACCCTCGTATCTGGGCTGGGGAACACGCCACCCCACGGCTCAACTGTATTTAACCGGCATATTAGTAGTTGAGCGGGCGGAAAGTAGCGAATATCTCCAGTAAGAGTTTAAACTCGAACAGTTTCTTGACCAAGTCTTTATTTTCGAGCGAAAACGCAATTTTTCCCAACGTTTTCCTCTGCTAGGCATGCTAACCCTTTGTCTAGGCTAAGGGGAAATATATAACGCAGGAAGAATTTCTCTTCATCCGTAAAAGCTGCGCTGGCGTGGAATGTGGCGGTTTTGGCTCCGAGACGCAAGATATTTCGGGAAGATTTTTGCTGTTCCAGCGCCTTCGATTTGATCTTTTTTTGCACACCCCCCTGCATGTCTTTTCATCCGGGGGGCGGGGGGCTGGAGTGCAAATCTGTTAAACCATAACGCAGGTGTCCTAAGCAGAGCCTTTGAAGAATATAAGCCTGCATTCTGCGACGAGTTACATTGGCGGAGCCGGCGTGGGATCACAAATGTGCCCAATTCTTCTGCCTATTCCACAGCAGCTTCTGTTGGAAGGTCATCTGGGTGGGCTGGGGTGCTGCGACGAATCCCATTCGTGGAACTCGCCTATTTGGTCGGAGAACCTACGAGAGGAAGGAGAAAAGCGAAAGGAAGCAGCCCAGAGGAAGGCAGCGACCGGCGAGAACTCCCGTATCTGCTCCATACGATGTTTTGAAGACTGCGTAAGCGAGGCCCTGGTCGTTATGTCTTTAGTCTGATCGAAAAAAGAGTCTCCGATATCAGGAGGCGTCTAGAGAGCACCTGCCATCCGAAGATTCTCTACTCGCGTTTAGTTCTCTGCTTTTAGAATACGGCCATATCATTATAACATACAGGCTGAGACAGAGTAGTAGTCAGGTGATGGCACTGGCGAACAGGCTGTATGTTTTGGTCGTCATCAAATGGGTTTGTCTCCGAGTAGGTACTCGTAAACTTGATGGGAAGAAGATCGTGACGCGGAAATTCTCAACAGGGGCTTGTAGAGATGATCTCCGATGCTGTAGGGGAACATAGAATTCCATCGAACGTCGAAAAGAAAAGTTTATGATTTTGGGTGAATGCTTGTTAGACGGTCTTTCCGTGGACGAGGAGAGGTCAGTATTAGACTTAACAAAGGAAAATTTCTTAAGTAAGAAAAAGAGGTGCAGAGGGAAGTTCTTTGTTGCAGTTGGAATTGGAATTCCATTGTGCTGTTACGTCAGCTCTTTACAACGGTGTCACTTGCTTAGAAGTACATGCAGCCTCCCCACAGCCATCTAGACACGGACATTATTATTTCTAATAAATTGTTGGAATTTTCTGAAAAGCGGTGATATCAGTGAACGCGTGCTACATAATGAATCTTGCTCTGCTCAAACCCACTCTCAATCCATGATTACCGAGCCCACTTCAAATACAACATTAATGATCCCCCCAAGTTCGACCACGAAACTCACCCTCATGTAGTCCCATATTGATCAGAGGCAACCTCCTGACACATGCCCAAAAGGTTCAACGACACAAACCAACACGTCTCACTCATGACTTTGTCTATTATTGTTAGGTCGCTTCCACAGATACCCTTTAAACGCTTTGACTTCTTGTTCACTTAAAGTTCAAACTTCTTTCCCTCCTACAACACCAGCAGTGCTAAGGCATTACAATCATGGACCATGCTAAGCTTGCGGCTCACTGTCGTGCGACGGATGGATGCCCTTGGAACTTGGACGTGGAAGATGAGTCCTAGAGTTATGCTGGTAGATCAGCCAGGTAGATCTCAGGCAATTGTATCACTTAGTAGGTAATAGATGATGTCTGGGTTCCAATCCGATTTTATCGCGACCGTTGTGGTGCATTAACAACCTGCTATCGAATGTACGAATGAGTGGCTAGAATAGTTCTCTTTGCATTCGGTTGAACAAACTGTATCCTTGGATCACTGCAATGATCAGATAATCCATTCTTCATTACGCCATCGTGGAATGATCCGTGGCGGCCCGTCTGTGTAAAATTGCTCTGAGAGAAGCTTATTAGCAGGCTAGAGGCTCAGCTCCAATGCATCGAACCGTATGGGCGGAAGCTTGAGGGAGATTAAAAATGTTGTGAAGCACACGCATTGCATCTACCCGTTGGTTCTACCAGGCTGCCATCTTTTTCACAGCATTTTTACCCTCCCTCAGGTGCCACAAATTCTATGCTACTAATCAGATCAGGCAACTAGGGCTGATCAGGTAGGTGGGGTTGCATCATTCAGCGATAATTCCTTTTGGTCCCTTTCATGCCTGGTATTGCGGTAAGCCGTTGTAGTGTTGATGGTACAAATAAATACCTTGCCATTTATTACCCACGATGCCAAGGGTGATTTTTGGACATGAGATGAATCCCCTCTCTGCTATGGACCATGCCAGGTAGATCCAGTAGATCGGGGCTGAAGACAGGCGCTGGTATTTCTTATTTGTAATTCAAGCTAAAGAGAAAACACAGCAGTGACAGGAGTTCTCCCAGGAGACCAAGTACCAAGACGAAATATATCACCCCAACTTTTAGATGAAGAGGACACCAATACACGAGACAAAAATTTAAGATGAAAGTTTATTCGCGGGAGAGAAAGATCCCTTTATGAAACCTGAGGAGGAAGAAGATGCCATGTCAGATACAAGGTCCAAGCCGACATGATCAGAAGCCAAGACCCAGATTCCATTAATCGTTGAGCACTCCAGTTGAGACCAATACAATGGGAGACTGTCGACTTTAGAGGCGCACAAGGCAAGTCTGTATGATCGGCCATTGCAGTAAGCGCGCCTACTTGCGTGGTAGGCAGGAGTTCACTATTCTCAATCTATTAGGCGAAAGACTTCGAAGAATATAAGGAATGGCGGAAACGAACTCTCTTAGTAGCCACATTAATGTAGCTGGATGCATTCAAGACCATTCATAGCCCGCAGCCGAGTGTATCGGGTCATTCAACAGCTCTTGGGGGTACGATATTCCCGCCGATGCAATAGTTTGGTAACGTTCTCATGGGTTTTTGGAGATTGAAAGCTCGATAATGATCCCTCCGCTAGTTCACAAACGAAAATATCCATGATAAGCGTTCGTTGGATGCCGACCTCCATACTGGCCCGAATCTATCATTGGATCCGCCGGAGACGTAAGAGCCAAGTGGAAAGACCAAGAGCCGGAGCTGAGCTCCCGGCTTGTTGGCCCTTGGCCTTTCCACTAAAGTCTCGCATGTTGGCCGCCAACCCATTAGTATAAGCTGTCATCGGGCGCTGAGACTCTGTCCGAAGATACCAGAGTGGGCGCAACTGCGCTGCCAAGATCAACCGCAGAAGCATTCCAGAGGTTTGCTGCTGTTTGGCCCTCTAATGCTATCCAAGGATGTGTACGCCTCTCCCAACGCTTCATGCCGCAAGCTTCCAAATCGACCTTCGTATTTTTGGAGGAAGTTGTCATTTTGGGTCGTTGTGCCGAACTGACGAACTTTCGGTAATGTATAGACCGATTGCTTCTGTAGAGAGGCAAAAAAGCGGCCAGGAGGCAAAGCCTAGAGAAACGCAGCGACCGGCCTGAAACCCTCCCATATGCTTGAGCCATGGAATTCAACATCTCTTGTTTTTCCCATTATATTTTTGTTATTTCGTGCTGGCTTCGATGGCATAGCGGTTATATCTTGCAAACCTCAAGTTATCGCGACCTTTTGAACAATAATGCAGGCTAACGTTGTTCTCAATTAGTTGTAACTCGTTGTCGACCGCCATGGAAGTCAAAGGCTGAATATTTGACCAAGGTTCGGCAGCTTAGAGCATACAGAAGGGGTTGGAGAGAAAAAAAATCCAGAGGCGGCATATGTATCAACGGGCCAGAGCAACAGAGAAGTGTCAGAAGGCCTTGCCATCAGCTGGAAAAGAAGCCTAAGCTCTAAATTCTCTGGCTTGTGGGCGGACCGTTATTTGGCGATTTTGGAGGCAGAGGCAAGATGGAATACTCGCATAATTGTATATCCTATGTGTAGTGGGGGGTTCTGCTAATAGACTTAGCGATCCTGCTTTACCAAATATTTATAATAAACTGCAACACTTACCAGCGTGATTCAGGCTGTGCCATACTCCGACAAAGTACCTGGTTCTATGGCCAAAACATAGGTTCACGTCTACTAGCATCACCCGAAGTAGTCGTAGTGCAACAGCTCATCGATTGTATAGTCTGCAAGGCTTAGGATAATTCTGGGCTGGAGATGGCCAAAATGTCGCAGCGGCAAATGATCGAATAGAATTCATCAAGAGACATACGTATCTTTCAATGATGCGAACGAACAGAATACTGCTACCGTCTAAGGCAAAAAAAAAAAAATGAGATGAGAGCAAGACAAGTGCTGTAGGTTGGCCTTCGGGCTATTTTTGCATTCCCACATGCCGCTTTGTGTGCCAGCTGCGAACGAGTGACTCACCTTTGGCTGACCGTTAAGGGTTTGAATCCCACCTCTCAACAATGATTGCGTAATGATCTATATTCATCCGTCCTCAAATACAGGCAAAAGGATTGTCTCCGTATCCTAGTGTTCGGATACAAAAACCATGGACGGCTTAACAAGCTTGCGTTAGCGTTTAGATCTCAAGAGTAACGGTAAGTTGCTGAGGACTTACGCACAGGGAGTGTAACATCTCGAAGGTCAAATCACATTTCACGCTCCTCAGCTGACACTTGAATCTGGTATGCCATTCCAGTTGCGATAGAAGTCCGCATCTCATGCCCATGTGCGCCGGATATGCGAATGAACTCAACTCAACAGAGGTTTTCCAAGTAAAGGCGAGTGAGGCGGCAACAGATCAAGGCCACCATAGAGATGCGCCTTGTAAGGTGTAATAATGCCAATCTTTCTTGTCAAGTCGCAGCCGCGAAAGTCCCTATTGAGCCCTCCGTACTTTAGCAGAGCTCATTGAAACCAATAACCAGAACTGACAAAGCGGGATGAACCGAACGCGAGGTTAAGGTACCAGAGCAGACACGCTCCCCTGTATTGACAAGAAACTGGCCCCTTTAGCCCTTTTCTTGCACACCTCCATGTCGAAGAATCGGTATGGCGCAAACATAGCATCTTCGTGCCATGGCGCCCAGCGCCAGAACGGGCCCTTGACGATGTGCCCAAGGGTAGGTCGCTCCAAGGTAGGCCAAGATGGGGCTGTGATTTGAAGAAGAAAGAAAGATTTCAGGAATGTAATGTCTGACTAGAGCCTTGACGCGTCAGCCTGCCGTAATTCTCACCGAGGAAGGCGATGCCTAGATTCCTCTCGCTTAGACATTTATCCGCCAAGGCATTCAAGAGAGACACTACGGAAGGCCGCCATAAGAAGTCTAAATAGGTGGAAGGAAGTATGTCATCAATTTCACACTCTACACGTTTCATTGCGTTACAAGGAATAATGTTGGTCTACCCGATTGAGGATTGTGACTGTTGAGCCTGGTCTAGTTTCCTGGGATGGAACCCCTCTGTGCGATTCACAGTCAGCCACTCGGCCTCTGTAGTACATGTACAGCGTTCTACAACTTTCTTATTTTAGAATAGGGTTTTTATGGAGCTGTGATAGTTTAGAAGGGCAGTAGTAGGTTGAGTGTATGTGTAATCAATGAGGAATGCTTTCTTAGAATCAGAGAAGAAATGGGTTGAAGACGAAGCAACCGTAACCAAATAAATCGCAATATCGACTAAATTCACAACCACAAACACAATATTCCCATAGTCTAGTCGCTGAATCTGGAGTTGAGTACAGCACTTTATTGCACCGGCCTTTGCGGCCTCTATTGAACCTATAACATCTGAATGCCTGAATGCAATCTCCATACGCACAATAGTAGGCCCTCCGTTTCTCCATACTCAGGCAATGTGTAGCTGAAATAGCTGTAATTTGTAGAGGATGCCTTGGGTAACTTCCGGAAAATGGATGCCGTCCCCATGCACTGGCTCGTGGGACTGGTCTCTAGAAGTGCGACCAGGCCAGCGCATGGAGACAGCGGTCCCCAAACAGAATTGGGCGTCTTCCATTATCGACGGCCGCCCGAGTTCCCTGGAACGGGATGCCACAGATCCCGATAGCGCCTTGGATTTAGGTTGTTTTGGAGCTGATTCCCTCGCAGCTGTGTGGTAGTTGTGAAGGGTATTCGCAAGTTCGATTCTCCACGTTCGTTTTGTTCAGGGAACCCTCGACTACAGCAGGCAACCTCCGTACGGCGTGCACCCTGGGAAGCCACTCTCAGGAGAGTCGATGACGAGTTATGACCTATCGCTAGCGAAGCCTGGGGCGTGCAAAATTGTTCAAAACAGGGTAATGAATTGGCAGGCTAAGGAGTTGCCGCCGGCCACTGCGTTTCTTCCAGCTCCTTTTTTTATTTTCCCCTTCATCTCGTAGATCTTCCAACCAAATGGGAGATTTTTGCCACCAAATTTGGGTTCGTGGTTCGTGGTCCAAGCAGCCGGTATTTTTCGCTTGCTGCATGGACCGATGTTTCAAGATCTCAAGAGAGACGAAAGAACAAAAAAATCGACAGGGAGTAAAAGTGCAAAAAGAGAAACTATCCGACGGAGACAGGATTCGAACCTGCGAGGCCGAAACCATATGATTTCTAGTCATACCCATTAACCACTCTGGCACTCCGCCTTATTGGATGGTGGGACTTCTTGTCGTTCTAGCGCTATTTGAGTCCCGCTGGCGCCGAGCCTCTGTTAAGCTCGCTCGACAAGTCGAGTAGTATGGGAGCTCTGATCAAGATAGCATATGTTGGCGTAAATAATAGCCCTTACAAGGAACCTCATCCATTTCTAAGAGTAGGGCTCTTCCTTTAGGGGGTGAGATTAGACACATCCTTTGGCTCGTTTTCCAGACGAGTCACATCTTGTTGTTGCAGTTCACACAGCCCCCGAATCTTGCGTGTGTTGATTTCATCAAGCGTGAGTCTGTAGTTCTATCTGCCTGGCGGGTATAGCAGCAGTGTTTGTTTCTACCGCATGTATGTCGCTGATCTTGTGGCGCCTTGGACTAGAAGCGCTCTGGCGACGGATATAACCACTCCACTGGTGGCTATCGTTAGCGTAAAGCAAGAATACTCCCAGGATATACATACATTGAGCCAGTAGGTTCTCGTAACTTCCCTGGGCTCGAAAGCACGAGCCATACGTTGAACTTCAAATGTGGCCGAGCAGGTAGGTATTCCCCCGCAGAGGGTGATATTGTCTTCGTTATCAGAGATAAGACCTCTCGAGTTGGTCTCCTCGTTGAAGCATGCTGTATTTCGCGACTCGAAGGAAAGACAGTATCGCTACACCGTTTCTTTCATGCATAGTAGATTCTGGAGAAAATGGATCTTGGCTATGGAATCAATCAGCTCCATGCTCTTGTGCCATTGTTTCTGAAGGAAATACAGCTGCTGAAACTGACTGAATCAATGACTACCAGCTTGGGAACCACTGGGAAATTCCTGGCCATTGAGGCGCAATTGAAATTATTGATCCGCTTCGGTATTCTTGGAGAATAGGTGCGGGAGAGAAAGCATATTGCGGCTGTTGAGTGATGAGGATATGTAAAGCAGCAGCAGGGGGGCTGAACAGAACAGCCACAGGTAAATGAAGAAGAGTTTCAGCAGAAATGGATGCTATAGAGACATGGCATTGTTGTTGTCCGCAGCTGTGCAGCTGGCCCAAGTTTTGTTGAGGTGGTGGGACCTGTCTTAATATCGTTCGTGGCAGCACTTGCCACTAATGGGTCCGTTAGTGATTTGCACTCGAATCTTTAGAAGGGCCTACCGAAGACTGGTATGCCCATAGAGCTATTAATCCTAGGGGTAATTGATTCACCCTTTCAGACTTTTCCTGCTATTTGGGCTCATCTAGTAGGATATTGAACAGTATGCGAGATAATTCTGATCGTGGGAGACTCTGACAACAGCTGTTTTTGGCAAATTCGCATCACGAATTTCTTCCTTGGCCTTTCTTGCGTATCAGATGCCTTCCATCGAAGAAAGAAACAAGCGTCTTCGTTTTCAATCTCTTGCGCAATCATCATAACCTTATATAAAGAAGAATCTCCCTGGAAGTTTGTCATCCTGCGGTGATTGCTTGCCATGGACGTTAACGAGATCGGAGGTCGTCATATAAGTTGACAGGCCAATATTTCATTTTTTTTTTTTTCGGATAGCCCTAATCAGTGAGAGGTAGATAGTCTACCATCAGCCTTTTTAACGCATTAACGAAAGGATTGATCCAACCTTGACGGCTTTCTTTTTGTTCGGTTCATTTTACCGAAGCAGAATTCGGTAAGAGCTGAGTTGTCCATACACTAGTGCTCAGACTCTAACTTCGACGGTTGCCCCTTTTCGCATGCGTCGGTGGCAGCCATGTGTAGCAGCCATTTCCAACTGTTTGGTGCTGTTTGCGGCGCATTCCGGCTCCCTGCGGTCGAGAAATCGCGACTCTTGCAGGCTAAAAGCAATCCAACAAGGCGTAAGCATGTTTCTAGGTGGCGAAAACAACATAGCTGAGGGGCTATAGATGTCCCTATCGCGGAGTTGTTGGTCTACGATGGACGATTGTGGTCAACCATCATTCGCCGCGTTTATAAGCGTTCCCTGGCCAGAATCATCTTTTCGTTTAATCTGATAATTATTGACAACCGCGTCTGAATGAGATCAATTGCTAAAACTTCGAGGCTCTGTGAATGGCATCAAATTCGCCATCTGGCTCCTAGGCTGCTATCTATCACGTGGTGTCACTCAACCCACTAAAGGATATCTTCAGCACGCACCGCCATTTTCCTGGTTTTCCTCTGTTCATTGTCTCTTGAGCTAGAAAATATACAATTTTCTTTGTTCCTGCACGCAGAGTCCGAGCTCGGTGCCTTTGAAGAGTTCTCGATAATTTCTTCTTTGACCATCACCTTCTGTAATATGAGCCCAGTATCAGGCAACTTGGCCATTCTCATTCTCTTCCACTGAACATTCAGGTTCCTCGACATCTCGTCTACTTTTTCATACAAATTCTCCAGTTTCTTACCATGGCAAGGCTCGGTAATTTTTAATTATCCCTGTTACTCTTCACAATTGATGCGTTCAAACCACCTCCAAAAGTCTGCTCGAGGAGGCTCCGATACAACACATCTCTCCTTCGTGAACGAATCGCCGGAAGCGAAGTAAGCATTAAATATGCCTGTCCATCTGCAGTAATTCGTAACAGGTTGCTGACAGCGCAGAATAGTGTAGGCCACATCGATAAAAGGGCCAAGAGAGACTCCAGTAAACTACACTCCGAACCTTGCTCGGCAGATACTGGAGCCAAATTCCAGACAATCCGCACCCAAGATACTTCTGCCCAACAAGCACAACCAAACTTCGCCGACCATAGTTTTCTTGCTAACAGTGATCTTGCAGCATAGATTGTATGTACTCACATCCCGCAGATGAGCCTACCAGCGTTCAGCCATCGCACCAAAGGAGGCCCGCCTAGGAGAAGAGAGCATCAAGCGTCTCATGAAGATATTCTCTGGTATAAGGCCTACCAAGTCCGTTTGAATGTGCGAATCATGCGGTTAGGGGAAGCAGAAGGAACGAGAGTACACAAGTGCTGTAAAAGGGGAGATCAGTCCATTAAAAGTCAGTCTATTTGACAGCTCAATTATAGTTCTTGGAAAGGATGTCCCTCAGAGTTCTCTGGTGAATCATGATAACTAGTCGAATCGACAGGCCTCCTGCGATCTATCTCCAGCTTGTTGTGCCTCCTGGATACACGCATATAATATATCATGACCCTGAAAACTGCCTGAGAGTTTACTGAGATGTTCGATGGTCTCGTAACCAAGCTCACGACCCTCTCTTGCGCAGTAGTTTGCACAACCCGCACCGGGAGCGCGGCGCGTCCTCGTATGTAAAACATTTTCTGAAATGCTGACCTCGAATCAAACGCTGCTCCTTTTGATTTGGGCATCAACCTATTATACACCACCATAAACAAGGATGATACTCTCCATGACATGTTTGAGAACGAACATAGAGACGGCGACGTGTCAAGAACAGCCATTCCTCACACAACCACCTCAGCACTACAGCCCAGGCAACCACGAGCAGCATGGGCACGACACCGCACCAACCGACTCCGAGGACGAGTCGTCATTGAACAGCGAGGATGGAGAAATTCCAAACGAACTCAAACCGTCGACTAATTCACGGCAGACTTGACTCCAACCGACGAAAGACCGCCAGCCCTTCACACGAAACAAAAGAGAAGACGTCCAAGACACAAAGCAAATCTTCACGGTTCCCCCATCCGACAGCAGAGCCACATCAGCTGTCCACCGGCAACTGTTAAATAATACTTCCGCAAGAAAGACACTCGGAACTCCGTGACCCTGGAAGATTTCCACAACAGGATTTAGACATGAGCATATCAATAAGCGGAGGAAACGAAATCAACGTTCTTATCCTAGTCAATGAGATACTTTGAACATCGGATATCTCGTGAGAATATGGTTTTTAGCATTCTCGGGCATAGAACGAAAAACTTGTCGAGCTTTGTCTGTATCATTGTGATCCAGAGCACACTTGTTGAATTTCTTGTGCCGGCAATGGCTCATTCACTGTTTCGCCAGTTTGTGAGCGAGGAATCCAACGCAATATTAGACGAAGGCGATTACTTACTCTTGATGGGATACTCGGTCCTCGAGGCGACTAGTAAATTTCTCTTTGCAACAGAGCCCAAGCCCAGTGTTTTGGAAGCGCCGTTGTTTGTTTCTGCTGCGAGGACATAGCCAGGAATATCGCATGCTTCGATTTTTTCGTGATTCAAAGGTATATCGTTCGAGGCCACCTAGAAAATGTCAGAAGAAGAACTTGCCCAAATGTCATAGAATACGCGCCTAGTTCCGAGCCGTGGCCAAACAGCCCTGGAGCAAACGGCTACTCCGGCGTTTGAAGAGGCTCCCGCAGGGCGTGTACAAACACGATGGGCGAAAAATGAAAACACACACACAAATGGCGTAGACGTTGGCTCCAACTGTTGGAAGTTAGATACTTTTCCAGCAGCCAATATCAAGGGGATGGATTTCTGGAATATCGTTATTTTCTCGCTTGCGTTCACAATCTCGCTGGAACTGAAATTGGCCATTACCTCTCGGCTAGACCGCATCCTCCCTCCCCTCTCTCCCTTTCTTTGTTACGCGAGTCGAAGGGTTCTTTGTGCCCCCTTCGATCGCTCTACCTTTGGAGAGGCCCCCGCGAAAGGGCCATCCAAAGAAAATAGGGACCGCAAAATGAAAATACACACACAAGTGAGGAATAAGAATGAATTTGTAACGAGTTGAGTGGGAGATTTTGACACCGTTGCGGGGTAGCTTCATGATGCGTGCCTGCAAATTCCTGATATGCGCCTGCAGCGTCTGATATAGCCTTTGGCGATGCTACGCGTTCCAGGAAATTAAAAGGCTAATAAGTTGTCGAGAACAACGGAGCTATTTCCCGATTACTCTCCTCTTTCTAACTAATTACGCGAGCTACTGCTACTATGATGGCCCATAGCTATTGCGGAGATCCAGTTCTTCCAAGCTTTGGTCCCCCTTGCCTTGATTAAACGACTAATTGACCGACTTTCATGACGTCGCCTTGATCACCAAAGTAGAGCCAGCAGCGATGTGCTTCGTTGTGTACTTTGGCTCTTGGCCAGTTACGAGTGGCTCTAAAGTGAATCTTTGTTTATTTGTCCACCTTGGATTCATTATCCTAGCCATTGGCCTGCCCAGGTCTTGCATTCACCATACATGAAGTGCAGCAATTGTAGTATTTTCCTCCTTGTAATTTGCAAGGATTTCAAGCCACACGTAAATAGAGTATATTTTTGTAGGGTGGTGTAATTTGATAGTACTAGATCCATGGAATTGGAGTTTCTTTTGCAGGGTCGTAAGGTATTCCAAGGGCGTTGTGTCGTTGTATCGCTTTATTTCTTTTTATGGCTGTCCCCATTCATTTTCGGCAATCTCCAATAATCAATAAAAGGCAAACTCGTTCAGCTGAAAAGAGGTAAAAGAGCGGCTTAGCTGAATAAGAGTGACTCTTGAAATAAGTGCGAGGTACGGAGAGGGCGTGCGACGAGTTTGTATAGCTGTTGCAACGCTGCGCGTCTCTCGAAGATCCAACAATCTACTCATCTGCGGCTGACATGATTGTAACAGAAACAGAAAAAAGAAACAAGATGGAACAAAACTAATTCATAACAGCGGCCAAAATTACAATTAATTGTTTTAAGAAGATATAATAGCGTCGAGTATGTCGGGTTAATTGACCGGCGACGCATCTTGAATTACAGGTTAGGCATTCTCACGCAATCAGCCGTTGCAACAACCAGAGCGGCGCTCAACCACCTTCTGAACCTCTCCTTCTCTTGTAGCATCAAACAAAGAAAATTTACAACAAAGAACACCAAAATTTTTGCTTTGAACAGCAAAAAAGAAAGAATCGTTGTTGAAGAATTTCGAAAGTTAGCAAAAAATGAAACCGATGCGTAATCTGGGAATCGAACCCAGGGCTCCCCGACGTTGCTCGGATGGCAACGGAGAATTTTACCACTAAACCAATTACGCTTTAGATGTTAGAACGCCTAGGTATTTTACACTATAAGCCTCTAGCCCAAATATTGCCAACTAATACATCGCAAATTGACCTGACAGCCACAACTACAGTTCATCATCATGCGATTATATATCGTGTCCCGATAGCAAAGACTTCTAGCCTTGTTTACAGTAAAACCAGTGCCTTTTATGCCTCTAATGATTGCTTCAACACCTCCAAATATCCCTCCGTCTCGTGCTCATGGGTGAATCTCAAGAAAAACAGCTCGCTAAGGGGGTTACACTACCTGGCAGCGCTTAGTAACGGCAACGTTTTATAAGACAAAAGTCTGGCGATTCAAAATTTTGAATATTGAAAAAATCGTGGTTTGTGAATGTGTGAAAAGTTATCAACATACGCCAGAGAGAATCGACTCTGTTTCGGAAATTGGCTGCCTCCGCCATGCCAGTCGACCATTGGATCCGACGCCATAGTCGGCCACTTCCTCCACCAGATCCCAATTCCCTGTGACGGGGTCCTTTTGCACGAACCGAAAGATGATGCTGGAGCCAAAGTCTTCAAAGATGAGCTCGCGGCGTCTGAGGCGCATCCACTGCTCATTCTCGTCGCCCTCAATCTCGTTGACGATTTCTGTTTCGTTGTTCTTGATGGCAATGGCTCTGAAGACTCGACTATCGCGAAGGGCGTTGCGGATGGGATATTGGCCCAGGATTCGGATTGCATCTTCTCTGACTTGCCGGTTTCGGCAGCCAAAGGAGACGACAAACAAAGGCCAGGTGTATCCGGCATCCATGGCAAAGCCACAGTTGGGTCGGGACTGCAGCAGCTCTTCGGCGAGAGCATTGATCTCGCGATATTGGGGAGTGAGGCCTCTGACAGTAATGAGGCTCGAGTAGCGCGGCACAGCCGTGTAGATGTAGAGGATCAGATACTCGATACGAATACTCAGGGCTTGTAGATAGAGAGAACGGTTGGTTTTGGCGTTTTGCATGATGGCTTGGTGCATGGGCTCGTATGTTTCGGTCCAGCGCTGCAGCCAGTACCGAGTCTCTGCGATGAACTTGACCAGCGTCGGGTTTGATCTGAGGCTCCCAAACTTCCTCTCTATTTCGGCCACGTCGACTGTTCTGTGGAGAGCAAGCTCAGAAGTTAGCTTGTTCAGCATTGGCACATGGCGCACCATCTGGCGCTGGACCAGACCCCAGTAGTCACGCATTTCATCCCACGACTTGAACGCACGCGGCATGTCGTCTATGGAGACAATGTTGGTTAGCTTGGGTCGAAAGTACGGAGAATTTTTGGTAAATGGAATTATTCCAGGCGGTCGTCTAAAGGGGGGAGCTTGAGGAGAGGATGGATTGCCCTGGCTCTGCGGACTTGGAAGACCCGTTGGCTGAGGGCTTTGATGAGAGGATCCAAGAGGCGTCTCAGGCTGGCTTGAGGAGCTCCGAGCTGTTGGTTGAAGGGAAGAGTCTCTGCTGCTTGTTTGTTGCTGTGGCAGGTTTTGTGACGACAGCAGCAGTGGTGAAGGAGAAGCATGTGCCGAAGAGGATGATGATGGTGAAGGTGATGAAGGCTGCTGGCCAGTTTGCCCAGAAGGAGGTTGTGGCAAGACAAAGTATTTTCTATACGACCCCATAAAGGACCTTGACTGCAGCTCTAGGGGTTTATAGCAGTCCAAGATGTCTTGTACAAGGGCCGGCGGCGCGGGAGCAATGCTAACAAGATCGGGTGCTCTATCAGTGCAGTTGGCGAGCTCGTTGAGCATGGTAAAGCCGTGAGTTACATGCTTGAGAGCGGCAGGTACATTGCCTCGCTGAGACTCAAAGCACACAAATAACAGGGAAGAAAGCAATGCTGTCCTCAGACCCTCTCTCGTGGGCTTCATTTCAGACTGCATGCGGAGGGCCTCGCAATAATAGACAATGGCATTCATATAGTGCCGATTGTTAAGCTCAAGCCCCATCTCTGAGCCTTGGACCTGATATGCCTTTCGGAGCGCCCCCACAGCCATGGCGCCGTATCGTAGAGTGTTGTCTTCCAGTGTGACCTGAGGCATTGTGGCCGTCCAGAGGCGAGTCTGGTCCAAAAAGCCGCCGAGGTAGGTGACGGAGAGATTAGACCACTCGGCAAAGTAGTCTCGCTGGTCATTGTTGGCGAAGCGGATGCTGTTGACGGATGGCTCAATGATGAGCAAAGGAGCCTTTTTAGTGTGGATGAGCTTTGTATTGGACGATGAAGCGCGGGGCTGGAGTTGTGAAGAAGAGTCGGAAGCATCCGAGTAGGAATCGCAGTAGCCGCGCCATTTCATGCAGTTGAGGCAGGCTGGCCGGGTCTCGTCGCATTTGACATGGCGTTTCCTAGGAGAAAAAGACAAGGGGTGCTGTTAGTGCCCGCAACCGTTGTAACGTGTGAAAGGCTAGCGAAGATCGAGATGCATGGATGCAACTACCAACCACCCAGGGAGGTAGTCTCAAGGCAACTAACTTACTTGCCTGATGTTCTCGTCAGCGACGCAGTATCAAAGAAACGCCAGACAAGAGGCACTTACAAGTGTTGCAGCCTGTGCGTGCGCGGGTGGAGCTGCGTCGAGTGTGCCTCGTTCTCGTGTCTAGAGCAAAGCGATGGACACCGCCTCGACCTCTTGATGAGGATGCTGGAGTTGAGAGGCTATATTTGCAAGAGAGAGGTTCTCATTGTCAGTTACCAGCGGCTTGGAGATAGTAGTGTGCATGGGATCGATTCCACACAAGGCCGAATTGACCGCTTCGATAATGCAGGCCATAAAAGCTAAAGAGGTCATGGCATGACTCAACTCACCCTGTAAATGTGCTTGTAGTGCCGCCCTCGCCCTTGGCGGTGTTTATCGGCAGCGTAAACTGAATCTCCATGGCTTGTCGCGGTGACGATGCATCGGCGGGGCCTCGACTGCTCTGGTGTTGTTGGTTGGCGTTATGGAGATGCGCTCCAGAAAAATGGAGTTGGCGCTTCTGTCGTTTTTGACAGCTCGTGTAGACTTATATCTTACAGACGGTACTGACAGATGCCGCGGCAAATATTGAATCCTTGTTTCTTCGACGGTGCTCTTTTCTTCTCTCGCTCTATTTATTTTAGCTCATCTCCTTTTCCTCTTTTTTTAATCGTCCTCTTCTCTTCTATTAGTCAAGATGAAACCGCGGAGATTTTCAGTGGAGCGAAAACGGGAAAGAAAAGAAAGAGAGAGAAAGGTGAAACCAAGTCGTTGCAGGACTGCTAGCTCATGATCTGCGCTCTAGCCTTATGTAAAGGATTCATGGAGGAGACAAAGACAAAGGCCCTTGCTTTGGAGGAAATGCAGATCGAGAAGAGCGGGCGTCAAGTTGGGAGCATGCAGAATAAGATTATATGGCGCAAGTCAGCAGCCAAATATGAAACCTAAAAAATCTCTGGTCTTCAGAATAGGGAAGCTCGCAGCGAAAATGACAGACGATAGGATCTGGATAGATGTAACGTTTGTATCCGCCTTGGCGATAGCAGTAACGAGTGGGACAAGGGGCAGGTTAAGAGGGAAAAAGAAGAGCGACAGGATTATCAAAGACAAAAGACAACGCAGGACCCCCCCTAGTTTTTGGTTGGCAAGCTTGGAAAAAAGGCTACCTTGGCAGGTAGGAGTGGGGAGTTTAAAACAAGATGGCATGCCGCTATCCTCACGCTTCAGACAAGGGTGCTGAGTCGGAAGCAGAAACCGGCGCCTGACAGGGGGATGGCTCTTTTTAGCTGGCGCTGGCGCGCTGTTGAAGCACGATTTAATATGGGGCTGGCGTGGAGATGGGTTTGATTTGATTAGGTTGATTTGATCGGTGGAGGAGAAACGGCACTTGCTCTCACTCTTGTATCATCTGGTTGTTGATCATATTCTAGAATACATACTAGGGACGATGAATGCTGCTGCTGCTCTCCATTAATACTATCTGGAGTTGTTTTCCCGAGTAAATGCCCGTCTGTCTGCGCCTGTGCGTACAGCCGAGACAGCAGTCGATTACCTAGGTATGTCTCGGTAATACGAAGTACTGCCTGTCATGTCCAGCAACATATCTTTAGCGTATCTTTCGCTTAAAAGGTGGCTTGAAGTCTGTCCCAGCAAGCCGAGGCTCGCACCACGCAAGGCATCAGTAATAGCAACAGGCAGCAGTACAGTAATATGTTCGTGGTCGAATATGAGTATGTGGGGATGGATTATACTCTATCAAAGCAAAAATTACAAACTAGGGGGGGGGGGAATGGTGGCAAAAAGCTGCTCTTTGTTCTTGTTCTCTCTGCCCCTGTGCCGGGTAAAGCCCCAATCTGATAACCACCACTCCACACAATAACGTCACACGTGGATTGTAATCAAGAGGTGACGACAATTTAGTACCTATATTATAAGCTTAGCCGAGCTCCAAGTCAGTCACAGCAACTTTCTGGCCGCCATGTTTTTAGTTGGCCGTTGCCACTGCCCTGGCCAAGTCCCCAGCACTGCTGATAAGTGGCGCTCCCCTCAAGACCTAAAACGGTGTCGCCGAGCAGAACTGCTGTGGATGCTATAAAAGGCGCCTAAATAATATGCGTCTTTTCCTCGTTCAATAGATTTTCCAAAATGGTAAGAATCCAGTTTTTGTACTACTGTGGTCTCCCTTTATGGATAGGAATAATACAAAGACCCAGAATTTGATTTTTTTTTTTAGGGAAATACGTGGCATGTAGCTGTCAGGGGCTGCTAAGTGTCGAGCTCAAAATTCTACACATGGCGTGGATGGATTGTCTTCCTCCTTGTTTTTACAATATTACGAGCTTTTCAAATGGCACGGTGATGGTTTACTATTAGGAATGCCTCATGCCTGTGGCAGATGGCTTTCCTCTATCCCAGCCGGAACAGTCTTGTTTAGTTGACTCTTTCTAGAAAATTCTCCAAGAGCGCTTCCACCTATGATTACAAGGTACAAACTGACATCAAAGCTTAGGAATATGGGAGAGCAAACAATGTTTCATTCTTATCCGATATCAATGCGGCTAGGCATTTCGTCGATACAGAGGTGGCTATGAAGAATCAGCTATATCAATTTCCTTGAGACACAAAGCCAATTTCAGGGGACGAGCGACCGAATCTGAATTGTAACGCGACAAAGGAGAAGACAAAGTACTGGAAGACGATGGCGAAGAATAGACCCATGCATCTACCGCGACTACGCTTGTTTGAGAGCTTTACGCTTCGTCCTTGTTCTCCTTCTTCCCCGGCTGCCAACCTCGAGAGATCCATCGACAAGGCCTTGAACGAAGAAATGTCCACGATTCGATGCCATAATACGTGTGTTCCTATGTGATAGACTAGAGGAGCAGCATGCATCTCACTAGGGCGCCATTGATCTTTATTTTCGGCCCTGACCAGCGTGGAGGAGAAGGTGGGATATTGCGACCTCCGTGGGGATATGATGCAGGCAAGATCCTTCATTACCTAAATAATGTATCACGTTCAGTTCTCCAAACGGAATCTTGATTAGGCTTAAGTGCTTATGCGATAGTTGTAAGCATGCTGCCAAAGACGGGATCGAAAGTCACTAGGAAGAGAAACCGACTGGCCTAAGAAAGACGCTTGTCTATAGAAAACAAGACTATGGGAATCAGCCCACAAAAACCCACCATCCACATGTCTCTTCTTTTCCTTGGAGCAAGGCAACATGATCAACTAGAGGTCCTGGCACTCATTGGCGCTCAACGGCCAACAACGCGTCATCCGGTAGACTATAGTATGCTGCCTGTTGTTCGGCGTTTCATCTCTTGTATCTAATTTATAGAACTGGCGCTCATCAGCCTTTTTTGGCTGCAATAAGGCCCCGAACAGGCAGGCTATCTAACCACCACCCGTGCATACGTCGTTTGTCCAAGTGCCCCACGTGCCAAGTGCCGAACGACAAGCATGGAATTGGGACATGAAGACATTAAGCAAGGCGACAAATCGTACTATACACGCATGATGACAAACTCCTTATTATTTGTGTCCGTGCTTTGCTAAAGAAGCCGGCTCATCGGAGGGGCGATTGACGAATCTGCCTTGTAATACCTCCACATTGTCTTCTATTTTTGTTTTTGGGGCTGAGCTTCGTCTCCTCTTGCATCCTGACGGGCCGATGAATATTGATGGCTAGCGGCCTTGTAGCTGCTAAGGAAGCACCGGAAGTTGCATAAGAGCGCACTCTTTCTTATACTCTGCCGTGCAAATCTGGAGATTATGACGGGTAGAGCGGCTCAAGACGCAGGACAGGAGATTTTGACTTTTATACTCGTACGTTTCAGAAGTGACAGAAGCGCCAGGGCTCGGAAAAAAAGACAGTTGGACAGGGCTTGAGCAACGGTGGAGGTTGGCGGCGGCGCTAATCGTTTTTGGTGGATAAAATCTCGCGCATTGGCGAGATTTTCTTTCCCGCAGGGAGATGGGGTTGCCGTTCAGGGCAATTTTCAACTGCTGTCGATCTGTGGTTTGAGCTTAGCTAAAGCTGCTGTATCTTGGCTTTGATCTCCTACAAGTACAAAAAACAAAGAGGAGACAAGCAGTTACTAAGCTGCAATCTCTAATAGTCTGCAGTAGTATGTATGTGCTGATGTACCATACTTGTACGATCTAGTAGCTACCTGACATGGCTGTTTTAATTAAAGCGAGAAACCCCGAAGCTGCCCCTGCTCGCTCAATATTCGTAAGCAGATAAATAGGCAAATGTTCAGACGTCTTCATTTTTCGTATTAAACGGAGTTGTGCTGCATGTTTGAAAGCATCAACGTGCCCCAACACGCACACAAAGCCGATCTACAGACGGCCTGCATGCACGGCAAAGGCTAAAATGAAATCTACAGGCAAAAGGAGGGTTTACGAGGGGCGGCCAGCCACATCTCCACGGCTAAGAATGCCGGGGCGCCTGCAAAGAGTGGCCACGCGAATTTGACAGGCGCCTCGTTCATGTATGCAGGCAGACGTTTTGTTTTTGATGGACCATTTTCTGGCTGATTGAAATCGCGGGTCGGCCTCATTTGCGGCTTGTATCGATGGCGAGTCTTTTCATCGACTGGAATTGAAACGACACCATTGAAACGTGCGCAAAGGGTCAGACAATAGGCGCAGCGGCGTTGTGGGCAGCGAGAGACACTTTTGACTCAGAACAAGAATTATATTTAGCACGCCGCCGTTCCTGTTGGGCCGAGGGGAACAAAGTGCTGACGCGGTTCTGCTCATACGAAGAAAGGATCTGTTATGCTTTTTGCGCTGCGGGCATCGCTGAAAAGCTTCATTGTCGCCGCCCTCATCCAGCCCGATATTCCCGCATTCAAACTTTGTTATCCTCTCATCCTATCTCTACGGTATTCAACATTTCCAGAGCAGTTCAATCTGCCGCCCGTTTAGACGGCTTGGAAAAAAAATACGAAAAAACAATCAATGCTTAGATGAGACATACGAGGGGAAAATCTGGGGGAGCGAGCAAGATGTCGCCTGTGCCCCACACGCTGGGCCCAGACAGTACTAATAACAGCGCAAGGGGGACAACGGCTTTGATTCTTGCGCCTGAACGGCCAGCTCGGAGGTCGTCAAAGCGCGATTATAGAGGACTCATGGGCCCGGAAATCCGCGCTGCCCAGCAATTATCCAACAAAGAAACTCATGTGCTCAAATACCAACCGTAGCATCTCCTCCCCTCCAGGACGAGCCTGGGTCGTATTGCTTGTAAAGACGAGAAGGAAAATCTCGCCATCAGCCTCGCCTCATTAAAATTCCACCCCCTGGCCGCCACAACAATCTCCATGCCTCGTCTAGACCTGACGCTATAGCCGCTCTCAGTTAGCAGCCCAGGCGGTTGACCTGCGCCATTGGGAATTAGCGGCAGCCCAGAAGGGCCTCAGCCGCCGCCATAGTGCCTCGAGTGCATGATTTTCTGGTTATTCTTAGGCAGCGGCTTAAGCAGCTGAGCTGCCGGCCACAAGCCACCACGCGCCTTTATTAGCCGTTACGAGCTCTGGCTGCTAGCAACGGGCTAATGTAGCATTGGACTTGGTCCCTTGCCGTGATGCCGATTTGCAAAACTCTGGCGCATCGATCGTGAGCTGACGAAACCTCTCCCTTTTCTCTTTTCTTTTATCTCTTCTCTTCTTTGTCATCGTCTCTCGCCAGACCGGTTGAATAAAGAGGAAGAGGAAGAGGAAGAAGAAGAAGCCATCCAGATAGAGCGTTGCGTTCGGGCAGCTGCTCCGAACCTTCTTTTCCCTTTCTTCCCAACTCTTCTGTTTGTCTCCATCTCCACGCTCTTTTCATCACACTTTACGCCGCTAACGTTGCGAGGCCATTAAAGCAGACAGCAGTGTCACGAGACGACAAACCCCAAAAGCCATTCGCTTCGCAACTTGCCACGATCGCTCGACCAGCTTCCCCAGGCTGCTTACTTACCAAGGAACAAGAGACATCCATCGTCATCGTCATCGTCTCGACACATCCATCTTTGATTCTCCCCTTTCCCCAGGCCCTCTTTTTTTTTTCCCTCTGCTGTCTCATCTTGCAGTTCGCGCGGCCTGTGCTCACCCGCATCTTCGGCGCCTTTTCTTCTCTAGCCCCCAATCCCTGTCGGTCAGCTGTTGGAGAAGCAGCAGCTCCTCACCAGATCCTCTTTTTTTCCCGTCTATAATAATCAAATCCATTGATCGGCGTTGGCCCGCCACTGGGCTGGCTTTTCCAGATAGCTAAACAAAAAACAAAAAAAGAAACCAGACACACAGACAAAAAAAAGGCGCGCATCAGATCGGCTTGATTTCAACCCACCTCGTTGGGTCAATTGAAACGCTGGAACTGCCCTGCGACGATTTCGAACCCGCAATTGCAGTTGATCGTCTCCACGGCCAAGTCACAAACCATCTCGCCCATCTCGCCGAAATCCAATAGACTCCCTGAATCCCCGAGCTCGCCATGCAGCGCTACGGTTCGCATGGCAACTCTCCCGAGAGAGAGCCTCTCGACGCCTACCATGGCCCCCCAAGCCCTGCCTACCCCCACGAGACTCCCTATCACGACAGTGTCTCGCCTCAGCCTCAGCACTACCGCCAGCCTCCGCCTCCTCCAGTGCCCTCGCACCAGGACCACGGCTACGAATACGACGACGACGGCCATGCGCCTCCACCGCCTCAGCACCACCAGGGCAACGCCGGCTACTTTGCCAGAGGCGATGATGGCCACTATGACGGGTATGCGCAACAGACCAGACCAAACCCCAACTCCCGTGGATACTCCCAAAACAATGTGACGCCCGGCTCTGACAACTTCAGCGACATGGCCGCGGGAGGAATGGCCGGCATTGCCTACGGCGTAGCAGAGCGAAACGCGCGAGAGAGCGGCATGCAGGCCATGCACGGCGGCCTGCCTCCTCCGCCATCCCACGCGCGATATCCCGACGGCGGCAACGGCTACGGCTTTGGCGGCTACCACCAGGACTCCGAGCAGGGCTCGCGCACCAGCTTCAACCCGCTGGGCATGCCGGGAGCCAACAGCTCGCGCTCGCCTTCTCGCAGCGCACGGGATTCGCGCAGCGCACGAGACCCCTATGCCGACGACCACTACCCTCAGATGTATGCCGCGGGCTCTCGAAATAGCAATCCGATGCTCGGCATAGTCAATCCTAATGAGATTGTGGACGACGGCGACGACGGACTGGACTATTCCCGGCGTAGTCAGCGGAATTCCACCCTCGGCGCGTCTGATGCGGCAAAGGGAGCTGCGGCGGTGACGACGGCGGCTGTTGGAGCTGGAGCGATTCGAAGTGCGTTGGGACGCAGTGGTGAGTACAAGATTTCTCTCCCTTTCTCTTTACAATGGGTTTCATACTTTAATCTGGTCTACTACTTTGCCTCGCTTCTCCCCTTTTTATATTGTTTTATATGCTTGTTTCTTTCTTCCTTCCTTCCTTCCTTTCCTCTTCTCTCTCTTTCTCTTTGAAATCCTTAATAATTAATACGTGTTTGATATATAGCAAAAGCAGCCGATGGCAGTGGCAATCGCGCAGGAGGCGAAGGCGGCGGCATCTTCGACAATGGTAGCCCCGAAGAAAAGTCGGCCTGGATGGCGCAGCACACCTCCCAAAGCAAGAAATGGCGCTGGGCCATCTCCATCATCGTCATCCTGTTGATTATCGGCGGTGTCGTTGGCGGCGTCGTCGGAAGCCGCGTTGCCAACAAAAGCGGTAGCAAGTCTGGCAACGGCAGCGGCAGTTCTAAAGGCGGAAGTGGAAGTGGAAGTGGCAGTGGCGGCGATGACGGCGGTGATCTCAACATCAACAGCCAGGAGATCAAAGACCTGCTCAACAACCCCAACCTGCACAAGGTCTTCCCTGGAATCGACTACACGCCTCTCAACACCCAGTATCCCGCCTGCTTGACTGATCCTCCTTCGCAGAACAACATCACTCGAGATGTGGCTGTTCTCAGCCAGCTGACCAACAAGATCCGTCTCTACGGCACTGACTGCAACCAGACGCAGATGGTCCTCCACTCCATCTCTGCTCTCGAGATGACTAGCGACATCAAGGTCTGGATGGGCGTCTGGCAGGACAACAACGCCACTACCAATGCTCGCCAACTTGCGCAGATGTGGGACATTCTGGACAAGTACGGCGACGATCCCTTTGAAGGCATTATCGTTGCCAACGAAGTGCTCTTCCGCCAGCAGTTCACCGTTGCCAGCCTAGGCGAACTGCTCGACGACGTGCGAACAAACCTCACCAAGAAGAAGTTCGATCTCCCAGTCGCTACCTCCGATCTGGGCGACGACTGGACTCAAGCTCTCGCCGACGACAGTGACTACATCATGGCCAACGTCCACCCGTTCTTTAGTGGAACAACGGCAACCGAGGCTGCTGACTGGACCTACAGCTTCTGGAAAGATCACGACGGCCAGTTCTGGAAGTCCGACAAGTCCAAGAACATCATCTCCGAGACCGGTTGGCCCACTGGAGGCGGCCAAGACTGCGGCGGCCCCAGCACTTGCGACCACCCAGCCGTGGCTGGCATCGACGAGCTCAACACGTTTATGAGCGACTGGGTGTGTCAGGCCCTCGAGAACGGCACAAACTACTTCTGGTTCGAAGCCTTTGACGAGCCGTGGAAGGTCATCTACAACACTGCCACCGAGGCATGGGAGGATAAATGGGGCCTCATGGATGCCAACCGCAAGCTCAAGGACGGTGTGAAGATTCCTGACTGCGGCGGCAAGACAGTTTCGTGAAAGAAAACAAAGAACAACCAAAGAAAGAAAGAAAAAAAAAAATATTGTGGATGATGTAGGAGAAAGTACAAAAAGGGAACCTGAATTATTCGAGGAGGCCTTTTTGGAAACAGAAAAGAAAAAAAATATCCGAAACAAAAAAACTGTTCTTCTTCACGGCTGATTGATGACGAGGCATGACGGAAAGGGAAAAGGAGTTTTACGATTCTATCTGTTGTTTTTAATCACATCCGACCTTTTCTCTTTCTTTTCTTTTCCTTTCTTTTTCTTCACGCTATAGACCTTGAGAGTCTTTTGTGCGTGTATTTTTCTGTACTGTTCTTCTCGTTCTTCTCTTTCACCTTGCCCATATTGCTTCTTCTTCCCAATACATGCTGGATTAATTGTTTACAGCTGGGAACATTACATATGGATGGTATCATGTCATTTATCTTCTTTTTCTTCTGCCTGTTTGCTGCGAATCATGGCATACGCGCATGTATCGTATCACTTTACAGAGAAACTGGGCGTTTTAGGGCAGCATGCGAGGATCACTTGTGTTTGTTTGTTTGTTGGTTTCTTTCTTACACCCCAAGGCGGGCATCCATCATTTTTCAACTATGCGAAGCAGGCAGGCAAACTTCTGTTTACTGTAAAATCTGGCATTGTACCATTTTCCATTTCTCTAAACTATGCTCCAAACTCCCTTGAAATGTGTATCTAGACACATGCGACCGATATGGGTATAACTAATTACAGGGAGAGGGCAAAGATGGGCATCTAGCTGTCATGTAGATAACATAGCTAGCATGCAGAGAAAGAATGCAAATAAAACCTGTCCCTTGCGGACTGAAAACCATTGTCAGAACCATTCTTAGAACCATTCTTAGAACCTTGTGAGAACCCTTGTGAAATAAACCGTAACAAACAAATAGACTGCTGCATTCATTCATGAGCGTCGTTAGTGCTGCCAGGCGCTTGCTGCACCGGCACATTGCTGAACTGGACTTAGTCCCAGTAGATGGAGGTGCCATAGAAGATGTTCTTGCCCTTGGCCTCGGGGAAGGCAAACTTCTTGTGGGTCTTCTCCATGATCTCGATGGCGTCGAGAGTGCACTCCTCGGGCTCCCAGCGGTAGTTGACACTAGAAGCTGTCAGCATCTGAAGCTAGAGAAACGATGCAGTGATGGAGCAGAAGGGGGGGAAACTTACTCGGACCAGACATCCCAGCCGGTGCCGATGAACAGGGCAGGGAAGTCGCCGTTCTTGAAGGCATGGGCGTAGACATCGCGGTAGAGGTGGACGCCAAAGAGGAAGGTGTGAGAATCAACAGCGTCAAAGGCGACGGGAGACTCAACAACCTCGTGACCCAAGGAGGTGATGAAGGCAATGTCGGAGACCTCAAAAGCCGGCTCCTGGAAGATGCACTTGATGGGCTTCTTGCAGAACTTTTCTAAGCGTTGCATTTTGCGTCAGTGAAACGGTCGCTGAAAGAGAATCAAGGACACAGAGACGGAGATACTTACCAATCTCCTCGACAATGAGAAGGAACGCGGCAAGCTGCACATGAGCCTTCTCCTTGACGGACCAGCTGCCGTTCTCAGGATCGAAAGATCCAATGCCAAGGCAAACGGCCTTGCGGACGGGGTCTTCGCCAGAGGCCGAGTCCTTGAAGGTGTCCCTGACGAACTCCTTGATGATGGCCTTCAGAACGCGGTACTCACGACTCTGCTTGTACTCTCTGTACGTATAGAAATGTTGACCAGCAATGGCCTCCTTGCTGAGAAGAGGGAGGGGGTCCATGGCCTTGATGGTCGGCTCAAACTTGATGGTCTTAACATCCGCAGGCTTAGGAACAGGCTTGGGACGACCGCCCTTACGCGATTTGACCAAAACCCAGGGCTCCTCGCGCTTGGGAGGCTCCTGATGGAAGCTCTCAGCCAAGAGACCGTCAACTAAGGTGCCCTCTCCAGTGTTGGTGCCCTCGGTGGCGAGAGCTTCAACGGGGGTAAGAGCTTCCACGGTGGAATCCTCAAGGGTGGATTCCTCGAGGGTGGATTCCTCGAGGGTGGACTCCTTGAGAGCCGCCTCCAACATAGCAATCTCCGTCATGGTGAGCGGGGATGGAGGGTTGGTTGAGGGAGAAGCTGAGAAAATGAAGGAATGAAAATCAAAACGTGCTGTGCGAGGATGGAGGCTGACGATGCTTTGGTGAGGATGCTCGATGCTCGATGCTCGAGAGAAGAGGTTGAAGAAGAGAAAATCGAGAGAGGGAGAGGCTCTGGCTTCCACCACTACAACACCTGAGCAGCACCTAAGGCTTTAAGGCATCCACCTGATGGTGGCAGGTGCGAGCAGATGCGGTGAGTGGTGATTGAGTGGTGATTGAATGGTATATGAGTGATGAGTGAGTGCTGGCAGGTGAGAAGGCACCTTGAAGTGAGTGACAGGTGAAAAGTTTTAAGTATCTCTATAGTGGGGGTTGGGTGGGCAGGTACCTGTGGGTGGGAGAGTGTCAAGTAGCTTATAGGTGGCTAGCAGGTGCTGAGGTACCTATAAGGCGGTGGTTGAGCAGTGAAGCAGCAGGTATCTGTTGGTGGGATGCAGGTGACAGGGTACCTGCATGCACTTAAAGTTCTCCCACTGCACGCCTTCCTCGAAAGATTTCCATTTTTTACATTTTGTTTCTTCAGCGCTGCTGTTGCTCGAGTGTTTTCTAAAGGCTACAAAATCAAAATCAAGGCTAATTTCCGTCGTAGCCTTTTTTCATTAATTATTACCTTTTGGATATTTTTCTTGTCAATCCTACATCTTGGAACACCTTTGCTTTTCCGGGTTACTATCGCGATTCACCTCTGATAATCAATCAAGTGCAAATCTAGTTCATTTCAGCATGCCCCCTGCTGCGAAATAGTGCAGATGCGCGGTGATGCGGCGAAGCCCAGAGAGGACTAGCGCTGAAACCTTCTTGAGCGCACGGGCCATTCTGCCGAGCGAACAGCAACTTGCTCAGGCAGGAGCTGGAGATGGGCACGAGGGAAGGGAAAGAGTGACGCAGTTGGAAGGAAAAGGAACTGGAAAGAAGGTGCTTTGTCGGTTGAGATTCTGACCGCATTTTGATTTTGCTGGGGGCGATGACGCGGCAATGGCCATGATGATGAGAATTTCGGATGCCGGGCGTGGAGCATCACTGCTATGAGGGCCAGCGATATACACGATCGAGGCAGAGGTCAGTTTAAGCTCTTTTTGACAGATTGCCAGCTCAGCACTAATTGGCCAAGCATCACCTAGCGTGATGCATGTAACACTGCCGCTACTCTCCTGTGCGCCCTGTCTATGTTTGAATGCCTTGTAATATCCCTGCTGGATGCTTCTGTAGCTGCGGAAGCTCTCTGTAGTTGTGGTGAATAGCCTGGAAATCATGGCTTTGAAATGGCAATTGTAGCACAGCGAGAGGAAAAATCAAGAACAATTACAGAGATATTACATTAAAGAGATTCTTCTTTTTGATTTTTTGCTGTTAACTGCTGCGCTTTATTTGCAGCGTTGCGAGACACCCTCGAATAGGGCTGCGGCGGCAGCTTTTGCAAGTCGCGATATGTGCTGACCAATCATGTCCGTTGGTTCGTGAACCTCGAAAAATCAAAACGGTCTTCAGCCACCCTCGCAATGGATTACTAAGACTAACTCCGAAAAAAAGAATCCAAGAGGCTGTCTTGTAGAGTCGGAGATAAAAGAAAAGGACTTTTTTTTTTCTTTTACAATGCCGAAATAATGCAAAGTATAATTGATTTTTTGTGCCGTGTATAGAGCCGAGTCAATTACATGCAAATGTAGAAAGCCTCTTTCTTTCAGCTCGGCTTAGTCATCCGGTTTCTTTTGCCCAAAACACCACGGAATTATACCAAGAAGCCGAAGTGTGGCCCGGCAACTTCCACCAGGGTCCCGGGATTCTGGGTTACACCGACCTAGGAGTCTTGTCCAGCGAATTTCTCTCGCTCTGTTATTATTGCTGTGATATTTTCCCTTGGCTTACCGGCTTGCTAAGTCCCCATTAGTCGATCTATTTCGCGGCTTCCATTACCCCGTGCGTTCTCCTCACTCGGCTCATCCCGTAAGCTGTTTCTCTACGCTCTACGCTCCAGGCCTCTCTAGTCTTAATCCCTTGTTGGCTAATGCATTGGCTAATGCATCTCTGAATCTCAGGGTCCTACCCCAGACGAAGCCAGTGTACCATGCTAGCCGTTCGAGCGCTAAAGATTTCCTATCGGACGCTATATGCTACTAGTCGCAGTGGTAGCTCGCCATGGCCAATTCTGCCCGGATAGCAGCTCGAGACACATCGAGTCCATTTGCCTCATTGAGTATTTTTTACTCCAGAAAACTCTATCATGCTAGGTTCAGTTCCCTATTGGCTCCAACAACCCTGGACAAGCGGATCTCTTCTAGGCGATTTGTCGCTAAGCTCGCTCGTCCACCCGAGGCAAAAATCGGACCTCCGCCCACTTATTGTCAAATGATATCACACAAAAGATATCGCCGAAAGCCCCAACATTGCGAATGCTGTACCCAGGTAACACCATGCGATGGCAGTCTATTGCGAGATTGCCAAAGACGGCCTATGAAGACGGCCTATGACCAATCATCCTTTGATATTGTTTTGTCAGACCCGCCCCAGCTTCAAAGCCGATCCAACTCCGTCGTGTGATGTTTGCTGGATCCGTCATCATAGCGTTGCACCAGGCTGAGAGGATGGCGGGTTTACCAAACCAACAGCTAAACTACAAATAACGTCTTGCCTGCCCAACTTTTCAGATCCGAGATATCCACTAGACTTCAACTTGTCCTTGAGCTCTTTTCAAGTCGGAAGATTACCGGATTGAAGTTTTGCAACGTAGCTTAATCGGCCTACTCCAACTTTCGCCATGGCGGCTCAACTCCACGCGCAAATCCCCACCGATAACCGCACAGCTTTTGGGTCGGTTAACATTCCTCCCGTTGTGTTCCCCAAAAATGTGTCTGCCCCATCTCCAGACCTGGACGTGAGCGGCGCCGCTACCACTGCAGTCAATGCGCTAAACGAAGCGCTCAAGAAGGGCGACTATGAAGCTGCCGCCAAGCTCTTTGTCGACCAAGGCTATTGGAGAGACCACTTGGCTCTAACTTGGGAATTCCGCACAGCGCAAGGGACCCAGGGTATTACCAGCCTCTTACAAGATAGCTCCAAGTCCAAGGATGGATTTCGCTTGAAAGAAATTACAATAGATTCGAGCTCAGCACTACGAGCGCCCAAAGTGGCTTCACTGGATGGCGAAGGCGAGGTTCCGGGAATACAGTTTTTCATTAATTTTGGAACTGTGATTGGATCTGGAAAGGGTGTCGCTAGGCTCGTAGATGACAGTGGCACCTGGAAATTCTTCTCAATATACACAGCCCTTGACGAAATTGACGGCCACCAAGAACAGCTCGGCGAGAGACGTCCCAAGGGAGTCAAGCATGGACAGAAGCGAGGCCCTCAGAACTGGGCCGAAAAGAGACAACAAGAGACTTCGTATCAGAATGGGACTCAACCGGCGGTTTTGATTATCGGTAGGGATTCTTCTTTCTACAATTGTCCTTTCAAGCCATGACGATTCTCGATTGTGCTGCTATTATATAGACCAAGATTTTTGCTAATATTCACAAACGATTACTAGGAGCCGGACAAGCTGGATTGACGGCAGCAGCAAGACTGAAGATGATTGGCGTCGATGCCTTGATCATTGAGCAAAATAATCGTGTGGGAGATAACTGGCGAAAGCGATACCACAACCTCGTGCTCCACGACACTGTTTGGTACCAGCACCTGCCATACATTCCTTTTCCACCGCAGTGGCCCATCTTTACTCCCAAGGACAAGCTAGCTACGTTCTTCGAGGCCTACGCGACACTACTCGAGTTGAACGTCTGGACAAAGACGGAGCTTGGAGATGTCAAGTGGGATGATGCTACAGGCAGCTGGTCTGTCACGGTGCAACGGCAGAAGGAAGATGGCACGACAGAGACACGAACTCTCCATCCGCATCATATTATCCAAGCGACAGGCCTCTCGGGATTCAAATTTGTGCCGAAGCTGAAAGGCATGGAAAACTTCAAGGGCGACCGCATTTGCCACTCTTCAGACTTTCCTGGATCAACGCCGAATAGCACGGGAAAGAAGGCCGTAATCGTGGGTTGCTGTACTTCGGCTCACGACATTGCCCAAGACTTTGTGGAAAATGGCTACGACGTGACCTTGGTCCAAAGATCGAGCACCTTTGTCGCCTCGTCCAAATCCGTCAGCGACATCCTCCTTCGCGACTTTTCAGAAGGCGGTCCCCCAGTAGAGGATCTAGACTTGTTGTTCCACAGCCAGCCCACCGCGGTGCTCAAGGCTCTTCATACATCCTCTGCCAAGAAACAGACCGAGCATGACCGCGAAACACTCGAGGGCCTGCGAAAAGTTGGGTTCAACGTGGACAGCGGCCCGGATGGCGCAGGCCTCCTCTTCAAGTACTTCCAGCTGGGAGGACGCTACTACATCGATGTTGGCGCTTCCAAGCTGATTGTTGATGGTAAAATCAAGGTCAAGCAGGGCCAGGAGATTGCCGAGGTGCTGCCCCACGGTCTACGTTTCGAAGATGGCAGCGAACTCGAGGCAGATGAGATCGTCCTGGCCACGGGCTACGGAAACATGCGAGACAAGACGCGCCACATGCTTGGAGATGCTGTTGCGGACAAGATTGGCGACGTTTGGGGCTTTGGCGAGGGAGGGGAGTTGCGGAATATTTTCCAGCAGACTGGCCATCCGGGTTTCTGGATTCACGGAAGCAGCCTGGCGCTGTGTCGGTACTACTCGAAGGCGTTGTCGCTGCAGATTAAGGGCATCGAAGAGGGCTTGTATAAGTACGGCGAGAAATAGAGTCGGGCTTGCTGAGGCAACTGTTTTGTTTTGTTTCTGTGTATTAGTCTTGGTCTATTTCTTTGATATGATGCTGGTACTGAATTCAAAGTTTGTTGTACTCGTAACTTTACACGGAACGAAGAACAATCCACTTTTTTTACTGGAGCTTTGCCGAGGTGGCGCTATTGAATCTGAAATAGCGCTGATCTTTGCGCCTCAGCGCCACAACAGATTGAACACTGCGTACTGGTTTGTCTATAGATTGATGTACTTGGGAATAACATTGCGGCGCTGAAGCCATCGCGGCAGTATCAAAGGCACCACAGCATTAAAGGGATCGTGATATCACGATTCTTGGACAATTTTGGAAGCCGCTTCTCCTATCTTTTCCTGTCCTTTTTGCCAAAGCATTCTTTCGATTACTCGTCGTAAGCTTCCAACCAAAAATGACGTGTAGTGTGTGACATGTATTATGACCCAAGCTGCCGCCACTCCAACACCGTTACAGTGTTTGGCAGTCCAACGTATCAGGACGTTGGTCTGCCAATAAGCTTATGGCGGGTAGCATTTCGATCTTCCCAATCTCATATTAGGGTTTGCAGATTAACATGAGCCGATTTGCTACTTCTTGTGCGATAGGATACAGAGCATGACTCGGTTGACGTCAACGACCGCTGTGGCGGAGTATGTGCTCCGGAACACAGAGCGAGACGAGTCGCACGATGGAAGCGTGTAACAACATCTTGAGATCATAATTGTATTTCTGGAAGACTTTTTACCGTTTTTTTGCCCCAGAGTTCTCCTCTCTATTTCCACAATAGAAGATGCGAGTACCTTAACGACGTGGCCCCCTTTTAGAGCCGTTGCCTGTTGTGTTAGTTATTGTAAACCACCTAAGGGAGATGACAGAATCCTACGCATATAAATAAAATATTTTCTTTTCTGCGCCTTCTGAATTGTCATATCCTACAGTTGTATGATACTTTTGCATTTGACTCTGATCTTATCGTTTGGTTTATTTCCTCTTACAAAAACAATGTCTCATCCACCGCCTTCAGCGCAGCGCCATCCTACCAGGCCAGCGATCCAGCAACGCAGCGAGTCGCTTCTTCCCCCACACGAATCCAACTCTATCACCAGCATCCCAGTTACTCCAGGCATCTCTCAGGGCACGTACGGCAAATGCCCCAGCGGCGTTCCGACTTCGAGGCATCCTCACGCCGCAAGACAGGAGTATTTCTCCGGTCAATTGGACCCGGTCAACGAGGCACAGCCTCAGCCATCTCCCGCCTCGCCATTATGTGCTCGATTGCCCCTGATATCACGCTTGAGCCAACTGCAGCTTGGAGATGTTGCATTGAGCGGGACTGTACTCTCTGCTACCTTTCCTCTGCCTCAGTCGATACAATATCGTCAAGAAGGGACATGGGTAGGTAGTCACCTAGACAAGAAGTTTCGTTACATAAGAAGATAATCTAGCTAATACACATGACGCAGAAACTATCAGAACAAGCGCGCCATTGCTCTGCCCATCTGGATTCGCTCGCCTATCTCTCCTCAGAGGAGTGTCCATGGGACCATAGAGTCATCGCGTGGACTGGCGAGATAAACCGCGCGTCGGGTGATGTGTCCCCATCGGATAATGAGTTGAAGGCCTCGATTTCGGCCCCCGGGCATACACTGAGCGACGAAGAAGCGATTACGAAAGAGATATTCGTAACCAATGAGAGCAAAGCCAAACTTGAAGAAATGCTGGATAGTAGCCCCATACGAACCCTGCCGGTTTGGCTGGCCGATGAGCGCGATGTTACGCGAGATGGAATCAGGTTGAAGCAGCAATCGAGATGGAGGCGTTACGCAGAACACGATCTGCATGCATTATTCCATTATAAGCAGCATCCTCCAACTGATGGTCGCAAAGCAGAGAGTAGATGGGACGACTATCGCCGGATGAACAAGGCATATGCAGATAGGATTTGCCAAATCTATCAACCAGGAGATATCGTCGTGGTCCATGGTTATTACTTGATGCTTCTACCAGAACTTCTTCGTCTGCATCATTCAGACATTCACATCATTTTCTATCTAGAGTCTTCATTTCCAACTAGCGAACTTGTGCGATGCCTGCATCGACGAGAGCAAATCCTAAACGGCATGCTTGGATCCAACCTGGTTTGCTTTCAAGCCTTTCATTACGCGCAGCATTTTGCAAACTCGTGCGCCAGAATCCTCGGCTATTCTGCAAACAGCAAATGGGTGGAAACTACCAAAGCACGAGTCCACGTGAGCATTATTCCGCTGGGAATCAGCATCTCCAAGATTACTTCTTTGGCTTTTGCAGAATCAGTCGACAAAAAATACAAAGAGCTACGCCAGCTGTTCAAAGGGACCAAAGTCATTATTGGCTGCGACCCAATGGACCAGTTTGGAGGCGTCGACAAGAAACTCCAAGCATTTGACTGCTTCTTGGACCGATATCCAAAGTGGCAGCAAAAAGCCGTCCTACTACAGGTCACGAATCCAGCCACAATGAAGGACGACGATGGCGAGAGCATCGCATTCGCTCGCAGAGTCAATCAGCTGGCCGACGCCATCAATCAAGACTATGGCTCGCTGGACTTCACACCGGTCCAGATGCATGCTCAGAATCTCTCCCAGGACGAATATTTTGCTCTTTTGCGGCTCGGGGACGTCGCCATCAATACGTGCATCAGAGAAGGCATGAGCACCACGAGCTTAGAGTACATTGCTTGCCAGCGAGACAGCCACGCGCCGCTCATCATCTCTGAATTCAGTGGGACAGCGAGCAACTTGGAAGAGGCGATACGAATAAATCCTTGGGACGTCTTCCATGTTGCTGATCAGATCAACGAGGCCCTGACGTTGGCACCTGAGAGGCGGAATTATATGCACAAGGCCCTGTATAAGCGTGTTGTGGAGGACAACGTGGAGATTTGCGTGAATAGCATGCTCCGACGACTGATCAAGGTGCTTAGGCTTCGTGAATCAGGGCATTAGCAGTCTGTTTGTTTCATAATTATCTCAACTGTAGCTGGCCTACGGCGCTTACAATAGTAGAATTGGACGTATGAGTCAAGAAATAGAGTCGGGTTATTCACTGTCAGACACACAGAATCACCATCACAGAGAGAAGAAGACCGAACGAGTATTGTCACCATCCTTTACATTGCCATCCTCTACCAACTTATTCACTCCTCATTCCTTCTGCCCATCCACTACCCTCACTCCCAGTCCGCCCTTCGCCACCATTGTGAATTCCGCCCTATTCCAATCATTATAATCAATCCATGCTCGTTGAATTCGCTCGATTGTCATTTCTCGTGTCTTGTGTTCCCGCCTTCCACTGTCTCAAAGACTCTGCAGTGCTTTCTCATACTCTTTAATTCCGTAGTGCTTTGAATCAGGCTGCTTTGCGCCATCGAGTTGTTGTTTGCGATTCTTTCATGGATTCTTTATTCAATGACCTCTTTCAGGTCACTTGTGACGAGTGCGTACCGATATCATTGTCGATGCTGGAAACAAACTCGACCAAGCTTGTCCTGAGGCCCCAATAGACCATCCGGGAATCTTTCAGCTAATCCAGAGCAAACTCTTCTTCTATTCATCCCGTAGACTCGCAGCTTCTTCTCGGCGCCCTACGTACCGAGATCATTGTCAATGCTGGACACAAACCCGATCAAGCATTGTCGATGCTGGAGACGAATTCGACCAAGCTTAGCCCGAGGGCCGGCTGGAAGGGGGGGTTTTGTGGAGAGAGAGAAGCAAAAAGCTCCCCGCCAGGCCGATCAATCGTATCCTAATTATTGCAGTCCAAAGAGGATTGAAGAAGGTGGAATGATAGTAAGAAAGAGAAGAGAACGAGCGCGGCAGAGGGAGGGAGTGTGGAAATATATAGACGAGCGAACAGATCAAAGTGGATAAAAGCAAACCAACAAACAATAGCGTTGGGTAAGTTAGGTTTGCTTTTGCACTTGCTCCCTTCTTGTATTGTCCCATATTTCGCCGAGCCATGCGGTCGAGTAGCTTTACGGTCCTAACTCAAAGGTAAGTATGGCTTGATGGCAGCGGCGAAGGGAGGGTTTGGGCCCACTGTAAAAAAGATTTATTTACTTACACTGTCTGCCATGGTTATTATTAGCAATCATCTCGGGCCGTCCCGCTTGTACGAGTCTGTATTTGGTTTTGACGTCAGATTGAGCGAAAAGAGTGATAAAAGAAGAAGTCACCAGATGTTTGGACCTCTGTAATAAAGGCCTTACGCTTCTAAGTTTGGCTTCTCAAGAGTAACAGAGACAATTTGGGGCAAAAGGCGTTCTGGATAAGTTTTCAGGGCTGCTTAGAGCAGTTTATTCTTCGTAGAAATTGTTGCTTTCGAGACGCAGCATCAGAGTTCGGTTGAAGAGTTCGGCAACGTAGCGATTCCATGAATTCTTTAGGGATAGAGTATATGGTTGCTTTGAACCTAAAAAGACCTTGTTGGTCTGAGTTACTTTTGGGTTTCGCTGTAATATTGTATCCTGCGTCTAAAATGGACAATCTGGGGGCAAAGCAATAGCGAGAAGGGCGTGAAAGAAGCTGGGAAAAAGCTCAGTTCGCGATGTGGCCTCAAATCACGACGTGGTGGCGTAATAATCTATGCGAAATTGTTAGCAAATCTAAATGTAGATGGATTTTCGAACAATGGAGACTTTTCGGTTTATAGAATCGCGTCAGAGATGAAGATGCGAGGTTTGCCTCCTCTGCTCCGTGTGACTTGCAAGCCCAGTTGCGAGGAAGATGCCATTGTTTGTCGCCAAATAAGAGTAGTCACCGGAGATAATCATTTTGACGTTGTTCATCGCATTTGTTCCAACAGCAGATTGCGACATCGTAGCTACAGGCCGCGGCTGGAAGTTGAGTATCGATGGATGGGGGGAGTACATTGCTAGGAGGCGCACTACCAGCAGAGGACCTTAGCACTTAATTACAGCAAAGATAGAGCACCGGTTGCTTGGACCACAGTTGAAAGTTGTGTCACGGTGAAGACATAACAGAAGTGAAATATAATGCACTCCAGTAGTATCTACGCACGTTTCTATGTCATATATACCTGAAAAGCTACCCCCCTTAATCTGTATATTAGAGGCACCTGAGGGACTTTTGATGCTACCATTCACAATTACTACATATGACACTGTCAAATTGATGGCTCTCTTCTCCAAGATGAACACAATCAAGATGGAGATGGCGGCCAAATATATGGTGTCCCACAGTGGCCTACAGTGAGCCGTCCAACTCGGTATCTCCTTAGCGATCCCCTCAGCTGCCACCGTCGCTTATTCGGGGCCGGTGGCAGCTGCTGCTTTTTGGCCTTGGTCTCACCGCCTTGCCACAGCAGCTGCCTCTGTGTCTTCTTTTGAAGCAGACTTCTCTCCTCTGGTGTCCCGTTTTATTCCTCTTCTTTTCTTCATCGCTCCGCCACGAGCACCACCAAAGCACCACCTCCGCCGCCCCCCAAGCCTCTCTCCCTCCACTCACAACATATTCTCCCTCTCTCCTCCTCTTTCTTTGCCTCAAAATCTTCTCCTCAAGGAGGAGAGGAGGGAGGGTGGACAAGCAAAACGTCTCCCCTCTCTGCGGTTGCTGGCGTATGTGCCTTCTAAAGGTCCCATTCCAACGGGAAATCCAAGTGAGGCTTCACACTTTGTTTTTCCTCTTTCTCTTTCTTTTGACACATTTGGATATCTAATGCAAAACAGCACCACTTTCTCTTTGATGACCGCCTACAACATCACTCAAAGAGGATAGTCTCTCCATATGCGGAGGAAATGACTCAATGACTAAAGGTTAGAGGCTCATCAGTCTTTTCTTCGGTACGTTATTCTCCAAAGCTATTTACAACTGGGTGCATGGTCTTACCAGAGAATAGCTGCCAACACACAAATTATCTTTCATCCCTCGGCGCTGGGAGGCTCCAGTCCACTCAGTCCATTCCCCTAACGGCCAGAAGGAAACACTTGCATCTGCTGCCCATACTCGGAATAATCACGGCATTGGGCTCTGTTAACATTGCATCTGTAACTGCTGCTCTGGAAGAAGGATGGACGATGGAGGATTAACCAGGACAAATATGGGAAGAGCAAAGGGTTATAGGGATACTACAGTGGGTGAAGAAGGGGGAAGCAAACTAGAATCGCAAGTCCAATCCAATACACATGCACTGAACACTTTCACATTGAGTTGACGCAGCATTAGTGACTGGATGACCTCTATGTAGCGCAGACGCTCCATTAGAAGTTTTAGCCGGTTTAGCCAGGCACGACTCTTTGCATCGTTGAAGCAGAGCAAGCCATCTGTCTTCCATATTCTCGCATCAGCATAGCTTTCCCTCTCTCTAGCTACACCTGAGACATGAAAGCCTTTACTGACTGACAATAGATTCTTGGATTTTCACGATTTGACACTATCTGTTTGTGCAACTAATCCAACAAAGCTATAAGTGTCGAGATTATCGCCGGGTAAGCTCCATAGAGCTGTCGTCGCTTGCAAGGAACTTCAAGCAAGTAGGTGGTAATTCTGGTTCCACTCCCATCTGTCAGCTCCCCTAGCTAACCGCCGCCTGTCCTCGCGGATAGGATAAGAGAGCGGCTAGCAAATCGCACATCAGCCGATCGGATGCTCATCTTCTACAAAGACCGCGACTGTAAGAGCTAGGGGATTAAAATGCCTGTCCGCGGCTTTGGTCCCTGTTTTCCGCAATTGCCGTTATGATGCCTGAATAGAGCTACATCATCCCTGCGGTTGCTCGCTTGCCTGTATGCAGGTTAAACAATAGCATTGAATCGGAAGCAAGATCGAGCCACCTTGAACAGAGGCGGTAACATGTATACTAGCAAAAAGTTCGTGTTGGAGGAAACCAGAATCATCACCATAACATCGTGCCATCACATCAATTTCAATGTGCATATGCGCCGTGCTCCGCTAGACATCACCAACAGTCACAGAGAATCACCCACATCACGGCCAGTCTCCCGCGTCTTCAACGGAAGCACATCCCGCGCCATTTCCCAGACAGGCAACGAAATATCGATCCACCGCTGCAGCTGCTCGTCCAAAGCTCGTCAACCTCGTTGACTGCGATTGGGCCATCTCTACGGCGCCCTTGCATGCTTCATCTACAATCTGGCGAGTGCGGCCCCATCCAGCTGGCGATTGGCTGGGCATGCAGGCATGTTCGCTCCGCAGAGGCACCGCACCCGAACTGACAGGGTTGTGGGCGCTTAATTCATAGGCCTGTGGGCCAACCAGAGTCGCCGGTTTCTCACATCAGCATTGTGACGCCTCAGAAGGCGCCACGGGAATTCCATTGGCTTTGCCGGCTGCGCTGGATCCCATTCCGTCTTGGCGTGCTGGTTCCCGCCTTGAAAGAGAGGGAGGGGGGAGAAGTTAAGAAGAGGGTTGTGTGTTGTGCGAGTCGTTTGCAAGTAGCTTTGCGCCGTTTCAGAGACTGGAATGTACGCTTGTGCTACCACTCCCGGAGAGCGAACCATCAGCAAGTTGCGAGTTCGTATCAAGGTAAACTCGGCATTACAAATATTACATCCGCTGTGGCTGCGGCGGTATTGACTATGACAGCTCTAGAAGCTTTGAATAAGCAGCGGCGTTTTGTGGAAAACGTGCCAAAGACACAAGGCACCGGCCGAGTACGGAAAAGCCAAAACCAACTCTGCTCGAATGATGCTGCTAGCACTGCTAGTGATTTCGCTACGACAGCCAGCACGCAGAGAGCTAAGAAAGCATTGTCCTTGCTGAGGTCCAAGGTTCTACAGCTTGTATAGGAGTCCGCCTAGCTTCGTGCGAGCGTCCAACCGCCTGTCGGCCGTCTCTCTCTGTGGAACAAGACCAGCGAGTGGCCCGAGTTAGTCGGAATTATTTTGCAAGGGCCAACGTCTGCAGCTACGGCTTGATCTTCCCTGATTGGGCCAGTGCGCGCCAAGCCGTGCTCGAATCACAGCGGGGAAAAAGCTGAACACAAGACGGGTTCTCGATCCTCTGTCCACTCAAAGGCGGCGTCTCTCTCGCCTGTCTCCAGCTCTGGCCTAGCCCGGTCTGGTCCCCGTCTCGGGGTGGCGTCTATCCTTTTTCAGGGAAGGGTGGGAAGGCAGGCGAGGCAGTTGGGCGGCTGCGAATGCAATGGCGGCTTTTTTTTTCTCTTTCTCTCGTGCTGGCGGCACACACCACTAGACGGATGGACCAGGGCGGGCCTTGCGTCTCTTTTCGGCCCCCAGATGACCATTTCTTAAGACTGGCGGTTGCGCACGCTTCTTCTTTTTCAACTTCTTTTGTTTCTCTGGTTCTCGCGGACGACGCAATCGCTGTGACTTTAAGACTCTTTGGTCTATTAGTAATAAGACCCGGATATCCAGCAGCGAGATATCTATTGCTGAAGAAAGAGGCTGAGAAAGAGATAAAGGCTGGGCCTTTTGGACATTTACTCCACACAACACACGAGAGTGAGACTGCCGCAAATCGACAAGAGAGAAAAATCTCCCAAGGCGACATTATAATCAGCTGTATAACCGATCTGCGATTCCTTCTATACGCACACCTCAACAATTATACCCGATAGTTTTGAATCAAAGCGCCCGCGAAGAAGGAAGGCGTAAGCTCTGAGACACAAGTGTTGATCATCACGCCAAGCCGATCTACTTTTATTCATAAGAGAGAGAGCTACTCACACATACACACAACAACAATATGCGGCTGTCACTACTTCTCTCCCTCGCCTTGACGGCTCTTGTCGAGGCCCATAGCGTCCTCGTATATCCAGGAACGCGAGGCAACAATCTCATCACCAACGACACCTTTCCCTACGGCATGCAGTGGATGTATCCATGTAAGCAGCATCCGAGCAACAACCCTAAGCTTTTTCAATCCCATGAATAAACCAAATAGACTAACAAAGAAAACCCATCAGGCGGCGGCTTAGGAACCTCCCGCAATCGCACATACTGGCCCACCACCGGCGGCGCCGTCTCCTTCCAGCCAGGCTGGTTCCGCGGCCACCTCCAGGCCCAGCTCCAGATCAATCTCGGATACGGCACCGACGGCCCCGACGGCGGCCCGCCAAACATGTCCAACATCATGCTCAAGCCCTTTATGCTTCTGGGACCCTCGAACAATCCTTACCCGGGAACTGTGTGCCTGCCACAGGTGCCCCTTCCTGTTGGCGCGAATGTCAAGGCTGGCGATAAGGCGACGATTCAGGTTGTTGAGCTGGCCCAGCACGGCGCGGCGCTGTACTCTGTAAGTTTACAATTTCTATTTGAAATTTGAATTTCTTGTTTTAAAGAAAAATTATAAGGATGAAATTACTAATATTAAAAAATAACAGTGCGTCGACATCATCTTCGCCGAGCCCGGCGACCCCCGCATCCCCATCGTCAACGAGACAAACTGCTTCAACTCGACGCATTTCGGCTTCGCCCAGATCTACACCGTCACCACAAAGAACCCCGTCCTCGACATCGTTGCCTCAACAACCACCTCGGCCGCGTCGCTGCTCAGAAATGACTGGGCTGGATGGTTGCTGTTGGCTATTGGGGGGATATGGATGACCCTGTGGTAGTGGTTGTTAAAACTACAGCGCTTGGCGTTGATTGCTGCAAGATGAGAAATGCCTCTTTTTCTTTTTCTCTTTCTTCTTTTTCCTTTTCTTTTTTAAACGGCCTCTTTTGGTTTGCATAATTTTATATATACCCCTGGATTCTCGCTCTGTTGACGAGGGTTGGTGCCATATCTTCTTAATTTCTTGTCATCTCTCGGTCTCATGGCGTGGGAACAGGACAATGGCGTTACTGGTGTTTTAAAGAAAATCGGAGGAAGAAGCCATCTTTTACTCATGTATATACATATATATATTTTCATTACTGCCCCTTTGATTGCATAAATCGAGCATGGAGACTCCTGGTCAAACGAATCATTTGTTTATATATATGTGCAGAGCAACGTGATTTGTCCTCACGTTGCCAACTCTTGTGTTATTATGCTTGTATGCTTCGAATCATAATCCTAGATTTCGTAATCGTGCTTCGTGTCTATTCATATCCTTTTGTCTTCCCTTGTCCTTTATATCTATCCACCTTGGGCAACGCTCTCAGCCTATTGCGGAATTACCTTCAAACACTCGCTCACGACTCCCTTGATTCTCTCCTCGGAGCTCTTGGTTGCCGCGCCTTCTACCCATGCTGTTACACCCAGACTCTTGGCTTCGTCCTTGGATGTTGACAGGATAGTGCCGAGCGCCACCAATGCACGATACAGCACTTCGGAATCCGTCTGGTCATTAAGAATGACGCCAAGCACAGCAACCAGCCGTCGTCGTTGCTCAGGACCCAATAGCTTCTCCTTATTAACAAGGACAGAGTAGTTGACAGCCACGGTTGTCACCGCAACCAGCACATTTCGATTGAATTTGCCAATCGGCTCTCCGCCCTTGATGCCGACTATACGTTCTAGGAATGAAATAGCCTTGTCTGCGTCAGACTTGGCAAGGCTGCGACCATCAGCCGAACCAAATAAATTAGCAATTGTTCGAGCACCCATCATGGCCGCATTTTCGTTGGGAGGGAAATCATCAGGAACTGCTGATGCTGTGGCTATATCTATGAGGGTCTCATTTTCTGGGCCTTTAAACTGTGCTGCAATAGGAAATCTAGCCACACAGCGTAATAGATCCAGGCCGGCTAGTCGATCAGCGTATGGCCACTCGGTAACAACCTTGAGAATCACGTTCAATGTTGGAAGTGAGATGGGCTTTGATGAATCCAGCGCTTCCTTAGACGAGTGCAGGACACTCTCTTCTCCGGGATTAAGTGCAACATCTTTTCGGCCAGATGATATCATGGTCTTGTTGACGTTGCCGATTTTATTCAAGATGGCTAAGAAAAGAAAAAATTGTTAAAATCTCTCCTTTAGTCGAATTTATAGTAGGTTAACCAAAGCTTACCTTCGTACTTTGCAGCAGAAATACTGAGATATTCCTTTTGCGGCAGTACCTTTGCAGTTTGCGATTCACCTGGCCGGTAACGCGACTCGGTTCCATACGGATCAGGCCCAGTAGAAGGCTCGGGCTGGCCAAGGGTGGCTCCTTTGGTGTTTTCGGTTATGAAATTGGCAACGTTATCGAGGTAGGACAGAGGCAGCTCGTTGTCGTTGAGGAACTTGGTAGCTCGCTCGTAAGGGTTCTCAGATAGGTTATAGGGGAGCTTGAGCGCCGGCTTTCCATCCTCAATATCGACGTCGAATACGTAATCGTATGACTTTCCGTTATACTCGACTTTCTTGCCTGTGCTGCCAACTGCGTCCACCACGGTGCCAACGTTGATCCATTGCTGCTGAGCCATGGACCACGTGTGCGCTGTGACGTTGCCGTTGCTCTCTTTAATCATCTGTACTTGACCTTCCTTGGTCCCCGCCTTGGACGTCAAGAACTCTGGACCAGGAAGCTTCTCCTTGTTGATGCCACCGACCTGTTGCTGGGGAATGGCTGATGCTTTAACAGAGTCGTGGAACTCCTTCAGAGTGGCCTCATCAGCCGTGGCTTCTGGACGCCGGGTGAAGATGCGTGCGATGCCATCACTCGCTCCAGTGATGATGTCTCCAGTCTCTTGATTGACAGCAACTGTCCAGACAGATATCGCAGGGTGGGTGATGGTCTGAACGCATTCAGATCCTCTCCATATTCTCACGGTTCGGTCCTCTCCGGTGCTGACGAGTTCGCCAGAAGGCAAGCCTGCGAGGCTGTACACGAAATTCTCGTGGCCATGCAGCTCGCTGACCTGCTGGCCGTTGAGCTTCCACAGTCGCAAAGTGCCATCGTTGCTTGCGCTGGCAATGTCTGCGCCGCTGGGATGGCCCTTGGGAACCTTGCACAGCGCCCGAACAACATCAGGGGTATATATGGTAGCCACCGGCATAGCCTCGCCGCCCGTCGACTGCCTGAGGTCAAACACTCGAATGCTCTTGTCTGCACATCCCGTCACTACCGTTGTCTCGTCAAACGCAACGACGCTCCAAACCGCCATGCCTTCGTGGCCACCAAGCTGGAGCTCGGTCTCCCACTTGCTCAGGTTCCACACGCGGGCCTGGCCATCCCAGCCCCCTGAAACGAGGTATGTTCCTTTGGGCGAGACGTCGAGTGTGCAGACGTTGTGAGCATGTCCAATGAGGAGCCTCTCGGCATTGTCAGTTACTACCGAGTTGGGTGACTTGACTTCGATGATGGTGTCTTTGCCTCCGGAGACGACGAGGCCGTTGGGATGCTCTTGGTTCGGCGGGAAGAAGGCCAGGCTGTTGACGTATTCGGAGCCACGGCTGACGAGCGTGCCTTCGAAGTTTGGGGGAGTTGTCGACGTTCGCTTCCATATTCTGACGGTGCAGTCTCGGGACGCAGAGAGGGCAAAGTCGGGAGAAGGGAAGCTGACGGCGCGCACCTGTGCGGCGAAGACGTGTCAGTAGATGCAAATTTTGGGGCATATCGAGTGCTATATGGGTAGGGATTGGCGTACATCAGCCTCGTGGCCAAGGAGCTGCGCTGAAAGCTTGAATTCAGCCATGCTTTGGGAGCAGTTCTTTGTCTGGTGGGGAGCCGATGACGATGATGCCGATGATGCCACTGATGAGTAAGAGAGAGCAGAGAGAGAGAACGAGAGAGAGCGCCCCGAGCTGAAGAGAATAAGGGGAGAAACAAGGCCGGTTGGTGCAAATTGGCCGCAAGTCCCTAAAGTGAAGCAAGGCTGAATTGCTTTGTCATGCGATTGGGCGTGTTGGGCGAGAGGAGAGAGAGTTGAATGGATGGTGATGGAAGCTCATCAACAGCCGGAGTACGTACTCGCCGCTGGTGACTGCTGCCAACCCCACTAGAAGTTGCGCCTCTGCGGGTATTTTAGCGGGCGCTCCAGTGGGCTTTGGGGGGTTTAGAGGGGGGCGGCGCTTTAGTAAGCAGAGAGCAAACGGAACGGTGTGGCTTGTGCGCAGAAAGAGGCATTCATATGTACTGGCAAGAATAACCTGTTTTTAATAAAGTTGGGTTTTTTAAGCTCCAAGGTTGGGGAATACTAGAGAAAAAAAACGACGTGTTTTTATTCTTCAGCTCGTACTATCTCAAAGCATAAACACGGAGCAAGAAATAGACACTGAGCCACCTACCGTAGAATTCAACTTAGCTTAGGACCAGGAACTATGTACTAGGTACTAAGATAGAGAGACCCGTCACCGCCACATGAGCTCTATCTACCCCTCCTTTGGTGGCTGGTGTCTCCAATTTCCACCCGCAGCGCGAAACAGGGGATGGCCCAGCAGTCCACAGCGCTCCAGCGACCTGCTGCCAACGCTAGACGGCCACTGAAAGCTAAGCGGCCACCGCCCCGCCTCGTGCGCATCCCCAGCAACCAACGTGGAAACACTCTTGCAACTCTGAGTCTGGCCTTTTTCTGGTCCTCGAAACCTTCTTGTCAAAGGGGCTTGCGACAACTCCCTCTCCCTCTCCCGCTCCTCTCTCCTCACACTCCTCTCCTCTTGCCCTCTGTTTCCATCACCGCCTCTTCCACCGCTGGAATTCAGGCAGGCACCATCGCGTTGGGCTCAACTTGTCACGTTTAACGAAGCGAACGAATCCTGCTGCGAGAAGCTCCTTCCCTTGCATGAAACAGACCAGACTGGAACCCGAATTCGATTCGACCTTTTTCTTTGATTTTACACGATTTCGAACGAACAGCACGATCCTAAAAGACTCGATCTAGCTTTCTCTGCCGATCGAATATAATAAATAATACCCTCCCGGTGCCCTTGACGAAGCTTTACGAATTTTCTTGTCTTCTCTCTCCTTCCTTGCGAAGTTCGACCACGAAACTCTACTTTCGCCAAGCCCCTCGTCTTTCCGAATTATTGAGTTCTAGAGCCTGTTCTGCTCGCTCTTTCCTTAAGTCGCCAAACTTGAAACACTCGATACGGTCCTTTTTATTTTCCGGCTCACCTCTGACCGCCGAACTCGCTTTCCTTCAAACCTTTCTCCTCTGGAAGAATCTTTCACGACTCCAAAATCTCCTGTTCCTCTCCTTGAAGGAATATTTCCAGCCGATATCCAGCCAACTCACGCAACGCTCTCGTCAATCATCACCATGGCTGCGGAAACCCCCCGTCAATACGTGCCATTGACGTGCCACGGTCACTCGCGACCAGTTCCCCACATCAGCTTCTCTCTGCTCGAAAAAGAGGAAACCTACTACATGATCTCCGCTTGCAAGGGTATGTGCATGTCTTCTGGCGATCCGGTGACAGTAGTAATTCCTGATTTGACCCGTGCTGACTTTGACATGCAGATGGCAATCCCATGCTCCGCGATGGTGTCACAGGCGATTGGTGAGTGCCTCTCTCTCATCTTGTGCGACGCTGTCAAAGATGGGACTCGTGCTAATTTTGTGTTACCAGGATCGGCACTTTCATTGGGCACAAGGGTGCTGTTTGGCAGGCTAGATTGAGCCCGGATGCTTCCAATGCCGCCACCGCGTCGGCTGACTTTACTGCGTAAGTTGTCTCTTCATCTGCCCATGGAGCATCCTGTTTGAAAATCGTATGCACATTTTCTAACAATGAGCTCATAGCAAAATCTGGGACACTCATACCGGTGAGCTCTTGTTCTCGCTGCAGCATGACCACATCGTCCGTGCCGTTGCTTATCCGCCTGACAATTCGGATCTCGTGGCTACTGGCGGCATGGAGAAGAAGCTGCGTGTTTTTGACCTCTCCGAGGTCGCGGGCTCCAACCCTGGTAGCCCAATCACCATCCCTGCCTCGGCTGGGTTTGAAATTGGCGAAGGTGTTCACCAGGGCTCCATCAAATTCATCTGCTGGACTAATGATCCAAATATTCTCGTCACTGCCTCTGACAAGACTATTCGCTGGTTTGATCTGCCCAGCCGCTCCGTCATTCATCAGGAAGTGCTGGATGGCGAAATTCGCTCTTGCGAAATGGTTTCTCTATCGCCCGAGTACGCTTCCGAGACTGACATTGGTGGAGGACTGCCTGTTCTCGCCGTTTCTGCTGGCAAGACCGCCTACTTCTGGGGCGGCAGACGTGCTTTTGAAAATCTGAAGCGCATCGTCCTTCCTTACACCATTGCCAGTGTGGCTCTTGACCTCAAGGGCCGCAAGCTCGTTGTCGGAGAAGAGCCTGGAACATGGGCCAAGGTGATTAGCTATGATGATGAGGTGGAGCTTGACGTCCACAAGGGCCACCACGGCCCGATCTGGTCAATTGCCTTTTCGCCTGATGGCAAGCTCTACGCCACGGGTTCGGAAGACGGAACCATCAAGATGTGGAAGAACTGCGAGGGATTCTACGGACTGTGGCGAGGCGGCAACGAACGAACTGCGGAGTAGAGAGACGCAGAGCGTAGCTTCACCGCGTCATCAGAAGCCGCGAGGTCTGCGAGCCGCCGCAGCTTCACGCCAATGAGCTCAATGGGATCCGAGGATGTGTCCTTTTCGGCTCCATCATCTGAGAAGTCCAACCCCAAGAAGAGAGCCTATTCCTATGGTGACACCAAGGAGACCCCCATCACCAAGGAGACCCCTATTACCAAGGAGACCTTTGTTTCCAAGGAGAAACCTTTTGCCAAGGGCAACTCTTTGGGCCTGACCAACAACGACACCTACGTCTTTGGCTGTGGCATTGACCCAGGACGCCCATTCACTTTTCTGCCCAAAGACAGATTGTGAACAAGTGTTGCTTCGGGGTACAAATTTTGGACGGATACGGCAACTAAAAAAAAAGGGAGGAGAGAAAAAAAAATGGGGAGAAAATCACACTGCCGTCGACAGACAAATGTCGCGATTACCACCGTTGCTTACTATACATGGTAGTATCTTGCTGTTGCTTTCAGTGATTTTGCTTCCTCGGAAGGCAGATGGTTACATGTGGTGCTTAGACATAGATATTCATTTGAGCTGCAACTAATTTGTCTGTGCGATATCAAGCCAAATGAAGTAGATACAAAAAAAAATATAAAAAACGATTTTGGTACTTGCCGAGGATACTTTTGTGTCGTGATGTGTTGTGCGGTATCTGGCGCTGCTATAAACGAAGAAATCAACAAATTACGTTACAAGCTGGCCACAACTTCGAACTAGGTAATGCGTAATAAATATCGGAAAAAGATAAGGGGAAAGGGGAAAAAAAAAACCCCCCGCCTAGCATATTCAATTGATTTTATTTTCGTTCCCCCTGTTTTATTTTCACATCAAAGCGATTATTCGAAATCTTATCATAATTCTCGTTTCTTAGTTTCTCAAGCTACCTACCCTATTTCGAACGCTGGATTTTGGTGCAGAGGTTGGTCCTGCTGTGCTGTTGCTCTCGGACGGGTACGTACCTTGTCCTCCGCAAATCGCCCTGCGGCTCGGAAGAATATTATTGCAGCGCTATCCGCGATTCTGCCCCTCCCCCTCCATTTGATAGCCAAAAGTTGAGTCACCTTTCGAGAGCGACCCGATATCGAAGCCGAAAAATACAAAAAAAAAAAGAAGCGCTGCGCCAGAACAGAAACGTCACCAGCGCCTCCAACAGTCATCATGGCTCCCGTATCCGCTGATCCCGCTGGCGATATCGCCCTGGAAATTCTCCAGGCGCTGGCCAACACCGACCAGATTCTCTCGACCGAGGCGTTCCCCAATGTGCCCTTCGACACGGCCAAGGCTGCCCTGGACCGTCTCTCGTCGCGGTCCATGGTCGTTTACGAGCAGATTGAGCGGCAGGAGGCGATTCTTGAGGCCGAGGCCGAGGAGATTGTCCAGCACGGAAGCCACGAGGCGCGAGTTTTCGAAGCGGTGCACAAGGCTCTAGGCGGCCTCTCAATTTCGGATCTGGAGACGGCAATCGGCGACAAGAACGTGACCAAGGTTGGCCAGGGCAAGGCCTTTAGGGAGAAGTGGATTAAGAAGGAGGACAACAAGCTTGTTGCGCTGGTTAGTCTTTGTGCTGAAAGAGAGGGAAATGGTTTATGAATCTAACTTGCACTGCTCAGGTCGACACCATCGAGGACGTGACGAGAGCCCAGCTCCAGTTTATCAAGGAGACGAAATCACACGATGCCAAAATCATTGCCGATCTGAAGAAGCGAAAGCTGCTCAACACCCAGAAAGTCATTTCCTTCAAGGTGTCCAAGGGACCTAAGTTTGCGCTGGAGATTGTCAAGGAGGAGACTGATTTGACGGCCGACATGCTGGCGTCTGGATCGTGGAAGTCGGCAAACTTTAGTCAGTGGCCTGATCTGATGAGAGAGTAATTTTCTGGTTGTAAAGGCTTGCTAACTGTGGGAATTTTGATTTTCAGAGCCGTACAACTTCAAGGCCTTGGGCGCGCACCAGGTCTCTGGAGCTCTCCACCCCCTCAACAAGATGCGACACGAATTCCGGTTAGTCGGCTTTGCTATTCAATGACAGTCCCAAGAGACCAAGAGACTTGGATATGAAATGGAACCTAGGATGCTGATATTCTACCCTGGATAGACAAATCTTCTTCGAGACTGGCTTCACCGAGATGCCTACCAACCAGTACATCGAGTCCGGCTTCTGGGTATGCATCAATCTTCGATTTTCAAACCATGGAAATCGTTTCCTCTTTCTCATAGCCGGCATGATGATTTGAGAATGCTAATAATAGACTGTAGAACTTCGATGCCCTCTTCGTCCCACAGGTATGCGCATAACGACACTCGTTTCCTATTTTCTCAGCACCGCTAACATTAAACCAGCAACACCCTGCTCGTGATCTTCAAGACACCTTCTACATCTCCGACCCCCAGACTGCTGGCCGGCCTGGTCCCGTCTCTGCGGACGACAGACAGAACTACGATGAGTACTTTGAGAACGTGAAGCAGGTGCACGAGAACGGAAAGTACGGCTCAATTGGCTACCGATACCCCTGGGCTGAGAAAGAGTCATTAAGGTATGTACTTTATTCATGGAAAACGATGTTGTTACATGCTCCGCTCCAGGCTGACAAGCTATAGACTCGTCCTCCGCACTCACACAACCTCTGTCTCCGCTGCTATGCTGCATAAGCTGGCAGCGAAGAAGGGCCCTGATGGCCGCGTTCCTCCTGCTCGCTACTTCTCCATCGACCGAGTTTTCAGGTAACTACACATACTCAGTCATATACGGGAAGAGGGGAATATTGGGAAGCTCATTATTATTATAGAAACGAAGCTGTTGACGCCACACATCTTTGCGAGTTCCACCAAGTCGAAGGTATGTATATTCAGATATGAAATTTTGCTACTCTAGTATATGGGTCGAAAAGCTTACAACAATCACAGGTGTTATTGCCGATTACGGCTTGACCCTCGGTGGTCTGATGGAATTCTTCGAGACTTTCTTCAAGAAGATGGGATTGACTGAGTGAGTACCCATGACTCTGTAAATCTCTATACAAGTATCCATGCTAATAAAATCTTGCAGTCTCAAATTCAAGCCAGCGTAAGAAAATAGGTTACTCATGCAGAATTTTACTTGCCACTAACACAAAAATAGTTATAACCCCTACACAGAGCCTAGCATGGAGCTTTTCAGCTACCACAAGGGATTGAAGAAGCTTGTAGAAGTAAGAGAAATAGTATAACCACGTATGGACATACCAAAAACGCTAACCGAGGACATTCAAATAGATTGGCAACAGTGGCATGTTCCGACCGGAGATGTTGGAGGCCATGGGACTGCCCAAAGACTTGAGAGTGTACGGATTCGGCCTTAGCTTGGAGAGACCAACTATGATCAAATACGCCATTCAGAACATCCGTGAGTTGCTTGGTCACCAAGTGGATCTGCACTTCATCGAGAGAAACGCTGCCGTGCGACTGGACAAGGACTAGACGGGTGAAGCATATAGAAGGGAGTCGAATTGCATATAATGAACGGATGATCTTTTTATGAACGGGAAAGAAGAAAAAAGAGAGATAAAAAGTTTAAGACGGAAAGAATCGCCATGTCAGAAAATGAAGCGGCTGGTATTCGGCGTGCCTGACGCCATGTCAAGATATCAGATCAGATGGCAGAGAAGGTGTAACGACACGGCTGGCTGCAGAATTGCACGGCCAAATCTCTATTTATCGCACTAGAATCCGAATTGCCGAGCAATAAAAGATGAAGAGCAAAAAGCTGTCCCTTGTTGCAAGCATGACCAGTGTGTGTTGTGATTATATCGCTGATAATTGGTAGTACAGACTTGGGAATACAATTCTAAACAGTGCCCTGCTGAACCTGGGTATATACGAATTTATCATTTCTATCGCATTTGCATTGACACAAGTGGGTGACATTATGGGTTTTATTACAAATTGCTCTCAGATGATTAAACATAATGTCAACTACTCATACAATTCCAATATCTTGGGTATTCGCTCGAATATTTTCCCTGCCGCCTCTGCTTGATCTAAATCCGAAATATCCAGCTCTAGCTCATTCGCCTTTCCCGTTGCCCGAATCTCCTCTCTCTTTCGGATCGACTCGAAAACTGCAAAGTCAACGGCATTGACGTTCCGGAGACTCTCCCCAACTACGGATAGGCTTCTCAATTTCCGCGAATTGCAGCGCAGAATGACGTGAATGAATGGCAAATCCACCTTGTCAGCGGCATTCTCGTAATCTTCGACAGGTAAAGTGTTGTGAGTGCTCGTTGCGCCTCGGAAGTCTGAAAAGATCCATGAGCGGCGCGTTGCTTGATTCGAGTCTCGGAGCGTATCGGCTAGGACAGAGCGCAGATACAACAATGTCTCCCTATCAATGGACATGGATGAAGAGCTGAGCCTAGCCCTAAGGGTGCGATTGTTTGGATTGACGCCCATTTTTATGACTCGTGAGTGGTCGATGAGCTGGCTCAGCTCGACGCATATCGCGGCGTTGAGGAAGCCTGGGCATCCGTGGACGTAGACAATGAAAGCCCGGATCTGCGACATTGTTTGTATTATTGGTGTCTTATTGCGGGATGAGATGGTTATAGAGATGTCTTGATATGATAGATATAGAAGCTGAAGAAGTGGTAGAAGGAGCTGGTAGAATGGTTATTATAGTTTGTGAAGTTGCCTGACGAGATGCTATGTTATGGCATTGATCCAATGATATGCTGCAGCAATTGGACGTTGATTCGATGCAGTGGGATACTGCAGCAATAATACTCGATGTCCAAAGATATGTTTCAAAGGGCGATTGAATATTGGACATTGAGATATAGATGAGCATGAGTCTTGGATTTGGAAAATGGCTTGCACTTTGTAACATTTATATTTGTGTAACCGACGAAAAAAACCTTGTTTTGTACTTGTACCCTACTACACCACTGAATTTACTGTTGGACAGTGGTTACACAAAAGAGAAATTTCTTGAGCGCTTGGTCTGATTTGCCATCATCCTAACTTTTCGTGGGAAGTTTGGCGGATGATCACGAATAGCAATGTGACAGCGCTAGGAAGTCTGTGTGCCGTTCGCAGAAGCTAAGAGAAGGTTCAATTCATGTTCAGTGAGAAAATGATTACTTCAATACTACTCATAGTAGACTATTAGGATGGGGATGTATCAATAACCGTTGTGGGATCTGGTATCGTAGTATTTGGGTGGGCCTCCCCGAAGACTATCGCGAATGGTGGAGATTAAGATGGAAACGACTGCCTAAAGAATGGGGGAGGGCGGAAGTCTACTAGATGTGAGAATTTTTCAAATAATCAGTATAAAGGCCTTCATAATGAATGTTTAAAAGTAAATGCGCGTTGCGTATTATGAAGATTCTATATCTCTTTGCCTTTTTTTTTTTTTTTTTTTTTTTTTTTTGGAAGCCCAATGTTTGGCCGTGGGATTCATCGCTGCGCTAGCCGTAGGAGGGAACATTACACATGTGCCTTACTAGGAATGCTACAAGATTTATTTGCGCCTTAAACCTTGAGTGATGGAAGAATAAATTAAAATTATTGAGACTTTTCTTTTAAAAAATGATGTAATTTTTGAACCCGCATATTTATTCTCCAGCGCAACACGAGCGGATGAAACGACTTCGGGGACATGACCGTCAAGTCCAAATGCAAACATGATTTGTAGCACGCTGTCAAACGCCGACATGTACATCGGCGAAAATTCAAGAAAACAGTGGTGCGTGAGTTGCAAATGGTTATGAGGTGTATATAAATTGAGTTCAGTGATCCAATTATATTCTTAATTTAATTTAGCTAAATGAATAAACGTGTCGACTTTTACTGTAAATGTCTGGTGAGAAAGTTGGTGTTTACAAAAATAGACTGGCTATATTGCGATCGCATTCAATGAGAACCAAACCATTAGATAGAAATAAAATTTAGCAAATAAACACATTTAGTCCTCTATAATTTGCTGTACATATTATTAGAATACTACTTCATAGGGCGCTGAGGCTATAATACCTGAGGGTTATTCAAGCTATGTTTATGGCTCACAGCACGACCCATCAGTTCAAGATCGCAAAGGAAAATCATTATGAGTTCCACAGATGAGATGTAGAATACAAGATGCTTGATGTGACTTTTTATAGCTTAACATGAGTGGCAGGAGAAATGAAGCTCGGGCTGAGCTGGGCCTCTTTCGGCGTGGACAAACGCTTCTGTTTGAGACTCGCAGATTAATTTTATGGTGCGTGAACGGGGCATCTTTTCATGGCCTTTGCCAAAGCTTTGGGCGTGGTCCATCGGCCCCATTGCCCCTGGAAGGCTTGTAACTAGATGCACAGAGTGTGGTGAGACCACCTATAATGCTGTGATTGGAGGGACACCGGGTTATCGCAGTCGAGTAAGTTCACAGCCTCGCTCGCCTTTCTTGTTTTTGAGTATTTCCTTCATACAGGCGATTTCAAATTCCACTACCTGCATTCTTACTACCGCTGCATCGAATATATGTAGTAAAAAGCTAAAATAGATGAAAGAAGCTGAATCTTTGGGCTAATAAATTTGCTGAGGGCAGAATTTGTATTTCCTTTCTTTTCCTCTTGTCATACTTGAAATGAAGCATCTTTAGCTTGCCATGTGGTATAGTTTCTTTTGGCTTATTCTATGACTCCTAGATGAGATGGGAAATGACTACTACACTGTTCAAATTCTATCTTCATTCTTTTTAATTCGGATGATCAAGTGCAATATACCATGCCATCTCCTTAATATCCAATCTTATCAAACTATGTCATCGTCCATGGAGCTCTATGCACGGTATATTCTCAGCATTTTGCCCTCTGCAGTATGTCGCTCATGCGGCCTCGCTAATCTGTATACAGTGCCGTATAGTCTATTTAAAAATGATAAACTTAAAGTTCAGCTTGATCTGGGTAGATGTCCTACATGTATGTAGCTCAATAAGACTTCAGTAGACGGCCTAAATTTGGGTAGATGTAGTTTTACAGTGCATTACAGCGCATTATACTACTTCTCTAGTGCGCTATCAGTGAAAGAGTACAGTGCATAAACTGTATGGGCACTGTATTTCCCCTTAGTTGTTTTCTACAGCGCTGTGCCAAAAGTCTCTTGTGGCGCATGTAGTTGTAAGGTGCTATCCTATCCTACGATTACATGTACACAATCGTTCCTGTTTTACTTTTGCTTCGTCCTCCATCTTTCTTTCACCTACAGTACGGCTTTCTTTGCCTTCCTCAGCAAGGTACGACTCCAGGACCTTTGATGAGTCTTTGTTTATGCCGTTATAACCAACTAAGCCTCAGTAGCCATCGGTCATGGCACCACGCAAGCGATGACGAATGGCCTCGAGCCAAGAGGAAGTAGAAGAAGTAGAAGAGTAGTTGGCTAGAGTCTTTCAGGTACGGGATTCTTTTTAGCGAATAATGTACATTCGGTCGCTGCTTTGAATATGTGCTGAAGTCACGATAGGTGACACGAGGTGGAAGAGCTGCCTGTGACGCCGGAAGACTCGCTCAATGCCGGCTCAGCAACTTTGGATGCAAACTACACGAACTCTGCCCCGATTCGAACGGATCTATCATCGTCCAACGTGCTATCTGCTCTCGAGGACCTTCCTGCCCTCGACACATTGCAGCATACGACAGCTAGTAGTCAAGGCTTTGTTAGCAGCGCCAGTCTTGACCAACAACAGCGAGCTGGCATTGCCCATGAAGCATTTAAGTTGCTTATGCGCGTGTCTTGTCAGCGGTTACTACCTTTGAATATGTTACATAACAATGTTAGGCGACAAGAGGCGGAACAGCTTTACCGATGTAAGGGAGGTGAAATTTGACTGTGAACGACCTCAGGTGGTTGGGAAGGGGGAAAAAATAACCGAAGCTGTTGACGCACGGCATCATTAACGAATGAATGGCAAACAGCCGGCAATTGCTTTGAAATGTTAGACTAAGCGCCGCCAACCAAGGTGCTTTTGTCTGGAAGGCTTGTGCAGGCATTTTTGCAGAAAACGAACCTATTTATTGAAGATACCCGTTGGTATTAAGCGGCGAACGCAGCTATCTGCTATTACAAGTCGGTATTCCTGTTATCAATTGGACCGGCTCTGATCGCTCAGCTAACCAAATTAGAATCTGAAAAGCGACATGAAGAGGCAAACAGGCAGGGAAAATGCGAGGCTTGGGAGAGTATCGTGGATTTCGGGTTCGAATAGGACTAGACAATGGCGGAAAGGCCCAAGAGGCTCTGCGACCAGTTGAAAAACCCCATACTGATGTTATCGAATAATTCAACACTCGCAGCCCTGATTCGCAGCACTGATTTTGAACGCATAGAAGACCGGGCAACTCAAGCATGATTTGAATAGGTCGCTATGGATATTTCGAATGTATTCAGCTACCGGCATCGTATAACGCGATATGATGTTTGTTGGCGCAAATGTCAAAGCTTCAATCTCCTGAATATTGTCTTCGATGATATTGGACAGTTTTGGTTTGGGCGATGCTGATGCCGTATACAAGGTGGATCAAGTCGAGATGGGTAGCTGTGCTTCGGACAGAACCTACATGAGCCCAGATCATGACGGAAAAAAATTGCCGATTCGGTATTGATGCTCAGTTGGCTGGATCCTTCTGCGGTTGTGGCCTGGAGAATGGCCGAAGCCCGAGTTACAAGTTGCCCGCTCTCAAATCTGGAAACAAATCTGATAATGCAAAGCTTGCAGAAACGGCAATGTCTAGACAACCAAACCGACTTATCAGCTGGTGACTGGGATACAGGAGATAGATGCTTTCTCCGTCCAAACTCCCTTTGCATTCTTCTTCCCTTCAGCCGCATCAGCCGTTTCAGTCGCCTTACTTTTTCGAGCCCTCTGCCGCCAAAACGCCAGCTTATAAAAGAAAGAAAGACATCCATCCATGTCACCAGGGCCTGAGCCAAACACAAATGAAGTACTGGCATGGTCAACCTTTTCTTTCTCCAATTGCTAACTCTCTCCTATGATCCGACATAAAGGTCGATGTGGTAGGGATGGAGATTTTGGAATGCGAACTGAATAGCTCCTTGGGCTAGACGAGGCATACACATCTTTGAGCGCAGCGCGACAACACAGGAAAAAAACTGCAAGCGAACACGAGCTAACAATGATGCAGAAGATGAAGCGAAAAAAGATGAGGGGGCAAAAAGGCAAAAAGAAGTGCCATTACGAGGAGTCGAACCTCGGTCTTCAGTGGTTTGTAGTAGTACCACAAACTGATGTCTTAACCGTTGGACCATAATAGCTAGTACCGATGAAAGCATGCCCGCCCTAGACAGAATTACAAAGACAGACGAGGAGTCTGTATGAATCGGTGGCAGATGACAATGGCCTTCTTCCAAACCAATCAGGCGCAGATGGTTACAGAACTGAAAAGGCTGAGAACGACACAATACCGTGGGACTTTTGATACAGCAGAGGAAGATTATGACGAACGATGCTTGAACACTTGAGCCATGGATTGTTGAAGAGCCATATCACTAGCAAGCACGGATTGAAGCCAACTTGAATAATGGAGAGCGAAGGAATAGCTACAAAACAGAGCGATCGCCATGGGGCGCCACACCTTGTGATGATGGGCAATATGCCATCCAATGCTTGTGTTACTCGTACCTATACTGGTTGAACAACTACAGCATAACTGCTTGGCGAAGTCTAACTGCTACGAATCAGAATCAGCAACGAAGCGCTGTCAAAGACGAAGCAAAAGTCGCCTCATAGACAAGGACGGCACAGATGTTACGATATTGATAGACCCTTTTCACGCCACGGACCATTTAAATCAGAGGCCATTCAGTTTAGCAGCCGCCGTGGCAAACATCTTCACAACATACTGCCAATGGAAGGGGGAAAAGACAACAGAGGTTTGTCTTCGTTATATACATCTGTTCTATATCAAGCAAACCCATGGCACTATACATATATCTGCGCTCATACTAACCCGTCATACCGACAGAGCCGGATAGCACTCTCGAGGACAGCGCCCTCGCCACCCGATGTCCTATACGGTATATCGAATAAACCCCCGTTCCCTAGCAGTACTATTTCCTTTTATCCAACATACCCTTTCCTCCGATAACCACGACCTTCTTATTTTATAAATACAACGCCCGCACCATTAGCGGCGTCATACCCATCGTATGACGATGGCTCCGGAGGATGGATGACCAAAGACCATGCAGCAGGCATAACTCTACCACGGAAAGAAACATTTACCCAAATATCGTGGAGAGTCTTCCGGAAGATGCCGAGCTACTGCAAGGGTCTCTTAGAAGAATCTCTTCAGCATGGGCATCCGAAACTCCAACGGGCTGATCTCGACATCACCACCTCCTAGGGGTAGTCCATCGCCTCCATCCTATCTGACAGCATCTTCTTTGGTATCCGTAACTCTCACCTCGTTGCTGACTTCTTTGGCCGCTGTATCTTTTGGGAGAACCCCGAGTATCGCACCGCCCTGGAAGTCTACTCCATCTCCCAGCGAGTCCTGCAGTTCCGTGTCATCTGGGAGGACGTCGAATGTCGGCTGCGCGTGAGCCAATACCAAGTCCAGTTCAACTCGCCTCTGGACCCGTGGGTTTGAGGAGTCCACGGAGAGCATTTCTGGGATGAGGCAACATCAGTCAAGGAGGAGACTAAGCTCCTAAAAGGGGCCGCAGGACAAAGGATCCAGGCATATCAGGATACTGTAAGAAACCAACACGTTCGTTATCTCCGCCACGCAAACGGAGCAAATCAGAGTGACAATAATCGGGGATCGCAAAATGAAAATAGACCCATGAATTGATCATGTAAACACAATTCTACCAATCAAACAACATTTACTAGCGCTACGCAAAGCTGACAATTGGGCTTCATCTCTCTCCGGCTCGATCAAACTGAAGGCACATATGATTGAGTTGGTTACCACCCTCCATGAGAACTCTCCCATTTACATTCGTTATGCAACTGGAGCCAAGCGCTGTGGGAGCATTCTAGAGCGAAGGTGATGACGAAGAGTGGCATTTTCTTTTGGAGGGATTGAGCAACTGCCGGCGAAGAGCTCATGTCGGCTAGCAGACATCTTCTCTCAGGCGGTAACTTTTATAGAAAGGAATGCGCGTCATATAAGAGGCAAGCATACGCTCCATGTCGCCATCAGGGCATAGTGGAACCATCATCAGTTACAGGAGTGTATATAATCCTTATATGGGAAGTGACAGTTTGTGTTTTTTGGACGGTATACTCCTCTTGGAGTCTCATGAAGAGAAACTCTTGTACTAGTAGGCGCATGCGTGCCCGTTGGCTTGCAATAACATTGTATACACAATTTCATAAAATAAACAATCCAGTTTTGTCAACCAAATTCCTGAGTTCCATCCGCCACAGCTGGCGGGGGTAGTAGATGAAGAGCTCTGCCAAATATATCTGGCAAAGATTTGAACCAAATGCATGTTCCGGATCTTCGGGATTCTCAGGGACTCCAGGGTCCTCAGGGACTTCAGGGACTTCAGGGACTTCAGGGACTTCAGGGACTTCAGGGACTTCAGGGACTTCAGGGTCTTCAGGGTCTTCAGGGTCTTCGGGATTCTCAGGGTCCTCAGGGACTTCAGGGACTTCAGGGTCTTCAGGTATGGAGGCTTCAAACTCCCAGTAAAGGATCGTTAACTCAAAAGAAAAAAAAAACGGACAAAAACGCGATGGAGATCTTGCAAGATACACTAAACGGCATTATTCTTTGAGGGAAAAAGTCGATTTCTATCGTGTACTGACATGATCTACAGATAGCATGAGAATATTCACCAGGACGGATAAGACAGTAATAGCAATCTTGCTATGTACGCTTAACAGACAACTAATTACTACGACGACGTAACTGTAATTGTAAATGCGCTGCTGCCTCCTCTGGTATAGCAGCACATGCAAGGAAGACGCGCACGCCGCACATGAGCCCAGCCGTAAACTATGTGACTTTCTGTATATAAAACATTGATCTCCGACCCTGCCCTCCATTGGTCGAGAAAGGCCAGAACAACGCCCACAGCCTCTTCCAATATGACGTATGATCGGCTTCTATGACCTCTGAAATCAGAGTGAAAAGGAAACCAAAGAGAAAGACATCAAGCTGACTTCTTCCCATAGCACAATTGGACCCTAATAAACCCAGGGCTGGCAGGCCAAGGTAGTAAATAGTTGCTGGCCAGGCTTCCTTCTTCTAAGGGTATAGAAGCTTCGGGACGTCGATTCAAATAACCAGCTGTGTAGATCGCCACTTAACACCGGAAAAGGGTTGCTTGTAGCCAAGAGATCGTTATGCTGCCCCCACTCTAAGAGAACTTTATCATCAATACACGGCCTGAATGGTAGCCGATAGCGACCGCTGATCCCACCACCGCCGATGTAGACGCACGATATTCTTCAGGTAGCCATAGGATCCTTTCTTCATCTTTCATAACCCAATCCATACACCGTCGGTACACATACTGTAACCAGGGCGGCTTGTGCTTCGTGAAAGAGCCTCAACTGATTGACTAGATCGAGCAACCGAAACAATCGATCATCGTATACGACGCCCACGATAGCTGGCAGGCCTCAATCTTGCAGATGTAGCTCCTTCGCACGACGCATCATCTCGGATGGCGGCGATGAAGAAGAAATATGACAGTTGGCACAGTAAATGTTACGCTCTAGGAGTATACCACCGAGGAGAGACGAAGCTTAAGTCTGGAACTCTTGAAAAGAGCGGGCCATGATATTTTATATCAAAAAATGACAGGCGTTTAAAATAATCATCTCCATGCTCAAGACCCAAACGTCTGGATTATCGGCTGAAGTGTTTGCGTCTGCGACGGATGTGCGCATTCGCCATATTTTCACAGTAGTGAATTCATGTTCATTTTTCTTCCTATAAATTTACGTATCCTTTTTTATTTTTCACATGGATAATTGAACACACACCTGTCGTATGTCTGCGTGCCATGGATGTTCACAACTGGTGATATTCTATATCTCACGACACAATCTTGTTTTTGTGGGCAGTAGGTAGAATCAACTAGCGGATTTAAAAAAAAAAAAAAAAAAGGAAAAAAAAAAAAGAATTGTTGGGGCATATCCCGTACTCTGATTGCAGCTGGATGAATGAATGAATGAATTTCCTCGTATTTATTTGTCATTTTCACCTTTACTCCCGGGAAATTGTGCCCGTATAGAGGGGTAGCTTTGGTCACGCAGGATTGAGACATAGTGTGAGCTGCGTTGCAAGGCACTGGGATAGGATATCGAACCACCTGGCAGTATCCTGCTAGGTTGCCTGGACAAATACATTGGTGATGGTAAATGGTATATGGATAGGGATTGAGAGAATTGATTAACCTCTAACAAGTGTTTATACTTTTGTTGAAAAAAGAAAAAAAAATAATAATAATGGATTGTTGATGTGTGATTCAACTCATGTATTGCAGCAGAGGCAGTCTCTCACCCGCATTTCACACGCTTATATGAGAGTACTAATAGCATAAAACAGCACTTTGGCCAATGGCGCAACGCTGTGGCATCGCACTTCCGGCCACAGTATAGGCTACTTGATTCATTCATGAACCAAATCTTGTTCAGCAGGAAATATAACGAGAGGCAGGAATGGAATCAAGTCGCAGGCATATATGTTTACACAGTGTATGTATGCCTCGGGTGACTCATCTACACAACCTGATTGGTGGTTCGCATCCAGGCGGCAACCAAGGTTTGCTGCCTTGCCGGAAGAAAGATTCGCCTTTTTGAAGCATTCTCGCAATTGGATGCAGATATCACCGTGTAAGATGGTTGGCTGTATTAAGTGGAATCTGAGAGTCGGATGGTATCACCATTGAGCGAGGAAAAACTACTTAAACCCTCGACCGTCCTGCCTCTGTGTTCCTCTCGACTCCTCCATCCTCATCAGCCTGGACCAATCTTCATCACTTGTCCCCTAAACCACCCAACTTTACCCTTGTGGCATTTAATCTCGCCACTTGTTGGCTTCATCTCATATTTCTTTTGCTACCCAGCTGGTCTTAACCACCAGGCTCAGCCACCAAGCTCAGCCACCAGGCGTCACCACACCATCAGAACGCTCCCGACTTTGGGTTTGAGCTGTTCACTTAAACACAAGCACTGAATATCTTATCTGACTGCTTCATTTCCTGTTAAATATAATAAATTACCCACCCCTAATCACATCTTATCACATCTTATCAAGTCTGCCTCTACTTCTATTCACTCATATTGATTGTCTCTTTGTTTATTCTGCGTTATCGTTATCCAAATCTATGACTGCTTCTTATCAAAATCTATTGCGTCCATCTCAATTTATTCATATCTACTGCAGACATGACTTCCTTTTTCCAGCCCCAGCCTCGATGGATAGCCAATCCTACCTGTGGACTCTATACCAATAGCAATGGCCTCCGGAAATTTCTTCCTCTCATCTCTCTCGATGTTCACACCGTCATCGTTTCTTCAACATCGCGGACTGTCCTGACGCAGACCTTTCATAGCCCCAAGACAGGCACCGCCAGCCACGTTGAGAACGTGAGCTACCTATTCCCTCTCTACGATGGAGTATCTGTGGTTGCATTAACTTGCACAGTTGGCTCGCGCGTCATCAAGGGCGTCGTAAAGGAGCGAAACGAAGCCAAGCAGGCCTTTGATGCTGCAGTTGCACAAGGAAAGACGGCAGGATTGCTCGAACAGTCTTTAGAGGCCTCCGACGTCTTTACAACATCGCTCGGCAATATTCCCACTGGTGAAACTGTCAAAGTCGAAATCACATACCTGGGAGAGCTGAAGCATGATGCTCAAGTTGATGGACTGCGGTTTACCATCCCCACGAGCGTGGCTCAGCGATATGGGCAATACACCCTGGGAGAGGCGAGTCCTTTACAGGGCGGGGAGCACATCAGCATCACTATTGATGTTGACGTGTCGGGCAGCTCAACCATCAAGAGCGTTCAATCGCCGTCGCATCCGATCTCTGTCAACATTGGCACTCTTTCTACGGCAACTTCTGAGCCGCCATCTCTGCAGAGAGCGTATGCAACTTTATCGCAAGGCTCGGCAGAGCTAAACAAAGATTTCGTGATCCAAATCGTCGCCACTGGCCTCGGTGACCCTATGGCTATCCTCGAAACGCATCCCACAATTCCAAACCAACGAGCTTTGATGACGACGCTCGTTCCTAGATTCAACCTGCCTATGACCATGTCCGAAGTGGTCTTTATGTGCGATAGAAGTGGCAGCATGGGTACCGGTTTCAAGATGCGCAACGTCGTCGAGGCATTGAAAGTCTTTCTCAAGTCTTTGCCTGTTGGAGTCAAGTTTAATATCTGCAGCTTTGGAACAAGTTACTCGTTTCTGTGGGAGAGATCCCAGACATATGACGAAACTTCGCTAAGAATGGCCATTAATCACGTTAGCTCATTTGATTCCAACTTTGGCGGTACAGAAATGTACAACCCAATGGCGGAGATATTTAATCGACGGTACAGTGATATGAATCTCGAAGTCATTTTACTCACTGATGGAGAGACTTGGAACCAAGAACAATTGTTTCAGCTCATCAATACGCATGTAACTCAAAGTAATGGCGCTATTCGAGTCTTCGCATTGGGCGTGGGAGAGATGGCCAGCCATGCTTTGATCGAAGGCGTTGCTCGAGCGGGTAACGGCTTTGCTCAGGCTGTAGCGGATGGCGAAAGAGTAGACAAAATGCTAGTTCGAATGCTCAAGGGGGCTCTTACACCTCATATCAATGATTACACCCTGGATATCAATTATGGAGAAGAGGAAGATGGAGACGATTTTGAGATTATTGAAAAGGTCATGGTTGCCATGACCCTGAAGCAAACCTCTACTAAGTCGGCGGACTCTACTAAGTCGGCAGACTCTACTAAGTCGGAAAACATCAATGCTACAGGAAAATATCAGATTTCGATTTCCCTGTTTGATGAAAGCGTCCAGGACGAAGACTTGGAGATGTCTGGGACCTCCAAGTTAAAGGTGGATCTGCCAGCTGTCACCGTTCCACGTTACCTCCAAGCACCTTTCAAAATTCCGCATCTTTATCCATTCAGTCGCACGACTGTTTACGTCTTGCTTTCTGACTCGACACCCAATCTCCAGCCAAAGAGTGTCATCCTCAGAGGAACCTCCAATCAAGGCCCTCTCTCGTTGGAAATTCCCATCACCATCCTTCCGGAGAAGGGCACCACTATACACCAGCTGGCAGCTCGCAAGGCCACGAGAGAGCTTGAAGATGGCCGGGGCTGGATATTCCATGCCAAGGACGAAGAGGGACAACTCTTGCGACAGCGATACGACGGCCAATTCAGCGACATGGTCAAGAGGGAAGGTGTACGTCTAGGAACGCAGTACCAAGTCAGCGGCAAGTGGTGCTCATTCGTCGCCATTCAAGACGCTGAAGACAATACCGATGAGAATCAAGGGAAAGTGACTATAAGCAACAACGAAGAAAAAGCTGAAGAACGGAGCGTGATTAATAGCCCTGGCGCTCAACATGTTGCGCAGCAAAATATCGCTGCAGCCAGCCTACGTACTAGGCCTAGGAGGAAGTGTAAGCTACATACGATGCCAGCTAATGCGGGATCATCAGCATCAAGTAGTCGATATGATATGCAAGATATGGGGAAATCACAGGCTAGGGTGATACAACCTCCTATGCCACAGCAACTATGTAAGACAGGCCGTATACAAATGGGACTACCAATGGCACAACCACAGGGTATGACACAACCGCAGGGTATGGCATGGCATCTACAGATGGCACAACAGCAGGCCATGACACCACAGCAATCTATGGCACATCAGCAAGCTATGGCACAGCAGCAAGCCATAGCACAAGCTATGGTACACCAACGCTCCATGGTGCAAACAAATAGTGCGCTGCAGGATTATCAAACTCAGACTATGTTATTAGAACAGCAAAACAAAAAGAGACTAATGATGGCTCGGCAACAACAACAACAGCAGCAGCAACAGCAGCAGCAACAACAGCTACAGCAGCAGCAACAACAGCAACAGCAGCAGCAACAACAACAGCAGCAGCAACAACAACCTCAACAGGCAAATGTGGTTACACCTGTGATTGCTAGCGGAATGCCGCATGGGAGTTTGTCTTCAGCCAACCCTCCCGCGGTGTTTCGGAGTTCATCATCCAGCAATACCGGAGGGTTCATGTCTGGCCATTCAAGCCCCATGAACCAGTCGAATCAGGCAGCGACAAGTCCTTTTGGCCTTGGAGGACCTCTAATGCAACTAAATGCAGACAATCTTTCTGCTGGCGCCCCTAGCTCGACGAAGAGAGAATCCACTCACGCTTCTACAGACGATTCAAACAAACGCGCGAAATCTGACGATGTTTTGTCAGACTTTGATTTCGATAGCTTTTTAGCCCAACCAGAAGATAAGACTGACTTTTCTGATGCTGAAAGCACTCTTATGCCGGCCCCGTTGCTAGAGCAAACCGCTCCAATGTCAGCGCTATTTTCAGAGCAAACATTTATCGGCAATTGGGATTGGACCCCGAGACTGGAAACGATTGTGGGAATGACAAAGTCGGCAGCGTTGGCGGGCATTGAGCTTCCCGGTCAGTACGGCCAGCTGCATACGGTGCTGGCCACTCTTTGCGCCGTGGTGTATCTGAGGAAGAAGCTGGCGGACGAGAAGGACGTGTGGGAACTCATTGTGCAAAAGGCGGAAGATTGGCTACGAGGCCAAACGCAGGAAGATGTGATGGAGCTGGAGAAGATTGTGGAGCGTGCGTTGTTTGCAGACACGGCTGCGTAGCATGAAATGGTCTATTTATGTTGGCGGATTTCCTTTGTTTTATTGTGAGTAATGAAGTTACACCAGATTGGATATGACATGAAGAGAAACTGTTTTTACTATTACGCTTTACATGTATTGGACTGGAAATTAACATCTCCCCAGGAAGCACTTCTATCTTGTTCAAACAAAGCCTTTATTTTGTAAGCAGAGCACCGAATTCAAATGTTGCGATTCATAAAAAGAAAAAGAAGCCATTGATGAGATAGAAAAATCATGACCGCCTCTATCAAAGATTGTGCCTGTTTGGAGAGGCGGAACCCAGCAGCAGAGAAAATCGGAGAGTGTCAGCGCGCTAAAAATCGCTGTTTAGCGCTTCAACCGCTGTATTTATAGCGACCAAGCACGCTGTATTGAAGTCGCTATAGCACTCTGGTAACTCAGTTACGCATTTATAACTGTTACTGCAATTTTCAACCACCGACCGTAATTGTTCCATCTACATTTCATGTTTTATGCGCCATGATGTCCACTACTCTAACGCCAAAGACTAGAGCAGCGCCAAAGATGCTGAGCAATAGAATGAATTCAGGCTTGTCGATGCTGCATCAATCTGTTCCTCATGGTAGAGTCAATCGCCGGCCACCATATCTATAACTTGCTGTAGAGTATTTGGCGGCATGTTGAGGAGGCTGATGTGAGTATTGAATGGAATTCGGTCCACGGTTTTGATCTCAACAGGGCATATCGACCAGAGTTAATCTCTATTTTCTTCGATAGTCTGGGCCCACCAACTGCACGCGGCTTCCGAGATGCACAACTGATATCATACTTCAACAAGAAGATACTTATTTTCGTCTCGCGGCAGACAGCCACGGCCTGCATCGCGATTCGAACGTTGTCTGGGAAATCTCGATTACAAAAGGCAATGTCTCTGCCCAAGTGCAAAGTAGGACAACGGAGAAAACAGCGGCTGGGCGTCTTTCTCCCATGGCCGAGATTCTGAGCCCAACAGGGACTCTCTTTTAGGCTCTTTGCTCCGACCCCAGTTCAGTTCACGGTTAATGGTTCGTGGCCCAACCCACAACGTGTCGGCTGCATGGTTTAAGCTGCATGGCTAGCTATAATCCTTGCCAAAGCCGTTCCGACTCTAGGAGGAGCTTGCGTGCTGTACAGTCGGAATTACATATAAGTATAGCTATGCTGCCAAATACTGGAGACCTCGTCGTGCTGTGAGGCAAGAGGAAAAGAGACTAGGAGAATAGAGCAACAGCAAGCTTCTCTCAGTTTCAGGCATCTATAGCCGACAATGCAGTTGCATTCTCTTGCGTTGGCCTCTCTTCTAGCGTCTAGTCAGGCCCTGGACACCGTCCAATATGGCGCATTGTGAGCTTCGCCTGCGCCTTTAATTGCCAACGAGTTAGTCGCTAACCACAGCTCTCCTTTCCGTAAAGCTTAGCTACAGCCACCTATTCCGTGGCCAACCAGCTGGGCTTCTTCACTGAGAATGGCCTCAATGTTATTTACAATCAGGTCGCCAATAGCTCGGCTGCTTTTGCGTCCATCCTCAACGGCGAATACGACATTCTGACCGCAACGGTTGACAATGCGCTCAACTACCGCTTCAACCAGAACCAGAACGTCACGGTGATAGGCCAATTGGATCAGGGCCCGGATCTTGTCCTCGCGTCAATTCCTTCCATCACCAGCGTCGAGCAGCTCAAGGGCAAGTCCATTATTGTCGATTCGCCCGTCAGCGGCTATGCGTATCTGCTCCAGGATGTTCTGGCAGCCAATGGATTGTCGCTTGCTAACAATGACTATTACTTTATGGTGGGTTTACAAGAAAGCATATTAGGGGCTTAATGGCTAATCATTTCTCTCCTTGCGCGGTAGACTGTCGGTGGAACTCCCCAGAGATACTCGGCTCTAGTCAACGAAGTCCTTCCCAACGGCACCGCTGTGTATGCCACGATCCTCACGTATCCTTTCACCGTTGAAAGTGAAGCTCTACCAAGCGGAGAAGCTCCTAACATCCTCGCTCGTATATCTGATGTCGTCGCTCCCGTCACCTCGAGCGCCTTCACCATTCGCGAGTCCTCGTTGAGCAGCACGGTCGAAACCGCCATCTTGACCAGATTCATGGCCTCCATGCATGCTGCTAACAAGTTCTTGCTGAATCCCAAGAACAAAGCGTGCTCCATCCAGGCGCTTGCCAAGCAATTGGGTGTCTCACAGGCGGTTGCCATAGAGGAATATGCCTCTGCAACCAACCCAGTGTCTGGAGAGATTTCTCCGCCACTCAACGACTTTACCGTCAACCAGACTGGCATCATGAACGACGTCAATATTAGGAACAAATTTGGCGGCTTCAAAGTTCCATCAGACTTCAACTTTACTGCAGCTTTGGTTCCGGGCACTGGCAAGCTCATCGATTATTCTGTCAAGGCTGCTGCCATCGCCGAGTACTACAAGCACCCTTTAAACGGCAACTGCACCACTCCTTGCTAGCAATAAACTGGGAAACCGAAGGTCGCTTGATTCACTCGTATGTTAATATTTTCATTATATAGAGAAATTATACAGTTACACAAGGACAAGTAACGTTTCGCCCAAACATCTACTCCCGTGTTCGCCTTGACAAAGTTTATTGGGTGGGAAATGGAATTACCAACGAACGCCAGATAAAAGACCATTCAAAAAATATTTCTGCCGGGCCCGTGTCCATCTCGATCTTTTTAAACGCAGCTAGTGGAGATAATAGCCAACCCGATAACATTTGTCTCTCCTTCGGGGACTCTTGCCCTCATGCCCAGTAAGCCGAGTACGCGAATCGAACTCAAAAGGGCCTTTTGATGTGCAGAAGGGATGGACAGAAAAACAGATGGCAACATGGTTAAGCAGCAATTAGGTGATAGAGAATAAGCGTCCCTGTATTATTGACTAATATAGGCCTTATAGTACTTCGATCAAGAAAGAACTTTCCTCATTTCTGTCCAGTCTTCATTTAATTCCCTCTCGTATCTATCAACCATGCCCTTTGATTGCTGGAGAGCTTTATTGTCTTTCATAGCCTGCAAGTCTTTGCGGTCAAGCCCTTCGTTGTTCTTAACATACTTTTGTTGGTCTGCCTTTGTTCCATTTGGATAGCAAAATCTCGCAACATGCGTGCTGACGACGCAAGTCGGCGGCTCCTGTATGTTATAAACTGATGGAGTGAGGTTCATGTATAAATGGCAGGCAAGTCTGTACCCAACTTCTATAACAATCCTATCAAAGCCAGCAAAGCCCCCGGGCGTCTTCATTTGGGCTGCTTTTTTGTCTCTTGGCAACGCCCTCTGTTTGGCACCCTGCGGTGTCTGGAACCCGGCCTCCCAGAATGGAGAGCCGAAGACGGTATGATCATCGTTGGGCTTGGACGTTCCGGGCTTGGATGCCCAGCGCTCGGATGTCACGGCCGCGGTTGTCTCGTGGCGTGGCTGGTCATATTGGATATTCACTCGCTTGAATTCCTTTTTTGCCAATAGTTTATGCCGCGACTCCCCCATCAGATTACGCAATCCAATCGATACCGTGGGGATACCCATAAAGGTAAACAAATCCAGAGCACCGCTCCGGAACCCAGAGGCCATCTTGTAGTAGCCGTGCTTGTATGACCACTTGAGGAAGTAAGCCTCAAAGTCTCTTGCGGTTATCTTGTCACTCGGTTTCAGTCCATTAATATCGTTCCAGTATTCCCCAATGCCGAAACCCTTGAGTCCACATGTGAAAATGGTTATGGCCTTCCTTTCCTGCTTTGCTATGCCATCCACAATGTCCCAAATATCCTTGGTGGCGTTTCCATTGTCAAGCTCTGGGTAGACGCCCATTTTCTCTACAGGGAAGGGGTCCCGCGTACCGGTATCTCGATACATGAGGAGGATATTGTTTTTGCCGGCTTCAATTCCGGCTGTCTTCCATATATCTGCAAATTTGGCGGAGAGTTTTTGGTATTCGACTGATTTTTCGTTATCCAAGGCTTCACCAACGATGGCCATCCCTTTCACAATGTCCTGTAAACGCTCTGGCGCGCTGGCGATGAGTTCAGTTGAAGTCTTCTCGCTGTACGTGCCCAAGTTGAGACCTTTGATGGGGTGCGCAGCGCGTTCTTCTGCGTTGTAATCCTTTCGGTCGAGGAGACAATCAATCATGTTCTCAGGGAGTGGTTTCCTTCCACTCAACACACCATACTCCCACGGAACGACGAAAATGTGCTTTCCCTTGCTCAGCACGGACTCCGCCAAATATTCTTCCAGCTGATTTGTTTTGATCTTCGTTTTGTCTTGGTGATTAGAGTCATAGAGAACGATGGAGCAATTTTCTAATTGCAACGCGGCTCGCAAATGATACATGTCTCCCCGATGAGTGGCAGACATGACAAAGACGGGACCGCCATTCTCAAAGACGTCGGGAATATGAAGCGTTTGCGGCTTTGGTCTTGGTTTTTGCGTTGGCTTTGGCTTTTCCTCCAGCTTCAGCTTTGGTTTTGGATTTCTGTCGCCATTGGTTGCTGCGGTGCGGCTACCGCTCTTGGTGGTTGGTTTGCGACTAAAGAAATTCATTTTTTCAAGAGTGTTTCAAGCTTTGCGTGGCTACTGTACTGAGTCATTTATGGCTTCTTGTTACATCGACTTGATCACATATTTATACCTGAGCTGCGTGAAGCCACCACCATGTTTCGGACATCAGCTTCGATAATATCAGCTGCGGTCATATCGGCTGTAACCATATCAGAAATGGTAGTACTAGCTATAATAAAAACATCAGCTGTGGTAATATAATATTAGCTAAGAAAAGTGTCGACAAAAAAAGATTCTCGGTATACGCAGCTGTTTTTCACCATCTTTTCTCTTCCCGTAAAACGCCACATTACGTACCTGTAGTCAGTTCAGCTGACCCTTTTGCCTCCATTATGACTGAATAAACCATATTTAAGTAAAAGTAAGCTTACCACACAGTCAAAAATAGGCGAGCTTCGGTTGGAAAAGTGGTCTGGAGTATTTGTTGTTGGATGTGGCCTGCTCCTTGATGCAGTGGCAAATCTTCCATCGCACGGTTTGGCTAGACAAAACGATTTACCTTTTAATTACTTGACACGAAATGGATACACCACTTTCGGATCAATGCGATGCGATTCCTATTTACTTTGATATCCACCCCACAAAGAAAGAATTCCAACCAATTTTGCCACACACCAAAAGTTCAATGAAATTTTCCATCTCCATCCCTGCTACAAACAACTGAGCCGTTGCCATATTCCCACAGTAGTACTTATCAAAAAAAGAAGAATGGGATGATACCGAAAGTTACATTAAAATTTTTCCGAGACATAGACCCGAGGCGAGAGAGAATCCCAATGTAGAAGATGGAGGAGCCCAAAGCTTTCGGGAAAAACAATCCAAGATTCTAAAAGCAATTAGTAACAGGACTCCAATGAGGAGAAAGGGGGGGGGGAGGGAAAGCTAACCAGTGTGATGTTAGAGGTAGTAGAGATAGAAGAGACTGCACAAGGAGCATCATGTAAAATGGAACGTGGGAGTGAGACGTGAGACTAAGTGCTTCTGTCAGTATCGTATCCCAAAGAGGAAAACCAGAGGCTGCCGTCTTACTTCGATCGGCTGTCGTTGTCGATCCGAGATACGCATGTGCGTGATGAAGGTCTCCAGGGTGCGGTAGTAGAGTGACTCTGGGTAACGCCGACAGTGTTTTGAAATTTGATATTTGGTTCAGCTGTCGTCTTTGCTTGAGCCGACGCCGCTTCTTTCCATCCAGGTGAACCATCAGTTGCTATCACGTTGTCAGCCTTGGGTCTCCGAATTGCGCATCGTAAATGTTACTTACGTTCACCGGGGGGCCGCCAAGGGGCAGTCAACAAGGGGGAGCCACCCCCTGCGACCCCCGAATAACCCAAACTATAAGGACACAAAGGAAGAAGAAGAGATGGAGAAATTGGGAGAAGAAGGGAAGAAGAGAAGAGGAGAAGAGAAGAGTGAGGAGGGCGAGAAAAAAAAAAACTAAACATAAACTTGCTCATGACGCGTAATAGAGCCACGAGGCAGCAGCTCTTTCCTTTGAAGTGAATGCTGCATTAATGAAAAGACCGGTCAGCTGGCGAGTGGCGAGTGGCGAGTGGCGGTGGCCTCCGATGGCAGATGATGGGCATTTGCTACTGCCAAAGATATCTCTTACGATGAGGATCCTTGACCGCTGTTTCTCGGTGTCTTGAGAGGTGCGTCTTCATGTTATGGTCAAGCGGGAAAAGGCTCGAGTCTGGAAGACATACCGTAGTGTTTGGCGCTGATGGATATCATGCCACATACTCTGGTCTTTCTCTCGGTACTACCTCGATGAATTCTACAGTTCTATCTAAGTCTTTCACGCTGTACGCGAGCCAGTAATCGGACCCATTTGTAGTATGACCATCTTGAAATCGTAAATGCACTCTATTTGCCATGTTGCCTTCTTGTGATGCGCCTTGTTTACGTAGAGGAGGCACCGAGAGCCACTAAATGGGTGCTCAAAGCTCTGGATGTGTCACCATGATTTTTATGTAGGGCGTATAGAGCTAGAAAAAGATATCTGTTTGATACTCTAATATCTTTGTCTTGCGTGGTTTCGTTTGATCTGCGAATGTCTAAATCAACTCCATTGGATCTCGGCTGTATGAGAAACTTTCAGAGTTGCAGCTACCCACGCCCATCGTATCTTCGATATGGGGAGCAAACCCTAAATTGACTACCATAGCTCCATTTAGACGCGATGCCAGGCAACAAAGCGGTGAGACTGTCATATCTTGAAGCCCATAGTCGAGCAATGATCCTGTTCAATACGATTGAGTCATTATTCAATGAGTGACTGAGTACGAATGATTATATGCAGTAAATAGAAAATATAGCGCAAAAGGCCGTGATTGCATTTTCTATCCTCAGCAATCTTGGTTGAAATGATCAAAGCATTCCAAGGCATGTGAATTGTCATTGATTCCAGCTGTGTATGTTGCGTGAAACACGTGTAGAATTGCATCCAAGCATCTCCCGTCTCTTTTAACCGAGAATGTCTAATATCCTACCAAGCTCTTAACAATGGAAAAATGTTTTACCCATCTTGATCGATTTCCTTTTCTGAATGTCTTGTTTTTTATATATCCATGTTGATCAGATAATGGGTAGCATAGCGATTTGGAACGTCTGATAATGGCATTAGTACTACTATATTATCACAACGATTGTTTAGAGAGTGTCGTAGTTCTTACCTTGTTGAACGCAGTGCTCAAATGTGCTGCCAGGAAGAACAGGAGGCGGCCTTTACCTGGGTGGAGAAGATTACTGAAAGTAACGCGTTGCAGTTTTTAGGTCTGGCGTTGGCTTCGATCGCGTAGTTTTCTTCCTTAAATTTGCCACCGGTGGAAGAGATTTATCGTAAACGATGGGATGCTCATGAAGAAGGAGAGATCTCTTTATTCTCATACGAGGATCCGGGTTGTTCAGGGAGAGTGGAAATTGTTGAACATGAATACTAGCCATTGTCACTGTGTCAGCAAAGACCGTAATTCAGAGGTCGTATCATACATACCAGAAGCTGAACTTTGGTTGCCTGCCGATAGAAATAGAGCTAAGTCATGTTTCAAGTAGCCGAGTTTAGAGACGGATGGATTGATGGATTGATGGATGGTGCGTTGGGTGGTTGGGATGCGGGTTTGCGAAAGGATTTGGAAGTAGACCTTCCTGGAGACAAGAACTCCCCAGCGGCATGCTGCTGCTGCTGAGCCCAGGCAACAACAGCATCTGACGCAGACAGACGGTTCATGCCATGGCGAACCATCTGTCTACGTCAGTGGAGCTTTTAGAGAGCTCCCGCTTCCACCAGACCCGGCGACACACCATCCCAATGGGTTGATATGGTATCGCCGGGTCTGATGTACTCTACACCAGACAGCCGAGGACCTTGTAGAGAAGGACACATAGATCCTTGGCCGTCTGATGTAGAGCCGGTGAGAGTTCCAAGGCGTGAGCACAGAAAGTTGGGCGCCCCGAAACTCTCTCCGAGTGGAAGAGGTCGCGATGGTGGATTTGTGAAGTTTTTAAACTTGGGAGTTGGAAAAAGCGCACACAAATGCAGGCAATAAAAAAAGAAGAAAAATTTCGGGATAGAGTTGCCAAAATACTGGGAGCCAATGAGCGGTATGTACGAATAACAACAATGGGCTTAGGGCATTGAAACAACTATTCTGGGGAGGACGTAGGTATGAACACACTGTAACAAGCCGAAATCGACAGCTGGCACGCACATGAGAGTACGTTACCAAGCTATTTTACCTCCAAGTCTTCCATTCCCACCACTATACTACTACCTGTAGTACGTTCTAAGCTCCTACCCCCCTTTTTTATGGTCTTTCTTGTGTATATTTACCGACAGTGTATGGGATTATACCTATCCTTGGGGTTGCCGCTATGGCGTTTCTCTCATGCCGTGGAGTCAGGCTACTTCCGCGTCCTCGAATTGAACTGGTGGGTAGAGACCAAAATTCAGCTCTCATACATTTTGTAGAATTATTAAGACAGTGGTAAGAACACTGGATAAATCTAGTGCAGTCAGAATGACATTTCCAAAGATTGCTGCGCTGTGTCGCCCAGCCCATCGAGGACAGTCAGCATACTTCTCGGCAGTGACATTTAATATCTATACAAGTGTAAAAATAGAGCATTCTCAAATCTATTCTAGTTTGAGGTTGAGTCTAGATAGGATAGAAAGCTATCATTTCGGAGTTTAGACATATGATTGTACCAATATAATACAAAGAACCATTCATTGGACCTTGGGACTTTTGACAAGTCAATCAAATGCCAATGACTCCTACGCGTAGGTAAGCTTGATCCTCTTCAATCTTCTTCCTCGCCTCTTCCGTCTTCAGCTCTTCCACATCCCATGCCGCCCAAGTAAAGCGGCCGTGGAGAAACTTGGCCTCTTCGGAAGTCGCCCAAACAGCGTAATGGCCGGGAAGATTAACTACACGCGATTGTTAGCGACCAGATGGAAAGAAAAAAGAGGCTAGCCAAGGGTTTTGATCGTACCATCATCCCACGCAAAGGCCTCCGCTGGAACGCCGGCCTTTGCCACCGATTCCGTGTATATTATGCCAGGATGGAAGCTCAGCACTTGCATATCGTCTGGCAAGATTCCTCGGGCAATCATCTGCACCGTCATCGTTCCTGCGTTCTTTGTAGCACCATAGCCGGGATAGGTTGTGACGGCTGAGGGTTCGTGGATGGCCATGGTTGAGATGTTTACTAACGACTGCGCATATTTTAGTATACGACTCTTGTTACATTTCAAATCCGGGTAATGGCAACTCACCAGCTTCTGGCCGGCCGCACGCTTCTTTTGGTGGTAGAATCGATCGATGAGATCAAGGTTGGCGCCGACATTCGTCACGAAGCTGGGCCACAGCTCTTCATATCCGAGCTCCAACACGCTAGCTGGCCTATCCGGTATATGCGCAGCGTTAAGAACCAAGACATCGACGACAATGCCGTCGCTATCAAGTTGTGCCCAGGCTTTCTCTGTCGCCGATCGATCTGATGCGTCCAAAGCCTGGCCTACAAACCTTGTGTTTGGATGCTCCTTAGAGAGGGCCTTGACAGCCTCATTCAAGGGGCCTTCGCGACGGCCAGTAAGAATGACCGTGGCAGCTTCAGCCAGCGCAAAGGCATGGCAGATGGCCAGACCGATGCCTGCGGCTCCTCCTGTCACGTAGACGACGCGGCCTTTCTGCGAAAGTTCTGGGCGCGAAGGAGATATGGCCGCATATGGTGTCTTATGGAAGGTTTTGACAATGTCGGGCTTAGGGAAAATTGGAACAGGAACGGCCATGATGGTAATGTAAAAGAGAGAGAGGGTTGTAGACTATTGTATTGAAGGGCAGAGATGAAGTTGTACTCGATGCTTTGGCGATAAAAGCACATCATGACTGAGAGAAATGACTGTAGTATTTATGCCTTCCATCGTTGGATCTAAACTCCTTTTTTTTCCAAGTCAAGCCTTTTGATGTGATACATGAATCCTGATGCCTTAGACTGGCAGTTCTCAAACCCCGGGTTGGCGGATGTTTTGCGGATGGTTGAATCGCGTCTTTGCTCCACTGGTGCTGGGGAAGTTTTATTAGTAAGTAGTTCCTGAATGCATATGTAGGTAGCGAAACATGCCAAGAATCTCATCAACTTCCAATTCCTAATTGCACAAATAGATGGTGAATAAAACCAACCCAGTGTGCATTGCATCATTTGGCCGCTGGATGTTAATGGTAGCCAAGCTTGCTGGTTAGTGTAGGTTGAGTAATTCCCAAGTACAAGCGATGCCTAGTATTGTGCAGAGGTAATCAAGCATGGCTTTTCCGCCAATGTTCCGCACAATGTTCCGCAGCTGATTTCTACCACCCGTAATCTTCGTCCCCTTTTCCGCCATACAACTTCCCGCCATATACATACAGTTTCCCGCCCCAGACGAAACCCGAAGCACTTTTGAATTTCCAAGCAAACAAGGTACAGACGCATTGTAAACTGTCTCCGAAACAGCCCGCCGATAACAAAGCATTATCCGCAGCTATGGAGACAGCCATGGCTAAAGAGGCTGATTACGACCCTCGGCCACAATCAGCACCGTTTCAGCGGCAAAGAGCGTGTATCCCCTGCACTCAGGCAAAGCGACGCTGCGACAAGAGCCGTCCTTTTTGCCAGCGATGCTTGACCAAACAAATCAAGTGCCATTATTCGTCTCGTCGTCTCTATGCCCGCGGCAGAGGAGATGGGTCTTCCAGGGCAGAATCTACAGCTACAGCGTCGGAGCCTTCATTGGACTCATCAACATCGTTATTGTTCACCGAGGACGGGGATGCGCATGACGATGAAGACCAAAACACTTCTCAAGGTGATGTTGATGTGAACAATCGCCAATTGTTCAGTCGTCCTTGGTTTCTCAAAGCTGAATTCTGGGTCATCCACCATCAATCACTTCATACGCCGCCCTCAATCCGCAGCTCTGCCGTCCAGCAGTACATTCGCTGCATCAAAAAATGGCTTCGACAATGGGTCGACTGCAGCCATTGCCCCATCGTACATGCATCTCTCTTTGCCGAGACAGGAATGCCACCATGCTTGCAAGACGCATATGCTGCGCTGGCTGTCTACGGCAATAAAAACGAACAAAACGAACATGTAGTGATGCAGCATATCCAAGACAAAGCCGATGCGCTCTTGGAGGCTAACGCGGAAAACAAAGATCCTCTGGTTGACATGTTTGCCTCGTCAACGCCTCTTTCTACCGGCCAGCACCTGGCTAGAGTTCTGTCTTTGTTCATCTATCAGTTCATCCGCCTCTTCGATGGCCATATTCGCCAGCGAGCTTTGGCCGAGAAGCAAATTGCGGTGCTGGAAGCCTGGACGACACAGCTTTGGGAATCAGCAACCCTCGACGTCACTCTACATAACACGTTTGGCGGCGAGTACCTGGCTGTTGAAGACAAAATGGACATGGCTAACCACTTGTGGCGTAACTGGATCGTGATGGAGAATGTGCGCCGCGTCTGGATGGTGTGCACGTACACACAATGTATCTACCTCCTCACCCGCGATGGAACCGTCACCTGTACCGGAACCATTGATTTCACCGCTCGGCATGGTCTCTGGGATGCCACTTCAGCGGCGATATGGCTGCGTATGTTGGAACAGAAGGATCCTTTATCTGTCGTGCCACATGATTCGGATTGGCTGCGCGAAGCAACGACAATCAAGGATATCGACCCGTTTAGCATAGTGAATATGGGTTTGGGGCTGGATTCGGATAAGATGGATGCTTGGATTGCAAACACGACGAATATGCGTCTTGAAGCCTTGATGGATGCGTAGTTGGCGACCAGTCGCTGAAATACAGAACTTTGAACAAAACAATTTGGATAATGCGCCGCAACTTGTCATCCATGCTCAAAAGAAATGAATTTCGGCAAACCTTTTCTACAAACCAAGATTCGAAAATGAGGCGTCGAGAGCGGCCGCTCGCTAGTGCACAAGCGGCCGCCTGAATCCCGATTGCTGGGGAGCCCTTGTGTCAGCCAATCTTTCTACAATAGGATAGGAAGCTCTTTGGGAAGCATATGAATGCTGATTAATTTCGAATGTGTCGATGGATTTGGAAAGAAACAGTCCATGTCGAGCGGACATAGGTCAGCGTTGTTATCTTGAATCCGTGTGACGATATCGACTTGGCTCTTTCCAAACGCCGTGATTGGCGCTGCATTAGATCTGAGGCTCTATCCAGGGCGGAGAGTTTCGGAGAAAATAAGTCGATCACGTTCCCGAATTCCATTTAAAGCTGTAACTCGACTTTGACTCGATAAAGAAGATTTCGGTATATAAGTGTATATAACAGGCATGTTGAGCCAGAGACCTCTCTCCAGACGATATTGTATTGCCATCGTCCATACCGACTTTTATCCACATAATCAAGCTACATAGCAACTGTTGGCGTCATGGGTGTTCTGACTCAAATGTGGCCACCCAAACCGGCCTTCACAGAGCATAATTTGGGCAACTTATCGGACAAGGTGCGAAACTGTCTGTGTTATCGTCATCTTTCGATCCATCGCTAATGTTTCACACAGGTCTATATCGTTACTGGATCCAACACTGGCGTTGGCAAAGAGCTCGCGCAAATCCTCTACTCCAAGAACGCGTCGGTCTACATCGCAGCCCGCAGCCAAGCAAAAGCAACAGAAGCCATCGACGCTGTTCGAACCGACTGTCCCTCTTCGACTGGACGCCTCGAATTCCTCGCCCTCGATCTATCCGACTTGGAAGCTGTTGCAAAATCAGCCAAAGATTTTCTTAAAAGAGAGTCCAAATTGGATGTCCTCTTCAATAATGCTGGTGTGATGCATCCACCACAAGGATCAAAGACAAAGCAGGGATATGAACTCCAGTTAGGTGTGAATAACCTCGGCCACTTGCTCTTTACTGAGCTGTTGACGCCATTGTTGGCCAACACAGCCAGAAGTTATCTTCCATTTTCGACAAACGCCACAAGAGTCGTCTGGGTGAGCTCACTATACTCAGAAATGGGATCGCCCAAGGGAGGATTCGATCCGGACAACATGAACTATGAGAAAAAAGACGAGGGCACCTTCTATAAGTACTCGGTTAGCAAAGCTGGCGTATACTATCAGGGAACAGAATACGCAAAGAGAAACAAAGACAAAGGAATTATCAGCGTAGTAAGTGTCAATGTCCAGATGAACAAAGCTCGCACAGTGCATGCGCTGACAAAGAGGCAGACTGTCAATCCAGGAAACCTCAGATCCGATCTCCAACGGCATCATGGAGACGGACTGCTGAAGAAAATCAACAAGAAGGTACTTTTATTTCCTCCAATCAACGGAGCGTATTCGGAGCTTTTTTGTGGCCTTTCTCCAGAAGTGACAACAGAGAAGTCTGGAAGTTATGGTACGCGTCATTTTACTAGTTTAGTATTTTTATGTTTTTTTTTTCTTACATCGGACGCTGATTATTGTTCTATTGCAGTGATTCCATGGGGACGAATTGCCAAGATCCGAGAAGACATCGAAAATGGTTCTCGAAGCATACAAGAAGGGGGAACTGGTATGGCTGAGAAGTGGTACGACTGGTGTTTTGAGCGCATCAAGCCGTTTATGACTTGATACAGCTGGATTATAATAATTTCATGAACTTGAGGCTGTACAGAGCTCACGACTGGCTCTTGAATATCCTTTTATTGTACCCTGTAGTTGGGCGTTTCCAGCTAAGTGTTGAAATCAGGCTCAAGCGTCTACAGGGGTAGGTAGATGTACGCTCCAAAAAGCAGCACTTGGATAATTTTGGTATTTACATTAAGCTGAACTCCATTTTTCGAAAGATTTATTGTTGTCGTGCTTCATTTTCACCGTTGGCCGTGAAGAACTGATGTCCGACCAACTAGGGTGGGTGAAGCCTGCGCCATCCATCCGCTCCACCTTGAGCCTATAGATATGAAAAGATGGAACGGGAAGCTTTACAGCTATTTACAGCGTCCTGTCACACCAGTATTGCATTTAAGAATGATTATATTGGCTAATTGGGATGTATTTGGCCAAAATTTAGAGCATATCCCTCTGACAACATTCCCCCTGGGGGTAGATCTTGATACTAGCAAGATATTAGTGTCAGATCGGTATTTTCCCTGAGTAGTGATCAGAGCACGTATCTTCAGTAAGGAGGGTATGTCTAAGCGCTTCTTTGATTTCAAGTTAGTGTCCCTGTTGAGATAGAATATGACGAATCTTCAAGTCTGGCAAACCACGCTCACCACTCATCCTACTATGCAAAATTGTTTGTCAATTTGGAAAAGCGAATCTCGCGCCCTTTTGACATACTACCAAATACATCAGTAGCATGATTTGAGCGGATAAAATGTTATATAACAGCTACAATATGTACCAAATTTCTACGACTACGGCATGATATCCACAACTTGCTTCATATCATGCCATACTACCTAGATGCAGAGGAACAATACCGCGTCATCAAAAATACAGTGCGTTGTACTGCTCTTTGACAGCTGTAGAGTGGCACTGATTGATTCTACACTGGATCATGATAGCTGGAACACATGTTTGAGATGGGTACCTAGATTCACACAGAACTGCAGCCCAACAAAGTGTACTGGACACCAGATCCGTTAATGCCAACTCAAATTCCTTACTTCTTACATCTCTGACCGCTTATTGCATTCATACTTTGGCTATCAGACGTCACTAAGCGAGAGGAGAACGAATGAGGAATAAGAATATGAGGAAACACTGCATGGATGCCTGGGGCAACGGCACAGTGAATCATGAATGACGTGTTTATGCATCTATTTTGAGAGAAAAATGAGCAAGTATCTTGTGACTTTCCTTCGATTCCCTTCTACTGCTTTCCTGGTTCCTCACTTTTCTCTCCTCCCCCCTTCCTTTGCTCCTTTTCCTCTTTCCTCTTCCTCCCCTCTTCTTTGTATCCTATAAAACAGACATCCCCCTGGGAGAGATGTGCGAAGAAGACTCTCTCTCTTACACAACCAACGGCCAGCCCAGCGGGTGGTCTATTGAGGCCCAGCTGGCTGGCCGGCGGTTTTCTTCGCCGTTTCTCCCTCGACACTGCCGACAAGTCCTCGGCTAACATGGAGGCCGTGGCGGCGCTCCATCTGCGCCCTGAGCTTCTCCAGAAAGCACCAGAAGTGTTTGGTGTTGAAGCCTACTGTGGTGGTCTCAGCAAACCCGCAGGTCTCAGCAAACCCGCAGCCTTCAGCCAACTTGGAGGCATTGTCCCAAAGCACACAGCTACTGGAATGGCACCCGCTCCTGACAACACTTCTTTTTCCTTTCTTCTTCATTTCTTCTTCATCTCGTACGTCTTCTCTCACGTCGAGCACGAGAACCAAACTCCTCCAGAGGTATGCCACTTCCGTTCCTTGCCTGCCTTGATTCTGTCTAACTCTAGAAATTGAAGTTGCGGGACAATCAATGGTTTGCAACAGTGGCCTGGTAGCAGCATTTACACACCATCCAATAATGGTATGTGCTCCTGAGGCATCAGACCCTCATCAGTTGGGCGTTCAACTGACCAGAGTTTCTTCCAGTGCCTGCCTTCATCCTCAGTCCTATCCGAGGCTTGTCGTGGTTCATCTCCCTCGCGATTGTTTTATTTTTCCTCCAGCTCACGTCAGAGAGTTTACACAACCACCTTGTCATGTTCCACATCACAGTCACAGTCATTGGTCCATCAGTCATTCAGAGTGCTGGTCGAGGTGGGCTACGGGACGACAGGAGAGTTATTCGGGAGGTTTGGCGGGATGGTCTTCTACTCATTCGAGGCCTCATTTGATATATTTCTCCGTTATTAGGGTGTGAGTGGCATGACCAATTTGTTGCGATGAAGTTTGTGGGAGGGAGGTCTATTTTATTGCCACTTCGTTCTGTTCAATATGTCTTTTCCTTCTACAGTACTAGTGAGTGGCAGTCCTTTTTGGTTGAAGTTGGTTGGCTGCGTGGGATTTATGACAATGGAATCATCTAATTTCCGACCACTTTCTGCATTGTTGATTGTCTTTGCTTGGCGTTTGTGAAATTTGTGTTGCGCTTCTGCAGAGTTCTATGCACTTGGTTGTGATCATGAGGTGGTTGGTTGCGCTTTGCAGTATTGTTGAACTGGAGATTTGGCTATCTAGCCTGCGGCTCTTCTCCCGGAACGCCAGAAGCCAAAGCCACCAATGGTTATACACAGACGTAAGATGGCATCGCGAGCTGCGCAAGGTCATGGCGGATTGATGGCTGTATTTTCCTATCGATTTGGTAATCCATCCGTCGCCACCCGCCAAGTCCAGCACCATATCCACCATATCTGATGGCTAAGCAGTAGCAGTGATTTAGTGTCGCATTTTCCTGCTCACCGAGTGAGTCATCACCAATAAATAATCAAGACTGCGATTATAGAGTGCTTCATTGCCATTATCCTCACTTGGGTGGCTTCTTTGAGTAGAGAGGAGTGAAAAAGATATATTTGGAGAGATATACGGCGTTGAAATGCATTCTCTGCATGTTATTATTCGTTTCTACCGCTTCAGAATTTCTTAGTCGCTGACCAAAGGAGAGGCGTGGCCCACTCATAAAGACAAGGACAGTAAGACAAGTCAGTATGGGGGAAAATGAACACTATTGAATCAGACTATCCAATTATTTCGTACTTGGCTAACTGTTCAGAACCTAACTGAATAGCCCACCAAGAGCAGCCGCCTCTTCATCAAGAACAAGAGCATTGTCACCATTAGCATATGGTGAACGAAGAAAGTACAAGAAACAAAAATAGAAGATGCCGCTTCAACTTCGCCCCAGCGATCTCGAAGATCTGTCGCTGATAGTGGAAACATACTTTGAGGCTTTTGCCCAAGACCCAATCCATCAGCGCTTTGCCCCAAGAGGGACCAAGTCGGCTTACGACTTCTGGTATTCGTCGCTGGAAGCCGAAATGCGCGACGAAAACAACCACTTCCTCTCTGTCTGGGACGATTCTACCACGCCAGAGACATTTGCGGGCTTTGCCAAGTGGATTGTTCCAGGGGCGCATCCAGAGCCTCTTCCGCCAGTGGAAGCCTGGCCCAGCGATGGCGACCAAAAGTTTTCGTCGTTTTTCTTTGGGAGGCTGAATGACATGCATCACGAGGCTATGGGAGAGCGGCCACACTGGTATCTCGAACTTTTGGCTGTCAAGCCCCAATTTCAGGGCAAAGGCGCCGCAAGCTTGATGCTAAAGTATGGCGTTGAGAAGGCTGACGAGGACAAGGTGGAGTGCTTTTTGGATGCATCTCCTGCGGGCCAGCCTATCTATGAGAGATATGGATTCCGAGTCGTACAGACGGATACTTTCTTGGAGGGAACTTACATCCAGTGCGCGATGAGAAGGGACGCGAAGAGGTGATAATTTTCCCGGCGTTGGCAGTCATTGGCGTCGTCGTTGTTGTTGTTTCTTGTTATTGGGCCTTGTGCTTCTTCATTTATCTACCAGGAAAAGAATTTACTGTCATGATATGAACGAATGGAATATTTGAGCAATGTTATTGAGATTTTGTACTTGGAATACTAATGCAATACGAACATTTGTCGCGATTGTCTTGATTAGACAATTGAAGTCTAACTAGGGAGAGGAGACATATGATGAGGGGGTGCACGATTCCTCCTCAAGCCGAATATCGTACTCTACACGACAGAGCTTTTCTGTGTTGCTCGCTCTGATACTACCAAGGCGACTTCATGGATGAAAACAATAAGAAAGTTGGCAATGACAATGGGCATGTCTAGAAGTAGAATTACTGGCTAACCATCGTATCAAACTTCTGTGCAGAGGTATATTGGCAGGACTGGAATACTATCTGAACTTTATGCATCTTCACCATGACAACAATGAAGCTAACAAGAGTATCAGACGAGATATGACAAACTTTGACACGTCATACAGCGGGATTTTGATGGAATAGGAGCAGTGACCACCACCAGTTCTGGGGCACATCTGGACTGATTAACCTTCCCAGAGATAGCTTCATTACGTAGAAAACACTATATTATGGAAGAAGGACCGTCTCTAGACAGAAATAAGCTACGAGCTAAATGGCTTGACCGACAGTTTCAAAGGCAATAGGCGAGTCCTCGGCGATGCTGTAGGTGGCCTTACAGCAAGTGCTTAGCGGTGGAGTGGATCGGGGCCGCTACCACCCAACAGCTGCTGTTGTCTCTCTTTCTTCTCCTACGCACCCCGCTCTTCTTCTCTTCTTCTCTTCATCTTCATACTACTCTCCCTCTCTAATATGCTCTTCTGGTATCTCCTACAACGCCAGCCAGTCATGGATTCGTTCTCTTGGATCTCCATTTCAGCCCCCCTATGCATCGGCATTCCTTGAGCTGAAGCCAATACCTATCATTCCTCTCCTTTTGTCCTTTTGGATTCTTTGTTTTGACCTTGCTCCTCTTCCTTTGGTCCTCTCACTTTTGCACTACTCCTGTTAGATGGTATCATTCTGCCTCGCAACCTCACTGCGCATCTGAGCTCATGCAAATCTATCGAGGCTCTCAAGCATTGTTCTTTCCAGGTGTGTGATGCAATTGGCTTACCGTGCTGTATGACAGTAGCTGATATTTGCGCAGCTTGCAATGTTTATTCATCTTCAGGATATGCGGTAGACTCTTTGGCGAGATCTTTGCATCTCCACTCGAGTCGGGGTTCTCCACTGTGCAGAGCTCTGCTTTTTGGAACAGCAATCAGAAAAGATCGTGGTGTGTACTCGGGATCGCAGCAAGCCGCCCGTCAAGGCGTCCGATTTCAATTCTTCTACAAGCTTCAACTAGCTCTTTTGATTCGAGTAAGTCAAGCCAAAAGCCCTTGGTTCAATTTCCTCTATTGACGCGTGTTGTAGCATCTATTTGTATTTAAATCGTCTACACACCCACGGTCGAATGGTTGCCTGGGAATGGGACCGAGAACAGAAAACCATGTGTATGAGAGTGAGTCTCCAATTCATCGAAACGATAATCTATCTAGATCCAAAGTTCCAAATTGACACATAGCAGCAGATTCAAGACGATGAAAAACCACAACTAGTTTGGCGGGTGATCTAATAGAGGTCCAGCCAGCCGTTGTTGGTTTCTTACTCTGGAAACACGCTCTCAAATCCCAGCTCCCAACAAGCCGATTTCACGGCGAGAGACTGTCAAGAAAAAAGAGAGTTCTACTCGGGGTCCCCGCCGTCGTCTCCGCGTTCAGTAGGCGTTGTGGCGGCTGGCTGGCTGGCGGGGGGTCTATGAGAGGCCCCAGTTGGCCAGCCGTCGCCTTGCCTACCAAGCAGGTTGGGAATCGAATGTACAAGCATAGACAACCGAACTTGTGAATACCCTTCACATCTTCCAAACGTTGCCGAGCGCTTCAGCTTCAAGGCATCAAGAGTCGAAGATGTTACTCATCCTCGCGATAACATGTTTCCGACGTCGCATCTTGATACCGCCAGCGGCCGTTACCCGCCACACGCCTTGCCGGCCGAGAAGAATCTATTCATGCTACGAGACGAGAGGGGAAAACATCAGCTGGGAGGAGAGTTCTCATAAAGAGCCTTGAGACAGAAGAGATCTGGTGGAGAATTGATGAGGGTTATCCGACGATATTCGGCTGGAGGATAGCTTCAGGGTAGCTTCAGGGTAGCTTGAGGGCAGCTTGCACAAAGAGAGTAGCTTGGATCAAAAGGGTCTTCTCATCATGATTTCTCTTCTCTAATTGGTATATCAGGTGTCCAAATGCGGCTGCTCTGTGCTTTGACGGTCCCAAATAGATAGTCTGCAGCCCTCGTTGCCAACTTGTGTAAGGGAAACTCTGGCAATTATCCCCCCCATCTTATCCTCGTTCCACAGGCATCCGCTCTGATACGCCTGATGAAGCTCCAGTTTAGCATGGACCAGGACCGACATTTTTTTCTCTTAGAGGATTCAGCCAAGCCGCAACAACTATCGTACCCTCTTGAGTCCGTCAGCTGATAGAAGCCACCGCCCTGACCAACTTTCACAGGCTCATCTCGCTGCTGGACCATGTCCGACTTATGGCTGCATATCCAGAAAAGTCCGAAATGGAGCTCTTCACGAAATGGAAGATGTGAGTAGACCTAAAGTATGGAGCTTGATGGTAGGGTATTTGATCACTAACTTGAGTTCTAGACAGAAAAATAAGAGGTCTATATCACGCCGAATTTTCCTTACCGCTCGTCGCAGCGTAGCCTCCTCGCGCCCGCGCAGAATCTTCTATTAATCTCTAATTTACGTGTTCGCCATCACTAGCTTGCCATCTACCACCTCAGGCTTCTTCATTATTGTCTCCAAGATCATGTTCTCGGAGAAAATGAGCCGCAGTCTACAAGACCAGAAGAAGATAATGTCTGCTAGTGAGAGAGTTCTTTTCCCCAAGTACGGATGAGATTCTTAGGAAAATTGATGCAGATCGTCCCAAAGGTAATCAGCTGAAAGGAAGACGCACAGCAGCTTCCATTAGATAATGTCCAAGCCTTGAATAATGCAGAAGATTTGAGTGGATTTGAGCTATACAACTTGGTAGAATAACCACTAACCTAAACTCTAGATATCGAGAAAAGGGCCCGGGCAGCGGCATTCTCTTCCACTGCTTTCACCAGCTTTGCCTCTTCGCCAATTGCTCCCAACCCCACTCCTAAGCCCAGCAGCTCTTTGCGGAACTTCAAAGTTGGCTAATGGTAGATTTCCATAGCTGCGGTAGTGGCAGTGCCGCCTATCGCTGATGGCAGCGCGGAACTCAGTTCAAGAACTAAGCACTGCAGTGGACGATGTTGTTTTGCCGCTTCCGAGGATATCAATTTCGGTGTAAGTTTCATCTTTCTTTAGCATATAATAGCAGTCGAGGATAAGAGCAATCACATTTAACCAACTTCACAGCCTGTTGCAATTGATTCCAAAGCCACCGGCGATATCATCCTCAAAGTCGCAACTATACTCCACAATGTCCATCCCTGGCTATGTTATTGCTTCCGCCCTGGCCCTCGTCCCAGACGCCATCTTCTGGTTCCTCAGTTTTACATGTTGGGGCTAGCTCGTCGAGTCCACGCGTCTACCGCCTATTAGCGCCTTTATGACTAGTTGTGCTGCTGGTCTATATATATCGTTTAGGCCTAGTCGGCTTACATCCTTGCAAACTCTGAGGCGTAACTGCTGAGGTATTCTGTAAGCTATCGGCAGTAAGCGGTATGAGATCTCGGCCGAATCTAACACTCACTGCTAGACTGCTTGATCAATTTCGGGTCACTTATATCAACTTACTTTGCTACCCGCTTATGGCCGATTCGGCGTTACAGCTTGCATGTTATCTTTCTTCTCCTATTTACGCTTTATTACACAACTCGCTATATCTTAGTGGTTGTTCATCAATTCCCCTTTACATCTAACGCCACTGGCGCTCCAGCATGCCTGTGAGGAGAGTTGCTAGGGAGGTCCGGACCTGTAGCCGGTGTCGGCTACTCAAACTGCGGTGCGACAGATTGAAACCGTCTTGTCAGCGATGCACCAGAGCAAATGTCACCTGTTCGCTTGGTGCTTGTTCACCTACGGATGAGCCTAGCACTGGATTGTTAGATTTGGCAACCGAGGCACTCCCTCGGTCTGATGCAGAGGCCTCACTCCCGTCTATTCCGGGTCTTGAACATCAATCGCACTTGGAAAACAAAAGCGATGTGAATAGAGAACAAGAGTCCGGCGTTGTCAAACAGAGGCAGCGAGCCCAACTGTCTTGCATACGATGCCATAGACTCAAAGTCAGGTGTGATAGAGACCTGCCCTGTTCACGATGTCGAATGTCTGGCTGGGGTAAATTTTGCGAATACCGCTATAGAGTGGAAACGGCCAGTCCATCTTTGGATGCAGACGCACCAAAAATAGGACCAGACCTCGATGGTCGTATCAAGTCGTGGCATGCACAGCGTCGTGGTGCCACTCACTGGGGTGGGCTTTTATCTGCAGTAAGCATTCAGGTCATGAAGTTGTTCAAAAAGATGGAACTAACAGTAATTGCAGCTCAAGTTGCAGGCTGGGCGTGTTGATCTTCCAGTCCGCCGTATGATCTCAGACTTGATTCACCAACAGAATGCTAACATTTCTGACGAATTTGTGCTACCTGAAAACTTTCCATTCAACAGTCCGGCAGCCGCCAATTTTGCATCCTTGGATAGTGTTCATGATCTACTCCAACAACATCGACCAAAATACCAATTTTATATGAATGGCTACCTCGCCCTCTACCAACCAAGCTTTCCCATCATTGACACTGCTATGTTTTCGTCATTAGCCGAGAAATTCTGGAATGACCCCAGGTCAACAGATGTGGCCTGGTTAGCCAGCTTTTTGATGGTATTAGCACTGGGGTGTTTTGCCGTGACGAGGGATCAACACGCAACCATGGATCTCTGCATGGCCGCCGAAGCTTGTCTTAGCAAGACGCCTTTTATGGTCCAACCCGATATATCAGCTGTGAGAACTCTGTGCCTTATGGTTCTTGCTAAGCAAACTCTTAATGCGACATGTCGCACTTTTGATTCCTGTTGGACGTTACTCGGCACTGTCATCCGTGCGGCTACTGCGATAGACTTGCACAAACAGCGTATGCCACATCATGGATATGAAGATATTGGTGTTTGGCAATTTGAGCAGACAATGTGGTCCACGGTCGTCTATTTCTGCGTACAAGTCGCTATGGTTACAGGGAAACCATTGATTGTATCAGCTGATATGTTCGCCGAACGTATACCGCTGTCCATCTCTCAAACAAATGACCCATGGGTAATGCTTATTGATGTATACCCGACACTATGCCACATAATCTCCAGAATTACCAGCAACACTGACAAGCCGTTGTACGACGAAGTTGTCAAGTATAATGACCATGTACGCCGGCTCATGGATACCTTATTAGGCAAGATGTATGGCAAGCCGAGGCTTTATATTACGCTGGATATATTTTTCCGCCGTATCCTCCTTGTGCTCCACCGCTCTCACGCTTTACATGCTGTCGCTCCGTCAGAGTACCCAGTTTCGTATTGGTCCTCGTTGGAATGCAGTCTAGCTATCCTCGTGCATTATCGAGATCTCGAAGACCAAAAGGAGCTAGACAACACGGACCTGCTTAGTCGTCTCTTCAAGAGCGACATTTTTGCATCAATGCTGACTGTGTGTTTGTATCTCCTTCGCCAAGAGGCGCCCCTCTCTGCAGGGTCTACAATCCCACCACGTCGGATAATATTGAACACGTTGCAAGCGTGCATGGTAATTTGGGAGAAAGAAGTACATCATTCTACCTGTTTCAAAATAGGTCTTATGTTATTAGATTCGGTGTTGAAGTTCCTACCGGATTTGTAATCTTCAGCAACGAAATAAGCATTCTATGTAAATCTTCTCTTTATTTTACAATTTCCTCTCAATATTTATATATTACAAATACACACATTGTTGGAAAGAACCGGTTAGTCAAAGGAAGCATGTAATAAAGGTTAAACAGAGCCCTTGTATTGGAGCAAAGGAAATTGCCACAACAATCCGTAGCGTAGCACGCGGGAAAATGGCCGCAGCCATCGCTCTCCAAATAGCATCGGCCGAGCATCGCCTGTCAGTAACCGATCGTTTACAGGTCACTGCCGTCATCTACTACGTACCCATACGAATACAATAGGTAAGAAAGTGCCTTGATCTTACATCTCTATAATAATTATATATTTATTCCATAACCTGATATCTGTTCAACATTTTAGATTGGATAAAGTGAACCGCATACGAGCTATATACTTGCTTTTTTCGACATTTTGAAAGACGCTTAATCGAAATACATTAGTTTAAAATGTCCACCACTCTCTACTTGTTATCAATCCTGTTTGCAATATGTGGACTCGCCGTCCACCACTATAAACACGAAGATCTGCCGCTCCCAATACTCGGCTACCAACTTGGGGCAGATTGGCTGTTCCCCCCACATTGTATATGTTTTACGGCAGCCTTGGCCGTCACCTGGCTAAATATGGAGGCGCAAGATTGAATTGGTATCGTAAGTATCTACTGGTGAAATGTATTACTATTAGAAGCTGATATAAGTCTCTAGGTACGTGGATCGACACTGTCCACTTTGACGACACCAGAAATCCGGACGACATTCGTACACTGAAAGACATAGAGACTTGTGTAGCAGCATTAGGGTGTTTACGAAGTGGTTAATGATATTTTGTAATAGACTAAAGATTAAATGTCATGTATTGTAAAGTCAATCTCTTTTCTCTCACCGCTGTTAGGAGTATAGATATGCAGCGCGAAGTAAGGTTATAAATAGAGTAAATATATAAACTACTAACGAATTGTATCTATACAGCTTCAAAGAAGGCTGTTTGGCCATTCAATTGGTATGTTGTTCGGGCCTTTGCACAGCCGGAGCATTCGGCCGAGTTCAATACCCGCATAGGGCCGGTAGCTGACGCTGTTGACGCGCCATGTTATTTTTAATCGCCCAATAATAGCTCCTTTTTATATTCTCTTAATTGAACACCAGAGGTTAATCACGTTCTCGTATCATTTTTCGCTTATTGAACTATAATATGATTGCTTTGAAAAGTTTATATACCTGGTTTGCAAATCTCTCGCTGTGTCAGATACGTACTACACGAAAAAAAAAACCTTGGACAGCTCCAAAATGGCCAACAGTCTATCCATATTCTTTCTTTTTATTCCCCTCATTTGCGCCGCTCATACAGAATTGGGATTGAGACGGGTATTATCAAGTAAGCCGTCGGGCAAGTCCGCATGGCTGTCACCACCGTACAATTACATCTTTCAATTTCCTCTCCCTGTACCGCCAGTTATCGATCCACTACTGTAAGTTCCTCTATTATATATCTACATTAGGTAGCAAAGGTTAGGCTTCTACCGCTTCTGATGCTTATAGCCAATCTTCCCTTTAAATTTGAATAGATCCTATATAGATCCCGAAAACAACGTAACCATCGACTTTTTCCAACTCAACATCACGTCATTCCAGGCTCAGATATATCCAAATCTTGCCAAAACGGGCCTCGTAGGATATAACGGAATATCTCCAGGGCCAACCTTTAGAGTGCAACGCGGAAGACAAAGTGTAATACGTGTTGTAAATCACAATGGTAATTGCCTCCCCAGTTACTTTACGCCAAGTCTGACATCAATTGACAGATCAACCGGCTGTACTGCATCTTCATGGATCGTACTCGCGCGCAGTCTGGGACGGCTGGGCAGAAGATTTGATCCAACCGGGCCAGTACAAAGATTATTACTATCCAAACTCAAATACTGCTAGAACTCTCTGGTACCACGGTGCGTACCCTTTCCACTCAATCCACCCATGTGATTCTAAGATGAAGAAGATCACGCGAATATGATTACCTCGGTCAATTTGTTTAGCGGTCTGGCCGGCTTCTACATCATCGAAGATGCCGAGGTGGAGGCAAAACTTGGCCTTCCTCAAGGCAAATACGATATCCCCCTTGCTCTCAATTCAAAACAATATACTTCTACTGGAAATCTCACTTCAGTAGCCAGCGAAACCGACGGCGTCTATGGCGATATTATCGAAGTCAATGGACAGCCTTGGCCTTTTTTATCGGTCGAGCCCCGAAAATACCGATTTCGTGTATTAAATTCGTCTCTCAGTCGAACGTTAAATCTAACTGTTATGGATAATAGCAGTGGAAACGCACTGCCGCTTCAAATTGTCGCATCGGACTCTGGATTCATGAGTGCGTCTGTAACAACCAGCAACCTAATGATAGCGGTGGCGGAGAGGTGGGAAGTGGTCATTGACTTTTCAGGTTACGAAAATCGCAACTTGACCGTTATGAATGAAGGCAAAATTTTTGATTCTATTGATTTCGCGGATACTGATCTTGTGATGCAATTCAATGTGGGATCTACCGTTTCTTCCGACATCAATAACGGCCCGCCCCCTTCATCTTTGGTCTCAATAGATGCTCCACCGACTGGTAATCTTATTAATCGACAGTTCAAATTTGACAAAAAGTAAATCACTCTACTCAAATGACTGGTCTCAGCTAACATCAAGCAGGAACGGTGAGTGGGTGATAAATGGTGTACCCTTCACCGATGTCAAGAACAGAGTTCTTGCAGCACCTCAAAAAGGCGCCTCAGAGATGTGGGTATTGGAGAATCAGAATCCTTATTGGAGCCATCCAGTACGTTGCCTAATCGCTATATCAGAGCTACTGGTTCACTAATATTTCATGGTAGATTCACATCCACTTGGTCGATTTCCGGATTATATCTCGTGCAAACGGACGAAACACAGTCGCACCGTACGAAAAGGTCGCCCTTAAAGATGTCGTCTTGCTCGGCCCAAAAGAAACAGTTACAATAGCTGTTACGTTTGCTCCATTTATTGGCCTGTACATGTTTCACTGCCACAACGCCATCCATGAAGATCATGCCATGATGGATGCATTCAATATCACGGCTATCCAGGGATTGGGCTACAATATCTTGGATCTCATGCTTGCAGATCCACTAAACGCCACATGGCGCGCAAAGGAATACACAAACTCAGATGCTCAGGCAAACTTGACTAGCATTTTGGCAGCTTTTGCAGCGACCGAGGCGTATAATAATGCATCAACAAAAGCAACCAAAAATTCAGGGGATAAATTGGCACAAATTCCATTGATATCATTATATGTACTGACTTTTGTAATTTATATGTCACTTTAAATTTTATAAGATGAATATTTCACCATTCACAATTATCTTCTTCAAATGACAGTTCAGTGCCCGTCGTATCCCCAAACCCAGTAGTAACATCAGGCCTGGGGCAAAACCCATCGAGCAGGGCCACAAGATACACCTAAACGCCCCGGTGTACTCTTCAGGCAGCTACTTATCAATATAGCGTCGTATAAACACAAGGTATCGCGCCCAACTCCGATGCCAGAGCGGGTAGCCGTGCCGCCGGAGTAGAGGAGGACGTTGCACAGTAAGTTGGAGGGCTGAGTGAGGCGATCGAGAGTGATGATAGTGATGACGCTGGGCCACATCATATATTCCCCAAGGGTTATCCTTCCATGGCCTCGATGTTCTCGCTGCTTGATTGATGCGATAGTCTCTCCCGAAGGTTGACGTGCTACCGAAACAATATGGGCCATGAGCAGTTTCATGTCTCGTCCGTTATCGCCATGCAACAAGCAAATCACACACCACCAACGAGGCCAAGAATGAACCCAAGTCACTTTGCATCAAACATGAGTATTCTAAGAGAAGGTCAAATGGGTGGGGTTCGCATCCAGATTTGCATTCATGGTCCAATTACGATTTCCCGCAAAGCTCTCTGGGTACTTTAGCTATCTCGGGCCAGCCCTACCGTCGGCGGGATCACTTTGGAATGGAGAGCACAATGCAGAGGTGGCTATACAGCGTCCATATTTTTTGAAGGACTGCATCAAGAGATAAACTGGCTGGATTAGAGTTGCAGATCATCAATCTCAAGCTGCGGCAGATAGAGAACACTTGAACCAGAATCACAGCTCCTCCACGGCAGAAGTAGCGAGCACAGCATACAAAACTGCGTCTTCCAGATGAATAACGAGTACATAACAAGTGTACTCCGTACATAGGAGTTAGTCGCATTATTGCTTCACTTCATTCGGTGCATCTTTTGTGGGTATCTGTGTGGAGCTCCTGCATCTGCTGTTTTGTGAATGCCCTGCGGCTTCTCTGCTCTTCTTCTCGCTACTGCTTCCTGTTTCCTGCTTCCTCCTACACACCGCTATGGACCCGGCCACTGGGCCCTTCCAACGCAAACTCGAGAAGGCAGCTTAGGGCAAGGTGTCGCCTCTAGTCTTTCTCTGACATGGAGTATCATGGCTTGTTCTCTTTTGTCAATTTCTTCAAGTTTCAACCTTGCGACCATAACCCCTTTCGAAAGGGTAGATTCCAGCGGCTGATACCCGCGGCCTCGTTGGCAGCGCCAGTCTTGACCAGCAACAGCCTGCCGACAACTTGACACTCTGGTTCGGCCTGAAGGGGTTTTTTTGTCTTGCCTCCCAAGTAAGTACACAGTGAATAAAAGGAAAAAGACTTGACATTGTACGCTTCTCGCGCTAACATTAATCGACAGTTGAGAAGGAATGGGAATGCGGCTGGTCGGCGGGGGGTCTACAAGAGGCCCCAGCTGGCCAGCTGCAGCAATACGAAGACAAAGGAATAATGGTGAGCCCCTGGATGCACCAGCGGGCTGCAGAAAATATGTCATATGGTACGGCTAGTACCGACCATCAGCTCCGACCAAGGAGAGGAGAGTCCTCCAACTCTAGAGCAGAAATACACATGCCCAGTGTCGAATTTGGAACATCAGCCCCTGAAGTAAGCGAAAAATGCCAGCCGGGCACGGCAAGCAGTTTACGGATCAACACTACACAAACGCAGAGAATCGAACTTGTGAATACCCTTCAGACCCGTCACAAGTAGTCGAGAGGGAAATTTTCAAAATAACAAGAGTCTAAGATCAAGCGCCTGGAACCTTTGGAGTCTGCAGTAGAAATATTTGCCAATTACCGATATGGACCGACGGCATCGGCTTCGACCGCAGCTACTACGATCGTCTAATTGATAACCAGTTCCAGGTCGATTGGTAATCTCAAGCCGGATTGCCGAAGCCTGCAAGAGAAATCATTGCCCAGATGCTGGCAGCCGCTTGCAGCCCAAGAGCCAGCGAAGTCAAAAGGCACACGATAGAATATATGAGGATAATGGCGGCGATATAGCAGGCGAAGGAAATATGATCAAACAACCTTTTTCCATCCTATCGGCAGCACAGCGAAGAATCCGAAATTGCCTTGTATACCTATTACTGCAGATATAGAAAACTACAACTTACCTATTTCTTTTTACCGCATTAGCTACCACTGCCGTAAGTTCTCTTTTTCTTTTTCTTATTGCCCTACGAATTACTTTCTAATCCGCTTCCAGGAACATTTTGAGGTTTAGGACTTCTTTACTGTCCACTTCTTTTTAGAGGATTGTTTTGAAGGTTGAAATTCGGCTACTTGATAGTCTTCCTGGAAAAGATTCTGAGGGGAATGTGGATACGAAATCGAGGCATAGCCTGGCGATAATTTGTTATTACATGTTTTCTGCACAATGCATTGGGCTTACCATGCCCGTTTTCCTTGCTTCCTGTACATTAAATGGCTTGCACTGCCTGGATATTCTCTTAGCACATTGTCGGTCGAGCTTCGAGCAATAAAAGAAAAATTTCGTCGTCTCCGAACTCAGCTGCTTTCAACAGCAGCCAACTTGTGTATATTGGTTATGGCTATCATGATCGATGCAACATATTCAGCATCCGCTACACTCCCAAACAAAGTAGCCCAAGCAGTGCAAAGAGAGGAACGAAAGAGAGAGCAACGGAGCCAACAGCTAGATTACCATTGCTTTTCTGGATGGCATGGGAAACTATCCTTCTTTCTTGGTCGGAAAGCTTTGCGCCAGCTTCAGGTAGTCGGCTATATGTTCGACTTCAGCCTGGACAAGAAACACTCCCACAGTAAATACGGTAAAGTGGAATATATCTTTGCTGCTACATCTACCAAGTCATCGTTAAGGCCCAAGCCTACCTTTTACAGCAGCCTAATACTGAAGGTGCTGTCGAATCAAGTGTACCGTCTATAGGCCCTACTTGATACAGTTGTAGCTGGCAGGGAGCTGCAGCTTGCTGCTAGTACCTGCCATTTAGTCAGCTATGGGCCACGCTATTGAGGAGGAAGTAGACCTGTCCTGTCGCCTGCATCGACATTCTCTATCGTTTCCCCCCTCCTATAAGCATGATATTGCAAAAATATCCACACACAGACATACACGACAGGACAGACCTGCTGGATGTTGACTCAGAAAAGGGGTTGTCTGAAAGATAGGGACCGCCAATGAAGACGCAAGTGTGGGCAACTTAAAAACATACCCGCCACCATCAATAATGTATGTGGGAAGCTTTGGTGCCCGTCTGGTCTGTGTTGCTGAAGAGGCAGATGTACAATTGTTTGCGAATGTCCTGTTTGTTGAAACCATCTGACAAGTTCCAGGCCTACAGAGCAGAGCTTTAATCGGAAATGATGGAGACAATGCAGGCATGTCGGTGGGCAAAGTGGTGGGTGGCAGGGCGGCAGTCTACATCGAAGCACCCGAATATTCGCATACGGAAACTGGTTTGTTATGCTGCCGATTTGCTATTGGCCATTAGGCTGATACACTCATAGATGTGTGGTTGACTCCATAGAGCTCAGCCAGTCGGCTGGGAGTCTACGAAAGACCCCGGCCGCGAAGTCTTTGAAGTACCTTCCCTGCCCAAAGTTTGGATAGAAAGGCGGATATTGCCAAGACAAAGAATACCTTGGACCAAAGTCAGCGAAAACACGTGGCGATAAAAAGTTGACGGCGGGCTTGATATGGAGAAGACAGAGACAAAACACAAGCTCGTACAGGCACAAGGACAGCAGCTGAGCCAGATATTTTGCCAGAGCGACAGTATCGGCTTTGAAACTGCTGATGAATACACTGCCTACCTCAAAAGGATGCTCTTGAACAAGATGGCTGCCCATGTAACGGCTGTTTGTGTCAACGTTTCCTTTTCACACAGAACAAAAGACATGGGGTTGGAAATATAACAAACACAAAAGATGCTGCCACTGGTTCTTGGGAGTACCATAATATATTCTGAGGAACACAAACGTGGTGGAAAAAAAACCAAGCACCGACTCGTTCCTAATCACTCACGGATGTTTTGAAAAGCGCAGGCCGCTCAACGCATTTTGGCCATGATCAGGAACGAGTCAGCAGCCTCAACGGTGCAATCATCATGCGCAATATCAGGAATTACGTAACAACCAACTCGCTGCCAAGAAGCGCAGAAGGGTGGCAGAAAATGAGTTGAAACACGTAAAGGGTTATCTTTGAAGGAAGAGAGCGCGAAAAAAAAAAAATACCCCATCGAAAGCAGGACTGATAATCGGTAAGATTGATTCGCCTAATGAAGAATTGATCGAAGACTAAGCGAAGACGAGATCTCCAGAGGTTATAACGGATGATTTTCAGCACACGGAGTTTCTTCTTGCATCAAAGAGAGTCAAAGAAGCGTCATTCCTCACGATAGGGAAACCCTTGGAAGAATGCGGACGTTGTACCGCCAATTCAAGACTCGTTCGAGATGATCCGAACATTACTCAACAAGACCTTTCACTCCATTTAGTTGAGATCAAGCTACCTTTCTAAGGTCTTCTGGGCTTTGAAGGCAATAAGTACAAATCATCATCACCATCATCAATGGCAGAAGTAACAAATTCCGGAGAGACATGAGCTCATTGAAGGAACCGTCGCATTAGATGCTCTACTACAAGGCAAATCATAAAAACAACCATGGAACAAATCAGCAGCTTCAATACCTCAATCAAAGATCTCAAGACAAGTGAGCAGAGCAGGCACATAGCACAGAACGCATACTCGCACCACCCCTATACACAGACAGCAAGGTCACGAAAGCTGTCAATCAGCAATCCACTGTCTACTCAACATCACAAACAATGAACAGCTTGCAGCATTCATAAACACGCAATCTTCCGACTATTACTTGCTGGTTAAGCATCTGATCAGTGTTGTCGTCGCAACCCCAGCATTATCCAATAATGGCGTTCTCTCTCATAGCAATGTCCTTCAACTCTATCCATTGTTAACCTGCCACTTGGAGCTCTCAGTTGGCAGAAGAAAGGCTTTCGAGCCTTAAAATGTCGAGAATATTGCACGAAATACGAAATCAACAAGCTCTATCTAACCCCACATAACAATACCGCCTTCGCCGCCGCGCCAGCTGTTAACTTGCGGTAGACAACTGCCCATGATCTGAACTTCCAGATACTGTTTTACCCCGTATTATGTTTCATATTCTGCAGAACCGTTCCCATAAATTTGGCATACCATCAATTCTCTTTTTTTTCTTTTGCATTCGAAAAATACCTTTCGCTATATTCGCCATAACCTCTGGTACGAGACGCCTTCATCGCCATCTATTTCCCCGGCATGACCTGGGCTGCAGCCAATTCGCCTATCATGATATCTACTGGTTTCTAACGCCCAACAAATTTACCTTTGCCGACATGTAAACGCCATACACCTGAGGACTATGGTCACCACCTCTCCTATGGCACCCTAGACTACTAGGACACCATCGCAATGCTCAACGGTCCATAAGCAGACATGCATTAGGGGTTTCGAAACGACCAACTCTTCACAGGGTTGTTTTGGGACCCCAAGTGGGACCAAGATGCTCGTGGCATAACAAAGAGAGAAAATTATCAAACACAATACCAGCTGGAGCAGGCGAGATTGGAAAGATATGGCAATGGGAAATCCAGTGCAAAGGATGCGAGAATGCTTCCATAAAGTGCAAATTTGGCTTGGGGTTCCGAAGCGACCAATCCCGTGTTTACTCCACACGGTCGTTCTCGGGACCCCAATCAGACGACGAAGTTGAGCAAGCTCCCACTTGGAGGTGGCTCCAACCGGGAGTCTTATCAAAGAATACTCCCTATTCCTCCTCGCAAGCTTTCTGAAGATATCGAGAGCCCATGCAAATTTGGCTTGGGGTTCCGAAGCGACCAATCCTGTGCTTACTCCACACGGTCGTTCTCGGGACCCCAATTAGACGACGAAGTTGAGCAAGCTGCCACTCGGAGGTAACTCCAACCGGGAGCCTTATCTAAGAGCGCTCTCTATTCCTTCTCGCGGGGTTTCAGGGGATATCGAGACCCTATGTGGCAATTCGGAGCATACAGTCCACTGCTAAAAGACCACACAAACGCAAAAGAAATTTCAACACCACCTTTGAGACTCATGGATATACCAAGTCCATTGAAAACCCGGGGTTACGGGTTAGGTTACGGGTTACTTTGGAAAAGTCTGCGGAGGATATCGGGGATACTCCAGGGTTATTTGTCGATAAAATCGCGGGCGTTGCTATGAAGTCTCCAAATGACCAACCATGTACTACATCAACATGGCCGTTCTCGGGACCCCGCAGGAAGCCCAACACTCGTGCCAGAATGCAGAGGGCACCGACCAAGTTCAGTGAACTGGTGGTCGCCCCCAGTCACGTCGGAGAAAAGCAACATTATCTTTCCAATATGGGGGTTCTATTTCTGTATACAGTCGCTATACGCTCGAAAAAACCCGCGAAGGCTAGTGCAATAAATGGCCCGTACCCAGCATTGCTTTCAGCTGCTAGATTAGATAGAAGTGTTGGAAACAACATAATTCAGCTAGCTTGGTCAAATCAACTTCGATGACGGCTAGATTGTCCAGATCGCCCAAACAACAACAAAGTTCAACATATATTTCTACGTCAATGGCTCAACAAAGAAAGGGTCACAATAGAGATTAACTCTCTCATGCACACAGATTGCCAAGCTCAAGTATGCCATTCACAAAAATTATTCTTTGTTCAAGTAAGGCGACCTCGTAATAGATGTGAACAACCTCAAAGCTAACTCAGGTAGTTGATCAATAACCAAGGGCTTCCGAACAGACCACTAGAACGATCAAGGTCCAATCATGACAGACAGAGGCTAGATCTCGAGTCAAAGTCAAAGACATGGGAGAAGCTTCAGGTGCCAGCAAGCGATAAGTGGGAAAGGCGAGAACAAAGAAGCTTTCATTTACATGAATGTCAGCTGCTTCATTAGCAAGTTAGCCAGACTATTTTTTAAAAAGATCTTTAGTAGCTTTGACTTACCAAATGCGGATACAATCTTCCATCACTCTCTCTGTCCTCGATTGCAACTCGGGCGTGACGACAGTCGCAACATCAGCAACCGCAAGCCTCTGTAAACTGAGATTTTTAGTCGGTGTCCCATCGCTCCAATAGCGTGAATCACATTGCGAATCGTGTTACGAATCATATCGAAGGTCATTTTGAGTTGCATATCGCCAGATGAACAAGAAAAGATTGTCGATGATCTTGGAAATAACGAGGGGGTCGCGAGTAACAAATCGATGAAGCACCGAGCGCGAAATATAGAAGAACCGCAAGGGCTAGATACTGCAACGAATCAATAGAGTAGTGGGCAGGAAACAGTTGTGTTTGTTTATCCGATTGGAAATTTTCGCAGTTGTAGAGGCTGAGTTTAAGAATGATTTTTTTTCTGCTTGGGCATCCCCAAAGCTCTACTGCAAGTCAGTCTAGCGTGACTTCAGATTCAATCCACTGTCAGTTTCAATAACCTCCAGTTTTCACCATCTTGTAGCCCTTTCTGACAGGCGGCAGCTGAATCGACGAAATCAAGGCTGATGGCTGGTGTGAGACAGCCGTGATCAGCTGGTAATTGTTGGCGTAAGGCTGCGTATATCTATCTTGTAGCCCAGCAGCACCAATGAGGAAATTTATCACCAACAGCTTATTCCAACCAGTGGATTTTTGTGAAATGTGCATTAATTATGACCTCTCTGGGTAATATTATCCTAGATGGAAGAGCACAAGAGCCGCAAATTAGTAGCATGAACGACATGGCGCGACACGATCTGCTAATTGACAGGAACTGCAAGAGGCCATAACTGGCTGCGCAGGATCAAGCAGATATGCTGCAAGCAACGGTCAATTCATCTATTTAAAAAGATGATTGATGATGATCGCTGCGCTCTAAATGCCGATACTGATGGTGTTTAGTCATCAATAAAGCGATTACTGTCCGTTGGCGCTCTATAATCTCATCCTCTGCATGATTCTACCCTACAAACCCAACTCACGATGCTACCGTCTTGGTCACTCAGCTGTCTTCTGGAGCAGTCACGGCTGAAGATGTTCGGGCATTTTGCAAGAGAGCTGCCGTCGCACAGCAACTGACGAATTGTCTCACGGAAATCATGTTTTCAGACGCGATCGATCGAGCCAAATGGCTAGATGCCCAGTTCCAGAGACGGGGAAAGCAGCCTGTTGGGCCTCTCCATGGCCTGCCAATCAGCGTTAAAGATCAATTTTACATCAAGGGATACGATAGTTGTCTTGGTACGGCAGGCCTCTGCTTCCGACCAGCGAAAATGACAAACCAGGCAGTACAGGTTCTTCTCAACGCAGGCTGCGTCATCATTGGCAAAACAATAGTTCCACAGTCAGTGCTTACTGCTGACATGGATTTGATCGTCTTCGGACGCACCATCAATCCATACAACGCCGAGTTTGCGTCTGGGGGGTCTTCTGGCGACGAAGGCGTATTGCTTGCTATGGGAGGCTCTTCTCTGGGACTGGCAACAGATGGAGGCGGAAGCGTGCGGATACTGGCTGCTACGTGTGGTGTTGGATACAAGTCCAGTGCTTATAGGATACCTATTCATGGCCAGAGAATCGTTGGAAAAGGCATCATGGGCACAACGTCACTTGTTTCGCGCATTGTGAGTGGATTCCTGGCGAGATCGGTGAGAGATGCAAAACTAGCAGCCAAAGTGATGTCCGACGCAAGTCCATGGGGTGATAGCCCCTTTATATATCCGCATCCATAAATGGGAGTCTCGTGTCCCAGCAAGCCTTGAATCGGCGTGTGGCTCAAGGCAGACGATTTACATCTTTACCCACCGTTTGCACTGGGCCTGCATCTCGCTTACGATAGACTCAAAAGAGCCGGCTACGAAATGATTGAGCTCTCGCCGCCGCTATTCCAAAAAGCTTCGCGTCTGCAGAACAACTAGCCGAGGTGGTGGATCTTTCTTATATGGGCAAACTTTTGGAGTTGGAGCCACACACTGAGGTTGTTAAAGCAACCGGACTAATCACACCAAAGTCGGCACTGCCAGAGTTTTCGGTCGAGTATCTGCATCAGTTGAACTATCAAGTTGCCCGATTGGCAATGCAAATGAAGAGGATTTTGAATGTCGACAATGGTAAACAGCTAGACGCTATTTTGTTTGCCACTGCGCTTCACACAGCTCTACGCTTTGACAAGTTTGTCTGGCTTGGATTGACGAGCATATTCAATGTGCTCGACTGTGCAAGCATTTCCATACCTTTAAACGAGGCTGTCGACAAGAAAATTGATACTGCTACTCCCGTTTTGACTAGCAGAGGACAGTCTAGATTATGATGATTATGATTGTCTGCATGCAACATGTAAATACATATACAGGGAGGCTCTATCTCTACTTCTATTTTCCCTCAGATGATATAACAGAAATGGCTATAAGACTCTAGGCGAAGTATCATCGAAATTTTAAGTTGAAAAAATTAATGTTACAGCAGAAATCACCATCCGTGCGGTGTCTTACAGTAAACGACGCCACAAATGTCTTGTATTCTTCTCTGTGCTGCACTTCAATCCAGCGGGGAATCTTCCTAAAGCTTCATCACGTTACATTTATGCTTCATCTTGTATGACAATAAAAACTTGTTAGCGTGCTATTGTTTAATAATCTATGCAGCTGAATCTTTTTCATATACGGAATCTTTGTCAATTGTACGGCATAAATGATTTGGTAACGGTGGTTGACCATTTCTGCTAAAGAATGCTTGATTTCGCCTATCAAGCAGCGAATCGATCAAAATCTCGGCTTCTCATTACCACTATCAGTCGATTTAAAGCATTTATGACACTACAACGGAGTTTTACCTATATTCCCTGCCCAATGCCACAATCCGAGCTGCTCATTACAGTTACCCCGTGCATGTCTCCACGCCGCCAAATTAATCTATCACGATCGGAGCCCGGCTTGCGACAACCGACGGCTGAGTAGCACAATGCAGCTACCCGGAGCCGAGAAACGTCATGAATCGTGACTCGATTGTGCTGTCCCCCAGCTGAATTAGTAACTAATTACAACAAGATGAAACCATCACATCACGGTGCACTCCAACGCCATGTTACAGCACAACGAATAGCCCCTATGCTCTATTATTTCCGCGCATCTCAAACATCCTCTCATTCTCTATCTACAAAGCGGAGTCTCTCGCGTTACCTGGTATAAAGCAAATCGCCACATCTGGCAATCTAGAGATGCAACGTTGACACGAATCCGAGTTCGCCGCCCCACTCTACTGCCAATTCGTATCACCACCTCGTATCTACTTGGTGCTGCCCTGTGAATCCAGACCCCCAAAATGCGGGGACGGCGGTCAACTAGGTGCTAATGTCAGCACAACCTAAGGAAGTCGGTCGAGTTAGCTCTGCGTCCGAGTATACTTGCCGTACGAGAATATCTCCGTTTGTGGCAAGGCCTCGGACAGATTCCTGGCAATGCGTGAGTCGATGTGCCTGTCTGCTGCTCTCGCCGTTCGATAAAGCCTGATAAATCGGTTCAGATGACGAAGGGACGCTTCAGAAACAAACGGTCAAGGCAGATGCCTGAGGAATAAGTAGAGTCCGGAGAGAAGCGTGGGAGAATTCTCAGGGCTACATCTCAATCTCTGCCGATTTCAATCCTTTCTTCTCAACAATGTCGTCCATCTTCACTGTCGAATCCTCGATACCCTTTGCAAATTCACCCTCTCCATGCTGTTTGGAGCACTTGTGGCGTTGAGGGGAGTTATCCACCCCCGCACGCCCACTGTGAGTGTATTCGCCTCTTCTCATTCTCCACTGCCTCCATCTTTTCCTCACCATCTCCATTCCGCTAATCATTTGGTTCAGCCAACAGACCCCTCCGCAACTCGGCGTATCGAAACTAACGTATTTCATTTCACTCTCGAGACTGTCTACTAGCAGACACACACACATAAACACACCACACATATCTCTTGGCCCCTGGTCAGCTGCGACACACGTTGCCTCTCCGCTTGCTTGGAGAACTCTGCAATTGGTGAGCTTAATTGTTTGTTTTTAAGCTTCCCTAGCCGATTCAGCGGCGCGAGACCCCCGGCCAGCGTGCTCGCTACCCCTGATAGGTGGAACAATCATCTCTTCACGATACTAACGGCTACTTGCAGCGCGTTGTGCCACACTAGCAACTTTTAGACTTGTCAACCATGCACTGTTTCGCACCGCTAAGACACAAGCCTGCTTTTTGCAGCCGCCAAGTCGGGGAGAGCCGCAAGGTATGTGATCCTTCCCAGCAGGCTAATCAGCCAAGCGGTTCATTCGAGCTGATAACGACTCGTATGCAGCAACAACCTACCGACTCTCGTACTGTACCATCGCTGGCTCCTCTTCGTCAAGCCTCTCCCGCTCCATTGCTAGTGGCAATCTCGTTACATCGGGCCAAAAGGCGCCGCAAGCATGGCAATCATGCTTCGGAGCAGCAAAAGGCTTGATGGGCCATGATACCCCCTCTCCACTCCTTTGCAGGCTCACATTCACCACCTTCCTATCTATATATCCTCGCCATTCTCTTGACCTGGTTCGCGGTGCCCCATGAAGGCTGCTCTCTTGGCTGTTCAAAGCCGATTACTACTCCGCAGTCCCACATCTTTATTCTTATCGTCGGCCTGCCAATTCCAGTCTGCGGCGAGATAGCCAGCACACACGTTATTCCTCTTTGATTCCATTCCCATTCCTTTTTCCTTTTCCATTTTTCTCTCTCTTTGTTTTTAACCAACGGTTCACCTCTCAAAAAGCAACTCCGCTTGGTCCAGTCATTCATCGCCGCTATGGCCACTGATCTCAAGCGGGAAGAGACTGCACGAGACTCCATTCATGACTTGAAGCACGATGGAGCTGCCGCCGAAGCCATCGAGGCTATTCGTGCTGAGCACGAGCTCACTTTCACCGAAGCGCTGAGACTGTATCCCAAGGCAATTGCGTGGTCTGGATTTGTATCCATTGGTGTCATCATGCTGGCCTTTGACCCTCAGCTTATCGGAAACCTCTACTCAACGCCTCAATTCGCTCGCGACTTTGGACACTTGTACAAGGGAGACGTAAGTGTATTTTTTGCCCCTATCTTTGTATATCAACTTGACTAAAATATCCCTTACAGTGGGTGATTGAAGCTTCTTGGCAGACTGCTCTCTCCATGGGCAATCCTGTAGGCCAGGTAGTTGGTGCCATTTTTGCTGCGTATCCCATGGACTACTTTGGGCGAAAACTCACCTTTGCAGCCTGTGTCATTCTCACTGCTGGCATCGTCTTCATCCAATTCTTCTCCAAGACTCTCAGCGTCCTTCTTGCTGGAGAGCTCCTCGCTGGCCTTGTGTTGGGTATGTTTGTCGTCATTGCTCCGGCCTATGCCTCTGAAGTCTGTCCCACGGCACTTCGTGGCCATCTCACATCTTTTGTCAACCTTTGTTTCGTCATTGGCCAGCTTCTTGGAAACGGTGTCACCGCTGGCACATCCAAGCTGAACAACCACTGGGCCTACAAAATCCCTTTTCTCCTCCAGTGGTTCTGGGTTCTCGTCATTCTTCCTGGTGTTGCATTCATCCCTGAAAGTCCTTGGTGGCTCGTCCGCAAGAACCGTCTAGAGGACGCTGAAAAATCTCTAAAAAGGCTGGCATCCCCTGAGGTCAATGTCCAGGCAACCCTAGCCTTCATTGTCGAAACAGATCGCCTAGAACAAGAGCTTGAGGCCGGCAGCACATACCTGGACATCTTCAAGGGCGACAACTGGCGCCGGACTGAAATTTCAATGGGTGTTTACTGTACACAAGTTCTCAGCGGCATCTACCTCATCAATTATGGTACCTTTTTCTTCCAGCAGGCTGGTCTAGCCACTGACAAAGCTTTTGATATGTCCGTCGGCTTTTTGGGTGAGTCATCATGGCTTTATAGTGACTGCGATACATTATATCCGGCGTTTCCCTTGCTAACCAACTGTTCGTAGCTGTTGGATTCGTGGGAACTCTCGTCTCTTGGGTTCTCTTGATCAAATTCGGCCGACGAACGCTTTTTGTCATGGGCTTGGCGTGGCTCGTCGTCCTTCAGTTCGTCATCGGTATTCTCGACTGCATTCCTGGTCGCCCTTCTGGTGCCATTTGGGCAGAGTCGTCACTGATGCTTATCTGGAACTTTTTCTACGACATCTCCATTGGTCCCGTCTGTTTCGTCTTGCTTGGAGAATGCTCAGCTACTCGTGTCCGTTCAAAAACCATCGCCGCCGCTACTGCCGCTCAGGGAGTCTTGGGCATCGTCATGACTGTGGCTATTCCATACATGATCAACCCGGAACAAGCCAATCTACAGGGCAAGCTGGGCTTCTTCTTTGGTGGCCTTGCACTTCTTTGCCTCATCTGGTCATACTTTCGCGTGCCTGAGACTATGGGTCGCACTTACGAAGAGCTGGATCTCCTCTTCGACAGGAAAGTTCCTGCACGCCAGTTCAAGGGCTACAAGTTGGAAGGCGCTGTATCAACGGGCGCTGCATAAACAAGCGCAGACGGAGAAGAGGGGGCAAGAACCTCTGAATGCATATGCATAAACGGTCCACCAATCTTTCCCAGTTATGCCTTCTCTTGGGTACACATGCTCAACCAATCACACACCACACTTAATGTCTGAAACCAGGGCACGATGATCTGCTTCCCATTTGTTCAAGTAGCAAAGCAAAAAGTGACGTGAGACTTTGCATTCGGTGCGTTTATGGGCTCCGGGGGACGTCTCCCATTAAGAGCCCTCACTTGATCTCGCGCAAAGTTGACATCCTTGGCAGAAGTATTTTCTACTTTGGTCATAGCATGCCTGGACGGTCATAATGATGGTTAAGAATTCAGGGAAGGGGAGGCCCTCAAGCAATCAAGAAACTGGGTCACTGAGCTAGTCGCCACTCGCTGAGAGATGCGAAGCTTAGGCTTAAGCCGTTGCTCCGCGACATCAGTTCGTCTGGGAGTGATTGTGACATAAAATTATACTTGGCAAAGACGTTGGATACAGAGGGATGGGATGTACGAAGGAGTTGGGAACACTGGGCTGGAGAGTTGGACATTTCAGAGTGAGAATGGCAGCTGAGGGAGAGTGAGGGGTCGAGTTCATTTGGACACCTTTTTTCCGGCTTCCTTTTCATTTTCTATTTTCCATTTATCATTTTACCCCTTTTTTCTTTTTGTATTTTCATTTTAATTTTCTTTTCAATTTTTTTTTTTTTGTTTTTGGATATATTCTCCTTTTCTCCTTCCCCCGCTCTTCTCCCCCTTCCCGTCCGCTGTCTCGCCTACCCTGGAGCTACCCTTGGAGCCGTCCGCCAGCGCCAGAGGCCCCCTAGGGGACCCCGACGACAGCAGGCAGTCCGCGCGGCATGCACCCTGGGGAGCTGCTTTCGGGAGGGTCAACGGCGAGACCGTTGAAGCGCAGGCAAGCGCAGAGGGAGCGCCTCTGATCGGTGTCAAGGTGGACCCAAATCGACTTCGCCAGTCGACTCAACAGCAAATCTAGGGCTCTGGCCAAAGGCATTAACAAAATATCAACCCCTTCTTCTTCCCCTTCCCCTTCCCCTTCTTTCCTTTCTCATGGATAGTAGAGTCAACAGGGCGATGTGTTTTCAGATAGCCTTGATTTTTTCTTGGATAGGGAGGGAGGGTGGGACCATTCTTCTTGGAGAGTTTTCTTCTTGGATCTTTCTTTCTTTGTTTCTTTCCTTCCTTCTTTCTATTTTGTATATAGCCGTTATTCATTGGGCGTGGGCAAGCGTTAGACAAGCAATAGAATATTTTTGTATAGCAAATTCCCTGTATGTGATGTCATGCTAATGTGGCGATTCTAAAAAAGAAACAGGTATGTGAATTATCTATGTTTAACAACCATAGTTTGCGACCCAATATAGCCCAGCTCTTGCCAGGTGGTCTCCCGCCAGTGAAAATCTGCTGACTTTCATCTATCCTTTCTCCTCTTAGCCATTTCTTGGTCCGTCACAATCGTTCTGGGACTACCGGCTCCCAAGATGCTGACTGGCCTTGTTCAGCCACCTGAGGAACTGATGACGGAGGAATTGATGCCTGAAATAGAGACTGCTGAAAATGAATCAGCGTCTGGGTGACAGGGATGACGAATCCCTAAGCCTGGGATATGCTGGTGGCCGGGAGCGGCAGCTTCACAAAATGTTCGGGCAACTGATCGATAGCCGAGCATATTCTCTTGTAATGGGACGACATCTAAACAAACATGCCGTCCATTTCTATTCCCCGTTCAGTGCTATAAACGAAGATTCATAGAACAGATAACGATGGTATCTAACATCTTTCCCATCTATCACTGGATAGTGGCCATAGATTCGCATAGATTCGCACAGTCCGATGATTATGTGAGATAGAGAAGGCGAGGATTTGCCACTGGAGTTCAGTTTCTCGCTCCATTACACAAAAGAGCTTCACAATCGCAAGAGTCATGCTGTGAGTATTCCGACGGTCTGCCACATCCAAGGCCCCAGCATCGCATTTCACTTCACATATGAAGAATGGTAAGTATATGTAGTTTATGGCCCAGAAAGAAGGATCGATCGCCAACCATCAGATCGCCAAGTCATGGCGCTAGTTTGGTTAACTGTTCGACCGAAACCAACAGAATAACCCGGGCTGGGGCCGAGTAGGAGATAACGGAATCGAGCTGCTCCAGTTTTCGTTGACGCTTTCCCGCAATATTTCCAAAGGCTTAGAACCATGTATACATAAACTTTCTGCGGAAGGGACAATCAATGGCGTGATGTCACAGAAAAATCTTGCTTCATTCTTATCATTGACTCTGTCGCATGTGATGTCGAACAGATCATCTCAAGGGAGGCTATTCTGTGGGGGTTGTTTAATCCAAGGTCCGCAGCCTCAAGTGTGCAGCTGTACTCTTGCTGTTAACGTCGATGCTTGATAAATTTTGAAAACTGCTGTTGGCTTAACGCATTGCGAGTCTCGGTAGGGATAGCCTTTCTCTTCTCTCCGGCCATGACTGCTTGTGAGATGGAGGAATGGCTTCGATCGCTTGCGACTAGGAGGCTTCCTCTGTGCAAAAGGTATGCGAATAGCCACGCCTCTTTGCTTAACCAACAAGCAATCGGGTTGATTTCTCTATTGAGATTATCACGAGCCTCATGGCCGCCATGCATATCTTCTAGCTGTTGTCGCTTATGAGCCGCTAATCTTTCATGATGTCGCAGTCGCTTTCTCCCCGCGTATTGGGCTCTGCAGAATCCGTTGATAATCAGATGCCGCGATATCGTATAGTGATGGGAAGAGCATCCAGCCCTCTTAACCACAAGATGGTCTCTCTCTATTGGAGTCACTGTTGAGTCTCTGCAAGCCCCGACGCCGCGGGTCTATAAATCGTTAGCGAAAGCATCACCGAGCGCCTGCTGAACTGCAGCAAATGCTTACCTGCTGTAGATGCGCGCCCTATCCCAGACAACTGCGCTCAAGTGAATGCCATTTATTGCGAGGGGAATAAAAATCGTGCGGCCGATGATGACTGGTTCAAACGCGATATGATGCGATGATGTTTGTTCTCGGCGTCAAGTGTAAATAGTTGAGCGGGATAGAACGAATGGTACAAGTATGTCACGGGACCTGCCCATGTTGCTTTGCAGCCAATCGATAAGCGCGTCTACACTCAATGTGACGATTTGATCCAAAACGTCTTTTGCTTTCAAAAAATATATTTGAATCGCCATCATCCATCTAATGTCAATATGGGTTGTCCAATCTAGACCCCATGTATTATAGCTCGTATGATGGCGATTTGTCTTCTAGCGCCGTCTAGTAGTTGAAAGCCCCTCCCTGTAACGTCCTTGAGAAAACCACACATCCATGCGTTTCTAGCGGTGCAGAGCACTATTTCTCGCTAAATTTATAGCGGATAAAAGTGCTAATGCATCCGTAATTATAGCGCATATGCCAACCAAGCAACGCTATAATTAGAGCATCTTAGTACTTTGGCCAGATGGACACTTGGCCACCATGGCCTGTGTTGAATGCAGCACAACCACCAAAGCGGATCACTGAACAGGGCCTTGTTACCGAGACCTAATACAAGGGGGCAGCGTAAGTACTAAAACAGAATCTAAAATTATTAATCGATGAATGATTAGAGATAGCTATCCAAACATCCAGCTTCAACATTATGAACCGTGCATATACCAAGTCCAGCTATTGGTCTTCAACCGCAATATTCGTAGCTGATGAAAAAGACGTCGAGTCGATCAAGAGACATATTCAAAGGTTAGACGTCACTTCTGGAGCAATAGCCTCGAGTTTTCCCAGCAGCTCTCCAAAGAATTTCTTTTGCACTTTCTGGGCCCATTGGTTCGTAACGTGCTTTGCCGGACTACAGAGACAATTAGTTAATATGCGGCAGGCCAGAAAAAATATAGCTGACAAAATTGCTTACACTTGAACATGACAATTTGAGAGGTAATGGCCATTGCTTGTTTCATCAGTGAGCAGGCCATGCACCAAAGTCCGGCTACCTTCTTCTGTAGAACGAGCCATAATCTTTTCTACCATTTTGTAACCGGATGACTCCATCTCCCTGCCTAAGTCGGATTTGCACCAGCTTGGATTCGGCGCGTTGATGATGAAGTTTCCCTTATTAGAAGACCTGGTTCGCTCGGCTATCTCGCGGGTTGCATAGAGGACAAGCAGCTTCGACAAAGGATATCTCCCGCTCATAATTGCTCGCTTTGGGTCATTGAGCCGATCGAATATCACTGGAGCATCCAGCTCAGCAAGAGGAGCTATGTAGTGCAATGCGCTGTTGGGAATAACAAACCGGCATGCATAACCAGTCTGCCGCTCCGACCTACGCATTATTGGAAGGAGAAGGAAAAAGAGGAGAAACGTGTTGATGACGTTGACATTGAGAGTCTTTTCACTATTCTCGCTGAGTGCGAATTCTGATGTCATGATGCCTGCATTGGCCAACACGCCATCGAGTCGAGGAAGCTGAGAAGCTTGTTCGGAGAATGCTTTGACAGAGTCGTGGCTGTCCATGTCGATTGGCCAGACTTCAATGGTGGAATCGGGCTTGCCTGTGGTTTTGAGAATCTCCTTCTTAGCTGCTTCGCCTTTCGCGAGAGTTCTGACAGCCATAATGATTTTTCCAACTCCAAGACGAGACAGATGGCGAGTAGACTCAAAGCCAAGGCCTGTGTTTGAGCCGGTGACAATGATGATTTGGTCCGAAAGGTCGGTTGTTGTGCTGGGGACTGGAAGTGTGACGAATACTCTCCCATAAAGAACGGAAGCGAAGGCGTGAGCACCAGACATGATCAATATTGGCACTGATCAGCGACTTCTTGAGAAATATAGTGATGAGAGGTAAATAGATGCTTGGAAGCGAATACTGATAACTTTTGGTAACTGAAAAGCGGGAGACGCGATTTCGCACTTCCGTTTCAACATTTTGGCGTTCTTCGTCTCTTTAATAATTTTGTTTTTCTGTTATGAATAATTAAAGGTACGCATTTCACTCCATATTCGATTGCCATCGTCTAACAGATTTTCGCTTTTACACCTTTCGCTTTTGTTATCACCGCCGAACCTCAAAAGCGACAGCCGGCGGCTATGACCCTTGTGGAGCGCGGGGATAATATCTCCGCTGTAATCTCTTTAGCTGGCGAGACTAGTCCATCCATGGTATCTTGATCATAGAATGATTGGCTTCTGGGCCTTTAAGGTGTGGATTAGTTGATGTCGGATCCAAGCGGACATAATATCCCCGGCAGCTCCACTGGTAATGGCGGTATTCCTCTCGTGAATGATGCGCGACGACACAGCTACTCTCCCGTTGCAAAGTTGCCATACAAGTCTTGCGTATCAGTAAACTCTCAACCTGTAATTCCGAGTTTTTTGTTTGGCTGTTGCCCAGTTCGACCATTTTTTAACTGGCTACCGTCGTCCCGCGATGGAGTTTAGTTCTAGAAAGATTGAAAAGCGGAATCGCCCCCCGGTGTCTTGCGAGCCATGTCGAGTTCGAAAGTAAGTTATCGAGTTCAGTTTGGTCTTTAGAATGGCGCGACCAAAGAATAACCTTCGCATTATGCTTACTGTAACAAGGCAAATGTGCAGCCGAGGCCAGCCCTGCGAAGGGTGCTCCAAGCGAGGCCAGGCAGCGTCATGTCGCTATGCCCCCAACGCCATTCGGAACAAGCCTCGCACGCCCAAGGTGAACATCCAAGAGCGGTTGGACAACTTGGAAAGTATGTTGTCTTCGATGGTGTCGACCACCTCTCCTGCTGGACTTGGATCTGGGAATCATGAGCAGCCAGCGTCCAGCTCCAGTACGAGCAGAGTGTCGACCTCGTATCAGAAGTATGAGCTGTCCGTTACGTCAACAAGTAACAGTCAAGAAGACCATGTTTTACCTCCAGAACTACCGCATCGTCACGAAACTGGTGATGGACAAGTCAGTTACGTTGATCCAAGCCATTGGATGGCAATTCTGGACGAAATCAAGGAAGTTCGAGAGCATCTTTCGGCCTTTGATCGCCCGTTGCTTCAGGAAGAACCGGGCCATAAGAACCATCTCCCGGAAGAAGGAGTTGGGTTTTTGTTCAGTACATTTCCGGTTGTTGATATACAAGAAGTTTTGACCTCTTTGCCACCAAGACAAACGTGCGACGCTCTCGTTTCTCAATATTTCAACTCGAGGTTCATGGCATTAGGTAAAGTGGCGGCCAACTTCTTAAGAGCTATCTTCGTATTTTGTTTGCTCACGTTGATAACTTTCTAGGTATTTTGCATCCGGCAAAGTTTCAAAAGGAGGTAGGCTGCGATGTTTGTATTTGAAGGTCCTCTGGCCAAAGCTGACAGTTTGTGGTAACTCCAGTATGAAAAGTTCTGGGAAGCTCCCGTAAAGGCACCGCCACTTTGGATTTCGCTGCTGTTCTCTATTTTGAGCATGTCTACAGCACTCCGCCTTCTCGCATCTGCGTCTGAATCAAATGCGACGCCCGTGTCTCTCCAAACGTTGCGACAAAGAGCCATTGAGTGCCTCATGTTGGGAAAGTTTGCTACCGCGAACTCGTATTCTCTAGAAATTCTAATCATCCACATGCAATGTTCCTTCCTGGCGCATCATAAGCTCAACTCTGATCATTGGTTTGAGATGGGTACTTTGATTCGCCTTGCCTTCAGAATGGGCTATCATCACGACCCAGATAACTTACCAGGAATCTCCGTCTTTGATGGAGAGATGCGGCGTCGTGTTTGGCACAACCTGGTCCAGGTAGATGCGCTAATGTCCTTTCAGATGGGACTCCCAAGCATGATTGCGACCGAATTTTGCGACACCAAAGTGCCCAGGAACCTTCAGTTTTCGGATCTCGAGATGGGAATGACCACGTTGCCTCCAGGGCGACCACTATCTGAGAACACGCCCATCCGATATCCGATTGCAAAAGCCGGGATTATGGCCGTGTTCAAAAAGATTGTTGCGCATTCGCTTTCTCTATCGCTGCCAACCTATGATAACACAATTGTGCTGGATAACGAACTTCGGGAAGCATACAGTGCTCTGCCAGATATCTTGAAAGCAAGAGACGTTAGCCAGTCTTTTATGGATCCGTCGAGCACGATATTTGAGCGATGCACGTTGGAGATGCTCAAACTGAAAGGCTTGATTGTCCTGCATCGACGCTTCATCCTTTCTGAAGTGGACAGCCATAGGGTTGAGCACTCTAGGCGTGCCTGTGCCGAAGCAGCCCTTGATATTCTAGCTCGACAGGCAGATATACACCAGGCGTCGCAACCCGGAGGCCGCCTATATGACGATCGGTGGATGATATCTTCACTTACAGTGCACGATTTCCTTCTAGCCGCGATGGTAATTTGTCTGCATCTTTCGGTTTGCCTCCGACGAACCTCATCAAACCCTCTTGCACCTCGTAAAACCGATGGAGGTTTGGCCGAGAGAGAGTATCGCGCGCTAGAAAAGTCACAACAAATCTGGGCATCTGATAGCTCGACTTCTTCAGAGGCGCGAATTGCGGCTTTGGCACTCGATCTGATGGTGCAAAAGATTGCCGTGAAGGATGCTGACCACGTTTGTCGAAACGAACCCCCGAGAAAGGATCCGATCCCGAATAATCCTCCTGAAGACCTCTTTCCATTCGCAGGAACAATGTCGCAGATGATTGATGGCACAGAGGGCCTTGACTGGGTAAGTTAAACCAGAGTGCTTTGCCTTGAGCTTTGACGGGAGTCTAACTAGAGATAGGGTTTGTTGGATCAGTATTTTCAGAACCAAACGATGGACGCGACGCAGTTGGAGGGATTCAACATTGATTTAAATGGTAGCAACTGGTTTGATCTAAACCAATAGATGAGAAGAGAACGAAGAGCGCCGTGACCTGGTATGCTACACGACGTAAAAGGCGGCAATTCGTAGAACAAGAGTGAGGATGATGGCTCTAACAACACTGAGGTGGAAAATGGCTAAACTAGGACTGCCACACCGTAAATAATGATTGCAACAAAAGCAGAGGTTTAAAAGCAGATTTTTGGCCATCTTTGCATGATCAAGGTGAATATCAGGCGGTGATGATAAGATAAGAGTAAATCATGTGCCTAGTACTTTTCTGCTATCGAAAAGCGATCAACACCAGCCATGAAAGACGGAGAAACATCAGGTCCCTTGGTTCCATCTATATCACACAGGTACATCTACGTGACTTTGATTCCTCCTACTGCTTCTACTACCTAGCTTACTTTCTCTATTTTTAGATGCGCCATTCCACCTCAAAAGTTACGCCACATTAGATTGCTGCGATGGAAACTCAAATAACTTGCCTGACCCAACAAACTAGCTCAGGCATGCGTGTTGGTCTCTCAACAGTCCATATACCTGCATATACTGACCTCTATTTATATATTTATGACCAGAACTACTGCGAATTTTCGCTTCTTTCCCCTCTTCCTTATCGCCTACTTGGTCACCAAGCCCGCAAAGTGCGTTTTAATCCCCCTACTCTTAGCCATGGATATTCTCAGCTATGCCCTCGACTCTCTCTATCTACTCTACACTAGCGGGTTACGAGTTTTGATCTTTGTGATCTATACTCATTGTGCCGGCTTTCAGTTCGATCTATTCGTGGAATCCCAGTATCCGGGGCTCTACCTTTTCAAATTTGGCATCTGGGTGCTTTTTCGACTCTTTGTTACTCTCGCCCTTCTTTACAACTTTTTTGATGCAGTCTATGGGCTTATTATTGCTATAATAGCACCCGAGTGTAAGTCTCGGCTTCTTTGCTGTCTACTTGCATCGAAATGTCGGCTATGTAGCTTCCATTAACTATAATCGCAGATCCAAACCTTTGACAATCGTTCTAACCAATGAAAATTGTGATGGAGAAAGAAGACAGCGTTCAGTCGATACAAGTACAATAAGGTTCAATTCAGCACCAAGGGTCCATGAACCTATGACGCCCGCCTTCAGCTGTCGAGCACTTCAACTTCAACTTCGGCCACTTGGCTCTTGATCCCACCGCGGGCCATATATCGTATTCTCTCGCAAAAGCCGATCGTTGATTAGTGTTGTTTTCAACATCGTGCCGGGTTAAACCATCTATCTACCTGACTAATTGTTTCCAGGATTTAATTCAGGGAATGTCCATTCTCGATCTTTGCCGGGGAATACAGTATATGGGCCACGTAAGCTGCGTAGCCGCAGCCAAACAAATACCCACAATCGGTTCCCTTGAGTGATTCCTCAAGAAGAAACAACTCTCCCATACACAGAACACGGCGGTATGATGCTGACCCGATCGATATGGTTAATTTCTGCCTAGGCTGTGGCTAAGTGGGCAATCCACATTTTTCGATCAATCATTCTCGCAACGTTTTGCCAAATCTGGCATTTTAGTGCAAAAGCCACACCCCAGTCCTTTGCTTTTGCGAGCGATACGATCTCTTCTTATTGGTCCAGCGAACAACCATTGCCACAGCCCGCAGCCATCCCAGCTGCAGTTGGCCAACCGGCATTGGAAGGATCACGTCGATCTTTCGCGGCATTGATCCTGTTATGGATGAGGCTGTTCGGCTTTCTTCCGCTCTATACCGACACTTTGGCGTCGAAATCCTTCGACGATGACTTTGATCAATAGCAGAAAAGTATAAATTCCAGCTCGTTCGCCATAATATGTATGGCACTTTCTTATATCACAGTATACCTGTTCGATAAGCCCTTGTGAAAATAAACCGCTCAAATGCTGGTGCCCCGTTTTCAGCTATTACTTTCGCTGACTGGCATTGGCAGTGGACTACACACTTCCATTCCGGGAACATGCAAATCTTATCCAGGAACACCTTCTTGGCCGTCTGCCGCCACTTGGGCAGCCCTCAATCAAACACTTGATGGACGACTCCTCCAGCCGCCTCCTCCCGGGGCCGTGTGCCACCCAGGTCAACCTACATACAATGCGAGTCAATGCGCAAACGTCACCGAAGAATGGAAGACGTATGATTTCCATGCCGCAAATCCAATCTCTGTCATGTGGGACAAATTTGACAACTTTACTTGCCTGCCAGAGCAGAATACAACATGTTCTCCAGCTGGGTATCCCGCCTACGTGGTGAATGCATCATGTGCAGAACATGTCAAGATTGGCATTGATTTCGGTAATTTCCCATAGTATACTTATATGTCAAGTGTCTGCATAGGAGGCTAACTCGGTATTGCAATCAGCCCGCAAGTACAATATTCGCCTCAACGTCAAGAATACCGGCCATGACTACCTTGGCCGCTCCAACTCTCCGGGCTCGCTCTCTATATGGACACACCATCTTAACAAGATCACGTACAATGAAGGGCAGTTCAAGCTTCAAGGCTCTGGAAAGGTTATTAGTGGCAACTCCTTCACTGTAGGGGGCGGTTCACAGATGTACGACATCTATGCTGCTGCGGATAAGCATAACCAAACAATCGTCGGCGGCGGGGCCAAGAGTGTGGGCGTTGGAGGCTACATCACAGGCGGGGGGCATTCGATCCTTGCACCGAGACATGGCCTAGCTGCGGATAACGTGTGGGAGATGGAAATCGTCACGCCAGGCGGAGACATCTTGACAGTCAATGAGGACCGGCACCCAGACTTGTTTTGGGCAATGCGAGGAGTGAGTTCCAGTGGCTTAACGAAAGCAACTATAGTGCTAATTGGGATTGTAGGGAGGCGGCTCGACGTTTGGCATTATAACATCCGCCACGCTCAAATCGTATCCGAGTCCAAAGGTCACGGGCGTGACTATCATGATCATCACAGATCCTAAAGAGTCTTTTGTATTTGATCTCATCACCTACATTGTCTCCCAAATGCCAAGTTTAATGAAACAAGGGTTTTCCGGTTATAACATCATTACCAAAGACATGGAAATCCCCATTCAGGAGCCGGGCATCCCAGATCGCGTCGCTGGATTCATGGGAAAATGTATTCTACAGGACGTTGATGACCCCGAAGCCGTCTCCAAGGCATTTCATCCCATCAATGAGACTATTCAGAAACGCTGGCCCAACAGGGTCCAGTTTTACACCACTCTTGAGCAATATGATTCATTTCTAGCATGGTTTGACAAGAATTACGACACTAATCAAGCAGGAGGAAGTTTGTACCTTGTTTCGCGACTTCTGGATGGAGAGGTTTTGACAGGTAATACTGAAGCGCTCAAGAATGCCCTGCAGGTAGGAATGTCTGGAAGCTCAAGATCAATGGAAGCTTTCATGGTCGGCGGCAAAGGTGTTCAAGAAGCAACACCGAGAGGAGGTAGCAATGCCGTCAACCCTGCATGGAGAACTGCATATGTTCACGCTTGTGAGTTGCTGGACCACCTTTAACTGATCAATGACTTTTACTGACAGCATCACTATTAGTGAATGGCGAACCCTTTGGACCATTTAATAAGAGTGAGGAGCAGAGAGCTAAAGAAATTCTTGAGAGAGAATTCCAGCCTCTGCGCGACCTGACGCCCAGAGGCGGCGCATACATAAATGAGGCACGTCATATATCATTTCTTTTTTTTTTTTTTTTTCTTTTTTTGTTTATTATCAAGACATAGCTGCTAACAATTTGTTACAGGCTTTCCCGTTCGAAAAAGATTGGCAGCAAACGTTCTGGGGCAGCAATTACGCGAAATTGCTAAAAATCAAGCGCAGAGTCGATCCGACAGATGTATTCTGGTGCTCGCCGTGCGTGGGGAATGAGAGATGGCAAGTTCGTCAGGATGGACGTCTCTGCAAAATATAACACTGTATATGGGTCTGGCGTTTAACAGATTGTCTCTTACTACACTTGGTTAAGAATCAGAATACTGTGATCACATCACTGATGAAGAGCCATCAAGCTTGGAATCGATTGGAGCAATATTTCTCTTTTGTATTTTCACATATATACTTTTTTGTCTTTTAGCAGATTCATTTTGCCTGGTTATACTAATCCTGATAAGTACGAAAATAGACTTTTTTTATCCTTCGATGCCTTATAGCATTCCTATAAACCAACATATTTACTCTGCTAGATAACCTTTGACAGATCATGACAGCAAATTACACAGCAGGGGCAAAGCCGATGCGGGCGTTTGTGGTATCAAAGACGGAGTAGTAGTTCTCCAGGAATTTCTGGCCGATAATGGTGTCGACACCAGAGCTGCCACCGTCGTTGATGAATGAGTAGTATTGGCCAGAGCTGAGGCCGAACTCGCTGTACTGGGAGGTTGGGACCAGGTACTGAGAAGGTGTGAGGCTGAAGGTGGTTGATCCGAACTTGATGTTGAAGTTGGATGTTGGCTTCGTGGAGAAGGAAGAGAGACCGGAGGAGCTATCGGTCGAGCCGCCAGTGGCAGACAGGAACTTGTTGTAAGCCTTGGTGGGGATGTAGATGAGGGTGGTGCCGGTGTCGACAATGCCAGTGGCAGAGGAGGCGAGAGTGGTTGAGCCGTAGCTGAAGCTGGCGATGGAGATGCCCCAGTAGGGAGCAGCGTCGCCGCTCTGGAGAGTGTTGAAGTAGCTGATGGAGCCCGAGTACTTGGAGCTGTCGGTGCCACCGAGGGTCAGCTCGCCGTTGGTGTCATCGGTATCACCGCCAGACTCAGGGCGGAAGGAAACACCAAGAACCTCGGTCGAGATGGAGCCCTGGCTGTAGAGGTTGTCCATGAAGGTGGGGACAGAGTCGGAACCGGAGACGGTGTTCTGGGTGAGGTCGACGGGGCCAAAGCCGATGATTCCGTCAACACCGTTGAAGCCAGAGGCCTGGTCGGCAGCGCCAACTGACTGGCCTTGAACGGTCAAGCCGCCGAAGCTGACGTTGTCGGTGTACTCAGTGCCGGAGAAGGATCCAGAGCCATAGCTGACGGAGACGGACTGGCCGGTGGACTGGCCGGTGGAAGAAGGCTCGCATGAGCTCTGGGCACCGCACCAGGTGTTTGAAGCTAGACAGAATCTCAAGTCAGCACATTCATTCTTTTTGCTCACTGTGTGTGTGTGAATAAGTAAGTAACGACTTACATCCAGTGTCAACGATCAGGTTGTAGGTTCCATCGCCAATGGTGACCGCGGCAATGTAGCTAACGTCGTCGTTGGTGACTGAGCCAGAGCTGTCACGCTTGCCCACGGCCTTGACGCCGTTGACCTTGTTGAGGCGGGCTTGGCCCTTCTGGACAAGGCTCTTTGCAGACTTGACGTTGGAGACGCGCTTCACTGGCAGAGCGACGGTCTTGCCGCTGGGCTTGACGGGAGAGGCCAAGGCGGCGGTTGCAGCCGCAACAACAGCGAGAGATGAGAAGAGCATTGTGTCAGGAGATGGAACAGACAGGCTTGTGATGTGAGTGTCGTTGAATCAGACTGTCGATCAGTAGAGCAGGACGATACGTCTTTATACACCCAGCCAAACCCCAGGTCTGTTGCTTTGCAAGGCGCCCCTTGTTCGCTTTGCATCTTGTTCCCTTTTTGCATCATGGCAAGGGTTTCAACAGGACTGATCACGTCAAATGGGACTTTTGATCATATACAGCTCGATACACATCCGTCCTAACCGAAGCAATCCAGGTATGGATTGTTTGTAGAGTTGCAGCAAGACTCATGACGGCCATTGGGACTTTTGATTATACAAATTGCTTCGTTTCCTTCCTATCCGAGTCATGCAGATAACAATTGCTTGTATAGCTGCAACAAGGCTGTTTACGTTAAGGGGGACTTTTGATCATATAGCTTTGCTACATTTCCGTCTTAACCGAGTTAACGCAGATAAGGATTGCTCTGTATACGGGTAAAGCGCCACGTGCAGTTAGTATAGGCATTAAGCTCACATGTGATGAAACATTTGTCCAGCTATCCAAGAGCCTCAAGAGACTAGACCACATGCGCGGTGACGATGTTCGATTGTAGATGCCATTTCGGCTCTAAACTGGTGGTAACTACCTGCTGTATGGAGCAAGTCTTCTCCTGCCGTGCAGTTCGCGCTTCCGCCACTAACAATGCTTAGCGGTAGTCGGCGGCGGGTGATTGAGGCGCAAGAGCCGTGTGGCTGCGGAGGAGAGACCATAGCTTCCTCATGTAGCAAGGGGTATTGGGACTAGGAGTTATAGATCGGATGCGGCATCTGTGCGGAGTGCAAGTCCGAGAGTAGCCGCGACGCCGTCAACACGACGGTCGTGTTCCTGGACGATTTGTATGTATATGTTGACCATAGTAATGTAGATCTTTGCCTCGAATTGAAGGGATTTGCCTTGCCTGTCTGGGACGGTAAAGGGCATTGCAGGATGGGCGCCTGCGCGGCCGTCTTCCCAAACAGTCTAATCGTTCGTAAATCCTATCCACAACACTAAAGGCCGACCCCGGACACAGCTCACAGAGGGGACCAGGCGGGGCAGCGATAAAATTAGCAAATCTCGTACACGTATTGCGTAAAAGAGACACTATATTATACCATATCCAAACTAGCGAGCGTCCAACCCGACAATCCGGGGTAAAACGAACGATAACGCTTGGCAAACGCCACAGGGCTATAAGTGAAGACACAGAAACAATAAGAATTTGTCCCTGAGTGCCAAGATTGTTTGCATCGTGTCATATTACTAGCTTTACATACTTTCTCCTGCCAAGCCGTCAAATCCCCTAGCACCCGGGAGCCAAGTTAAATGTCTATTCGCCTCGTCCAATGGAAGCTCTGCCAGCCAATCTATCGGTATCTCCCAACTGCTGTATTCGAATAATCTCCCGACCGATCCTAGCTCGCCGCCCCGCAGAGAGTTGCCTCAACAAATGCCCTTCTCCACACCATCCCTGCGAAATCTAGATGCCATCGCAACTCGCATGCTGCATGAGTTTGTGTTACTAAGAGATAGTGAATTGATAACAGCAGTGAAAACCGGAGTTTAGAGGCTTTGGACTGACATGTTGACTCAATTTCTCATAAAGCAGGATTGTTTTCTAAATACTCCGTATTGCTGGATTATCTACAACCCTGACTATCGCATGAGCAATTCTGCTATTCCGCTTTTGCGAGCTATTAGAACAAAACAGGCAGGCGATAAAGCACGTCCGGACAACTTCCGACTGTGAGGACGGCGTCTTGCGAGGTCACATGACAACTTCCGATTACATACACATGAAACATATAAACATGAGGTAGCTTTGACATGGGCCTGAGAGAATTCGTCACTGAATACATGTACATAGCAAGTGGGCATGCCATTCTTGCGTCTCTCAATTTCCTCCAGTAGCTCAATCACACAGGCTGTTGCTGAGACCAGCTTTGGCAATCGAGTTATATATGTGTTTTTCAGATATTTCGGGAGAGAATAATATTACAGGTCGGTGAAAGAGAAGATGTGTTCATGTATTGTTCTTGAGAGTAGTTTGAGGCTACCGTCTATGAATGCATCGGAGTGGGGGTACTTGATTATATTGAACAGCCATATTCTACAGTTGTGTGAGCATGGAGTAGCATTCCAGTTCCATTGTCAACATAGTGAACACTTTTAACTAGAACTTCTGGCAAAACAGTAGAATATTAGGAGGCAACTATTAGTATGCCCATCAACCTCGTAGAAGAACCTCTTGTCGGCCCTTAGGGTCGCTATACAAGTCGGTAGCCCCCGGCAATGCCTCCAAATTGTGGTTACATACCCAACCAGTGCTGTAATGGAGAAGAGAGCTGAATTACTCTTGATAAAAATTCAGGATTTGGTCTCATTGACGCTGCTTTCAATTCTCGCTGCAAGAGCGAGATTGGCGCGGGGGATATTTTGCTGGAAGCCTCGGTCCTCAGTGCAACAAACTCTAAAACTTCTATTGACAACCTACCCTGTTGCAATTTATCGCTCAACATCAAGTATTGTTTGGTGCCTGTGTCGAAAATCGGCGCTGGTACTGTTGTTACTATCAAACCAGGCTACCCTACTGGCAACTACGACCAGCATGGTCAAATCGCGATGCCAACAGTGAATAGAATGGTGCCGAAATATGTAGATGTGACCTCTTTCAATCTATCTACCGTCATACAGACACTCAGCTCATACATAAGATTAAAATTAAGAAAGTTTAAGGTGCAAATATCGTTCCCGCTCACTACCGGACATAGCCATCTGATCCCGCCCGACTTAGCCGTGCTCCACTCCAGAATGTATCAATGTCACATAAAATGTTGCCACCCCGTATAACCTTCATTGTTTAGGGCCTCTGTGGTATAGATCCTACCAGATGTACCCTTTAAGACGAAAGAATGCCCATCTGTAAAGGCGTCAACCACACCTTGAGGGGTCACAAACTCCGTCTTCTTACTCCCCAAGAATGCCCGCAGCCGTATCTCACCACTCTGAGAGATCGATTTCCAGAACTACAAGTCGTCGTTCGCACAACACCATTTGATACGGTTGCTTACAACGACAGCGTACCTGGGGATTACTGGGATGGTGTCACGATTCTGATGACGGCTAGTTCTTTGCCAATCTTTGAACAAGCGCCCAAGCTGGAATTTGTACAGCTATTGAGCGCCGGAGCAGATTTTATACTGCGTCAACCGATCTTTACAGATGCCAATATTGCTTTTTGTTCGGCGAATGGGGTACATGGGTAGGTATTTGTACAGCTAAATGGTATGGGTTTCGGGTTGATGATGTGTTTACTGGCCGCAGGCTACAGAATGGGTGATTGCGACACTTTTGGCCCATAGGAAGAAGTGTGAACTATTTTGGAATGCTGATTCGCGATAGTGTGTTTGTTGACTGGGTGTAGTACCGCGGTATTTAGAATTCCGGCGCGACGCTCGCTGGGAGCGATTTGAGGATCATCCAGCTGATTCTGTTGGCCAAACGATGTAAGCGTTTATTTGTCGTATGTTGATGTCGCAACGATGCTAAGCAATGGCGTTTGCACAGCGGCATCATCGACGCATTGGAGGGAAATGTCATTTCCGGAGCGGCAATTGACGTGACTGATCTGGAGCCATTGCCGGATGGCCATCGTCTATGGAAGACGAAGAATTTGATTCTCACGCCACATGTTGGTGGACAGTCAAGGTCGTATGCGGAGAGAGCGCTGGCGATCCTGGAAGCAAATTTGGTAAGACTGAGCGAGGGAGGGGAGGGAGTCGATGAATAGAGTCAGTAGGAAATTGGGTACTAGATGTCGCTATTTACATGATCCAGGCTATGGTGTTGGACAAAACATAGCCCTTGATTGGCTACTAAACGAATGGATGTTGGGGATAAAGCAGCCACAGTTCCATGAAATTGGTTAGTGCGGGAGAGAAACTCGTCACTGAATGAGGCTGACGCTCGCTAGTGCTGCAAGACTCACAACCCGATGAATACGATTTCCCAATGCGTCGTGAGCCAAGATTGGGTGGGCCACTGCTAGCATGAAAACTCACAAGCTGACGAATACGGTTGGCTACACGGCCTCCAACTGCTCCTTAGTCTACGTGTATGCACTTAGTCTACATATAGGCCAAGAGCATAGCGGCAATGGACGAAGAGGGACGGCGTTTGTTTAAATCCAATACCAACCTCGAATATATTATGCATTCTTAATTATAGTTTTATAGAAGTTATTGCTTTTCCCTTTTTCCCTTGTTTCCATATTTCCATCTCTATACCCAATGCTCCACGGTTCATTACATCTATACATCCATCTATAATGGGCTCCGAAATTGCTTCCGACATCTCAACACTTGGCGAATCATACGACAAAGTCAAAGGCGATGAGGAACATATTCTCTTACTGCCAGGAGACAGACAGCTAGCCTATGCTCACAACGGGCCTTCAAAGTCGCGAACCGTTATCCTGTTCTTTACGGGCATCATGAGCGTAGGGACCGCAGCCAACGTCTCCGAGCCCTGCAGAGAGATTCGAGCCCACTGGATCTCACCAACGCTGCCGGGCATGGGAAACACAAGCACTCGCGACCTCTCTGTGCCTTACCATGTCTCTCTGGCCAGAGACATGAATGCGCTGCTCAACCACCTCTACCCAACTGCCGATTTCGACACTCTCTATGTAGCGGGAGGGTCATATGGCACTGTGCCGGCGCAAATGCTGTACGGAGCGCCATATGATCTCTTTCCATCCGGTCGCAAGATTGCTGCATGTCTCCTGCTCAGTGGCTTTTCTCCTCTAAAGCATCACGTTGGATATGCAAAGAAAGTCAATTGGCACAATTGGTTTTCCATCGGGCCACCCACAAGAGTTGTTCCGTTCCATTTACTGCAGCGTCTGTTCAAGATTGCCATCGGATCAAAGCTACACTCTCTCGACGGCGCAAGAGAATTCCTCAAGCAGACGCTATTCAACAACATGGACCTTGAGGAGAAGCAACTGTTTCATGAATGGCTGGCCAAAAATGAATTCACAGAATCTCAGTTTATCGACCGAATGGCTCGCGGCACAATCAAAAGCTGCACCAACTGGGACGGCTTTATGGAGGTTTCCGATGTCATCCACTCCGACTGGGGGTTTGACCCGCGGACTCTGGATGCCGAGCATGCTTCCAAGCCCATGCTGGTGGTTGGATCCAAGAGTGACTACATGGGAGGGGGCACCAATGATTGGCTTGTGGACAACTATAGATCCGCAACACTCAAATTGGTGCCTGGGGGCCATTTATCGTCGCTGTTTTTCATGGATGAGTTGTGGAAAGAGTTGATTGCCATGGCACACTGCAAGTGAACAAGTGGGTTACTGTTCTGGACTCGGGAGGGATCGGGTTGTAATGAGTTGATGTTAGAGAAGACGGACCAAAGCCCTTTACTCGTAGCCTGTTTATGTGTATGTCTTTATAATTAGCATAGAAAGAAAATGCATATCCCCATTCCGACTACTCTGCAGCAACTTCATTCTAGCCACGACCTTGTCCCGAACATGTCGAACAATGTCTGTCTGCTGCGTCCCTCACCTCGTGAATGGGTCCAATCGACGCACCCAGGCAAAGTCCTCCTCAGCTCCCTCAGCTCTTCAAACTGCCTGCCTCCATTGAACTCGACATGTGACTTGTTGATCATTGTTCTCGGCTCATAGTCCTCGGGCCACCCGTATTCACCACGGAGATGGCTGTAGAGCAGATATGCGCGTTGTCGATGCCGCGCAGTTGCCCGCCCGCACGATTTGCTTTAGGCACCCCGGGCTGATGCGTGCCTCGTGCGAAGCAAGAAATCGGGATCCCGTCGCCACCCCCGAATGCAGCTGCAAAGGAACACAAAGGAGCAGCAGCCGGTGACGCAAGCACTAGAACAAGAACCTCATCTGCACCGCAAAGATTGCTGATTCGAGACATTCGATGGATGGATGCGCAATGACATTGAACACGAACAAATGCGGCATCACTGTTTGCACAGCAAGTGCACGGCACAGTCCAGTGCATGCAGGTACATGCAAGCGCCAGGGCAGCTGTCGAGAACACGGCGCTTTAGGTCGGTCCAGCAGCTGGCGGCTAACTTCCTGTTTTCTTGCGCTAAAATGCCATCCACAGCTGGAGGCTTCTATAGTCGCTAAACACCCGCTAGGATTTGGCGATAGCCACTGAATACAGCGTCTTGGCCCTGAAGCAGCCCTGATTAGCCCNGCCCTCTCTCAATCCAAAATCCTGCTTCTAAATCTGCACTGCAAAGCATTCTTGTTCAATAATCTCCCATCGCATCCATGGAACTCATCAATCTCCCTGTCTCTGCTATGGAGAATCTTTGATCAGCAATTATCACCTCTGCTACTCGAAAGCTTCTCTCGCACTCCGCCCAGGTTCAAAAGCAAAGGCCTGATCAAGGGCGGCTAATGCAGAAAATAGCTGCCCTCATAGTCAATTCGGATATAGAGCGAGACCCGACGAACAATCGCCTGTTATTTTGGCGACACGACGCAGCTGTTGCTTTGCCACTGCAAATCTAGTACCGGATAGGCAGCTTCATTAATGGCAGGCCTCTATTGTGTGAAGAACCCGAATGGCAGAGGCCAAATCCAGAAGTTTCAAATATTGTGGCATCGACTTCGAAGCTTGGCCTTTGTTACAGTTATACCTCCGAGGGCAAGCTACTTCTGCCTATCCCTCAGAGGACAGGTTTCGTTTGTTGTTACCAAAGCCGCGATAGCATCCTACAACGCAGATATTTGGAATTGCTGACTCCATTGACTGGATCAGCTAGCATGATACGGGCTTTGCCGGCAACGACCTGGCCAGAGATCGACTACCTCGTTCTGGCGGCTCGGTCTCTTAATAGATGGTCCGCTGACCATTGACAAACAACTGTCCATTTACCGAAAATAGTGGCAATGCCATAAGCACGGTGCAGACGAAGAGTTGATGGTTGCGTAGCTGCATTTGGCCGATGGTATAGAAAGTGAGCTGCGACATACCAATATGCAATGCTTGAATTAAACTTCTAACAAATTTACAGAGTAACTGCGGATTAGAGACAATATATCTCGAATACCACTATCCCTTACCATGGGTCGAAATCAAGCAGGCACATTCTGCGACTCTGTGGCTACGGGTCACACTTTCCATAATATTATTACTTGCCACCAAGGCAGAGAAGCCGGCCGAGCATTATATTCTTGGTTAAAATAACCATCTACAGGTAGCGTATGATTCCTATTCTACTTTTGGCATCAAATACCATAATACTTACAATCGTGTTGATATTTAGCTTCAACCTTTTCATGTAGGTTTGATTTAGTAAATGTGGCGGGAAGCCAACTGTGCATATTGCTTTCAGCCCGTTTCTTCAGCTGCTTTCTTCAGCCAAAGACTCTATTTGATTCAAGCCACCCATACCAGAGCATCATTTACATACCCAACGTCTTCCATCCATGGTCATGGCAAAGATGTCTTTATCGCAAGATATCAGGCAGATTGGACATCCCAAGGCTCACATGTGATATAACTCAATAAGGCATCGCTCAGCCAACATGGCTTCAGCAAGCCACAACAAAATTTGCATTCCTCACGTCCACGCCATGGTGTTACTGTGATTTTGTGAATATGCACAGTTATAAAGCCACCACTTGCTACCTGCGCAATAAGCAGACATCATGTCCCAAGTCGAATTGATTGCCTGAATATAACCCTAGGTGTGTAGCTTTATATCAACAATCCCCATTTGCGCTTACGACGGTTGGCCATGGTGATATTCGGCTTAGTTAACGGTATGGCCGACCTCCTAATCGCAAGTGCCATAAACATTTTCGTGGCCGCGAGCAGTACGGCAACCGTTGACGCAGTCTTGCGAGTAACACAACACTCCCTCGAGGCATTGACGCAAAGTCTGGGCGGGGCGGCCCTCATCTTCAGAGGCATCTTCACAAACCGCGAGAATAGAACCACCCTAGACTTTATCCTAGACAATTTTGTCGCATTAATATCGTTCTTATACGACCTGGTCAGGCCAGCAAACGTCATACCAGGACAGGTAATTGGCAATGGTGCAGGAAACACTTTCGCCACAGAGTTCCCTCCAGGTCGGCAAAATCCGTATAATGAACTAGACCTTGACAGGGCAGAGAACCGGCATGCCGTCGTCTACCAGATACAGCGATTGTTGATGTGCCTTGCTAATATCATCAGACTAGGAAGGGCACAGAATTCAGGAAACACTCTTGATACAGTCGAAATGAACGTGAAGCTGCAAAGCGACTTTGACCAGTCGGGGAATCCTCCCCAACCAACCCATGTCTCTGAGTGCGAGGAATCCCCTCATGGCGAGAAATGGTTCTTCATAAACGGCATTGCCAACGAGCGTGTCTGGTTCGAGGGCTCCTGTGATAAGATCTGCAACATTTTCCAGAGAGAAGTCGTCGGCATCTTCAACAGGAGCGACAGTCTCCTCTGGGATTTAGTTGAATGTTGTGGCGAGCGCGGTGCAGCCGGGCCAAATCCACTCCTACAACAGACAAGAAGCAGTATGGCTGCACAGGATGCCATCAAGGAAGAGCTCGAAAGAGCCCTACAGGATAACAAGCTTCAAAAGGTGGTCGTCATTGCGCATTCCCAAGGCTGCCTACTCCTACGGCTCGCACTGATAGACCTGGTCACTCAAGGGCTTCTGGTTGATAACATGCAACAGAAGCTGAGGGTGTTTACATTTGGAAACCCGAGCATTGACTGGAGGGTAGGCCGTACCGACCTTGTCCAGAATGATTTACTTAGCAGCTTCTCGAGAGTCACCGAGCATTACGCGCACCAGCTAGATTTTGTCGCAAGGCTGGGGATCGTAACACACCAGACTGACCCTGGATCCGGTTATGAGAACAACTCGGTGTTTTACAGCAACAATGGAAGAGGACATTTGTTTGGTGCGCATTACCCTCTTGGTGCAACTGCATATCAGAATGGGGGGAATTCTGTGTTGCTCAGAGCAGTGAATGGAGGTGATATGGATTGATTTCCATCTGTTTCTTCTATTGTTGTCTTTTTACTTTCATTCAACTCGACAATATCGACACTTACCGAAATATGCCAGCACGGGATGCTGAACGTTTTACTATTATCGACGTTCAAGTATATATTTTGCGTCGCAGTACATATTTATTCCTTAGGGTAGTTGTGTACCAAGTTGTACGTCACGTCACGTCAATTTCAACCATTCTTTACATACGACCCAGTCGCAACTCTGGTGATGGAGTACAAAATGGTTGAATGCGCACACATGTCAGTCAAATATATATAGTCAAGTTCTGCGCATCAGAAACAAGGGAGTTGACCTCAAGCTGCAAGAAGTGGCCAAAAGTTTACAAACACCCCTACCAAAAAACGCGCCGCGTTTCCAATCCGCAAAAACAACTCTTCTTCCTTTAATTGCTTTCACTTACATTCGACTACATCCCATTACCTATATCGTTACGGCAAAACGACACAAAAACGCGAATTCCGTGCCGTTATTAGCAAAGGTCGTAAGAAAAACCATGAGTTTACCGCCATACAAAGAGCTGCAATGTGCGCCAAGATATCAGTGGGAAAATCTTACCGCGCTGTCGCGCACGAATTCAACACATCTGCTTCGACGGCATATGCTATTTTCAAACGGTGGAAAGACAACGAAACCTTTGATTCAAAGCCAAGAAAAGGCCGCCCGAAGAAGCCCACCCTGACCGAGGCCAGCAGCGCAGGCAAAGACTGCGAAAGAGCAGAGGGCGATGATGAATGATTAGGCTGAGGGGATGACTACTTCGCTGTGCCAGAGGACTATTATACCATCAACAAAGCGGATATTGTGCTAGAGGTGCAGAAATACGATGCAGTGAAGATAACCAAACCCATCAGCCGAGATTGGATGTTTCAACGCAACCCGAGTAAGCGTCTTTGGTGTTGTTTCATTGCGTCTGTTGCGTCTGTTGTTATACAAATTGTTTGTAAATGGCCATGGCACCCTTGTTATCCTTGGTTACTGGCTCTGCGCTCTTGCATCTGGCTATTGTTTTTGCCCCATCTTTTGGAAAAACAACGGTTTGGGATATTTTATTATGGATTATTCATGAAGCAGTCAGATCCTGGCCACTCGTGAGAATTGTCCTTGTTTATTAAAGATTTATCACTGTTCTCCCATCCGGGGATGCATGAAGCTCAAAAGTATACTACCAGAAATCACTATCACTTCTCACCCAATATTAAAGCACAAGACTTACCAAAAGTCTTCTTTAGTCTAATAACAAGAACTAGCAATGACGGGTAAAATAATATCACTGCTATTATTGACGCTTGAACATCAAAGGCCGACTTTGTTGAGCTCTAACGCGGCAATAATTACCACTCGCACTGCATCTCGACTACACTCCAGATATGCAATATCACCCCCTTCTGTGAGGCCGGCATCAAGAAAGTGGACGCGATACCATGCCTAGTAGACTTATTACAAGATCGCCCTGGGCGGCTAATCGTTAGAGGGAATTCTGTGTGATAGCAACGGCAGCGGCAGCGCTCCTCTACATAGCTCGACTTGTATCTACTCGGCACAAGTGCAGCATTACAACCCAGAAGGCGTCAATACTTTCTTCAAGCTCCATGCGCACAAAGACAAAGTTGGTTGGTATTGATGGAGCGTCGCCGCCCTCTTCATTGCCGTACGACGCCGCCTATGGAGCCGGGCTTGACTTCCAGGCGTCATATCCACATGTGTGCCCCGATGGGGAAGTCAATTATCTAGTCGATGATGTCTTTGTGAAGCTGGGAGCAATGGAATTAGTGGCCTCTTCAACATCTTGTTTGACACTGTCGTCAAATCTACTATACTCGCTCTGCATTTGGACAGACGGGTGGTTTAGCGGGCGTTGACGCAACGTATTCAGACACAAAAACGACGTCATCTACGTCTTCTACGATGAAGACGGAGCCATCTAACTGATGAATTACCAGCGGCATCAGTGCAATGAGTGGATGAAGCTGGGCTTAGAGGGAGTCAACGTCGCTTTACCCTTGCTAGATGGAGGCGTAGGTGGATTGGCTGACGGTTGTCCCGGGGGTCCTTTTAACCCCATATCGCCTACAGGCTGTCCATTTATTATCGCCATAGGCATAGCCAATGTTACCGCTTACAGTATCGATGGGAAGAAAACGGTAGAACAGGGAGTGAGATTCAGCGGAGGCGGTATCTTAATCATCAAGGCTTTATTGCTGTAGAGGGCTGGGATCCGGTGCTCGGCCTAGGCACGCCGAAATACAGCGAAATGAAAGAGATTCTTGTTGAATATGGCATAAAGGAAATACTCCCCATTGTTCATTGTATCAGCAATTACTTTGGGCTAGCTATCTGTATGTATGTAGCAATCACAATGAAAGAAAAGAAAGGATAATCCGCCAAGGCTATTCAATTGCTTTCAGTTGACACACATGAGTCAAGATTATTAATAGCGATTCGTACATTCTCTGATCCACAATAGTAGCGACGTGAACAATTCATTCTTGGTGTTTCCCAGACCCGCATCGATATCCAAATCATAGCCGTATAACTAATGTTCGCGCAAGTTCCGGTAACTAATTGGGCGCGTGGTCTAGGGGTATGATTTTCGCTTCGCATGTGAAAGGTCAGGGGTTCAATTCCCCTCGTGTCCATCTTTTTGCTTTTTTTTTTCGCATGCTACCCTATAACTTTTTGTCCCCCAAGCTTCCTCCTCTTTCGATCTATTCCTGAAAGAAATATCAATAATTTCAGGTTTTTTTTTTTTTTTTTTTTTTTTTTTTTTTTTTTTTTTTTTTTTTTTTTTCAATTCTGACCATCAATATTTCAAATCCCTCTACGATTTCGAACCTTCCGTATCCTTGCGATTCATGCTGAGCGCAACAAGTGTTGACAAAGCAGCTTCGCTAGTCCCCATCATCGATACAACGCTACTATTCCCGGCGTCCGCTCCAACGGTAGAACTTATTGCGCCCCAGACTTTGCCATCTGGAGGCTCAATTTATCAAAACGATGACAGCCAGGATCTATTTATAACATAATTCCAACGTTATATCCCTGTCGCTAACGTCATCCTCTCTTTAAGATCCCATTATCGCCCAATACAACTTCAAAAGCCAGAGGGATGATGCCTTACCGTGTCAACAAGTTGCAAAAGCCATACCGCGAAACACATCCTCGGCCTATGGCAAGAAGAAATTCGATTAGTTTCTATGTTCTGCCAAAGATCATCACGTATGTTCAGTCAAGACCCGTTGTCGAAGCGTCATTCCATCTACGCCCGATTACTCCCCCACGCCAAAGACTGGCTCGGCAGCTATTAAGAGTCTACGTTTAATTATTAAAGCAAACCAAGCGACAGAGGAAGGCCTTGATATTTATCTGTATTCTTGATGCAGCTATAAAGTAGTCACTTCCATCACTGCTCCACAGCTCATTATCGCGCATCGACGTGGATTGCCATCCTTCTCTCTTCGTACAGACCGATAGATTTGTTTCCAAACCCGCTAGGGAACATAGCCAACCATTCAAGATTCTGTCTCGCAGTAGTCTATCATGTCCTCGTCGAACCACAGCGGTGTCACTAGCCGACGTCTTTTTGTTCCTTTTCCCGAGGACAGCCATCAAAGAGCTCTGCGTTAGTCATGAGCGTCATTGTCTGTCTCCGATGTCAGCCTAGTCGCTACAATCGCTCAGGGTAGAAAAAGATATGACAAGTTTATGACAAATGATTGGAGTCACGGTCTCGTCTAGCAGGACATTAACATGTACGTCATTCTTTCTTAGAAGGGGAGCGATAATGGACTCAATGTCACCGAGTAAAGAGAGCGTCTCGGTAGTATTCTCGACAACTAGTCTCGGGCGTGTGAAACATATGCAGAGGAATGAAGAGTAAAGAGCAAATAGATAAACATAAAGACAAAGGGACCATGAGTAGATAGTACAAAGGGCTAGTCATAGAATTGAGAGAAGATGGCCTCGGCGCGTACACTAGGCGAGAGACATAAATAGCTTTCCAAATTACCAACACAAAGGAAAATGGTTTCTAAGAATCACCCAGACAAATAACATGGCACGACGATGGAGGAGAATTCGAATACATTTCAAAATGAGCTAATGGAACAAGGAAGCATGAATCTAGGACAAATTCCCATCTCAATTAAAGCCCACCCCAAACACACAATCTCATCTGCCTCTCCATGCCAAGGAATGCCAACTCACTTCCAGCAAAAGGCTGCCAACTGCCTGCTGTACAACTGCACAAAGAACCCTGCGCGCCCCAAACCGCAATGACATGTAGACTGAGGCCTCAATAGACCGGGACAGAGAAACCTCCACCCACCACCCACCTCCTCCTCCTCGTACTGATCAAGCAACTGTGAAGTGGCTTTGTTTGCCCTCTCTAGCAGCCTGGCAGCTCTACTTCTGCGGGCGGCACTGGCCTCGGCCTCAATAGACCTCCTGCCAGGCCGCCCACATCGGTAGAGCGCCGAAACCGCCTCGGCTTCAAACACCTCCTGCCAGACAACTCAGCGCTCAACGATGGCATGCGTCTCCTTCTCCCCGAACGTAAAGTTTTCGATGGCGTGGGAAAGCCACCGCCGGCCTCGGCCTCAATAGACCTCCTGCCGGACGACGGAGTTAGGAAGTTGCGAAAAATTGGATAACAAATTGGGAGCAAAGATACATCGATGACTTGGGAAAGATGTTGGGGTCGTAAAGTTCTATCACTCTGGCATTTTATGCCGTGCATGAGCGAGTGCTGGGGTGGAGCTGGCGGCGGCGACATGGACTCGAGGCCCATGGGTCGTAAGGTTCCATCTTGCCCATCAGGGCTGTGGACGCCACCTTTTGAAGCGCAGGGGCGGAGTGCCGTCTCTCTTTTTTCTAGACTGGGACTCCGATAGGCGGTTGATGGATGGATATGCCTTTTGGAGCAGGCCTTCAGTTGATGGATGAGGAACCTCTGGCTGCAGCGTTGGACGATCAGCCATTTCAATCACTTCGCCCGTTTCCATCCCTGGCTTGAGCTCCATCTCTGGCTGAAATGGTGGCTCTGGCTGCGTCTTCGCAACGCAGAGCCACCTGGGTCGTAAGGTTCTACCGCTGCTGAGGGGCCGAAGTCCAAAGCCGTAGAAGAGAAAAAGAATTCATTTTGCCGTAAGATTATGTAGTGTTGGTCCTGTCAGACCATGGGTTAGTATTCACCCACTGTTGTCTTGGGTGATAGAAAGGCTTACCATACCGCTCAACTCACTGGGTCAAGTAGCTTGAGGAGCAGGATTCAATGACGGCGAAGACTGCACGTCCCAAGAGTGGCAATGCTGCTAACCTCTGTGGAGATCGATAACGAGGTCATCCACATCGTCTACCAGTGGCTTCTAATAGACGATGTCGCCTACAGTCAAGGAAGGATTCCGTAGCAGAATTACAAGCAGTGATGTTTTTGGCAGCGATAATGAATAGTGTGCCGTGATGCTAGAATTTCGAAAAGGTCAGCAAACGAGAATCACAACCAACAGTATAAGATCACCAACCTTGACGCAGTAAACCACAGAGTCACTTCTGAGGAAAACGAAAGGAATTATCCAGTGGCATTGAGGATGATAGGACAGAAACAGAGGAAGCTGTCCGTAAGAAGGCCGCTCTGGGTAGCCGCTTGTGTGGCAGAAAGCAGATGTGGAGGAAGTGATTCTAGATACAACAGAAGACGGTGTCAGCTCGACCGGAAAACTCAGAGTCATTCAGAACAGAAACTGGGCGAAGCATACTCAGACTGCCGTAAGAGGCGAAGGGATGCAACAAGCCAGCCACAATGGATGGAGAGGATGTTGCAAAGACTGCATACGCCGTAGCTGAAGATTGTGGGCCTGCAGGGAGGGCCAGTGGAAGTGTGGCCATTGAATGTCTCCAGGTGAAAGACAGTTGGGAAAAAGGATAAAGAGAGTCAGGGGGCTTTCAATGGCATCATGATGTTCCTGTTTTCTGCAAGAGGGGTGTAAGAACAGCAAAACGGGCTCAGAGCGGTGGTTGGTATGAATCCATCTTGATGAAGGAAATCTCTACTGGACCAAAAGCTGGATGCAGAGAAGATGGAGGATGCGAGGAGATGGAGAAAGCAGATGGAGATGAAGAAATGGTAGAAGGGGGAGAAGGGGAGAAGTAGAAGAGAGGAAAACTTTGAGTTTGGCAGCGTGACTCAGGACGCGTCACTCAGCAGATCCAAGACGGCAATCTCGATCAACCTTATCTCAACAAAAGCATCCTGTGACCGCTCTTGACCGCTGCCTGGAGACTCAACAAGCAAGAGGAGTGGAGTCTTGGGGAGGGAGGGAGGGTGACGGAGCTCTGTGAGTGGCTCGCGAGTGAGATGAGAGCGAATACGAAGACAACAATGACGATTTGCTCATTCTTGCGGTGTAGTGAATGGAGGCAAGCACCAACCTGCCCGCCCATGGATTGGAAACTCAGCAAGTATTGCGTTGACACCTGTACTGCACTGCCGGGGGATATTGTATTGCATGTTGCAGTACGCATCTTTGACACGGGGCTTAACATGATGTGAATCCAGGCCATTGTATAAAGCTTCTTGGATAGATGTCCATCCGAAGTCTTCTTATATGGATTCATCCAGAAGAGGACATCGAAACAAAGGAGACCGGAAACACCTCATAGTACAGGTGGATACAAATCCGAAGACAGCAACTGGGTAGTACCTCGTAGCGACATGTACATCAGGCTGCCTAATGCTATTGCCTCAATCTTGCTCGTACTTGCAGCAGATCGAGGCTTTGACCGCTCTTCTTTGTCATCGGAAATTGCTGGTCTCTCCACATGCGGTTCAGTTTCTCCATGGCAACTCTTCTTTGACATCTCCCCCGGTCATATCTTTGCTAAACTAAACTTGCCAAATCTTCCCTCCCTTCTGTTTTCTTCATTATCCGTCTTCCGCCAAAAGCCAAGCCCGCGCCCGTCGATGAGAGGCCAAGAAAAGCGGCCTGGCCCTGGCAGCTGAGCAAAAGGTCGTGATCCTGCCAAAGGCTGCAGCCCTTTTATTCATGGCCATTTTTACTGACGTTTCTTCAGGCACACCTGAAGCCTGATCTCACCAGCCAGCCCTCTGGCGTTTCTTCAATCCAGCCATCCAGCAGCTCTCTGAAGAAACGTCGGAGGGCAAAGGGGCCCATCCAATTTGGTCCGGTGACCCAGGAGATTGTTGATGTCTCTGGACAGCCACTGCGTATACAGATCAGAGGAATTATATCGCACCTGGCAACTTTCTCAAGTATGGGCTCTCTCCCGTGATGGAATCTTACGACCCAACGACCTGAAACAGGTCAAGTTATATCAACTAGTAGGTGTCAAGCTGCATCACCCTCGTCCTATTTCGCTGCGTTATTCCCCAACCTACCTAACTGGCGCTAACATCTCGTTTCTAGTATGAGTTTTCGATGCTGCTCGATGTTTCTGCAACGGCATGCAGAAACGCGGCTGGAGTGGCGGCTAAAGCGGACTACCGTAGCTGGTGGCATCACTACTACCGCTTGGCTGGATTTCGGGACGCAAGCTGGTTGAATCGTGGTGTGCGGAATCGCCTCTTCAGGATTCTTCAACGTGGTACAAAAGTGAGTTGACCTTCTATACGTGGATTTCATGGTCGCTAAAGCTCCCGGAAGCATAGCGAAAACAAGAGCAACCAGTCACTCCGCTGACTCTTTATACTGCGTCTGTTGGCACGAGATAAAATCACCTCTCCAGCGGACAGACTCTTGCCGAAAGGCAGGATAGAATTTTACGACCCTGAGCTCTGCAAGAACCGCGAAAAGCGTCAAGTCAGCCGCTGGCAGACCCATCGCCATCACGGCGTGGCGCCTCTTCGTACAGGACATCCCTTCTCATAGTGGCAGTGAAGAAGACGGAGAGGAAGAAGAAGTCAGAGCAACCATCCCCCAGGCGGGATAGAGATTACGACCCAAGACTTGGGCGGTCGGCAAGGGGAAGAGAGCAATCACCAAAGAGGACTGGAGTGATGTTGAAGCTGCTGGAGGACAGAAATGGCTCGTGGGTTTTTATTGACTGATCTGATCTCTCCAAGCTGTGCGCTAGAAACAGGGAGTTTTATCAATCTATATTTGGCATGCTGCATTGCGCTGGGACAAATCTGGATGATAGAGTGTGCATGTAAAGGGCGTCATCTTTTGGGTGGGAATATTAAATACAGAAATTCATCGTGATTACGGAGTTTTACGTTTCATTTTGTACAGTGTCTTCCAATTTGTGTAATGATGGATCGTGCCTATACAAGGCATGCATTTGCCTGGGCCATATCTTGACTCTCTTTTGCATATACAAGAGCCAGTCACAAGGCATGGAAAGACATTATGAAATGGCAAAAATGAATGCCTCGAAGAATCGTTTCGAATGTATCGAAGTTATCGCACTAGAAATATAAATTGACAGCTGTGGAAATTTGGCTGGTGATTTCAGTCTGTGCCTCGAATCGATTCTGCTGTACTTCGCCGCGATGTTCACGTGTCCGTTGTAAATGCATGATACAATTGTAAAATATTAATGAAAATAGCAGAAAGACCATTGCTGTTTTAGTCTTTTACTTTTGAGGAAATTCTTTTTGCCAGCTATCCAAGGCTGAGCTGGTGTTTCTCCTCCCCTTTAGGCTCCTCGCCCACCCCATCGCCACACTGCCGGCTGCCACATGTTTCCAGAAATCAAATGATAATCTTTGACCATTAAACACGCATCAAAATATTCGTCCTACGGTTCTGGTTTCAATTTTATTGGTTAAATATGCTATCGATATACCTACCGTAGCATTCTGGATACGGCGTAAAGCAAACTTGCCTCTCTATAAAGAGCAAAAAAATGCATCCATCTTCACCATCGAACGGAGATGACCTCTCCTATCGAGGAGTTGAACCTATGATGTCTGAGAAACAGAGCAATAATGCAAAAATGGATCGTAAGGCGCTACCCACTCGGCTATGGATAGAACCTTACGACCCTGAACGGGATTGCTAAGTTTTAATATATAAATCTTTCTTCCCTGCTGCTCCAGGTATTCTGTACCTTTTGCGTGCTGAATTGTTGACCGCTGAATCCCAAAAATCTCGTGGCAACTTCCTCCATTCATCACATTTCGCTTGCCAGAGGCTGCTCCTCCCGCCGATCCTTGACATTCTTCTCTCATGCTCTACCCTGCCCAAGATGTTGATTCTTTCTCCTCTTCACTACGATCTCCGCCACTCTATGCCCTCTATCTCTGCCTCCCTCTGTTACGCTTTTACCATCGTTTGTTCCAAAGCTTCATTTCCAAATATTATGGCAGCTTTTCTCTCTATCAAATCTACCATACGATGAGTATGCGCCCAACTTGTATCTTTGCCTTGACTCTGGCTGACTTTGAAGTCTCTAGATACATCGGCGTCTCGCTATTTCTCTGTAGTTGACAGCATCTTTCACGATATTCTCGTTGACTGCCTCTCCTCTCTTCATCAACACTCGCCAGAGAACACGGCAAACCTGGCCTGGAACGCCTTGGAAGATGTACACAAAGAGTCAAGATTATCTGGTTTGATCAAGATCATCTGGTTGAATACGCAAGCTCTTGATGGAAGAGACTATGTGAGTAGATTTGGATTGTGAACTTTGTGGGAAACCCTTTTAACCACAAAATCAATCTTCAGACATACAAAGAAGAGATTCAGGCGGAGACGATGAAGAGGCGAGATAGAACTTTACGACCCAATGGCCTGCTGTGGCCAGATACATCTTCGAGGTAATTAGACTCTATGGATAGCCGATGAGGCGAAAGACGTTGCCCTCTTAGAGGCTCTCTGATAGTAATATAGCCTCCGCTAATCCTTTGACAGGCCGGATAGAATTTTACGACCCAGCAGCCCCCTGTGGCCTGCATACTTGTACCACGACAAAGCTAGATTCCGTCTGCTGATGCGACATATCACAGGAATCGGATCATCGCAGTCGCATCAGCGGACGGATCTAGCAGAAGAATACGTATCAGCCGCGAATTAGTTCTCCTTTGCGACATACTATCCAGATCAACGACGGCCTTGGCGGGGTAGAACTTTACGACCCAGTCGCCTATGAGGCGAAACAAGTAGGTCTTCCACTGCAAGAAGGTTTCTGTGGTAGTCTGCTAATTATGCCGCAAGCTTGTTCCAAATCTTCCGGTCTATTGAGGCCTCAGCGTTTTGACGGCCCAGCAAGATAGTTTATGAGCCCAGAGCCGGCGAGGTGAAAGAGGTAAGCCTCTGTCTAAAGAGTGCTTCCCTGGCACCCTACTAATTCCTTTATAGACTGGACTGCAAGCATCATCTACGGAATAAAACAATTGCCATTTGCGGAGTCTTGAGGTCTGATCCTCCTAGCTTTAAAATCCCATCTCCAGTTATAGCCGGGAAGAGCAAGATATAAAACAACTCTGCGCAGAATATTTTCCATATATACTCGGTTATGAGCCAATAGCTGTTAATATGACATGTCGCCTGCCATTGGAGCCACTTGAGTCAAAGGAATCTTGGCGGACTTTTGCGGAGAATGTGGGATCTGGGATTTGCACCGCCGGCAATAAGAGCCACACTAATCATCGCTACTTGGTAGTTATCACGAACAGTGACGGATAGGTGATTCAATTTACAGCAAAAGATGGACACAAGAAGACTCAGATGCTCTGCTCGACTTGTCCTCATCTTGGTAATCTGGTTTTCTAGCGCAGGCTGGCTGTCGAAGATGATGTGCTTAATAAGCGGAAGACATAACCCGATGAAGGGAATAAATGGTTTGCATTGTTGTACATACTATGTATGCTTAATTCTCCTTGGTTAGATTGTAGAACTCAAATTGCAATTTGAACTGCTAGTAGTTTCAGCATCATTCTCTCTTCGAATACTTCACGAAACTAGACAGCAAAGAGGTATATAGAAGACGTTAATTCCACAGCACAACTGTCTAATCTGCCATTAGTCAATTGGACAGGCAACGTCTTGGTATCCTGTCAAAATCAGGAGTTCTCCACAACCGAACCGGCATATGCTAAGATTTGGCAATGTAGCAGATGAACAACTGTCACTGAACCCATGGCTTTTGCTAACGATATATCACATACTCCCTCAATCATGTCGCATGAAGGATTCATCCCGTCACAATTTCCGCTAGCCACGCCGCCTGAAACTCCGCTTTGAAGGCTTAAAATCTACGACTTTGATCCATTCCGCTGATCAGGCAGCACAATTTACAACGCCATGAATCAGTATCAGATGTTTCACAATCAGGAAACGCTTTTGGTGTATGGAATTATGGAATCGCGCTTTCGGCACTTCATGAATTTGCGGAGTTTCGAAAAATGGCCAATGATCCCGGCGTACGCGTTTGAGAAGCAGTAAGAATAAGCGTATAAATTGAGTTACGATTTCAACATTTCTATAATTTATTGCCACACTCTCATCAGATATTGATATCATTACTCTCCAAAGTGTCTGCTATCCACGCACCAATTATCACTCACAATGGCTTCATTCAAGCATATCGCCCTCCTTGGTGTACGTTTTCTTCCCTATTCCTGTGCTACTCCCATCACCCACTAATCAACCTATCTGCAGAAAGGAATGCTCGGTTCTGCTGTCCTGTCACAGCTACTTGATCAAGGCTTCGATGTCACCCTATTCACTCGCTCCAAGTCCTCCGTCAAAGACCTGCCTTCAGGAGTTCAAGTTGCAGAAGTCGACTACTCTTCGCTCAGTAGCTTGATCGATGCTCTGAAGGGCAAAGACGCGGTGGTTTCTACCGTAGCTCCAGCAGCTATACCGGAGCAGAAGATTATCATCGATGCTGCTATCGAGGCGGGCGTGAAGCGATTCATCCCGGCGGACTTTGGAGCACTGTCTACTGATCCCCTTGCCAAAGATCTCCCAATCCATATCCCGACGACACAAATACGACAGTATTTGGCTGAAAAGGCAGCAGACGGCCAAATCGAGTATACCGTCTTCTCCAACGGCCTTTTCATGGAGCTGATTTTCTCCGTCCCTTTCTTTTTCGATCACGTCAACAGAAAAGTCGAGCTGGTTGACAACGGCGAGAATCCCTTTAGTGTCACTACCGTAGCTTCCATCGCGAAGGCCGTCACGAATCTGTTAAAGAACCCGGAAGGGACCGAGAACCGCATCATCTTCATCCATGACATGACTGTAACGCAAGCACAACTTGTGAGGCTGGTCAAAAAGCACCTATTGTCTGATCCAGAATGGACCGAGACAAAGGTGGATGCTGCAGTCGAATTGCAGAAGAGCCTCGAAAGCTTTGCCCGGGAAGGATTCAACTTGGTGAATGGAGCCGGTTTGCTGCGGTCAGCTCTCTGCGGCGGGAAATATGCGAGCGCGTATAAGAACGTGGAGAATGAGCGTTTTGGTCTGGAGCTTTGGACCGAGAAGGAGTTGGATGCGTTTGTTGCTTCGAAGATTCAGTAAATATTACATCAATTCTATGTATGCTTTGAGAATTAGTAGTTGAATAGATTTGGTAGTGATATATACATGTACAGACTTGTTGTTTGCTCAGGGTGAACCCCTTTCCCCTTAGCCTGACACGATACTTCAGTGTTGCCCGTATAGAAGGAGAGGATGCTGCACAACAAGCACACAATTGGTATCGAATACATCATATATTTCCAATGAAGCTATCTTCTTAATGCCATATTGAATTAGATAATCATCTGAAGTGTGCTGAAGCTTGATACATTGAACGTTTATCACTTCTATCAGTCACGTGGACCTGCCCCAGGCTTTTAAAAATCTGTTGGGGCCTGCTGAAGAACGTGCAAGCAAAACTTGAACCGCCAGCATTCAAAAGCTCGGCAGGATAGAATTTTACGACCCTTGGGCCAACCACCACGGCTCTCCAGCTTATTGAACAAGCATTGCAGATATCCTGTGACGCGAACGAGTGTGTACTTTTTTCAAGAAACTTCCTTGATGCTCTACTAACCATGGCAAGATTGGAAATCAGCTACCGTCTGCTGAAGTAGAGGTGCTGCTTCTCTGGTCCATTAAAGCCTCTGCAATCTCCAGAGAAGGGTGGTGCCAGTGATTCGATGGCCGGAGAAACCTGGTGGCAACCCTTTGGCGGGATAAAACTTTACGACCCAATAACCCACGACGGGTTAAATCATACATCAAGCCTCGCCGCTGGACCCAGAGAGAAGAGAGACTGGAGAAGCCACCAGAGCAGGACTGCAAGAGAGTGGTGGCCACATTTCAAAGACTCGGCGTGATAGAATTTTACGACCCATGCCAGCATGCAACTGGCAGATCTCACCATGTCACCAGGCAGTGGAAGGGAAATTATAGAAACGTATCAGCCGTCTTTGAGAATAAGGATCCAAACTTTTCGGACGGAGCAGACTGTGATATTTTATTTCGAAAAGGAACGAGACTTCGATCACGCTATACTTATGCTCAAGCGCATTGGATTCCGCGTCCAAGATGGCATCCCGCTTGAGTTGCATACTTGCACCACGACGAAGCGCGACCCTATATCATCACATCACTTCGGTCGTTGGTGGATTGGCGGGTTAAACAACTGCGTGGTTTTATCTAGGCCCAAGAGGGCACGATAGAACCTTACGACCCTGGTACAGTTACCAGAGCATTGTCATCTTTCCGTCCAGATCTCAGCTCTCTCTTCTATTGGACATCTTGACAACTACTCTTTTACCTCTCGGCGATAGCTCACAATATATTTTCTCTCTTTCAAATTCAACCAGGCATGAAGAAATTTACGACCTATCAACGTCTTCATCATCGTCGTGACTACAGTGCGAGTCGAAGGGATATCTAGATGTCTGGTAGCGGGTGTTTTCATTGTCACAGGGGACGCACGTTATATGTAGTAGCTATAAAAGCACATTTAGTCAATTTATCATTGCCTTTCGTTTCCCAAGTTCAATCTGTCTTCTCTGTGTGATAAAGCTAAAACTTTGTAATGATCGCTAAACTCTCTGACTATTGGCCTGCCTTGAGCTTGTCGTAGTTGATGACCGCTTCGAGGAGAGTCTGGGCTCCTAGGGTACTGTTTGATGAATAGCAACCACAAATTAGTCTGGCTATTGTCTATTTCAGGGGCAAGCTATAATAGTAAACAACTTACCAGTCCTCAGGGCTGCAGTATTCTTCCGGATGGTGACTAACGCCACCTTTGCAGGGAACAAAGATCATAGTCGTTGGGCATCGGCTGCTTGTGTTGACACTGTCGTGGCCGGCTCCACTGGTTATATGGAGCCACCCATCGGCGCCCACCAGCTTTGTAGCTGCCTTTTCAACCATCTTGATACAGTCCGGGTCGAACTTGGTCGCGGGAGAGTCGGTATCGAGACTCATGTCGACTTGGACACCTCGACCGTCTTCTTTGGCGATGGCGCCGAAGGATTCGGTGCATAGACGCTGCACTTCATCGACAATGGCGTCGTCTGGGTGGCGGATATCCAGCGTAAAAGTTACTTGCGAGGCAATAGTGTTGGTGGACGAGCTTGGGGGGATTTTGATAACGCCGGTAGATGCCAGGGCGCCGAGCTTCTTTGCAATGGCGTTGGAAGAGACAATCATCTTGGACGCTGCTAGCAGGGGGTCGCTGCGTGACTTGAAGGGCGTCGTTCCCGTGTGGGCATCGCGGCCGCTGACAGTTACAGTGAACCAGCGATATGCCTGGCCGCCTCGAACGACACCAATCTTCTTGCCGGATTCTTCGAGGATTGGGCCTTGTTCGATGTGTAGCTCAAAGTGGGCGCCCAGCGGATATCCGGCTGAGGAGCAGGCCACGTCTCCAATGTAGCCGAGTCTTTGCAGCTCTGACTTGACGGTGGCTGAGGGGTCGAAGATGTCGGGGAGAGAATAGGCTTCGTCGAGAGGGATCTTGCCAGCCCATACACCGGATGCCATCATAGATTTGGGAAATCTGGCGCCTTCTTCGCTGTTGAACAGACAAACTTGCATTAGTTTTGTCAAAGAAACAAAGATGATAAAACAAAGGTAGTATGACAAAGAGAGGAGACAGGTCATGGAAATAAAGAATCATTGTTGTTGAATATTGAAATACATACTTTGTCCAATTGACGACTCCAACGTCATGATTGGTGCTGTATCCATTCTCCGCAAGAGTCCGCAAGACCTCGACGGCAGCGACAACGCCCAAGATTCCGTCGTATCGGCCACCTCGAGGCTGTGTGTCGAGATGGCTTCCCATGGCAATCATGGGCGTGGGGTTTGGCGAAGATCCGCGTCTGCTGGCGAACATGTTGCCCAAATTATCGACAACCAGCTTGCAGCCCAGCTTCTTCGTCTCTTCGGCAAACCAGCGTCTTACTTGGGCATCATCGTCAGAGAGCGAGAGTCGAGACATGCCCGTCTCGTTTGGGCCGCTGCCAGCCATTTTTAGCATCTAGAAATTCAATTGACATGAGCTTGATAGATAACAAACCTCCCGTACCGATGGGCGGCGCCCCATTGGCATGTGTGGTGGATTGTTTCTTGCAGCCGGTCAGCGTTGATGCGAAGGCCTGCTGAAGCTGAAGCACAGTAGAGGCGCCTTGCGGCAGGTAGAGACGCCTTGCGGAGGACGAGCGGCATTGCGAGAAGAAACTAGAGAGCCGTGAAGAATGGGTTATCAAATGCAAGAAGTGGTCAAAGAAAGTTGTCGGACGAACAGCAGCTGTAGATGATGAGTTGCGGCGAGTGGAGTTGAATGTAGGTGGCTATTTACTTGTCACTGGAGATGCGCCCTCTGCCGCCTTCTGAGAACATGGGAGGGGAAAAAAAGTTGCCTCAATTGAAGGCCCGCTTGACGATTTGCAGTATTTACAAAAGGAGTTGATTGTACTACAAAAGAACGAAAATGTCATGCCATCTAAGTTGGAGAATTGAGGCTCACATTCAAAAAGAAGCCCATGCTGCCAGTCAGTTTTCATGTTCGGCTGGCTGGATGATAGCAAACAGGTACATGTACAGCTGTCTTCGACGATTCTAGGCGCAAATCTCAGTACATGTACTAATGAGCTAAACAATGGCGGGGTAGGCCAAGTCGGACATGTATGGAGTCACGATCAAGGTTGAATCAGTGGCCTGGAGGGCATTAATATGTCTTGTTTCCTTTCGTTTTCCTTTCTTTCTGAAATCTATTTTAAGTTTTTGTCATAAAAATGATTTTATTCTAGAATTATTTTTTAAAAAAGATAAAACAAAAGCCTCAACTAAACAGTACCCGGCCCCAAAACGTTCAACGCAGCCCATCAACAGAGGGATCAAGCCACCGGTGCTTCAGTATCGGTCCGATCACCCATATTTGCCCGTACTCTGTGAAATTCTCGTTGCTCCCAAACCCTGAGCTTCATTTGGACAATTGCCTCTACGATCTCGTCGTCGGATTTGTCTTCCAAATACATCTCTCTGCGAGCAAGACTGACTTCTGCATCTGACGCTCGAAACGCTGGCGTTGCTGTTTCTCCAACCATTAAGCCATATTGCAACTGGAGTATATCCTCATAATCCCATTTTTGGAGACGGCGAATAAATCCAAATTCTTCTCGAATCTGAGGAAGTTTGCTTTCCAGTGGCCATACATCTTTCCATGCCCTACACGTTTCAGGCAAGCTGAGCGATATGCGTACATTAGGCGGCAGTGCCATTGAGCCTGCTATGATTTCATACATATCTTCTTGCAGATTCTCATAGTGTCCATCCTCGATGGCTTCTCTGAGCATGTCTCTATGGCCACCAAACATCGACTGCTCTTGCTCTAGGTTGTATTTTTCCGTCCAAGGGAGAAAAAATGAATCATCTATATCGACTGCTGGTTCCTTGAATTTTTCAAATAGCAAAGTTCTATCTCCAGAAACTGGGCTTCGTAACCAAGTCGCCAACGTATTCGTTGCTGGGGCCCGCGGCGCTGGCACATCCGCTGCTATTTGCCGTGGACCTTGCTTTATGCGGTTTCTCATCTCTTTATCAGCGGAAACAAAGGGCCCTGGATTACTGAGAGGGTTTGAAAGACTGGTCGCCTTATAGTTTTCATCATCTGCGTAGCTCCCTTCCATCTCTTCGAATATAGGGGAGCGATACTTGGTTTCCTAGATTCAGTTAGGATTTTCATAGTGAGACATAACGTTGCTCTTGCCTGTTCAAAGGGGGTGTTTGGCTGCTCCGAGCCGGTGGACGATTTCTTTCTTCCGCTGCCGCTACGACTGCCGCAATAGGATGATCGGTGCATATGTTCTGATTCCAGAGGCTTCTGAGAAAGCGAGACGCTGGCATTAGCATGCTCCTGGCTGCTCACGTCAGCGGGAGACAGAGGGCCCCAGGGGTCGCTAAGGCCGTTATCAAATTCCGCAGTGCCAAAGTTGGGAGAAACATCATATGAATCAAAATCAGAGCTGCCATTGTAAAGCGAGGGTGAGGTCATGGTTGTCAAGGCTGCGGAATTCTCCAGTTCGCTGCTTGGAATAAGATCTCGCAGACTAGGTAGCCTCGTCAGCTTATTTTCTGTATTTTGAGGACCACTTTGTATGAAATCCCTTTGATCCGTTTGCGACATCTCCAACGGCTGCCCAATCGGAGGTATGGGGGAAACAAGTGACGAGGCTATCCGCTCCTTGGGGTCGTTCTGGAGCCGTAAAGCTTCATCCAAGGCCTTTTTTGAAGAACCTCGCCAACGCTCTGGCGAAAAGTCTCGCTTCGATGGCGGCGCTTCAAGATAACTCGGGTGGGCTGCTGGCGATAAGTTGCTTGTCTTCTCAGTGGCCTCGTGGGAGACAGTATAAGGCCCATGGCGTGGGACATAAAAATTATTGTCAATAAATCGCTGACGAATGCTGGGAGGAGGATCAATAGGTAGATGTGAGGAGTCAACTCTCTGAGATGAGCGATCAGCACGTTTACTTAAGGCCTGATAGTAGTCTTCTGGTTGAAGGGCATTCGAGTGGGCCGAGCGCACCGGTGAGTTCTTCTTCCGTCGCTTGTGCATGGGCCCATCACCCTCTTCATCGTGAACACTTCGAACTCCTCTCGGTGCTGGTGTCTGGATATCGCGTATGGATTTCGGTGCCGGACTTGGGGTGTGATATTTATTGACGTGATTTTTTAGAGCTTGTGCCGATACAAAAGGCGGAAAATGGCAATCTGGAAAGGTGCATCTGAATTTTCGCACGTGGGTCATTTCATGCTCAAGGCGAAATTTTTCCGTCTCGAAACCCAATGTCGCTCGAGGACACGATTTGAGCCGACAGGTGAATGCAGACGTTCCAAACTGGCTCTTGAACAATTCTAACTCTTGGGCGGATATTCCCGGATGGTCACTTTGATCGAGTATCGACTTGACAGTCTCTTGGTATATCGCGAGCATTGCTGATATACCGTCTGAAGCAGGTAAAATCTGCGTTCCTTCAAGGGCCAAGGTTGATATGTATCAGTAAATCAGCAACTTAGTAAAATCTCACTGCTAATACCTACCGGGTACTTGTAGAAGCTCGTATTCCAACTGGTTGATTGATCTGGCGTCTAAAGCTGCTCTAACCCGTTCGCATAGAATTGGATGTTGTTGCAAATACGCTAATCGTTCATCCTGTACGATTGGTTGTATCTCGATTTGTTTGATCCTCGTTAAATCGGCTGTCTCATTGAGCTTATCTGCTATTTGACAAGCTAGGCGAAATAAGACTGAACTTGCTTCCAGTCCACTGGCGTATTTTGCACGAGAGAGCAGATATTCCGTCCAATACTCGGTAGCATAAACATGCAAGCCATGCAGACCCTTGACTACCCGATGATATCTTGTCTGTTCATCGTATGTTGTGTTGAATACCTCTAACCCGGAAAGGAGACAAGTAACAGCAGCTACTCCGTGTTCTTGAAGCGCTTCTTGTTCATGAATGGTCACACTGCAAGAGGAAGTTTGAAGAAACCTACACAGATGTTAATTTATAGCTATACAGTCGCTTCTTTGCAGTGAACATATGGCTTACTCTTTCACAGAGACGTGTATAAAGGTCAAGGTCGTATCATGCCTCTCATCTATGAGCGGTGCACAGATATCCAAAATGTATTGAGGGGCGACATGGGCAACATTCGGATCCCCAGAGCTAAAAGTGACTGCAGACAGAAATTCGAGTCTTTTCAACGGGCGTTTGGCGAAGGCAATCCAGCCAAGCACACACTTGATTCTATTGACGGATCGAGAATCCAAATGAATAAGCACTTGAGTCAATATTTTCCGATAGCTAGACGGGCAGTTAGCGTTGGCATGCTTAATGGACACGTTTAATAACTTACAAATCATTAATTTTCTCCGGAAGCTGATTGACGGAAGCTTTAATTTCGTCGCAGTTGTAAAATACATTCGTAGAGAGGTAATCTAGAACGAGTCGAGCGTAAAGAAACATCCCTTTTCATGATATCAGTGACTCAGGCAACAATATTGTCGTCTAGTTACCTTACCGTCTGCCTTCTTTGCAATTTGGAGTTCGACATCGTCCAATTCTCCTGGCGCAATATCGAGTTGGCGGAATCTCTGCTCCAGCGCTTGCAATCTTTGTGCCGCATACAGCCGGATTGCTCCCTCTAGGCAATGCTTCTCCTCGCTGAGGGAAACCACCTGCTTTTTGCGCAGCCATTTTGATAACGTCGTCGAAGAACGGCTTGATATGAGAACTTTACAAAACGCTTTGCCAGACGAGGAGGACCTATGGGATGTAACCTGATTCATCAAGCTTATGACACGGGCCTGCTTGTCCGGCTCGCATTCATCTAATCCATCTAGAATAATCCAAAGGTATTCTGTTTGAGACGGCTCGTTAGATACGCTTTTGAAAAGAAGCTGTAAAAGCCGTTCGAGAGCAGAGACTGTTGGAGACTTCTTCCCGAGAACAAATTCTTCATGGACATGGGCGACTAGGTCGCCATCTTTTCGCAGCAGTTGCATAAGCAGTGATCTCAATATTTGCTCGTATATGGTAGATGACATGTATAAATAAGTGCAGAAGTGATACATGACAAACATTTTAGCCGTCTGCATGAAAGTGACGAGTTGCGTGGATATCACACTCTTTCCAGATCCAGGCGTACCCTGTAACCAGAGGATTGGCGATTCTGACCTTTTCTGGAGCCAAGAGCTGACTTTTGGATTTTTCAATATCCATGCGCATGTGCCTGGATAGTTGCGTCCTTCTGCCATGATTGATTCCATTATGGCCAATTGATCCGACTCATCGATATTCATCCACGCCATAATGGACTGATACTGCTTGGCAGCTTGTTCCTCTTCGAAGCTTTTCACTCTCTCGTCATTCTGTTCTCTCCAAAGGCGGATATCGCGACGCATTTCTCGTGCTTCAGCAATATTGCGAGCGTTTGCTTCCTTGTCAATCAAATCTCCGTGTCGTCCCATGTCTTCCATGATGTTGTCAAATCGTCGCTGAAATCGGCCCCAAGACGTAAGGAACAGTAGCTTCCAACCTAGCTGATGTGAGAAGAGAAGACTCGACAAGAAGCGCCACAGCTTACCACTTCGTCGAACAAACTTGTAGGCATGTCTATGAAATTGAAGAATGTCGGCATAGAAGACGGCCAAGGTCTGTTGAAAGTCGGGGTTGTCTTTAAAGGCACAATCCAACACCTCGAATCTTACAAGAGATTCGGCTAACTGGGCGTAGCCCTTGATAATCTGTTCAAAAGCTTCTACGTGTTCCGAAGCGACTCGCAAAATCAGTGTAATCGGTGCCCATATCCACGGTAGATACGGGGTACCGTTGCATAAAACATCCATCACTTTTGAATAATGCTCTATTCCTTTGAACAGAGGCATGAGGCGACGCATATTGCGAAGCGACCCTCGCGCAGCAAGCTGCCTCTCGATTTCGAGCGCTGCATCCCGTACATTCTGAAGGGTTGTAGCACGAAAGTCACGGGAGTCTGCCGGGGTAATTGTCCGATCAAGATCATCAAAAGCAGCTTTTATTGTTTGCCTCGCAGCGGCAGATACCGGACGAGGGAGAGGCATTTCTGGCGCATTTCTGGCACATCAGCATGCGAAGACGGGCAAAAGAGGAATTTAGAGGTAATGAAGAGGAGAAAAAAGCGCGGCTACGATAGAAGGTGCAGGGGCTGAAAGGCACATCCTCATTCCATTGGGCAGCCATGCAGGTCGCATCCCACATAGGTTGCCTCGCGAGCCGCCTTGTTGGCAGTGCTTTCGCAAAGTGCTCAGCCACGCCATGATTTCATTCACTATCTTGTTATAAAAAATAAAAAGAAAAATTAGGAAAAAGAGAAAAGAGAAAATAGGCAGCTTCAAGAACCAGGACCCGACTATAGCCCGGCCTTCAGTTGGAGTTTTAGTTTGGAACTGCGAATTTTTCCACAGGAACAGTTGCATTATCATTCTAGCCTTTTCTTCAACGCCGTTTCGACTGCGTAACTTGCCAGACATGAAACACGTTCACATTGCCAAGCGTCGGCGGCTTGACGAAAATGTTGAGCCGTGCATACGAGACACAGTCAAGAACAGCACCATGTCCATATCGTCCTTGATCGACCAGAAACCCCATCATCACAATATCCCACCACCAACGGAGCATTCGAACTCATGCGGCTCAGCGCTTCATACACCTCAACCAACTCAAAATTTAGCGTCAAGCGATTCCCCAGCGCCTTTTGGTCTTCTTGAGCAGTCAGGCAGCCAGGTGGCTCAGGCTTCTGAAACGAAATGTGCTGTTCCTGCACGCCATTCTAGGCCATGGGAAATCTCCAACTCACACAATTCCTCTCCAGCGCCTAATTCGTATACGACTGTCCCATCGCCAAATCCAGACTTCTCTTCAGATGATGACTTCCTGTCCCTTGAAGATGAAGGCCAAGATCCGAATACACACACCGTATCACAAGCGAATACTGAGCAAGGTGTGATGGTTTGCTTTGGCATGGTGAGTTAGTATGAACGACCCTTATAGAAATCCCTCTAAGATGATCCATGCAGGTCTCGGGTATCTCAGGAAGATGCGAAAGACCAAATTCGAGCGAAAAAGTATCCTCATTTGAAGTCGCATTAGACTCTTCGGAAAATTTCACCGCAACTGGAGACCCACGATTGAAGGGGCGAATACTATCAGAACACGGACAGATGATACAAGGTCTTATTGATGAATCCGCCTTGAATCTCCATGTCTCTTGCATTCCAAGTGGTGATCTTTCAACACGAAAATCGAGTCGATATTCCGCGCCGTTTGCATGCGACTTGGAGATTACTGTATATGGTTCTTCAGAGCTATTTGAACAGATTGGCATCTGGTTCCAAGAGTATGGAGCGTACCTCCAAGATCCGCGGGCATGCCATCACGATGTCAAATACTGGAATCCTCATAGATTGTCTTCAGATGATTTCGAATCATCCCCTTTGCTTTCTCAGGTCATCTTGCATGAATTCAAATCATCTTCGTTCCAAGGCATCACAGAGGGGCCAGATTTGCTGGATATACTAAGCAGTAATATTGAGCTGGAAGAGGCCCCACAGCCAGCATCAATACAAACGGCTCTTCAAAGGTAAAGACGTTTTAGATATTTGTTATCCCTTGATTTTTCTGTCAACTGATATAACGAGGACATTTAGCCATCAAAAGAAGGCCTTAACCTTCCTGCTTCGTCGGGAAAATGGCTGGGCTTTCGATGCGAATCAGCTAGACATTTGGGAGAGAGTGGATAATGACCAAGGACGATTGTAAGCGATACTGAAACTCCTCTTGTCGAGAGACTAACGCAGCCCGTTCTCAGCTTTATCAATCGAATTTCCACCACCCACCAGGAAGAAGAGCCTCCCCAGTTCTATGGAGGCATCATCGCAGATCCAATGGGCCTTGGCAAAACGTTGACCATGATTGCTTTAGCGGCGTCAGACCTAGACAGAACTATCAATATCACCAAAGATACTGTGGAGAGAGAGTTGGGGAATAAACCCTGTATCGCAACTACTCTTATTATCATACCACCTCCATGTATGTGATACATATTCAAGTCTGAGAAAGCGATATATGCTTACTATGATTAGTGCTCGGCACTTGGGAAGAACAGCTATCGGAGTAAGTCTAAATTTATCTTTGCATACCCAGACATACGTGCAACTAATAGTTGAGCAGACACGTTGTGGCAGGCGGCTTAAAATGGCGGCGCCATTATGGAAAGACTAGATTCACCAATCAATACGAGCTTGATGATTTAAACGTAGTGTTGACTACTTATCACACCGTTTCTGCGGAGTGGAAGAATGAGCGAGAATTGGAAAGCTCAATTCTGTTTTCTGTTCGTTGGAAGAGAATAATTCTAGATGAAGGTCGGTCGCTGTTCCATTCAATAGAGTTTTGAAAAAGTACTAAAGACCACTGATTTTTTATGTCGATAGCTCACTTCATCCGGAATGGAAGCTCAAGAATGGCCCATGCCATCTGCGCGCTCGATTCCGTTGCTCGATGGGCTGTTACAGGAACGCCCATACAAAACCGTCTCAGCGACCTTGCTACTCTGCTTAAATTTATCAGGGTGCATCCTTACACAGACCCGAAGCGTTTTGACGCGGACATAGCTCACCTTTGGAAATCTGGAGAAGACGAAGAAGCTGCTAAAAGGTTACAGCGCCTTTCAGCTTGTATCTTGCTGCGCAGGCCGAAAACGACCATAAATCTTCCTCCCAGGCAGGATATGCGATGTCCTATCGATTTCAGTCGCGAAGAAAGAGAATTGTATACCGAACTACGAGAGCAGACGATAGCCAGGGTCGACGAAGCGCTTCAAAGCAGCTCTGAGAGGTCGAGAGCAAGTGTGTACGTCAATGTTTTACAGCAAATTGAATCATTGCGACTTGTCTGTAATCTGGGTCTCCACTATCATGCAAGACATCAAAAGGCTCTGAACTTGCCTGCAGAATCTAGCGACTGGACGAGCCTCGCGCAGCAGGCTTTCAATGTTCAACGGGGAATGGGGCCAATCGCGTGTGTTCAATGCTCATCGACTCTAGAGTTGACCGAGACTCTTTTGGACGACTCAAGCACGGCATACCAAAATCCAATCTTTTCTCGCTGCTTGAAATTCGTTTGCGGCGACTGTATGCACAGGATGAGCAGGGTCGGACGCAAATTAGGGTGCGGACATCGGCCCCCTTGTCCAACAGCGTCGGTCTCTATAAACATAAATGTCTTTGAGGATATTTCCGACATGGTCCCGCGGCAGATGAAAGCTTCCTCCGTTGGCCTTCCGTCAAAAATTGAAGCGGTAATCGCTGATATCAAGACTTTGTCTCCAGATACGAAATGGTATATCTTTCCAATACTTTTCCGTGACCAATCGATTCCTACATTTACTAAAGTCATCGTAGCATTGTATTTTCGACCTGGAGACTGACTCTCGATATTATCGAAGCCGGCCTAGATCAAGCCTCGCTGCGCTGCATACGTTTCGACGGTAGGGTACCTCAAAAAGAACGACAGTTAGTAGTGGAAAAATTCAAAAAAGATCCGACAATCCGCGTCATGCTACTGACGCTGTCATGTGGCGCTGTTGGGCAAGTTGTTCTCCACTTGGGCGCTTCACAGTCTTGGTGTCACTAACAATATTCCTTTTGTAGTCTCACCCTTACTGTAGCATCGCGAGCATATCTCATGGAGCCGCATTGGTTAGTACTCTGAAATAAGCCCTCGTTTCACAGCCATACTTAGGCATCAATTTAGGAATCCAACTCTTGAAGAGCAAGCCTTGGCCCGCATTCACCGGATTGGGCAGAAGCAGAGTGTTACGACTGTGCGATTCTATATACGGGATTCATTCGAAGAAGTCAGTGCAGCTTTCCCATACTGTAAAAATTATGCTAATAGCTGGAACAGCAAGTCATGGAAATTCAGGAGTCAAAGAAGAGCCTTGCTGGAGTCTTGCTTTCTCCACATGATGGTGGGCACACTGATGATAGTCTGGGAACACTTCATGTGGGTTGCCGCCACTCCCAGCCAAGATAGGATTCTACTGACATGTACATAGCGGTTGAGGGTCTTGCTTTAGCACACATTATTCGTTTTAATATCTGCAGTGTATCAAAAGGAATGGATGGACTTAATGTTGCAGTTGGCGGATGCGAGTATCCGCCATCTCGGCAGGGTGCGGACCCATATTCACGATTGGACTCAGAGGGTGTTGCTCCGTGGATAATGAAGCCATGTATAAAGGATCTAATGATCAAACACTGAAGCAGAAACAGAATAGCGCATAGGAACTAGCAATTTAATATATAGATAAAAAACAAAGCCCCATCCTGTAGATGGTACTATTTTAAACTCATTCAGTAAGGATGCTGTACTAATGCTGCAGAGTTAGCAGACCCGGTCGATACGGCAAAAGATCGTAGGTGCCTCCAGAATTGGTCGCTCGCCCCTGGTACAAGAACTGCAAGTTGCAAGGATCAATCGTCATTGTCTGATCGGGATTGCTGCGAATCAAATCGCCATGGCTGATGTCGTTAGTCCAAGTCGCGCCGCTGTTCGCCTTGCCGGCGAAAGGCTGGCTCTCGCTTGTAGCTTGCGGAGTCCATGAGCCACTCAGGCTGGTGGCCGTGAATGAGCGGAAATAGCGTCCGTTTGCTCCAATTGCCTCAACGATCATGAGATACTTGTTCTGGCCCTGGACGGTGTAGACCTGGACAGCCTCGAACAGGTTATTGGTCGAATCGCTCATGACCACCGTCGATGCTGTGCCAAAATTGCCCGGAAAGTTGCCAATCGGCATGCTAGCCCTGTAGATTTTGCCGTTGTCTCCTGCAAAGAACAGATACATGTTTGAGCTGTCACCAATGACAGTCTGGTCTATGGCGCTCGCCCCGGATATGGTTCCGGAGAAGAGGGCCTGTGGTGATGACCATCCACTCACGCTGGAGGGATTGCTTGACGTCAGGTAGGAGAATGTCGTTGGTCCCCATTGATACGCAAGTACCCAGATATTCTTGGGGGCAAAGTAAAAGATGGTGGGCGCAACGGTGCCGGGGTTCATCTTATTCTGGCTTGCCGAGGCCATGTTGGACCAGTCGTTAAACAGGCCAAAATTCATGCCCCCCCAAGTCGATCCCGTGTCGTGAAAGGATCCATAGACGAGATGCTGTCCATTGTAGGTGACATGAGTGAAGTCTTTGAGCGAGACCCATCCGGATTTCGGATTGGCCAATGCCCCAGTCGAGTTCCAGCGGTATGTAGATGGGAGCGCACAGGAAGCTCGTGGAGTGACAACGGCCGCCGAAGCCGCCGAAGCGAGTAACAAAGCCCCAGTCTCTAGGAGTCTCATTGTAAAGTATTAATGTTGAGAATAGAGACTGATTGATGATGATGTCGTTCAGACTGGTTGATACATGATGGCTGAAATTTAATACCCCTTTTATAAGTTCACGATCATCCATATCCCCTATTGCTGAGAAGCTTTGGTATGCCGAATATGCGTCGTGCCAAGCGTCGTTCAGATCAGAACAATCTACCCGGCGGATAAGCATATTGCCATGGTGGGCACTACCCCATGCTGGAGGAAAAGCGCTCCAATCGGCTTTTTTGCCATGAAGCGGCACACGGCGAGGTTGCGGGGGTAGCACCCCGTGGCAATTATTCCATCAACCGTAGCTCCATGCCACATGCTCAGAGGCTAAATTGCCATGTGTTTTGAGAGGAGCTAAGCTTGGCCCTGAATACTAAACAAGATGCTGATTAAGTAATGATTGATGCTCAGGCATTTTATCCGACTTGCAACAGGCTATTTGGCGTTGTGGAGCCGGCTGTATGGACTGAAGATCTGTATGGATTGAAGATGTGTCGGTGAGTTGCGAATGTTTGTAAACTTGCAGCCATTTCAGTGTAATGGCCTGCTACTGGGACTCTTTTCTTAATCATGGTGCTATAATCTGCACATTGACAGTTGACTATGTAAGTTCTCATGATAAATAGCCCTGTAACGGTATCTGCGTACAATTGTTAAAAGAGTTGTACTGATGTCTCCCAGACTTTCAAGTATAATGGAGCTTCTTTTGTATATCTACAGTGGTTAAGAAGAGCTTGCACCAGTTAAGCATAAATTAGCTTTCAGGAATACCGTATTCTCTGGCAAAGCTGGGTAGTCGATGTCCCCAGAACTAAAACATGTTTTGGTCAAGTCAACCAATAGGGTAACTGTTATATCCCATAAAAAAAATAATAAAATAAAATAACATAAAATAAAATAAAAGCAGTCCACTGCCGAATGTTTCAAGGGAGTACGGTACTGTATAGCCTCGTGTTTAAGGTATGTTGTCACTGTAACCGAGGCTTCCTATTGGCGCGCAAAAGGCACTACACACGGCATTCGTTGCGGCATTCGTTACCCACAAAGCCAGACACAAAAGTTGTCATATATCTCTACCTCATTCAATTGGACCATATATTATCCACGTCACTCTGCCTTGAAGCATGGTTAATATCACATCGTCAAATAATCAGTCTCTGTCATCGGTAAGTGTAGGACTCTCGTTAATTTTGGCAAAAATGTTGGATAAGAGGGGTGGGCGCTCACGATCTTGTCACCCGATTATACGATTGACTGCGGATAAATGACCCCCTCAAGTCGAAGATGCTGACAATCAAGGAGGAGGTAAAGGAGGATAAAAGAGATGGTTCCTTTTGTCCGGAAAAGCTGTAATAGCGTTGCGTCCTAAGCTTTTCAAAGCATTGTGGACAACTACTTGTATCAATATACAATTGCAATGAAGGAGGAGTCAAGGAAGTAAGATCCGGGCAGCCGAGCAATTCGGTTTGCGAGCACAAAGAAAGGGCACATACTGCAAGGTATTGCCATTTTCGTGCGCAGACGATAATTTCTATGTAGAAACTGACAGTTCCAATGGTGCATCAAGGGCTGTGGTACAAGAGTCTGCATTTGCTGATGCCAGTGGCAGCCGTGATATCGCGTAGATGAGAGATGGCGTAACTGTTACAGGTAACGTCCGCAAAATATCATCAACCACAGGCATTTATCTCCTCGCTATAATAAACAGGCCATTTTATTAAACTGATCGATGGGCTTTGTTCGTCTAGAATAAATGGCGATTGTGAATCAAGACATTCTCCTTTACTACATGCATAGGTATCTACATCCACCTTTTAGGCTGGTGTGTAACACGAATATGAAACCATTGTATACGCAAAACATACACATGTGGTTTCTATAACTAGTACATATATCCATCCATCATCATTACTAATTATGTTAGCAATGTTGTCTTTCTCTCCAAGTGCCCAATATACTCTGGCAGCATTACTCTATACGACCAAACATTTTGTAGGTTAAGAGGATGCCAGCTAAAAACTCATGTTGCCGTAGCTCTCTCAAAATTACTACAGCGTACCAAGGCATCTCAAGGCGTTGGGCACCTTGATTTAATGTTATATATTATATACTATTAAAGATTCTCTTCAAAGATTCTTTACTACATACCGGCGATCGTATAAAAGGCATTTTCTTCGTCCGTATGAAGCTGTACTGCATATTAGTGGGGCAGCTTATGGCACCCATCCCGCTGTAATTGTGGCGCTTGACCTGCGCCTGTACCTGGATTTGCACCTTTAACGCTAAAAAGTTTTTGTATCGGTCACGTAGATTAGGCTTATCGATAGGGCGTTCAGCGCAGATAAGGATGTATTCAGGCACAAGATTGAGTGCCCTTTGATAATGGAAAAGACAAAACAAAAAAAAATGCCGTCATGATCTCGTGATCTCTCCTTTGTCATTCTACACCTCAGCACTCCTATACATCTGTTCCAATGCTTCCTCAACAACTGCCAACTCGTGCACAATTGCGCAATCAGCGCTCGATATGAGTATCAACTTCCTCTGCTCTACAGACTCGCTTCGGCCACAGCTAACCGGTGGCGATGGGTGGCGCTCAGATATCGCGGCAACGAAAACCGAGGACCGCTCGTCAGCTTTTGGTGACAAAACAGCTCCAATGACTCGGAAGCCAACGCCGAGAAAGCGCCTTTGCTAGCGCGGGGAGAATCGAGTGCGATTCCAACGTCTCGACTCTCCAGAACCCGGTGCTGTTGCCGGAGCTGGGCCTCGTCTTCTCCACCGAAAAGGCAGCACCGGTTGTGAGCATGTGGAGCAGATAGCCTCGGCGCTATTACATACGAACCGCAGCCCAGTCGATAACGCAATAGCCTCGATTACGTACGCGGGCTTCATCCCGTTGTTGGCGATGTCTGGGGTGCAGCAGCGGCAGCCTCAACTAACAGCAGACCTGCAGATCGCCTGACGGTAGTTGCGCGCCTCACGCAAGAGAAGGATGCATCCGGATCCTCTCACGCCTTGCGTCGTGCTTCTAGGCCGTGGCTGACAATCCCGGTCCGGGTATCGTCATCGCGAAAAGAGCTTCTCGCCACGCCTCATTGGAGGTTCTGTCCCCCCAGTGGAGCACTCTGTCGAGCACGCAATCGCCTAGCATAGCGGCCATGTCCGCGTACGGAAGGCTGTCGCTCTGCCATCACCAGATTTTTTATGGCCATGGATAGTTTTTTCTCTCTTTGGATGGGGTTGCATTAGATAATTGCATGCTTCTTTTCTTCTCGAAGGAGCTAAAAGTTGCAAGGGGAACGACCCTACTTGACCTGCATCATCGCCACACCGTGATCCTCGTTTCTCACCTTTTCTCTTCTTCCCTCTCTTCACCTTTACTTGTCGGTAATTGTGTTGCATGGCACTAATGAGAGCGAGCCAGCCAGCAACTGAGTTGAGAGTTTAGCGGCTTCTAATTCAGCACACACAGCGGATAGTGACGCCACACCCGCTGCAAAGTGCAGGCATTGGACTCCTTCTGGAAGCTTGTCACGTTCACAACGATATAACTCGACACAGCTCCCTTTTCCTCTTTTTGTTTGCAATTCTTTGTTTACTACAATAAAAGAAAAGAGAAATCATCCCTATAGAGCGACTCACAATGGGTTACCGCCAAGATTATAACCCCGAGGGGTTGCCTGACGAGAGCAAGAAAGATCGAAATGACCCTCTCGCAGTAACGACCGACGACCTCGAAGGCTCAACACACATTCTCCAGGATCGCCTTCGTCGCTCTCTCTCCGCAAGACAGGTTCAGATGATTGCCATTGGAGGCACCATTGGAACGGGTCTCTTCCTCGGCACAGGAAAGTCGCTGGCCACCGGTGGTCCTGCCTCGATGCTCATCTGCTACGCCATTGTCGGCTTCATTGTCTTTGTCACAATGCTCAGTCTGGGAGAGATGGCTGCGTTTTTGCCAGTAGCAGGTAGTTTCTGTACATTTGCGGGGTAAGTGTCATCGGCGAGCCTGGTTCGTTCAGGTGTCGAAATTATTACTAACATTGTAACCCTGTGGCTTAGTCGTTTTGTCGATGACGCTTTTGGCTTCGCCCTGACATGGAATTACTGGTTCAACGACGCCGTTTCGACAGCTTCCGATTTGGTCGCGCTTCAACTAGTATTACAGTACTGGACGGATCACTTCCCCGGATGGGCACTGAGCTTGATATTCTGGTTTGTGTTGATTGCCGTCAACATCGCTACTGTGCGCGCATATGGCGAGGTAAGCAAAGAACGGAACAGCAATTATCAAGAGTTGAACATAGTGGACCTAACAAATATCGACATAGCTCGAATACTGGCTGAGCTTGCTTAAAGTCATTACCATTGTTGTAAGTAGCGGCCTTAATATTTTACCTCTTGGTAGCAACCCTTGGGCTCACAATTCTCTAGGTTTTCATTGTCATGGGCATCGTTGTCAACTGCGGCGGCAACGCCAGCGGACATTACATTGGCGGCGAAAACTGGCATATCCCCGGTGCTCCATTTGTTGGTGGTATTGGTGGCTTTGCCTCTGTTTTTGTCACTGCTTCGTTTGCCTGTAAGTACACACATGGAGTCATCTTACAGCCTATAATCCCGTGCATTTAACTGACATTGGTTTTCCCCAGATGGTGGTACCGAATCCATCGCCATTACTGCTGGTGAGACTAAGAACCCTACGAAGACTATGCCCAAGGTGGTGAAGAATGTCTTTTGGCGAATTCTCCTCTTTTAGTATGACGCTCCAATTGCCTCTTTCGTTGACATCAACTTGCTAACGCCCATCAAGTATCCTCTCTGTTCTCCTGATCGGCCTCAACATCCCTTACAACTACCCCGGACTAAACACCAAGAACACACGCACTTCGCCTTTTACACTTGTTTTCCAGATGACAGGAGCCAAGGCCGCCGGCAGCGTTATCAACGCCGTCATCTTGACTAGTGTTTTGTCGGCTGGTAACCACGCCTTGTTCGCCGGAACGAGATTGCTGTACACGCTGGCCATGGAGGGTCATGCACCAAGAGTCTTTGGCACGCTCAACAGACACCAGGTGCCCTGGGTCGCCGTCCTCGCTACCGGTTTTGTTTCTGGTCTCTGCTTCGGCTCCAGCTTCATTGGCGCAGGCCAACTTTGGAACTGGCTGCAAAAGTATGTGATGCTCCGAAATCTTACCCCATCTTTTAGGGATGCACATGTCGCTAACCGCTCCGCCTACAGTCTCGTCGGTGTCTCTAACCAGCTCAGCTGGATCGCCATCGGTGTCACCTCGCTTCGCTTCCGTGCCGCCCTCGCCCGCCAAGGCAAGACGCATTTGCTTCCATTCAAGAACTGGACTTACCCGTTCGGCCCATGGATCGCGGTCGTGCTCAACTCGTTTCTCGTTCTCATCCAGGGATGGAGTTGCTTCAGCCCCTCATTCGACGGCGTGAGCTTTGTCAGTTTCTATATTGAACTGCCCATCATGCTGGTCATGTATCTCGGCTGGAAATTCATTAAGCGAACCAAGTTTGTGCGTCTAGAAGACATGGATCTCGAGACGGATGTGCATACAGCTGAAGAACAAGTGGAGGAGGAGGAGGAGGAGAAGGGATGGAAGGCAAAGGCCAAGAGGGCTTATGAGTGGCTGTTTTGAGCATAGCGTTGTTATTGTTTTGATTTTCTTATGCCTTTTTCTTCTGTTTATTCGCGATGACGAAGATTCCCCGTGGGTTGGCAGCCCAGTGGATTTGTACAAAGCCGTTGGATAACGATACCTCGTGAGTATTTAATGATACCTATGATACGCTCTCACAAGCCATGGTGCCTATTATATGAGGTAAAATTTTGTCAGCCGCGACAAAAGCCTAAAACAGCCTGACTGATGCTTGCTAGTTCTGAACTGTCATGATTATGCAACGCAACTAAGACTATTTTCAATCAGCCGCTAGCCCCAAAGTCAAATGCCGACTGCTAGATGCTCGGGCGCAACTTACCCATGCGGTATCCCTGTCCGCATCAGCTCAGCTTTGCCGATGTGAGTCCACGAATGAGAATCGGCGGTGGAGCTCTTCGGAATGGAGCTTCGCTTTTCGTCTAGGCCCGATAGCTGAACTGCGATTGAGTTCGGGATAACAAACATGCTTCATCCCACCCGCAAGTCCGTATGCAGTAATCGTAACAATCGTCGTGTTTTCTTTTCCTTTCATCCTGGACTCTGAATCCCAAGCCCGGGGTATATATCCGCTTCTGGTCCTACCGATTGATGCTTTAAGAAGCTCATCCCACCCAATCCCCTCAAGACTGTTTCTTGAAGATGGAGTCGTCAGAGGAAAAGGCACCTCCAGCCAGCGGCGATAGAGCCGCGACACAAGCTCGGGCAGCCTCCGCCGTGTTATCGGTTCCCAACTCGTCCACGCCTCCTACGGCCACGAACAAGATGGCTCTGGCGACCTTTGACGGATCGTTTGCGCCGCTTGTGCGGCCCCAGGACGTGCGGCTGACGCCGTGGTATCGCAGGAAGGACTATTACATGGGACAGTGGTTTGAGCCGGCTCTGTGGAGATCTGCTGTACGTTGCTCAATTGCTCTTTCAACTGCCCCCAACTAAGACTTTTGAGACTCAATTGGATGTTTAATCGCAGTTGCTAACGGATTGACATGTTTTCTCTTTTCCTCTTAGATTGTTGAATTGATTGCCACATGCTGCCAGGTGTTTGTGTCGGGTCAGATTGCCGCCACTATCCAGAGCTACGGAACACCGCAGATTGGCGCGTACATCGGCATCTCCAACCTGGTGATGATATCGACTTTTATCTATGCGGTGGCACCAGCGTCGGGAGGACACATCAACCCCACAATTACTTTTGCATCCGTATTGACGGGTCTTTGCCCGGTGCCCAGAGGTATGTGTGCATCTCATTCAATCGGTTTCTCTTTGCCCTCCCTCTTGCCTGCCGGGTAGCTTTCTCTCTGTATGTTAGTTTTGAAGGGCGATATACATTACGCGTATGCACTTGTGCGTAATCCTAGCGGTACTCTGTGATCTGTGAGTGCACATCTTGTTTACCGACTAACAGTATTGTTGTCTAGGCATATTATACATGATTGGCCAGACCGCCGGTGGTGCCCTGGCCGGAGGAATCCTCCTAGGCATCTGGGGTGAAGAACGAGCAAAAGCGTATGTACACAAATAATATCTCCTCAACCCGTAACCCATCGCTTTTTTCTGTCCATCTATTATGAAACGTCATTCTAAAAAAGCTTACTTATTACTGCTGCTAGTGTCCATGGTGGCGGTTGCTGGTACGACCCATCTCAGGCCAACCCCGGCCAGATCTACCTCAACGAGACCTTTGCCTCCTTTGTCCTCCTCTTCCTGGCCTTTGGCGTCGGCCTCGACCCGCGCCAAGCAGCCCTGTTTGGCCCCCGACTGGGCCCCGTGCTGGTCGGCGCGTCGCTGGGGCTGGTGTCTTTTTCCACCAGCGGAATCATCCCTGGCTATGCTGGAGCGCAGATGAACCCGGCAAAGTGCCTTGGAAACGGAATCGCGAGGCTGGATTTGTCATGTGAGTTTCCATGTCCCTTTTCTAATCACAAGAGGCACTAACGATGTGGCAGACCAGTGGATATACTGGTTTGGGCCTGCGGTTGGAGGCATCATGATGGGAATCTTTTATAACCTTATTCCACCGCATCATGTAGAGTTGTGCAAATTGAAGAGCCGGGAGATGAGCAGGCAGATTACTTCGGATTCGATGGCCGAAAGAGCCGAGGCACCAGTCGTTGGAACAGTCTAATCGAGGGAGAGAGAAGCCAGGAACGATGGAGATTTCTGATGCTCGTCGGATAGAGTCGATTCCGAGTGGCGTCGACTGCTGGGCAATGAAAGAAGACTTGGCTTGCTGCAATAACCTGCATGCAACTAATGGCATCTAAGTGCCCTGATTCTCGGTGAACATGCTCCTTGTTAGCGTCGAGGGGCTGCATAATATGGGCCCAGGATCTTTGGCTGGGGAGATTCCTTGTTTTTCTTTATTGGAAAGCTGAGTCTTGGAAACCTTCCTGAACACTCGACGGGATTTTTGGTTATTGCTTCTGTGGCGTCTAAGAAAACTAGAATGAATCTCACATCTATGGAGTTTGGACGGAGTGCTGGCATGAGCCTGGGGCATTATTGTTCGGATGAATGAGGAGATTAGGGTAGCGCATATTACCAAAGCGCCTACATCACACAACATATAGCGATAATTCTTTGTTCTTGGCAGCCTTTGCCTTTCTACATCAACTCTTTCCCAACACTTGCTGTTCACCTAAACAACGACAACAATATTGCAGCTGCTCTCCTTTGATACATGCGTCGTCCATAAAGAGTATCCACTGCGAACGAAAAAAGCCCAGCTACAACCAATATTGCTTGATATGCGCCTCTTCGAGATGCAGCGTTGCCACCCAAACCCTTGCTCAGCGCAGTCTCGGTGGAGACTCTCATCCTGCACGCGTCAAATTGTGGAAATAACTGTGAGAAGCTGATCGCGGAAGGACGATGAATGCCGTGACACTTGGGTCCCGCCGATCGCCGTCAATATGCGCATCTTTAAATTAACTTGATAACCCCAGGATCGTACAAGGCTCGGCGAACAATCTACCCGATCGTGATGCCAAGATAGATTACAACTCCGCAATCACCAGTTTCAGCCTCGAATCGAAGGAAACAGGGTTTAGCCCCTGTAGCTCACAATCATGACCTTTCTTGGGTACTCTTTTCGGAATGCTATTCCTGTCAGCCGCACAAAGCAACTTGGCTATTGGCCTCGATACGATCAAGGTACTCTTCGTCTAGCCGCCGGTATGGAACCGGTGTAACGCGAGAGCTGGAAAATATTCCAAAAAAGGAAACATCAACGTCTGTCTGTACCCTAGCTGCGCCCAGACTGAGTTTTCGTGAGTTTGTATCGACTAAGCCGGGAAATTATTGTGCTACGAAACGACTAATATTTTGCAATTGTCATCACAGACTTACTATCTCGAGATAGAAAAAGGGACTGACTGATAAGCATTTTGTGCTGCCTTGGCACGATGTTTTGTTGACTATAAGTACGGGTGATGAATCTGTCCTTCAGCCATCAGTTCTTTCTCCATCAGCTTCATCTCCTCTCAACAGCATCACCAAGACATCAAACCAAGACTCTCTTGTTTACTGCTTCACCACAATGAAGTTCCTCGCAATCACCGCTCTCCTCGTTGCTGGCACTCTCGCCATGCCCGCCTCCAACTCGTGCTCTCCTCCAGGAGGCGATCACAAACCTCCTCCTCCTCCACCATCTCACCCATCCCCATCCCCAACTCCTTCTTATCCGCCCCCGCCGAACAATGGAGGTGGCTACTATCCGCCCCCTCCTGACAATACCAGCCATACTCCGCCTCCTCCCAGCTCTACTCCTCCTAACAACGGAGGAGGCGGCAACGATGGCGGCAGTGGAAATACCGGTGGCGGAAATTCTGACGATGGCAGCGACGGAGGCCACTCCATATGCCCTTCTGGCCTTTATTCTAGTGCCCAGTGCTGCAGCACAGACGTTCTCGGGATTGCTGATCTCAACTGCAAGCCTCGTAAGTAGAGTTTCTCTAGCCGGCTTCCCTTTATTGCGGTGAGTTAACCATTACGCAGCCAGCAGGACGCCCAAGGACGGAAGCGATTTTGCGAAGATATGCAGCAACACTGGCAGTGAGGCTCGCTGCTGTGTCATCCCGGTAGTAAGTTGTTCAAGATCTTGATGGCGAGATTGCATGGTAGCAGGTTTCTAATTCATTTATGTTTAGGCTGGCCAGGCTCTCCTCTGCGAAGACGTCGTTGGTGCCAACTAAGATTGCATCGCATGCATTGCGTCTACGCTGAAGCTTGTCTACTTTGCAAGTCGAGACGCTTTGGTTGGACTGTGGGATGGTGCTTGATTGGAAGGATGTAAGACGGAAAAGCAGACGGACATCAAGCTGAATCACGCTCATTGGTCATATGTCTGCTGTTATTGTATAATTACCCTTCGATATTTGTATCCTTGGAGCATATTCGGCTTGCCAGTTGGATAATTTAGCATTATATTATTTTCCCCCTTTGCCTTAATAATATTCTTGGTTTGCGGAGCACGATATGGCTGTGTGTTGAGTAATGTGATGTTATTGATTGGACATAGCTGTAATTGACGCATGTATAATAACCATTTGCTTATTCTCAATCATGATCAATATCTCACCATTAGTTAACAACTTTCAGCAGTATGCAATACAAATACTATGCTTTGTTTGAAATGTTTTAAATTTAAATAACCTCAACTTATATGGAGACAAAAGCTATCCAGGGCCCTGAGAGTGAGAAACAGAGGGATACGCAGTTGTGTCAATGTATGTTTGGGCAATGGTTCCCTTCTGAGCATAGTTCTTAATTCTCGTGTCCATTAAACTAAAATAATCTTTCCTCTTTCTTGCCTTTGTCTGTCTCATCTTGGAGCTCTACCAGAGGTTCGCTTTTCCAGAAATTTGCTATTGGGAGACAGCCAGCGCACCCGCATCACTCTCAATATCATCATCCAATTCCTCTTGAGTTTTGTAACCTAGACGCAGGGTGTTTACGAGCAATCTTTCGATCCAACACCGCTTTGGCTTCTAGAAATTTTGTCGAGTTGAATTGTTCTTGATGGAGGGATCGAGCAGAGCCGTGATATATAAAACGACTACCCTACGATGATTTACAATAATTACTGGTTTACTTTGTTAGACATTGTCCGCAAGGAAAGGAGGTAGAAAAAAGGGAATGCAAAAGCTGTTTGACTTGCCTACAGGTCTCGAGTGATTTGATCCAATGACCATATCCATTGCAGAGTGCCCAAGTCCATGTGCTAGGATAAGACGTTTACTTGCCGTACATTCGGCCCGAAATATTGCACCTACAATGGCGGAAAGAATGTGGCACTGAGCGTATTTCCTTGGTGGTATCTTTTTTCGTGATGCAAAACGGACCAAATTGTAGATGCTGTGGCTCAATCATTAGCTTTGTGTTGCCACCTTGGCCCTTGTAACATGTTTGTCCTCTAAGCAGCTGGCTCCGTCGCAATACTTGCTATCATTGTGATTCCTAGCCTAGGTTTTTGACCTACTTGGCATAGCGGTATGACGGATCCTTACACTATGGACGCAAGAAATAGAGATTTTATTTGTAACATGCAGTTATATAGGTTCACAGTCAGTTGCACGTAGACTCTCAGTCAATGATTGGATCCGATAATGACAATATATTCAAGAACCATGTTCAAAATCTTGCTGAATGAATCGAAAAATGGAGAGAGTAGCAAAATGATAGAGTAGGAGAGCTGAGCTTGAGCTGAGCTCACGGCTTTGGAGGGTTGGGTTCGTGGTCCAATTCCGGCTTTCCGCAGAATTCATTTGTATGGGAAATCGGCCAATCTTCCTCCTTAGACAACCAGCGATGATCTTGAATCATCATTCGCAACCTGTAAACCCAAGCCCTCAGTCTCCCAGTCTCCCAGTCTCCCAGTCTCCCCAAATCTTCGTTTTCCTGAATCACATCGTAACCCGTCTGCAGTCGAGTGACCCAGTCGGTGATGAGAAATGAAACAGCACTAAATAGGTATGGGTCGTCTGATAAACGACCCTTACCCGCCAGTTTCTACTGCTTCTACTACTTCTACTGCCTCTACTGCCTCTACTGCCCCTCCCGTTCCCTTTGATGATGATGCGAGAAAGTGTCCGACATCTCACATCGCTAGCTTCGTGGACGGCAGAGCTTGTTCTTGGCTTCTCTCTATTGGTTTTTGACATTCGAGAGATGGCCTCGACGGCTGCAGATGGATATCGTGGAATGTGGGATTGACTGTGGCCTAGGGCGACCTCCTCGGCACAGAATAGAGAGATCAGGCTCAGGAATATTGTATGGCTTGTAGTCTCTAGAACAAGAGATGCGGAACGGTAGGCAACTGTACAGTCGGAAAATTAGCGTTCGTTTTCCAAGGGATGTGATACGAACTCCAGCCGCAGAGCTACACAAGCGTGTATCTCACCTACATCAGCTGTGATAGGGGATGAGAACGTCTCAGAGCCGCAAGTTTCAGGAGTGGCATTCTGCCGAATGTCGAATAATAACAAAGCCGTGTAGTTGTAAGCCTCCTTCGATTTTGCTGGCTGTAAAAGAGTGCTCCGAAGATGCTGTAGTGCTGCCTCGAGACTAATCACCAACGCCATTCACGGATGTCTTTGTTTCTTCCATCCATCACCATTATTGGCGGGAATGACGTTCTCTAGGTCAAACTGTTTGACCGTCTTTTGATGGGAAGCGATCAACGTCATCAAATGCAGCTGCTGGGGAAGGGCCAGCGAGCTTGCCGTGGTCCTCACCGCGTAGAGTCGAACAGAATGATAGAGTCTAGAACCATCAGACAGACAGATGACGCGTTCCTGCAGACTCACCGCATCATCTCGGACACTTTTCATCCAGTAACAAGCAGGATCAAGCGAAATCGTACCATGAAACTGAGGAAAGTCATGCCAAGCCCCTGAAGACCGCCCTGATCTGGGGAAAGCACTCGCTTATCGGACGATCGGCTGCCATCTGCGAGCCATCATTGGCCCACAGAGATGTAGACTTGGCACTTGACACCCTCTTGATGACGCAGCTGTGCTCCTGCTTGAGTGTAGAGTGACTGGAAGCTTCTCTTGGGAGCCTGAGAATCGAGGAAGCCAGAACTTTTGCGGATCCTTTATAGTCTACTGCTCCCCCAGATCTTCCATCTCTTCTCATCTCTTCTCCTCTTCATCTTCCCCTCCTCCTCTCCAATTCTTTGTCTCTCACCTTTCGTCATCTTCCACAAAGCATCTTTTATGCCGGGGCGATGACGGTGGTTTCAAGTGAGCATTTCTCTTCCTTTCATTTTTCGTCTTCTTCGTCCTTTTCTGACCATCTTCTCCTTGAATTCCTCTTCATTTCCCTTCTGTTTTCCTCTTTGTCTTCTCCGATTTTCCATCTTAGTTCATGATCCCGCCCTTCTTTGTTTTTCATCTCCGTGTTCCTCATTATCCTCTTTTCTATCTTGTCCCAGTCTTCATGGTCTTCTGTCCATTTCTCTCTTCCCATTCTTTCTTCCATTCTCTATTTGCCTTCACCATTTTCTCCCTCCATCTTCATTCTTTCCGTCTCTTATTCCCTTCTCTACCCCGTGTTTGATCTCCGCTCTACTCATTCCCTCATTCCATTCCTTGTCCCTCCATCTCCATGTCCATCTTCGCGCTTACGGCGTTATTCGCCAAGCACTACACCAACTTTCAGCAATTGGCGCTGACCATGCGTCGAAGTCAAATTGATCCCATACATAGAATGCGATATCGGGGACACGGTATGTTCTTCTTTTGTCTTCCTCTCTCTCTTCCTCTCCATCTTCCTCTCCATCATCCTCTCTCTCTTCCTCACTGTCTTCCTCTCTCTGTCTCTCTCCATCTTCCTCTCTGTCTTCTTTTCCGTCTTCCTCTCCATCTTCTTTTCTGTCTTCCTCTCTATCTTATTCGTTATTTTTCTCTCTGTTTTCTTTCTGTTTTCCTCTTTCTCTTCTTTTCTGTCTTCCTCTCTCTCTTCCTCTCTCTCTTCCTCTCTGTCTTCTCTCTGCCTCTACGTCTCGCTCTACCTTATTCAATTCTCCTCTTCATTTCACCCCTCTGTATAGTTTTACTAACATGATTCCACAGCCTTCCTTGATCACCGTCATCGCCCTGACCTGGCATGACGGTGGGGGAGGGTTTGGGCAGTGATGGCGGGTGGTCTATTGAGGCCTCAGCCTCCTTCCGGGCTCTCTTCCGCCGTCAACGCCTGTAAGTGACGGCGGTCGGCTGTCGCGAAAGCATACGATAAGTTCAAGCAATACGAAACGATGCGAAGAACCACACTCGGGCTTCGAATCCGCTGGTTCCATCGAAAACCCCCACTCGCTCGGACTCTCATGGACGCGAATCCTTTTCACGAAGATTTCTGGGTCCCCAAAATGAAGAAAAATAGGTGTCTGTGCTTGGAATGACGTCTCAACTGTCCGATGATCGCGATTCAATATTCCGTTCACCACTACAATTTCGTGTACAGCCCCTCTCATCTTTCCTCCGGCATTTGTCCTACTAAGTTTTTGAGTTCTGGGTCTACTTCATCTACACGCCTCCTGCGCTCTCGTGCTCTGCTCATCACAACTCTCTGTTCAAATTGCTGCAACATACTGCCGGCGTTTCCACCCAACTGAGCATTGGCTTCAATCACCAAAAGAGCGGGTGGGACTTTGCATTCTGGCCATTACCACTTTTTCAACACTCAACAAGAGGCTTGAGAACTTGCTGCACTTGTGCCATCAATTTGGGTCAATGGCACTATTATTTCTTCCACCAACTGTTTTCGAGCCATCATTTTGAGCCTTGGACTTGGAACTCTCATCTTTTGTTGGATATTGTTTTGGGGCTGGGTAGAATTGCGGGTGTCTTTTGATCAAGGGGATATGGCTTGTGTCTCAGCTGAATACTATCTTCCCGGATCACAGCACGAGAGTTTGCGTTGGAGCGGCGGATGCGACATCTTGAGGGTAACAGAGTTTGAATGGCTTTTTCTCTCTCTCCCTACTTTTTTTCTTTGCTGTCTTGGGAGGCTGTGGGAAGCTCTTGGGTAATGGGGGTTGGATATCTTTCTAATTTTGCTTCATTTTTCTTGTCGGGTGGGTGGTGGGCAAGTTTGGGAAAACAGTGATTGGATGTTTGTACCTTTGTTTTGTTTCGGGTGGGTGGTGGGCAACTTTTGGAAACATGGAGCGTTGATGTTTTGTTTTGGCATTCCTTTCTTTCTTTTCTTTTTCCTCTTTGTTCTTTCGGGTTCTCTTTCGGTCTCTGCGTGGGGAAGGGGGGGGGGCGGAAGGGAGAGCAGAATTTGGACAAAGGGCTTTGGACTTTCTTTTGTACAATAGATGGTGGGAGACTAATGGTCAATAAACTTGGATAATTTTTTGATACTTCTGCTTACGTTCATTCCGATGAGCGCTTTCTTTGCGGTAAAAATGACAAGCAATGCGATAAATTCTACGTCTTTTGGGGTAATCTTCTTCCTCTATGTCCACCCAATTGACGGAAGTGGTACAGAATCAAGCTCTAGGGAAAGGGATTCTATTGCACATAATCACAATTGAAATCACGCACCATCGGCAGCCGCTTGTCCCCGGGAAGTTGGATATAACGGTCCTCAGAACAGCCGTGATATGAGGAGGTGATGGGGAAATGGTGGAACGCGTTTTCTGACGCGGTAACTGCAAAATAATTATCACATACTGAACTGCAAAGACCGTGGTGCGCCAAATTTTACTCTAGGAGATTTACATTGATGTTTTCGACTGCTACGTAAAGAGAGCTGCTAGAAAGCACAGGTTTCATACAATTATTGGCCAGACCAGTAGCCAGAACAATTGTCGCCAATGGCTGTTCGACCGAAGTAATATATTATACAATTGTTGGAATAGATTGGATCGTACATCGTCCCCGTAGATTCGAGGGTGTGAACAATGTATCGTAAACCGTGTATGAGGGCTCCAGATGGCCAGCGACGCTGCGGAGAGAACTCGCAGCAATATATGGGATGATTATGTCGTGCCTGGTGATACTCGACAAGGCCAGTTGGAGAGAACGTCTGTGATAAACCTTTTCAGAGAGTGTATGGCACGGGAATGTTGTCGGACTTTTAGAGGTTACGCAATGATTGCATCTAGCAGACAGAGCAATATTAGCCGGCGACAGCTAAGTGCGTCCCTGGCATCTTAGAAAGCTGGATTTGATACCGTTTGAATAATATATGGGACCTTGCAACGGCGCTCAAGATGAAGTTCGTATTCAATAATAGCACAAGGATATAATTATTACCTATGGCCAGCTCGCGGTAGTTGTAGTGGAAATGAAAAGGATAGAAAGGGCAACAACGTTTTCGACCGAGTATCAGGCCTTCTTCTGGCTGAAGGAAATACGCTGGTGTTCACGGAGCTGTTATCATTGAACAGAGATGGCGGTCGCCCTTTGGCGGCTCTCAAGAGAATCCTTCAATCCAGATGAAAGAACTTTCAAGAAAAACACACAGTACGTGCCATGTTGAAAGGATGATCTAGTTAATGGACAGGCAGGTGGACTTTGCTGATAATACGTGTAGCCACCACCTTGGCCAGCATTTTCCGTAGCAAGCCATCGATGACCAGTTTCCACGACTAGTTGCCAAGTTTCCGCAGCCGAGTTGATGAAGGTAAGACGACACAGAGATTTGATCTTGGTTGAAGATAGTCACAGCTTTTGATAGTTTGAGTTTGTGCGGGAGAATTCGAGTAAATGCTAGGCCTAAGAATTATTTTCTGGTTAGCATGATATCCACGCTGTTAAAGTACCGGAGTCTCGTCTACTCCCTTACATGACTCGGCAGGCCTGTCATCTTGCCGGATATCAGAAAAAGGGCATCGACTGTGGTTTCTTGAAAAGGACGTGTATTGAATCAGCAGCTAGGTTTGTTTCTGAAGAAAATGAAGAGATACATTATTTGGGTTATTTTGAGGGAAAGTAAATTTGTTCAGAGGATGTGCTCCGGAGAAGAAGACGCCGAGGCCGATGTTACGTAAGTCGAGGCCAGGTTGGTTTCAACTTGCAATAACCGCTTTTGCAGCAGACACGATGATTTGAAATCGCGTTTTTTTGGTTCAAGACGCAGGTTATTTTCTTTTCGTTGTTGTTTACAAGTTCTCTTTACTGATGCTCCTTCAGATCCCTAGACGCGCCGCATCCTTCCAAGCTACAAGGTTTCTTGAAGATTCCATCTCCCCGTAGCCATCGAGTTCAAATACTCGAGCACTGCCGATATCCGAGCACCTTGTCGCGACGGCAGAAATAAATACGGCTCCAGTCTTTGTTCAAAATTCGATTCTGTCATCTCTCCTCCGTCGCAATAGTCAGTCATCCGCTCAAGGAACCACAACCGATGAGGGCTTGGCTCTGAAACTACACATCCCATGAACAGCAGCCAAAACCAGAGGCCGTCAGACATGTTCACCTTTTCTTCCAGAAATTGCTCTTCTTGGAGCAAATCAAAGAGATGCGAGGTTACATCCTGAGCGCTCATTTGCGGGCCTCTGGCTGGAATAGAAGTAAGGATAAAGGCCAGCGAAGCCAACGAAGTGCAGCGTTCGAGGTAATTGGCGTTCTGCTTTAGGGCATAAATGAGAAATCGATACGATATCGACTGTGATTGTCGAAATAACCAGCCTTCTGTGTCGGGCCTGGTCGAAGAGTACGACCACACCGTGCTGGCAATACGGCAATAGGCAACTAGATCTTGCAGCGTGTGATTGAGGTCTTCTGATAGTGCCTCCTGGAAGAAGCCTGTCCCAAGGCGAGGCAATATCGTCAACAGTCCCTCTTCTGTTATTCCACACTCTTCTAGGGTTGCAAAAGGAAGTGGCCCTGGATCCCAGGTCGCGGGAATAACAGGCGGCTTACGGCTGGTAATGGCCATGAATTTGTCTGCCAATATCACGCTGTCCAGCACATAAGGATCGAATCGCTCCCAACCTCCAGCGTCATCTACAACTTGGAGTAGTGTCTTTAGATGCATTCGGCATGCAGAAAAGCCTCGAGATCCTTGTTTGGAGGCCATGGCGTGCCTCTCTGGCAACTGCCTCCACATAATGGGCAAGCAATTCCACATTTCTGTAATTGCGAGACCATACATGGATAGAAGCAGCCAATCGTCGACGACATACCCGGGAGTGGAAAGATAGACTCGCACAGCACGAAGAGCCTTGTCGAGAAAGTATTCTGGCTGCTTGCTAGAGTGGAAACGGCCCATGGTCCAGCCCAAGAGACTGGATCCATATGCAAGAGTCGAGTACATGAGCTTTTGGTCCTCAACACAGCGATTTAGCCGCAGCTGAAACATTCTGTCGTGCCTCATAGGGGCATGCTGCAGCAGCGTCGACAGCGGGGCAAATGACTCGGCAAGGAAGTTGACTCGTGAGGCGTGAGAAAAGGTAATGTGAAGGATAGCATGGGTGCCAGCATCGAGATTAGCGACGGTGCAGTGGAATGGGTCTGAAGCATTGTAAGAGGGCTGCATGGCCTTTGATAGAGATTTGGATGATGCATATGCTAGTGAGAGTCTCTTTTCTGCCGCTTCTCGCTGCTGTTTCTGCTTTTTATTAACTGCTAATGACTTGGCAGACCGAGCTGTCAAATCATCATTATCAACAAAAAATGTCAACTTTTCTTCAACTGTCTCTGATATTTCCGAGGCTTCCGACTTCGATAGGGTGGTGGTGAATCCAGCCCATGGTTTCGATATCTGCGATGTTTCCGCCTCGTGTCTGCGTCGTTTACTCTGCACATGGCTCAATATGGCTGACCGTTCGCCAGCCTTGCTTCTGGACAGGATACGGGACGTTTGTGTCTTGTTGACAAAAAGCAGTGAGCTATCCATAACAAGTCGAGTCTCGAGCGGCCGGCCTGTCAGTCAGACCATCATACGGCCCACACTAGCTTCATCCAAGCACGATAGGTGATGCTAATAAGCGCCAAAATGCATCGAGAAGCGATGAGAGGCATCGTCTACAATGGGACCATCGGTTGTGCTGATAGCTCAGCCTTTGCCGCCCAGCGTTAGCCCGAGGTCTCAGCCACGGGGCTGTTCTTTATACGCCGCTCACTACTCGGAAACCGGGACTCATTCCAATCGGGCCAAATGCATGCGGAGGATTTCGAAGCCTTTTAATTGGAGACTCGGAGGCCAACGCAGTCTGATTACCGTTTGTGGGAGACACAGTTCCTATTTGGGAATGATGTCTCGCGGGGCAACTTTGCACCGCGGAAAGACTCGACGCCGTAGGTGTGTTAAAATAGAAACATGTAAACAAAGTGACGAGAACAAGGGTAAATTCTGCATGGCATTGGACGGTTATTTCTATTTACCAAGGTTGTTTTCTTTCGGAGAGGCAATTGAACCGATGAAGGATGAAGGATCCCAGGGGGGAACTTGCTGGCCAAATGCGTGGTTTATACCATTTCTGTAGGATACACTACTCTTTTGAGAAATGGCTTCAGCATCACTGCCTCCAATTTTTGGGAAACAACCCATCACGCCCGTTACTAGTGTTTTCATCAGCATCATTAGTAACATCATCAACATCGTCAACAGCGATAGGAGGATAGATGGATAGAAGAAATGTCGACAATGGTTATAAGAGCAGAGATGAATCCAGGTGCTGGACAAGTGAAAGGCTCATCAGCTCCAACAATCCAGCAATCAGATCATTGTTCTATAGCCTCTTCTGCACGACGTTACTATTTCTTTGTTTCCCTCGGCCTCTATTGATTCGAATCAGCAAATTCAATCACCCATCGCATCTTCACAATGCGTCGCCTCTTTTTCGGAAGCTTCGTTCTGTCGGCCGCACTTGGAGCCAATGCGGCTCCAGTCACTGGCACTGACTCCAGTTGTCTACCTGTTGTAGACTTGGGATATGTTTGTCACGCCTCCTCCAAGCCAATTGCCTACTACTCACACATCGTCTTACTTGTATAATAACAGGAACTGCATCAAGCCCTCTCCTACAATACCACGACGCAAGCCTACACATTCCAGAACATTAGATACGCCCAGCCTCCCGTTGGTGACCTTAGATTCCGAGCCCCAGCTCACCCGAAAACGAACCGAACGTCTGTCCAAACCGGCTCCGAGTTGCGATTCTGCCCTCAAGGCGTCCCAGTTTGGCAGGGTGACGCATATACCCCCATCGGCAAATACTCAAGCCCAGCCAACGCGTTTACACTTCAGGCTTGGGAGGAGAGCATCAAGGACGGTAAGCCGTTGTCAGTTGACTGGAATGCGGGCGCTCAAGAAGACTGCCTCTTCCTTGATGTCCACGTAACCAAAAAGGCCTTTGAACAGGCGAAGTCGAAGTCAACATCGTGTGGAGGTGGCGGAGCCCCTGTACTTGTCTGGGTAAGCTCAGCTGGGTCTTTATACTGGGATAGGTTTACTTTGATAGTGTTTATATCTGACTTGTGCTCACGGTAGATTCATGGTGGTGGCTTCGCTCTCGGCTCCAAGACTGGAACACCAACTCCTGGTTACGATCCCGTTGGTCTTTTTGAACATGCTGCTGCAAATTCTGATCAAGGTCTCGTCTTTGTTGCACTCAATTATCGTCTTGGGGCCCTCGGATTTATGGCAGGCACTGAAATTGAAAAGGATGGAAACCTGAATGCAGGCCTTCTCGATCAAAAGTTTGCCCTGCAGTGGGTTCAAGACAACATCCACCTGTTTGGAGGTTCCAAAGAGCGCGTCACCCTAATGGGAGAGTCTGCAGGCGGCGGCTCAGTCCTCCTCCACATGACTGCGAACCATGGCAAGGGCTCTGGTCTGTTTTCTCAAGCTATCCCGCAAAGCCCAGCCACCATCCCCACGATGCAGGTGGTAAAAGACGGCTATAGCCAGTTTCTGTCGTATCTCAACGTCACCAGCTTGGAAGAAGCCCGAGCTGCTGACACGATAGCCGTCATTGCTGCCAATGCTGCGCAGATTGGAGCCGCGGCAACCACGACTTATATCTTTGGCCCTGTGATTGACGGCAAATACATTACAGATTCCCCTGCCAAACTGATTAAAGATGGGAACTTTGACAAATCTGTAAAGGTATTGGCTGGCCATAATATGTTTGAAGGCGCGTTCTTCTTCGATCCTAATGTAACCACCAATGACGAGTTTAGCACCTGGATCAGTCGATCATTTGCCGGCCTTACGAACAAGGATATCACTCATCTAGCCACCTCGCTGTATCCCCCGCAGTTTGACGGATCTCTGGGATACGTCGACATGGATACTCGGCAAATGAAGCTCTGGAGCGAAGCTGTCATTGACTGCAACTATTATTGGGTTGGGCAAGGCGTCCGTGACAAGGGATATGCTTGTGAGTGAAGACCCCTCCGTAGGATTTCCGACTTTCCTTGTCTAGGCAGTAGTGTCCTGTTCTGAAGGGTGTCATTTTCTAACGGCCTTTATGCAACTTCAGACGAATTCGGCATCTCTCCAGGATTCCATATCCAGGACCTCAAGTACACCTTTAACGACCCCACGTCTCCGGCGCCGTGGCCCAAGGCCCAGGACGCTCTGCAAGAAGCCATTGTTACTTTTGTGCAGGGGGGAGTCCCTGAATTCACTAACCATGAGGCTTTCCCGCATCTTGGTTCGCACGGAACCATTGTGAACATAACGTCTCAAGGGGCCGTTGAAACGACCAGGAAGGTGAATGCCACGAGGTGTGACTGGTGGGCTAAACTCTCTCAGTGATTGAGATCTGAGATCTGAGAGACAAGAGGATTCAAGTTAATTTAGGAAGGATTCAGAATCATAATGATGATGTTGGACGATGAGAAAGATGACAGTTGAAAAGGAGGGAGGGTCGGAGTTGGAATTATGATACGGGTGCTGTGTTTGGTACGAGTTAATGCCGTTGTATTTTCGCGCTGATCTTTTCTCTTTCTTTCCCTTTGTGCATGTTGACAGTTGAAAGCAAAACAAGCGGGTAAAAAAAGGAGATGATAATAGTAATAAAACCGCACATCTATAATCCTTCCGGATCCTCTTCCGTTGAACTGTGCTTTTCTTTTGTTGTGTCAGCGTGTCAGCGTGTCAGCTTTATAGGGCAACTATGAGTCAGCCACAATCACCAATTCGGGCAGAGTGGCTGAGTGGTCTAAAGCGTTAGACTTGAATCAACACTTCGATTCTCGCTATCTAATACCTTCGGGTGCGCAGGTTCGAACCCTGCCTCTGTCGAATATTTTTTGCTCCTTTCATGCATTTTATGAGATTATTTTATCTGCTTCTTTCTCTTCTTTTTTGTTTTTTAGTAGCTGGCTTTTTGTATCAAATTTGGTCTTTTGTATTAACCCGCATGCTTTTGTCGGAAATTGCATCGCGTTGTTCAGTTATTCTCTGGACGCAGTTGGCAATTTTCGCGAGACAAGATTTATTACGGAGAAATTGGTCCACAGAAGTAAACCAAGAAGAGAAAAAAAAGAAAGAAACCAAAAAAAAAAAAAAAAAAAAAGTAAACGGAGTTAAAAAAAAAATCATTTAACTTTCAAGGTATATTTTTAAACAAGCAACTCTATATACTACAAATCTTTGCACAACTTCCTCCTCCACATCTCCATCTACGTGGAAAACGAGAATCCAGGGTATCCATTGTCCGAAACCTCCTTAATAGTGCTTCGGTAGTATCCATAGCCGCCCAGCCAGAAGATGCCCGGCAGGTCCTTTCCAGGCGCCATGTTGCCAAAGATGTAAGACTTGACAGTTCTGAACAAGCTGCCCTCTGCGAGCGTTCGGCACTTCTCCATCCACTCGCGCTTGGCCTTTTCCTCGGCCTCGATCAGGACCGTCTTGCCGCCGTTCTCCTTCTTCTTGGCCTCGGCCTTCTCAATCAGCCCTGTGATGAAGTTGCCCTGAGACTCAATCAGCGGCGGCATGTTGGTGAATGGTGACTGGGGCCCAACGATGAAGAACATGTTGGGGAAGCCAGACTCGCTGACGCCGAGATACGAAGTCGGGATGCCCTCCTTGGCCCAGTTCTCCTTCAGGGAGCCGTGTGTTCCCTGCAAGTCGAGCTTGATGTAGCTTCCGTCAATGACTTCGTAGCCAGTGGCCAGGATGATGACGTCGAGATCCCACTGCTTCTCCTCGGTCAAGATGCCCTTCTCGTTGACCGTCACAAAGGGGGTGTGCTCATAGTTGACAATGTCGACGTGTTCCTTGTTAAAGGTCTCGTAGTAGCCAGAGAGAGTCACCGGTCTCTTGCCGTAGATTTCGCTGGGCGTCAGCTTCTTCAGCTTATCGGGGTCGGTGATGGACTGCGCAATCTTCTTCTCAAAGTACTTGCAGATTTCCCGGTTGGCCTCTGCGCTGCTGTGGATGTCGCCAAAGGGTCCATACATGAAGCTGAAGCCGTTGGGGCCGTTGTTCCACAGGTCCTCCCAGATGCGCTCGCGCTCCTCTGCGCTGACGCTCATGGTGGGGGTGGTCTTGTGGACGAGAGGGTGGCCAACGGGGTGGTTGTTGACCTGCTCCCAGATTTCGTCGTAGTTGTTGTTCACCCACTCTCTGTACTCGGCTGACACGGGGCCGTTGGGGTGGGGGACAACGTGCTGTGCTGATCGTTGGAAAGAGACCAGATGCTTTACCTCGTCTGCAATGTTGACCAGAACTTGGGCTCCTGACGAGCCGGTGCCGATGACACCGACTCGCTTGCCCTTGAGATCACGCTTCTCGGGCCAGTCACTATAAAGGTCAGTAACAGCGTTTTTGTTCTACAGAAGGATCCTTTGGCTTACCCGGTGTGGTAGACGGGGCCAGCAAACTTGTCGAGGCCGGGGATCTTGGGGCGGTTGGGCGTGTGGAAAGAGCCGCAGGCCAGAATCAGATATGTGGCCTTGTAGGTCTCGCCATTGGAAAAGCTGACGGTCCATGCGGATGTGGCTGCGTCAAACGAAGCTCCCTTCAACTCCGTGTTCAGCTGGATGTGCTGTCCCAGGTCGTAGCGGTCCACAACGTGCTTCAGATAGGCCTGGGTCTCCTTCTGGGGGAGGAAGTGTGTCGGCCACGGGTAAGTCTTTAACAGCTCCTTGTCGAAGCTGTATCTGTACACCTCACTGGACGAATCACTGGTGGCGCCGGGATATTGGCTCCAGTACCATGTGCCGCCGACCTCGGGGGCTTTCTCGAAGCACTTGACGGAGAGCCCGAGCTCCTTGAGCTTGTAGAGGTTGTAGATGCCGCCGAAACCGGCACCGACGACGATGGCATCAAATGTGGACATTGTGAATGAAGTGTGAATAAGGACGCTGAAAAGAAGAGGAGGGCGTCTTGGTGTTTGCTAGGAGAAAGGAAAAAAGGGGGGAGAGAAGATTGGTGGAAGAGATGAGAGGAGACTGTTGCGGGGGGGGACGCTGCAAGATATATATTGGCAGATGAGGACGGAAGGATTTGTAGTGACGTGTATCCTATCCTAGCACACATGATGGTATTACATGGGCCATCACGGAGACTGTTTTTACAATGTTATGGATCACAGCCACGGTGTTGGTGGACAACGGCGTTGTACTGCCTAGGTATACATTTATCGATACTAAACTAGAGGAAGTACTAGGCATAAATTGTTTATATTGGTTTATTTTTTCTGGATATTTATATGGTATTAACTTTCTATATAATATGTAGTATTTTTAAATACAACATAATTGGTTAAAGCAAGTATATTTAACATGTATTTTGTTTTTATTTTATAAATATTTAGTTATTTTAATTAACTATATTTTACTATACTTTTTATAATTTTTATTTTAGAATTATATTAACTGTATTATTTATTTAAAAGTTTATTATATATTTACCTGTCTGCTTTACTGTATTTATTAGCTGATATTTTTTCCCAAAAAATATTATTCGTATGAAGTAAATTAGGACACTAAGAGCGGATATCAGACTATGTAGACTATTTATTAATCCCTGCAAGCGGTCTGCTAACTCCTTATTTCTTATATAAGCACTAAAGCTCGTAAACCGTCTGATAATGGGATGGACTTAGCAGTCAGCGATGGGAAAAGAACCGCCGTCGTTCCCGAGGAAACTGTATATATTAACCATTTATATTAAGTACCTAGTAGATCTGCGGCATACACCTTTCTAATACTTGTGTAACCTGGGTATATATAGAGTAGGTACTCGTGCGAAGACTCAGCGTTAAGCGGAATTTATATAGCGCCATGATCTACATGTTTACATTGCCGCAATTCACCGTCCATCTAGTTTATGGTTAATGCCAAGGTATATGCAAGACATGGTGGTAGAGAGAACCAACATGACCATTGCTTAGCCAGGCACTATCTCCATTATTGATTCATAGCTCGGTACGAGCCTAGGAAAAATCACTACTCCATGTACTAGAGCGTCTAAGCCATCGATCCGTCGCGAGAAATTCCATACCTATAGCAGCTAGACTAGCCTATATACGAGACAGGGTGCAAATACTTTTTATTTTCTTATACAACTTTTGTCTGCCTCTGACTGTTTGCAACGAATCAAACAACTAGTGCTAGTGTTGCTAGTGCTTGCTAATGCTTGCTAGCTACATGTATTACATCTAGTGCCAGGCCTTATAAGCGAGGACAATCCCGTTGCGGATCGGGCTAAAGTGCATAATCGTAGAAACTAGGTGCGGCCCGTAAGCCTTTTCTAATTACAGTTGGCATGGCGTATACGACAAGTAAAAGATGGACTGCCGGGTCGGGGGGGCTAGAAGCTGGCTAGAAAATGAGGCAGCCTCTTTGGCAAATAACATCAACGGCCTATTTTCAGCAAATGCCGGACAGGTAGAATGGGTAAATCTCCGGAAGGAATGGAATATGTATCAAACTTGCTCAAACTTGGTACAATTGCCACGATCAAGTGCCGTACAAGCAGCAGGTTTGTCTTATCACCCTTTTCCGTGTGTGGATTACAACCAAATAGGAATATCCGTGTGCTAGCCCCATGTCTTGTTCTAGCGCAAGCAAACGACAGGGATCCATCTTTATCTGTTCCAGCTTGCAAAGTAATCCAAATTCCCACCAAACCCACCTGGAAGGGGGAGCATACAGCAGAGCTGCGGAGGCGCAGTTTGCGCTGTACGGCTCTGCCGAGAAGCAACCCCTCTTTCTGGATTCAAGAAGGATTCGCTCAATATACTAGACTATAGGCTATAAAACCGGTACTTCGGGCTGTGCTGGCCCCCGTTACAGCGGCACCACTACCAGACTATACATACGCAATCCTTCGTCCGATGCCCCCGGCCCCGCAGATATCTTTAATAATTATCCATGTGTTTCAGTGACTAGGACTGGCTATCTCTCCTTGTAGGCTGTAAGAAACGGCGGACCGTACCTCGGAATCTAACCCCCACGTTCCGTTGAATGGCAGTGATGCTCAGGCCTGGACGAATGGGATTGGCAGAGCTTATACTATGCCGTCGGGGTAAGGCGGGTAGCCTATGCATTCAAGAAATGGCCGGCAAGGCATTTGTAGGGCTTGCTGTATGATGGAAAAGGCATTTATCGCATGTATTCTGATTGCCAAGCCTTTGAATAGGAGTAACACTTGGGCCAAGATGAATAGCAAGAGGAGAGCTTATAATACACCATCAAGGTGGAGCAGATAGCCCACGTACAAAAGAAAATAACCGGCGAGTCATTGTAGGGCGTATCGTATATCGTATGACTGAAATGACATATGTACTGGACGTACATATCGTAGCAGTATATTAATAGCCGAGATGCAACCCTACATGATGTCGTCTGGTGCACATAGTCGCAGGAAAGTAACCAGGGTTAGAATCCCAAAAACCGTTTTACAACCATATGCAGCTATGACAGCATTCTAGCGCTGCTTGGAACTTTCGATCATCAAAAAGCAGTAGAGATTAAGGTGCTTAGCTTATTACTAGATTAGGTCTCACGGTCAGCTACTAGCAATAAATCATGCTTTACGTTGTAATTGGTGACGAAATAAAGATGCCAAGACTCGACAGCGGACATGAGCAGGTAATATACGATTGGCTGGGATTCAAGTCTAACTGCTTAATAAACTCATCTGACCGTATACGTGTGTTTAAAAGCAGAGGTGTGTAACTAAAGAAGGAGGAATGACACGGAGAATTTTATATAAGCCCTGCCGCGTGGAGTATACCTGTTACATGTTGGCATCACAAAACCTCCACCAGAGGATGTAGCTCTTCCGGGGTACCTACTTGTATTACTTCGAGTCCGTTATATGACAGGGACAAGCTCTACCTGCCTGGATATCTCCTTATAGATCCTGCGCATGGGCGGCGTCGGATCGTGTTAGTGCCAGGCATAATCGCCAGCCAACCAGCATGAGTTGGCAATTCCAGATGCATACCTGCTGTGTTAGTCACACTGCATACGCTCAACACGGTACTGTATATCACACGCTAGCTTCAATAAAGCCACAAGCATTGCTTCGGCTGTCTCTAGAAGGATGCTCTGGCGATTGCAGCGGGAATATCGGGTACGAGGCTTGGCCGACTCGATGTACACCTAGGAGCACGAATTACTACTGAGATGGCCAAGGTACTTGATTAATAATAGCATATGCCTCGTATAAACCTCGTTCAACTACAGCAAATGAGACGCTTGCTTATAAATGAGAATAGTATCCCAGCATGGTGTAAGTACATGCGGTGCAGCATGGTGAAATATGCTGTAATGCAGTGCGCCTCTTCTATATGTAGCCTAGGTTCCCTCGTTTACCTTTATGTGGGTGACGGCCTTTGCATCCTGTTTAATAAGTGGCCTGTTCTGCTGCTACTAGGTAGTTGAGTAATCTGCATGTTCTGCCAGTAAACTGCACTCCTGACGGACCCTTGCGTCCTACTTGCGGGATTATAGGCTGGTAAACGGAATTATAGCGCTGGGAAATAGTGTGCCGGCAATCAATAAGCATGATTTGTCCGGGTGGTGAGACGATTATTCCAATAGCCATACAGTATACATGCGGCGTGATGCACAACGGAGTAGCTGAAAAACAGCACTTGGCTAACTCATCATCAATCGTGCTTTGACTCCGTAGGTGGTACTGCTTGAATTTTTAGTATACTGGGTATTTTCCGATACAATTCCACATAAGCATTACTTAGTACTAATGAATGCTCTATCCGCTCCATGTATGTATTTTCCTGTAAAGTCTTACACAACTTATATGTAGACAAGCCCGGCTGCCGGAAGGGCCAAGCATCAAAGCCCAGGACTATTGTGATATGCGTAGTAAACACTTGAGCTCCTCGGCCGCTGCCACAATAACCTGCAAGACAAGACAAGCAACTTGCATCTACGGTTTACGCCATGCAGTGGGCGATGATTATCCCGTGCTGGCTGTCATGTCATCCTCCAACCGCTGAAACAAGCCAAATGAAGAACATTCTCCCACGTGCTGCCCAGGATCATATGAATCCTTTCCTCGGACCAACACCACCCGGGGAATAGTGTAGATCGCATTTCGGATGCCTATTTGGAACACGCGACAGTAGCGGTGAGCAGCTAATGCGTCAGCCTTTACTACATATTTAGCTGACACTCGTATGAGTAATCACTTCTTCAGCTGAAGATGCTGATCGCCGAGAATGGAGAGCAAGGCTTACAGGGTAGATTCATCATCATCCCTTCGCGTGTATTCGGGCCTGATATCCGTCACTCTTACAGACAGCGGAAGTAAATCAATGATTGCGATATGTCTACCACGTTTAGGTAGCTTAGGTTAGTTCCTTTAGAAGTTACACATGTAGGTACCTATATACTACAAGGTGCACCACTTTGATCACCTACCCTAGACTTGCGCCAAAAAAAAAAAAAGTTCGCTAAATTATAGTGATCATGACACTGTCGCTCAGATGGAATAACCACATCGCCGAGGGGAACGAATACGCGCATCGCATTTTCTAATTTTCCATTCCAGGCCAGCAAAAGACACAAACGATGGTGATGATGCCTCTCCTCTCTCCGCTCTGCTTCACGATGCCTTCATTTGAAATGCTCTTCTCCACATGCAGCACTAAATACCAAAATGATGCGCACCAAAAACGCTCTGCCTGGACCTCCAACGAAGCTCAATCATCTGGGCGTTGACTTCCGGCAAAATCGTTGCCGTCTATCCAGCAATTGCTCGAAACGAGACAAAAACGTCCACGCATCTCGACATGATTCGCTCGGTATGGATTTACTTGGACCCAAACTCTAGGCTGAATCCGCGCTAATGGACAATATTCGCTTTAGTCATGCCCGCTTTAGGCAGTGGCCGATGTTCAAGATGGACAGCATTGAGTGATGACCAGCTTTGGAGCCGGTTGGACCGAGAGCATACGAGCCCTCACAAGGCTTACAGTCCACCGATATTGACGGGCAAGCTATTTTAGCTCGCGCGCACAATTCCAACATCCTGTTTGCACCTCTCGTCAACTCGGAACCAGCGATTTACCAATTTCTTCAGAAAACTGTTGCTTCAAATCGCTGCCCGCATTCACAATGAGCGACTCTGAAGATTTCTCCGAGATCTCCTCAACATCCGAAGAGGGCGACCGTCTGCGCAGCCTCCTGAGCCTATGCCCGCGTTATGTTGTCGTCCCCCCTAACCCCCCGGATGGAATCGCTTTTGCCCTGACGGGAAATGCCCAAATATGGGACCACCTGACCGACTTGCATTCGGGCATCTCAAACTGCAAACCAGGCATCTGGAAGGCGGAAGTGAAGTTGGTCGAGGGCGCAGAGTTTGGAAACTGTGATACGGAAGCGTGCCTTCGCTGGGTTGCAGACTTGGACGAGGAGACTGAACTCGATTTTAGTATTTCTCTGGATGAGTGGCAGGGCTGGGACCAGATGCTCAAAGACAGATTTGACGACTCCGTTGTCGAATGGGACGAGGGCATAGCGTGGAAGCATGCTGGAACCTACTATGATGATGGCGGGCTTTTCAACGTCATTTCCATGGCATATCTCACCCGTGAAGCCGCGCACATGGTCATAGAGGGACGTGATCACGAGGAGCTCGAAATGGACGACGACGAATATTCCGGCTACCTTGAGCATGTTACACTCAACGACAGCCCCATCGACGAGGAGGATTCCCTCAGAAATGCAGGCTTCACATTTGGAGGGCTCCACTGTAAGTTTCAACTGTTCAACAAGCCTACGTTTTGCATGCACGTATTGTATTTTGTTTGATATATAGTGCTGACGTTGATTTACTGCTAGTTGGGCAAGACTCCATCGGCGGGCCACCCGGTCTCGCTGTGGCTGAGAAAGACGGCCAAGTAGTCGCGATTAAGCTTTTTATGGATCATGATGAGCTTGACGAGGGGACTCCCTTTGACAGCCAGCCTGGCAAGGTTGTCTTTTGAAGGTGATGCATGTTTGCCTCTTTCAAACACTTTTCTTTAGTGCGTTTCAACGAGCAAAGTCACACTTATATTTATCACTGCACCATGAAAGAATTGGTCAATACGGCAGTACAGAACGCTTTCAAATATTCAAGTACCATCTATTCTACAAGTGGTTCGTTTCTGAGATGAGATGACCCAAAAAATATACACTGCAATGCCATCATGCAAAGCAAGCCTGACACGCCAACCATCGGAATGCTAACCATCACTGGCAATCATTTGAGCAGCTTCTTCGGCAACATCATACTCGTAAAGTTTGCGCGTCGGCTTTATCACAGTGTTGGGGAAGAAGCCTATATCAAGTGTCAGCGATTTCAACAAAGACTTTGTTTGGTTGTGTGTACCGCAATGTGTCACCTACTGAGCAATTTGAACATCGTGTACATGGCATACTCTCGGACGACCCCCATGTCGCGCTTTGAATTCTGAATCTTTTTCGCATTTTCTAGTATCTCCGTGACGCGTGGCTTTCGAAGCTCCATGTATTGTTTTGCGGCCTTGATCGCGGCTTGCTTCTCAGCGTCTGGCTTGCTCAGATCTGCCCGTTTCATCTGGTGTGCCAGGAATAGGACAAACGATTCGCAGTCCTCTAGTGCTTGTGATACACCCTGACCCGAAGTCGAGGGCAGGGCATGTGCTGCGTCTCCAAGCAGGACAACTCCGTCGCGTTCCCAAGTTGGGAGCGGTGGTGACGTCCATGTGGGATACATGTGCGTAACGCGCTCTGATTTTATGACTTGCTGGATGACGGGATCTTTCCACTGAGCGTGCCTCTCTCGAAGCTGTCGGGAAACATCGTCCATGTCGAGTGTGCTGCGATCTGGGCATTCTTTAATCTCATACGTGGACCACCAGGCCAGTGTTTCTCCTGGCTTAGAAGCGAGGTATGGATTATCACGGTTGGGATCTGAGGGGTCGCTGTGTGAATAAAAGTACCCAAAGAAGCCATTGCCTCCAAAGATGAAGTTCATTGACCCCTTATCGACAGACTCCGCCAATCCCGTTGCCGGCATGAAACCTCCAATCCCGACAAGGCCTCTATTAAACAAAAAGGAATTAGAATGCAATGAGCGATGCCTTGATTGGTTGTACTGGCACTTACTCGTAATGGGGAGGATATCGGTCTTCTGCCACCTCCGGAAACAAAGCCCTTTTGGCAACTGATTTCACACCGTCAGCGCCAATCACGATGTCAGCCTCTACTGGCTCGCTTTCGTCGACGAAACGGACAATGTTTCGTCCTTCAGGATTGGCAATGACTTGCGACACGCGCTTGGTGATGATATCCTCGTCTGGAATGCGAGTACGTAGGGACCTCCAAAACGAATGGCGACTGCACGCTACCATGTTGAGATCCTTTGAAGCCTCACCTGACTTCCTGGCGGTGGCTTCATTGGAATCGATATACATGAGCAGATTCCCATTCTTGTTCTTGAAGTTGGATCGCGTTATCACATATCCGTCACGAGTGACTTCACGCAGAAGCTTCTCGTCAAGCCGCTGAAGGACCCTGAGGCCATTGGGTGCGATGCCTAGTCCACCGCCGACGATGAGCGTGGAGGAATACGTCGGTCCTTGCTCTCGGTCCTCAAACGTGACGTCTTTTCCGGTGTCGTAGGCCTCGTATATCTTGATATCGAGGTCTTGGGCAGAGTCGTCGCCCTTTAACAGATGCTTTTTTAGCTCGAGGTATACTGTAAAGCCGGAAATGCCACCACCGATGATGGCTATCTTCATTTTGGACGAGGAAGAGAATGAACGCCGGGCCTATATCCTTCTTATCGAGTCGACTATGGGACAATGCCCTAAATGACTTTACGATGATGTTGAGAAACAACAAGAAACAAAAAAACTCTGACGACGAGCAGGTATATATAGCTATGCTACTGATCCCATGACATTGCGGATTCGCAATCCGTATACGTAACACAACATTCATCTTGTTTCACCGGTAGCAAAATGGCACCCCAATTCAGCTCGCACAGTATATCTCGGGAGAGCTTCATAAAGGGCGGAGCCGCTAAATCGCAAAGCTAACCATTATGAGCTTAAGGAACCTCCAAGCTTGAGGCGCGCACAGGCCAGAAATGCGTCCTAAGCCCAGATTTGACTGAGAGTTTCGGTCCGCTCAAGTTGGCTATGCCGGATTTCTCTGCAAATCCAAGCCAAGTGGCGAGAATTGCTCTCTTACCAGCTCCCTCAATATTGAGTTGAATGCTGCCTCGACGTGCCCACTTGATGTATTTGCTCTAGTGGCTATGCCCAGCCACCGTCACGGAAGTGCCGTGCTTTGAAGATTGAAGACGGGAAAGCAATGGAACAGGCCCAAAGAAGCCGGCACCAACAGAGGGCTGGCCTAGTATAAGCCTCTGCAAAGCCGTGCAACGTGACAATGGTGGTTCGTTTTCATTGACCCTAAGCAGCTCAAGTCGCTTCAACGGGGTAATTGCGAAGAATATGGGCCGCCACATCGGCAAAATACTCGTGAGATGGCGCCGAAATGCCTGCGAAGCCTCCCTTTCGAAAGCCTTGGAGCATATTCACTGCCACCGCCCTCTGCTGCGAAGACACGCTCCACAAGGCAGCAATCTTTAATTGCTGGACCAGCATGATGGAGCCGCGGCTTGGCTCAGGGCCGGACTTTTCGCTAATCATCTCGTGTGCAGACAGGATTGATTGTGTGTGTTGTTGAATGCGCGCATCATATAAAGATGCTGTGGGAGAAACCAGGTGTAGGAGGCGAAGTACAATGATATTGGCAGCATCGTAGAATGAGACCAATGCCGCTGATGGAATATCAGTATATGGCAGCATGAAATGACGAGCATCCAAAGATGTCGTAATATCCTGTTCAGCTTCAGAGACTGAGGCGCTTTGATCATCTTCTCTCCGAGAAGTATAGAGCATGGCTTCTGATCTCCACTCGTGCATTTGAAGCCTTGCGTCCTGGATGTGATTGCTGAGTTCGGCTTGCAGCTGTCGCATGTGGTTGACATTAGATGAAATGAGATCATTTGCCGTTGACAAGCATCTTAGTACAGCAAAGAGAATGTCGATCAGGTTGTCAAAGATTAGCTTTGGATGGATCTCAAAGGGAACCGTCGTCCATTGCGGCGAGGCAAAAGGGTGAAGCCTATTATCAGACATTGCTGCGACGAACTGTTAGGGCCTATTAGCATTGCAACGTGAGATGCCAAACGTGCAAAAGAGAGGAAACAAACGCACCGTCTGCAGCCGCAAATGCCTGAATATCTGATGCATAAACCCATCGCGGCAGCGCTCCGGCCCTTGAGCTTCCAGTAGCGAAGCCGCACCGTTGACGTGCGGCAGCCATGCCTTTGGGCTGGTTCCGGCCGTAGTTTCAAAGTGGATGAGCATGACAGCCGCGCATACCGTGCTTTCCGGGGAATACAAAGATGAACCCGAATCCTCAAGCGACAGCAGATACCGCAAGCTCTGCAGTGCCCTCATGTACCATCTGCAAGCCTCGGTCTTGATGGATACATCTCCAGTAACCGTGCCGTAGCTGAGCATGGATGCTGCGCGGATGGAGCACTGGACGGGAGACGGGTTGGGAGAGGCGAGAAAGCCGGGGAGCTCGTGAAGCCAAATCTTGGGTGTACCGTGAGGAATAGGCAAAGATGGCCGAGCCCGGCCGAAAAAGCAGTCGACGAAGTGAGATACAAAGAGCTGGTCAAAGGCGTCGGCGCGAGATGGCTGCCATGACGGAAGCTGCGGCAAATGCACCATCACCGTCTTGTGTGACGACGCCGACTTGATGGTTGTGACAGCAGCTGATGATGAATCACGCAATGAAGCATCAGGGACGACTGTGTGGACAAAGAAGGCGTCTGTGCGGGCACCAGGACATTTCAAGCCCATGCCGAGGCATCGCAGGCATTCGGGGAGAGACTGGTCGCACTATGAAGCATTTGAGCTGAGTGTAAGTCGACTTCTCTCATGAGCAGTTGGTTGGCTGACCAAGGGTATGGATGAATGAGAATGCGCACCTTGACTCTGCGTTTCCGACATGTTGCGCAGCCTCTGCTTCTGCCGGCGACATTGACCATGATGGTTATTTGAAATGTTTGTCACCTGTAGTCATGAGACGCAGGCTACGCTGCTCCGTCTCGATGGGATGGATGGGTCACCTCTTCTTCACCATATTTGATTCGCTTACTGCGCTGATGAATAACAGCAATGGCGAGTGAGAGATGCAATGAGCAACGGCCACGATCCGATGTTATTCCGCGCTTGGCCTAGAAGCCATCCAGGATCGCCAGGGGGGGAGCCTGGATTGGCTGTTTTGCCTGTCCTAGTGACGGATCAAGGCAAGGCAGAACGAGGCAAATCAAAGTCACTTGAAACATACGCTCTCATCATTGCTAATCCCAAACTGGATTACGGTGAACAGCTCATTCATTCATCCACTGCTCGCTATTTTCGCCCATCATTGAGCTCGCAGACCGACAGTTGCTGGCAGTCTCGTCCAATGAGCGGCCGCAACAGGGAGCTCCAGTTTCTCCAACGAGGCCTCCACTTTCAGCCCAGACGATGGACGCCCATGGGTTGGTTGCTCTGCCACGTCACTTGGGGGGGTTCAATTGGAATCGGCAGGGCTGTTAGGGGGAGCGAAAAGTGGAGCTGGAGACGGTCAGATGCATCTTGCGTTCTTCACAATTTTGGGCCGCCAAAGGGTTCATTTCACGAACATTTATGCGTGTATGACTGGCTTTTGTTGTGTTGTTTCTGCGTCTCATACCCCACGATTCCATTTAACAGCTGCAGGTCGTTTCCGTTCCTTTATTTTTCTTCATCTTTGCTGTTCTGCATCTCACACGCGTTTATATAACCCTGAAAGCCTAAAATCAAATCTGCACATTGACTCATTGTTTACAATCAACACACCATGGGGGAAGACAGCCTCCTCTCCGTCATATTCAAGGACAAGAGGGTCAAAGGCAGGGCCATCAAAGCAGCCACCCAGCTCTTCGCCAATACCGCCCCCATCGTCAAGACCATCGAAGCCGGCGCCGGCCTCATCAAGATTGGAGACACGCTGTCCAAGGCCAATGAGCTCGCGGGCAGGGTCAATGACTTTGCGCCCAGGGCGAACCAGATGGCCGATGGGCTCAACAGGTTCATCCCCGCCATGCAGGTCATGGGCCAGTCCGTCGCAGACAGCGCCCGGATCTTTGCGTACTTTAGCATGATTGCAACCACAGTCCGGATCGGCATGAACCTCGTCCAGACGTACCAGGGAATCCAGGCGCTACAGCTCATCGCCGCCAAGCTGCAGGACATCTCAGCCGCTCTCCAGGCGCAGACGGCGCTCATTGCGCAAAAGGAGTTTCCCGACTACGTGCACAGCATGATTAGAGAGCGGCTCACTCAGACGTCGGACGATCCGTCTCGGGATCACTGGTTCTTCCTCTGGCACCCGGACGACGACTGGTACCCCAAGTTTTTCCATCTGCTGGAGGAGAAGCCGCTGGGGTCGAGATTCTGCGGCTACACGAACCAGATCGACTCTGTGTTTGTCTTTATGATTGCAGCGCGGCGGCGCATCTCGGAGATGGAGTACAAGGCGCGGCGGCGAGGGCAATCCATCCGCCCAACAAGGCTGCACCTCCTGGTCCCGGCATATCAACCCGTTCTCATCGCAGAAGCACTCCGGATCCCTGAAGAAGTTGGCGATTTCGTCATGGAAGGTCGCATCAACAGCAACCGAGAATTCGTCTGGCTCAATCTGCCCGACGACCAGCGGCATTACACCCTAAACATTGGCCAGTGGATCCCGCCGAATCCGAGCTGGCTGGGCTGGGCGGCGTCGAAAATCGGACTGGGCGAGAAGCCGCTGCGGCTGCGGACGCCGAGAGCTCTAGGGGCCAGCCAGATACCGCTAGAGATTGAGGCGACGCCGCTGCCAAAGGATGAGGACGACGACGGGAGCAGTACCCTGGTCAATCCGTCGATAGCGCCATCGGAAGCTAGTTTTCGGGAGGACGATGACAAGGGCAAGGAGAAGAGCAAGCGACCATCATCAACGCCATTGCATCAGCGCGAGAGACGGCATCGCAGCAGCAGACGGACTTAGGGGGATTTGTATAGAAGGGAAAGGGAAGTGCAAGCAGGAATAAAGAGAAGGGAAACCGGACATGGGCAGGGCAGGGAAAGGCAGGGCATTGGGCTATTATGAAAGGACAAGGTTGCACGGATTCAAGGCATACACACCACTCAGTGGATTTTTCTTTTCTCGTACTTTTCTTCTTTTACTGATTCTCCTTTTGACACAAGTTGGAGGCAAAGACAGCATAAACGAAAGAGATCTGGCATCTCAGCGTCATTTTTCGAAACGAACAGAACGATATCATCGGCTTGGAGATATAGATTTTTTTTTTTGAGCATTAGATTGCAAAGTCATGAAACATTTGTTGAGGGCATATATATATATATAATATATATATATGTGTGTGTGTGGACTAGAAATATCATATGACGGCGGCATTTCTGGTCATTTTTCACTTGATTCAATTGATTCAGCTGTCAGTAAAGTGAGTCGCTGTCCCTGCTTGTGGCTCATATATCTTGAAATCACTTCACCCCAACTCTACGAAAAGCTCTTGTTCCTTGTGACAGACAAAAACGTCAAACTCCACAACTGCCGCACGTCGCTTTCTGTTCCGCCGCTCGCGCCAAGAGGAGAGAACTTGAAGTCCTTTGCTGTGCCATTCTTACCACCGCTATACGTCCAGCTCCAGACCTCAGACTCGAGCTGCTGTGAGTTATCCTCAATGATATCCCATAGCCTGTTGTATGCCGTCTTCAGCGCAGTGTACACGCCATTATTGCTGCAGAATTGGGGTATTGCAGTTGCGTTTGTGATGGACGATGGAATGTCCGTGACGTTACTTGAGCCGTGGCAGCGCTCAAGCTGTCGCTCGAATCCTTTCGCCGTGAGTGCCAACTGCCAGCTCCAGACGACGGTGCCGTGGTAGGCAGTGTTGGTGAAGCCTCCGATGAAATCGTTGTTGTTGGATAGTGCCGGATTTGCGACGACGACGCCGATTGGGGTGCTCAGTCCGGCTGGGAATGGACGGAGGATTGCGTTTGCCGAGGCGTTGATAAATGTTGTGAGCTGTTCATCGTCTGTGGCGTTGAGCAGATAGTGGCGGAAAGCCGTGTCTGTGTGAGTGATTGGGATAACCTCTGGCGTCGTTGGGCTGTTGATGGCCAGCCCATAGTCTATTATCATCCCATCAGTAGAGTAGTTCGATACTGAGTCGCCATTCGTAGGACCGTCGTAGAATGTGCTTTTGCTTGTGTACTGCGCCAATCTCGCAACGGCAGTTTCCGTAGTCATGTTGTACTGGAAGAACTGCAGTGTCTTGTCTTCCCATATTTTGGCTCGCTGAGCTGCGATTGCGGCCCAGGTTTGCGTCATCGAGTTGTTGGGATAGACACTAGGCTTGGCTGCTAAGCTGGAGATGGCATACAGGGCAGCAGGAGCTAAAGCGCAGTTGACGTCGAACGGAATGCGGCCATTGGCGAGGCCATAGGGAGAATCACGCCATTGGCCGGCGTTCTGGCCCGGTTTGAGAGTGAGGAGATTATCCACAGTTTGGTTCTGCTCAAACGCGGCTGTAATGTTCATAATCTTGCTGGCAGTTGCGTAGCTGAGATCTCCCCAGGTCAGATTCAAATTATCGACATTGATAGATCCAGCTTTGGTGTCCAAGAGTGGAGTGATTCGATTCGGCGACGAGTTAAAGTATCGCGCCATCAAAATGGGAAGATAGTAATCGGTATCAATCATTTGATACGTGAATCCGGCAGCTGTAGACGCGATGCCGTTTTGCAGATTCACATACGTGGCATAGTCGCCAATAGTTTCTTCGTGAGAAACTGATCCATCTCTTCGGTTTACGCGTTCGAGTGCTGCTCCAATAACGACTTCGACGGCTGAGCTGCTGAGGACGGGTTGAAGGAGAAGTGCGGAGATCATGCTATCGCGGCCAAAATAAGTGAGGAAACGCCAGCCGCCGGCAAGAAGTTTCTCGGTGTAAGAGAAGAAGGAAAGCGATGAGACAGTCTCTTGATGTTGCTTGGCGAGGGATTGGGACTGCTCGTTTAGAAGCTGGCTTGGTGTGAGTTGCGTGAGTTGAGGGTAGTTGAAGGAAGCTGAAAAGCGGTACAATCCAGCGCCAAATCGCAGCGTTGTGTTGTCGATTTGAATGTGGTTGTGGTTGTTTTTCCAGGGCACAAGAGTAAAAGTAGTCGTTGTGACATTGTCCAGCCATAAACGAGATATTTGGGCGCCCGTCTTTTGGAACTTGGTGACGTTGATGCCTGCTTGAATAATAGGACTGAGGTAGCCTCCTTCGGTGAAGTCGCGTATGTTTCTCACGCTGCCTAGAATTGCGGTTGGAAGCTCAGCTGAATCATTGAACGAGAGGACGCCCTCAACGCCGACGATGGGGTTGGCAGAGCCTTTGCATTTGCTTTTACTGTAGACCGGACCCAAGGGGGCTCCCAACGTGGAATTGACAAGCTCAATGGCGAGGCTGCCAGCTTTGCCGCTCTGGGGCTGGAAGAGTGTGCAGACGCCGCTGTTGCCAGCAGGCCAGGCAACGAGGAACCGGGGCTTAATGATGGAGAGATCGCTGCCGGGAAGAGGGCTGGTGACGACGGCCTGGGCATCAACATGGCAGTCTGAATAGAAGTAGTCTTGATAGGGAGGATCACTGAGATGCTGCGTTCGGGCTGAGCATGATGGCCATGATGACCTGCTGCTCGACTGAGTGTCCTGCGCAGTGATGGTGCTGCTGTAGCTCACGAGGAGCAGTAACGGGGCGACGAGCTTTTGGAGCATGTTTGTCTGCTAGATGCCAGGCATTGGCCCCTTGGTCTTCAACAAGATCCAGCACAGCACCACCAGCAACATGTCGCCTTTAAATATCGATTTCCATTTCGTTTGGGTCTCATAGCCATCGCGTGCAGTCCCGTCTGGGAGAGTCACCATTCGGGCCTATGAATTTGACCAAGATTGTTAGCACAACTTTGGGGGATCTGTGGGGGATCTGAGGATGATCCGAGGGGGATCTGTGGGTGAGAATTGGACCACCTAGGATCGGAAAATGGCCGAGAAACGTGCATGATTGGCGTGGAAAAGTGCCTTTTTTCCTGATTCGGGCTTCTGGGCGAGCTCAATTTGAGCGACGATCCTTCGGTGCGAATCGAATCAATGCAGCGGCGAAGTTGCAGCGGCTGCTTGCCAGGACGCCGTCTCGGAGATGGAGCCGTGAGGAAGAAGTGAATGGCTGTGGCGGAGAGGATAGAATAGATGAATGAATTGGGCAACGAGAAAAGAGACAAAGAGAAAGGATCAATAGCCTTTTTTCCTTGTCTGCTGTTCACGATGGGCTGCAGGTTGGTAAAAACAAACATGAAGAATGCTGGTGATGGTGATGGCCCGCACTGCGTTATCGATGGCAGTCAGGTGACATTGAAGGGACTGGATTAGCACATGACTCTCTGCGTGTATTATGCACCTTATTGCATTATTGTAACCTTCCTAATCGGCACCTGGACTTTTAATTTTATTCAGCTCTTTTTTATATACATTCTTTTTCTTACTACCAGTGCCTACCTATGTATCAAGTCTCATACATGTAGACTGTCACATGCACGAATCCGAGTCCAAGCTTTATAGGATCTCCAGTCACTCTTTTACTTCTCCCCTGTGAGTAATCATACCAGACACACAGAGATTGGCCTTGACATTAGCAACAGAGACAGACTTGAAATAAAAGATTGCACTTGAGCCTCCTGAAACCACGTATAAATAAAATCTTTTCAATTGTCACGAAATCTATCTAGTCTATCAACATACTCATACTCTATCCTCTGCCAGCAACAGACATTTGGCATCGCCCATGTCTGCCTCGAATACAGGTCAAGCCATTAAGCAGAATCAAGACCTAGGTCGACGGTTAGAAGAAGATATTTACGGAAAACGTCAAGAGTTGCCAAACCTACCAAGAGCCCGAGCAATCGCAACACCAACACCCTGGGCAGAGTTTGGGTTCTGGCCAGTAATGATGCGTCCATCGACAACAACCTGCTCCTTCCAGAGTGCATCTGCCTTGACATAGGTGCCGCCAACTCGCCTGATTTCGTCCTCCAACAGAGCAGGCATGGCTTCAGTCAGCTTTATAGCGTCTTCTTCCGCGTTGCTGAAGCCAGTGGCCGTGCGACCACTGAGGAGCGGCTTCCCGTCGACGATGGCATTCACGAGAGCGATGGGGCCATGGCAGACAGCCGCAACAATCTTGCCGGCATTGTAAAACTCCTCAATGAGCTTGATGGAGTCCTTGTCGTTGACAAGATCGAACATGGGCCCGTGACCGCCGGGATAGAAAATTGCATCGAATTCGGATGCCTTTCCGTGAAATTCCTTGAGGGCTACGGTTTGCTCCCAGAGATGCTTCCTGGTTTCGTAAAACTTGACTGAGGCATCGTCCTTGAAGTTGTTGACTGACACTTGGTCGATTGGGGCAAGACCACCAGCAGGGGAAGCAACAACAATTTCAGCTCGGGGCTTTGCCTCATCTGGGCCAATCAGGTGGAAATAAGGCCGGGCAAACTCGGGCTGAGAATTATGTGTGAGAAACGCTGAAGTTTAAGGAAAAAAGGGCTGGGAGGCTGACCAGATACCACCCAGTGGGTGCACCGTTGTTCATCGTAGCTCGGCTGGTGAGAACAAAGAGGATTCTAGGAGCCATTTTGAGTGTTTTGGGTGGTTGTAAATTGGATTTGATGTTGATGGTAAGTTTCTAACAAGTGATTGAATCAAATGATGATGGAGGATATCTTTTTTTATGAAAGTCTGGTTTTTGCTTCACTTATATACTTGCCAGACTCGACAACATGAAGTCTTCGCGAAGGACCAATATCACTGCATTGATGTCATAACGTCAACCGGTTTACAACTATTGCAACTCTCTCTACGTAGATGCTCAGTAAGCAGAGCCGCTAAATGGAATCTTTAAAGACATGATTCCATTTACACTCCATTGCACTCCATTACACTTGAATTTCTACTCTAGTGCCTCAGTATGTACTATAACACATTGTTCCTGTTGCTGTCTTTGTCTGCTTTCCAAGCTGGTGGGGCAGAGCCGCACACGACGGAACTTGCCGCATCGGGCGACGGGACTGTCCTGCATGCCTCAGAGACAGCCTTTGTGCTTCCTCTCGCTAAATAGTGGACAGACGCGGAATCTTCCTGTTCCCAACTGTTGCTCTTGGATTTGATATAAAATGAAACCATGTAAAGCACTGCGCATCCCGTTGTTTAGCCCAGGAGCTCCCTGCGTAGCTTATACAAGTCTCGTGCTAGTTGAAGCCTGGCTTCAGTTACCATTTTAGTATATATATATATTAGTTGGTCACTCTACACTTCAAGTCTGCGTATGTTTCTGCAACCTTTGCTGCTACATATTCCAGCTGATATTATTACCATGGTAGTAGTCCACCTTTTACTTTTATTCTACTGTCTCTACTGTCTCTACTGTCTCTACTGTCTCTACTGTCTCTACTGTCTCTACTGTCTCTACTGTCTCTACTGTCTCTACTGTCTCTACTGTCTCTATTATATCACAGTCATCAGACACAGCTTATTACTTGACACCTTTTCAATTAGCCATCTATTCTTTCTCAACCTATTATTTGGGCGATCAAAGCACTTCAAGTCACACAAGCAAATTAGTTTCGGTATCATTCATCTCATCCCTAACCTGAGAGTGGGTAAACTAGGCTTTCGCCCACGTAGTCCCCTCGTTTTATTCCTCTTCATCATCACTCTCAGCCTCGTCACGTCTCTGAATTCGCTTGCCTCTCTAAGTGGAAGGTGTTGGCGAAGCCTGCGAGGCACAAGCGGAGCTTATTACACTGGAATGTGTAGAATCCATGACTTCGTCTTCATCTTCATCAGCAGGATCAGTTGTGCGACCACTGCCCCCTTCGGCTGCAAATATCGACGCCTCCTCCTCAGTCAGATGGCCGACTTGGTGCGCAATTTTGCGAAGAGTCGAATTGCGCAAGTAACTGCCCGGTGTTGCCCAAACCTTTCCTACGCCATCGATGAGGTAGTCCCGCCACCAACCGGGAACGTCGTGGCGTTGTCGCCTCAGGATGCTCATACAAAACGCAAAGTACAAGTATCGTGCGGCCGGGCGAAAGTCGTTCTGGAACTGCAGCGAGCGTCCGTGGAGTTCAGAGCCTGATGGCAGCGCCAGGGACCTTTTCTTGGCATCAGCTTCATAGAGCCAATAGACCTTCCAACCGCTGGTAGATGCTTGGCCGTTCTCCTGGTCTCCATCAGGTACAATGACCAGACGGGCCTCGTCCAGCGCCTGTTCATACACCTGGTGTATTGGTATGCCATTTTTTGCTCCCATCAGGTGGCCATCCTTATCGTTTGAGGGGCCAAACAGGTGTTGGGCAGAAGGTTCGCCCACATTGTATCTAACAATGTGAGCTGCTTTGATAAGGCTTGCATCATGCCATTGGCCTGAAATGGCACACCAAGCGGCATGCCCATCTGCAGCGCCATATGCTTTAAGCACTTTTGCGCGAAACCTTTGTTGAGCGTCTGCATCTCGAGGTGCAAAGAGAGACAGTCTTGCCCCTTCAGGTGTCTTGTAGCGGCTGATTAACAGATCAAGGTAGGCCCAGTCTGCATTCTCACGGTCTTGCCGCCAAATCATATCATCCAGCATCCTGCCGCTAAGCTCGTGGCGTGAGGTCCGGATAACAACGGTATCTCCTATGAGGGATGTGATTCGGCGCTCCAATTTTTCAATTTCAGACGTGAACGTTTCTTGGGTGATGTCGAGGTTCCCAGCATGCCATTCTCCGTTGAGAATGCCGACGACCTGTTCGGCTGCGGCCAGCTCTTTCTCCTTGTCTTGAAGAGTGGCCTCTATGATTGATTCTGCTGCATCTCGATCCCTTTCTACCATCTGCTGCTTTGCCGGAGGGGGGGCATCAATGGTCAAATTGGAGAGCTGCGAGATGTTGCGCTTCCCACCACGTAGGCCCTCGACTGCTTCCTGAACTCGCTGTGATACTTCCTTGGGCAACTTGCTTCGGATTTTCGGAAGCGCGAGTAATTTGGCTCCTTCATCATCATACTCCCGGATGTTACCGGTGCTGTGCGGCGTTGGGGATTGTGCAACAGGGAGGCGCTTCTTGGGCATGGATGGACCAGCGGAGGCAGGCTCCTTGGGAGATGGAGTCGAGGGCTCGGCGCGTTGTTGCACCTCTTTTGGCTGGGATTTGTTCGACCTTTTGTTCTTTTTCGGCATCTTGGCGGGAAGAGAATGGGCGATACGAGTGGTGAGACTGCATGTAGATAGAAGCTGGTTAGAACAAGGCCTCTGGCCTAATCTGTGGATGACCTGATCTGTATACTGACCTGTAAGAGAGGCAATGGAAAATACCTTGCAAAAGGCGCTGAAGGCAGGGGGAAAACAGTCAATTGTGTGAGTATGGATGGATGTCTTTGAACGGGGGAGAGTTCAAAGACTGCCTTTTTAAGTTTCAACGTTGTTTTAAGATTAAGTGGGACTTGGCTTCACTTTAAGTTCAATTCACTGCCACTTTGAAAAGGCAGTGATATGTACATGTATACATTCATCCACCTTGCAAAGCATCCACCCGTCCAACACCTCATACAGCTGCCTACTGCTGCCACCACTACTGTACAACTACTACTTCTACTGCTTCTACTGTTTCTGCTATGACTGCTTGTTGTTCCCCGAGACTCTGGAACCTTCTGTACTCGGCCGCCACTGCGAATGTGAGGCTGATATCCAGCTCAGTGAATGACGTGTGGAGGCGAATACACGGCTTCAGTAAATTTGCGGCTAACACAAACATCCGGCTGGGTGAATTGACCATATCCAAACTACCCAGTACATAATGACAGCTAGATACCTAGCAAGGTAGGTTGGGATCTCGCCTCTCCTCTTTACACACGTCTACCTACTATAATGTAGCTACTACATCATCTTCAACTACAGCGACTACGACAGCTACAACAACCACGTGATTTAGAAGCAGAAACCAGTGTCCAGCTTTTGAATCATCCATTCTCTGATTTTGCATTCTCAGCCTATCAGCTGGGCAATTCAATCACAAGAGCGTCGCAAAGATGCTCCGATTCATCCTCATCCTCGGCTTCAAACTCGACCTCGACCTGTTTCTCTCATCCACACCATCCCCATTCGCATCCTCACCAAAACTCCAATCCTCAGTCAACAACGATGGGTTGGCACCGCAACCGAGTCACTAGAGAACTGCGCATAAAAAATCATCCATGTCCTCACCATCTCCAACCTCGATTCCTTCGTCTTCAACAGAACCGTCTGGCGCACACGGAAATGTACCCTGAGCTGCAAATTCGGCAGCATCTTCCTCAGTCAAGTGGCCTCGTCTACGCGCAAGCTTTCGAAGAGTTGGCTCTCGTAGACAGGAGCCCCCAGGTCTTTCGCTTGCTGGGCCATCATCGAAACAAGTTTGCCACCAACCAGAGGCCTCATATCGCTAGCGTCGAAGGATACTCATACAATAGAGAAACAACAAATACTGTGTAGCAGGATCGCATATGCCATTGGCCAGGCATGACACACCAGGCGAGCTGGCCGCGTTCCGCGTCGTATGCCAGCATTCTGCCGTTAGTCTCGTGACTAGAGGTTCGAAACACAATTGTATCCCCCGTGAGAGTTTTGATTTGGCGTTTTATATTGGCGCCATCCAACTGAAGCGCCTTAATCGCGGCGTCAAGGTACCCGGTGTGGTATTCTTCATCAAAGATACCGATGAGCCGTTCCGCTGCGGCTTGTTATAGAGAGCGTTTTGATGACGGAATCTCCTCCAAATTGATTAATCTCCGTCAAATACACGCATCCAAGTGTGCAAATCTTCTAATATTTGATCAACGCATGGTAATACATGCTACTAAAGCTTGTCTCTCGGAGATTTGACAGCGTCAGCAGCTCTGAATCCATCCTGATAAATCGTGCTGATGACGAAAATTTTAGCTTTGGAGATATTGCTGTGGGACTGTTGACGACATGGAAAAAAGCAAAGTACGATAATACAGTTGTGCTGATGCGTTTTAACTCTTCATTTGACTCTGCGCTGTTGATGGATTCCGCATGTAGCGTTTGTTGGGACTCGCATCAAGTACAGTTACGCGTACGTACCTAGTCGAAAGACGATAAAATTCACCTTGAGGAGCTTTGGGGGCTTTGTAGAAAGTAAAATGATAAAGAAACTTTACAGCCATTGGCGTGTGACTCCATCATACCCGCTTCTTCTTCTATATCCACCACATCTACTACCAACGTATATATTGCTGCTACCACCTCCCTTGCTTCTTCCACCTTTCTTACTTCTAACCCTCCGCCATATTAACAACATCCGCTTAAATCCAGCATATCCATAAACATTCATCACAATCACCATGGATTTCCCCCCTCTGGATACCCCATCCATCGACATCCATATCTGCTATCTGGAACGTCTCATCCAGAAACTAGAGCAACAACGAAGACGTCGAATAAAACACCTGCAATGGGTGCTATACTTCAGCTACCCCGACTATGAGCCCCGCAAAGACTATGACAACTACGACGACCTTAAGCATTACAAAGGCCGCAGCGGCAATTATCCCTACTGAAGCGATTGTAGCCACAAACCTCCTGCATCTACAGGCCATTCTATCAAAGCTGCAGCTGCTATTCCCACCAGTCTCCTGTCGCCAACGATCCGCTGAATTCTCAAACGCCTCTGGTTTCCGTCAGAATTTACTTTGGTGTTGGGAGTTGCTTCATTCTTTTTGCGGACACTCGCTCTCCTCCTCCGCAGGTTCAACGTCTTGCGCAACTTTGCATCTACTTCCGATGGCGATTGACTCCTCATTCTGCTCTCAATCTTCGCTGTCATCCAGGCATGATGACAATTCGGAAAGGGAACCACTCCCTGGGAATTATGTTCCACACTACATGTATCCTCTGGGACGTCTTCAGGAATATGGACGCGATGGCGTCTTGCGTTCAGCCGCGGCGAGTAAAAGGTGCTACAACACATATATTGCATCTACAAAGATACAAAAATGATGTGCTCGATACAATATATACAGATAGACAGACTACAACTGTATTAATAAAAAGATGCCCATAGACTTAGTGTTGCTTTCCTAGCCGTGCATGTATTTTCCGGCTACCAATCTTGACTTTTCCCCAGTACACCGATCCAGCCACGATAGAGCTTATCCTATATAGCTCGAGATGGGCACATCATCCGTTCATTGGGTATGCGTCTGAGTGAGTTGGCGGCAGACCGCGCCAGATACCTTCAGCTACTTGCGCCAAAGCCAGCCGCCTAGAGTAAGACGACGACAGCTGCACAGTCAGAACCAATGGCAGTAGGTACTACTTCAACAAGATGCGAGATGGTGGGGGCTATTGGCCGTGATTCACACATTCAACCGGGGCTTTCTTCTTCTGTGGCTGCGAGGAAATAACATTTCGCCGCATCTCTCTGTTAAATCCTCTTGCCATCTCGTGATCGTAGCCAGCAATTAGTTGTCTTCATGTCTCATGCTGTTCTAAAGCTAACCTGTGCTATATTCTCACCGTATTCAATGCGCGGGGCAGCGCTTCACTAAAATCAGACAAGCCCGTTTTCATATTCACGACTTAGTTACCAAAAGATTTCAGCGCAAGCCTTGCGAATCTGACCTCTTCTTTTCCCTGCAATTAGCAAGTTCCCCCCCTATCGCAATATGGCTTCCTCCCTCCTCAGCCTCTTGGGCCTCGGCCCCAGGAGATCTGCGCCGCCAGTTGTGCCGACTGATGAGGTCGTGCCGGTGCATCTCTTTGACGACACGGCAACGCTGCGGCGCTATACGTTGATGTGGACCTTCAGGTTTGACGACGTTCTCGATGCCGATAAGCTGGGCAATGCGCTCTCTGAGCTCTTCCAGATGGAAGGATGGCGGAAGCTAGGCGGTCGAATTCGACGCAGGGTAAAAAAATAGCCGCGCGCTGTTTTGTTTATCAATTGACAATCATCGGCTAACTGACATCAAATCAGCCTGATGGATCGGCTGAGATTCACATCCCATGCCCCTTCACAGAGGAGCGACCGCCGCTCTACTTCACAAAGGCGAGATTCGACATGCGCATGTCCGAACACCCCGAGGCATCCACGCTGCCGACTGCCCCAGATAACTCGAAGCCGGCGACGTTCCCAAGTCCTCGCAACTATCAGTCATTGGGCCGTGGACCTGGATCGCCAGCTTGTATCGATGACTACCTTTATTCCGATCTTCCGCAGTTTGCCCTTCACGTAGTCAACTTCACAGACGGGACATTGGTCTCCATCAACTTCAATCACATCGTCAGCGACCTCGCCGGCCTCATGGCCATCATGAATGCTTGGCAGCTCGTGCTGGCCGGAAAGCCGGAAGCGGTGCCTCCATTCAAGGGCCTCTATGAAGATTCCATGGCTGGTCTTCACAAGGCGCAGACAGCGGAAAAGTATGTCCTGGCCGACAAGCAGCTTTCGGGGTGGAAGCTTGCGGCATTCGGACTGCGGCTCGTGTTTGATTACTGGTGGAACTCCCCGATCGATTCGAGGCTGGTTTGCGTCCCCAAGAAGACGATGGATGCTCTTGTTCGGGCGGCTCAAGACCAGGTGCCACAGTCTGTGGACACCAGCAGCAATGGAAATCCGGCTCGATTCATTAGTGAGAATGACATTGTTGTAGCGTTGGTCACAAAGGTAGTCGCTCAGAACTTACCCCCCAACCGCCCCATTACCGTCCTGCAGGCTGTTGATCCTCGCAGCCGCGTCAAGTCAGTTTTCGACCAAAACGCCGCCTATGTTTGCAATGCTCCTGCTGCCGCCTTTCTCTTGTGCAGCAGCCAGGAGGCAGTAGACAAGAGCATCGGCGAACTGGCGCTTGACGGGCGAAAGGCAATTCAGTCGCAGGTCACGGAAGAGCAAATGAAGGCTGTAGCCGTGATAGCAGGCAAATCCATGGCGAACACCGGGAATCCCCCCATATTTGGGGAGAGCAATATGGCCTTGGTGGTGTCTTCCAACTGGAGCAAAGCCAAGTTTCTGGAAAAGGTGGACTTTAGTCCGGCAATCGTCGAGAGCTCGCAGAGGGATCGCCCTAGGGGGAAGCCGGGCCATCCAGTTTATTACCATTCTCAGAGCTTAGAGAAGGGCAGCTTGACTACAAACGTTGTCATCATCATGGGCAGAGACCTAGAAGGGAATTTCTGGATGAATTGTGCTCAACCAGCCCATGTCTGGCCAGTGCTGCTAGGACTGCTGGAGAAGTATGCATAGGTTCTATGGTTTGACAGCTCACAGCCTGCTGCTCAGTGTAGGTATTTGCTGCCATGATTTCGTGTTATTAAATGGCGTCTTTCTGATCTATTAAATGTCTATAAAATATCTAAAAATACAAAAGAATGGGCATGGCCATCACAGCTGCTACCAAGTAGAGGCTGGCAGTGGCCATGCCGGCTCCATTCTTGGAGGATCCAGTCTTGGTAGGGCTAGCAGTAGTGGTGCTTCCTTGTGCAGGGCTTCCAGTCTTAGCTGGTGCGTCGCCAGAACCCGTGGACTGTGAGCTATCAGAGCCAGAGTTAGAACCGGATCCAGAACCAGAGCCGGAGCCGGAGCCAGAGCCAGAGCCAGAGCTGGAATCCTTGACGCCTGCCGCAGTAATAGTATATACAGTTCCATCGCCACCATTTGTATAAGTAAACACGGATCCACTAGCAGGAGCTGTTACTGTTCCCGCAGCGTTGCTCAGTGTAGCCGTCCCGCTCTTGGGAAGGTTGGTTGGTTTGTAGTAGGTGCTAACTCCGTCGAGAGAGTAACCGAGGCTGGAAATGCAGTCGTAAGTGTCCAAGTAGCTGCCGCAGGAGTCAAAGGGGGTATTAAGCTGTGACTCGAGTTGAGAAACGTTTGAGAGGCCAATAAGCGTAGGATCGGTGTCAGGGCAAATGTTGTAGAACCTGGGTAATGGCTTATGATTAGTATAGAACGAAAGATGGAGAAGAGAGAGAGAGAGAGAGAGAGAGATCCATGCTTACGATGATAGAGCTCCACTGATCTCACAGCAATCACATCCCTGAATCTGCTGAAGATTGTTGGAGGCGTCGGGCCCGTTTGCGTTATTTGAACATGTTGCAGTTTCTTGGATGGCGTCTTGAATGGCGAGGAAGACCTTGCCCAGGTTGCAAGAGCATGCATCGGCAGCCTTGTTGGGTGCCGGGAAGTATGGCACGGGCAGCTTGGCGATGGGGCAGTTGAGGAAATACTCGATGATGTACTCTTGATATTCGCACTCCCAGACTCGGTTCCAGCAGGATGCGGAATAGCAGTTGTAGTTGTCAACGTAGTTCTGGCAGCCGCAAGCCAAGATTTCCTGCTGGCTATTGTCCTTCTTCGCCTGGGCAATACATGAGCTCAGGTTGTCATTGGCCTTCTTTTGGCAGCTCTCGAAACCAGACGCATCAGCACAGCCAGTGCTGGTTAAAGTGGCCTCTGTGGCGGCGAGAACCGCCGTAGAGAGGAGAGGGAGCAAAGCTAGGCGATGCATGATATGTTGATGCAGGTCTGGACACTTGTACGAATAGATGAAGCAGAGGCAGGAATAGGAGATAGGAAAAGAAGCTTAAAAAGTAGAATCCAGCCAGGGCTGGGCCAACTACAAGCCAGAGACACGCCCTTCTCGTCATTTCGGCCGCCTGTCGCTCGGCCTCCAGAGTCAGCCTTGGACTGCTTCCACCATTGCCCAACCGGGCCAGCTGAAAAAAAAGAGCTCCATTGCCAGTGGATACTTACATTGACTGATTTCCAAATCCGAGAGTCACCCATGTCCCAAACGAGCTGCCCGGGGACTTTGGAAGAGCCGCATTGCTGCCGAGCGATCCGTATTCCGCACTGAGGCCCGTTATCGAGGTGGCCTGTGGCACGACGAGAAAGCCCCCAGATTAGCGAGTTGGCGAGGGCCACGGGATTGGCCAGCAGGGAGGGGCCGCAATCTATGGCGTATCTGCTGTTCCTAGGCCATGCCGTTTTGGCGGATGCTAAGGCGGTGGCTTGGTTTGGCTCGGGTGAGGCGCGCGGAATTCGTTTGATGCTGGCTTGATGACTTGATGGGTTGATGGGTGTGGATTCGTTGAAAGACTGCCTGTTGTTGATTAAAGAGAGCGGTTAGCCTTGCCCCCTGAGATTGCCGAAGAAATATGATGGATGCCGTGCAACGCTTACGAAATCAGTGTTGCAGCGCAGCACTCGTCGAAACGAGGCGAGAAATGTCTTGGACGAGTCGGAGAATGGATGATGTCTGTGTCTGTGTCTGTGTCTGAGTCTCTTACTCTTCAAATTGCCGTTTGCTTGCTGCAGCTGCACATGATCTCGTCCCTTATCGCTCGCGCATTCGGATGCTTATCGATTAATCATTGATATCGCACCTACAGTCTACAACCGTAATCTCTGGCATCACTAGTATAGAAAACTTTCGTACAACAAAAACCTATTCTGCCTTGTCTGTGGCGCTGCATGGCATCCCGTCATAAAAATTCTCCGTGGGATTCGGAACGTCGGATTTTTGGGTAGCAATATTTGACCGATGACTGCTATTGAGGCTGCAGATTTTAGGTTGCGGTGTGTGAAAGTAGCTTATCGATATTTTGCTGTTTCGGGCAGCATTACCCGGGGCTGGTGAGATTCGGCAGAAGAAAAAGTGAGATTTGACAGCAGGATGGTGGTATTAATAGGTATACTTGGTGTATCAGGCTTCACGCAAAAACTGCTGGTCGATTTGTACATTAGAAGCACGGTGTAGACTTTACGAGCAGGAAAGGGTTTTAATTAGAGGCGTTGATCATGGACAATTTAAACTTGGATTTTAACTCGGAATTAACCGTGAATGATCAGCTCAGCTCCCTAAAAGCTGCTGAGATAATGTGGATCTGATGAGCTGCGAGCCCCAAGCATATGCCGCTCACTTAATCATCAGTCGCATTGAATCATATATCGGTAGAAAACAAAAGAAAAATAAAATATAATAAAAGAATTAACCCACAAGGTTTAATATAAAGAATGATATGAGGAGGAAATGAATTTTGTCGTCTAAAGGCTGGAATAGAAGAGAATCGGCACCAGAATTGAATGTTTTTGTGTGAAAGCAGACTCATCGCGTCGATGATTTTTTAGTGACGGATGAAGAGAAGGCTTTTTTGCCCCAAAATCATCACGCAACTTCAAGATTCAGACTCAGCTTAAATAATAAGACACATCCCGCTGAGCATCTCACCATCTGCTTAAGCTTGCTTAATTTTTTTCTCTCACAGTGATCAAGACATTGAATAGCTTTGTTATGCTTAAAAGCTTGTTTGATATAGGGTACCAACTTTGAAGACTTTAAACTCACAAGTTTCCAACTCAATTCTCACCGACGAAATGAAAGGCACATATACTGCGACTAAGCTAGCTGAAAGCGCTGCTATATTCTTGGCCCCTTGCTGGATATCTATGAAAAATATCTTGCAAGTGGCCATCTGTTGATACCTCATGGCATGAGCTTGGCCTGACATGAGCATTTTTACTGTGTAATACCTGCTATTTTATAGCGGCCCATCGTCGCCATTATAGCGGCGTGTGCACTATAATACAGAGGGCTATGTGCTGTATGGTATGACTACGATCTTAGTAGACACAGCCTAGACAATAAGAAGCGTTACACCTCATGTCACTGTCACTTCAACTCCGAGCTCATCAGCTGAACTGCTGAGTGAGTGCATGTTCATGCGGCGTTGGATAAAACTCAAATGAGGCTATTATTCTTATAAGGGCTGTATATTCCGTCATTTAGTAGTAAGCGTCTGTCATTACCATTTAAGCTATCACAGTCATTCTTCCCATTAACCGTTGCCGATTTAAACCCAGCTCTACTCGCTGCATTGGGACCCGAGATTATCGTCGAGATGACGTCTCAATAAGCAAATCCAACATGGCCATCTGTGTTATAAAGATGTCATCAAAAGAGAGACCAGTCTTTTTAAATTAAGCTACAAAAGATCCATACCGCGACAATGCCCATTGCGCTCCTCATCTACCAACCTTTTCCCATATGGCACCAAGACCACCGGTCGATGCTCTCTTCTGCGATGGTTATGACAGTCTCTTTATTCTGTCTTGCCGCGATGTTTCATTAAAAATTCATAATTCGATACACTTCCATTCATAACATCTCAGGACATGTGTGGAAAATCCGCAGTCCAAGTAGAAATATAAGCACCCCTCGGCAAATAGTACAGCGACCGTATGCTCTCCGTAATCAGGAATAAGCGAGCGAAAATGTAGAAGAATGTGGTAAATCCAACAACTGCTTTGACCATCAAAGTCTCTATTTTTACAGCATCCTTTGGGGACTTTCCCATGAACGGCAAATGACTACTGCAGTATAAAGTAGGGCACGCAATAGTCATGGTGGCAGATATTTTCCACAACAAACCCTCAACGGGAGTTGGGAATTGGAGATTCCAAGCTAGAAGATGAATACCACCGAAAGAGATGACGGTGATCATCGCCACAACGAGTGATTGTCTATCAATGTGCTTCAGATCTCCATCAGTCTCGTGAAAAGCAATAGTAGGCATGTAATAGTGCTTGTATTGCCAGAACCGTTGCTGCATATACGGAAAGGGAGCTTCATTGACAATCTCCGTAAACGCCTCTTCTGAAACACTACGTTTAGCGGCCTTGACATACACTGGCGTGTTGATATCCTTTGGCTTGTCCCACTCAACGAAATATAGGATGATTGCTGTAGCGGAAAAAGCGACGGTGCTGAGCTCCAATGGCGCGAATGGATGACGATAGTATACGCGAGCGCAAAGCTGGACGACCATCCAGATGACTTGCATTACGGCCAAGATCTTTACCAAAGCATCCGACTTATTCTTGTCGTCGATATCTGCAGCCTTAATCTTTGGCAAGTCCGTGATGATCTTATGTTTCTTGGCAATGGCCAGTTGCTTCGAATCCAACGTCCACATATTTCCAGACAGCGCAGCAATATTCAGCAGCTTCCAGAGTGGTGGATTCTCACCAAGTGTCTCCTTTATCTTGATTGCGTGTTTTACATGCGGTTCGTGTCGTTTCCATAGGATTTCACATCCTCCCAACCACCTCCTCTGCCTTTTCTCGAATTTTGTGATGAAATCGTCGGCATTTTCTCGAAGCGGCTGAGATTCGACGTCTCCCGGCCAGCTGTGTGCATCTCGGGAGGATCTAGTAGCTTCTTGACTGGACCTATAGGTCTCTCGGTCGGATATCAGAGCACCTCGCCGTGGTAGAAGAGCCTCTTGGCTTGCTCTTGGAGTCTCATGACTTAATGGATTCCCCGGTGGCCTTTCTGATACGGACTTCTCATTATTGTTTTGACTTTCACGGTCTGAGAAATCAATGATAATCCCTCCCATATCAGGTAAATTTCTGGTATTAAATCTCTCAAACAGTCGCTATAGGATGAACTTTAGTATTTTTACAAATGCGTGTTTAAATCTTGAAAGGTTGAGAACTTGATAGATAGAATCACACATAAACAGCTTTACAAGATGGACAAATTTCACCATTTTAATCCGAATTGCACACTTCCTAATCAAGAGACTACTGGCTTCGTCAAAGCACCAAACATACGCACGACTATGCAAATCATCTGGAGTTGTTTCAGCGTCATCCTGCTCTGCACCTGGTCCATTCTTCGTCCCAACGTGCCACCCGAGCTCACGCCGAACGGATGGCGACAGTCCATTTACAAAAAGGCATTTCTTGTATGTCGAAAGGTCTACTGGATGGGCGTGATGCTTATTGCTCCGGAATTTCTCACCACCTTTACGACTAAGAAGATGCTTGGCACGAAAAAGAACGTCGCAGAGCTGAAAAGGCTTGCGGGGGACGAAATTGAGTGGGGTTTGCCACAGACTATTCTTGCGGATCCATGCTTGTCATTACCATATTCTGTAGCCAATAATGATAATCTTCGGTGACAGAAGCTCCCAGTCGATGCACATCATACTGTCATGCGGTGACACAAGCATTATCGTGCATACAAGTCTCCACCTTTGAAGTCTTCTACAACGAGTTAAAGGACGATGCAATACTAGAGAGACACGTGTATACGATTTATTTGTTTGAGACTTTGCTCCCAGGCTGTGACTTGAACCCAGTCACAGTCTATTGAAGCCTCGTCAGAAGACGCCTGAAATTGATGTAATCTCGTGTAACAACACTTTGTGTCCCACATTTGAGTCGCGAATAAAGTAAAAAATATTGAATTGTGGGAAAAGTATGCATTAATGTATTCTTCAATGAAGATGATGTTTTAAGAAGTAATTGAGGTAGAATCTAGCTGATGAATAGTGAGTGGATAACCGTCCATTGTGGTTGGCGAATTAGAATAAGTCAAATCATAGTATGAACTATGAGAAGATGACTAGAACTTGAGAATCGAAAGAATGATTCATTGCAACCAAGGATATTAATGACGTTTTGAGTAATCAGATAAGGTCATAAGCTGCATGGTCCTCACATTTCTTGCATGGATCGCTCAAGGCCAGCGGGACTGACCTGGAAGAAATGCACTTACTCATTACTCTCAACAGTACAACACCTGGAGATTGTCTTTAGATGATTCACGTTCTATGAATCGGGATCTACTACAAATTACCAGATCACCGCCATTTCAAAGGATAACTGGCGAATAGGCTGATGAAGAGCTGCATGTGTATACTGCAGCATAGGCAACTTGTATTCAGGCTCATGGGACATCGCTCAGAGTATACGCCACATGCATCTCCCTCGGAGTTTAATATAAACTCCGTGTGAAAGTCAGGATTTAAAACTATAGTTTTACCAGTTAAAAGTGCAAAGTAGTGCTTGTAGAACACACCGGAGAAAGAGCAGTTCACAGCGGAGATAATAGCAAATAATCTAAAAGCCGGAAGGATTTGCGGAGTCGTACAGAGAATATATACTTGAATAGTACTTCAATTGGCAATATAGTCTGGGCAGCTTTCTTGCAATTCTCTATATATCCTCTCGCTAAGCTGGTTTGGCCATGGCTCCAACACATGCCGCTGCTATTCTCCCTCAGAAAGGCGGTCCATTTATAGTCGAGGACCGCAACACCCCAGAGCCTGGCCCGAATGAGCTCCTCATCGAAGTCAAGGCTGTGGCCCTAAATCCCGTCGACTATTACCAACGAGACGTCGGTCTCCCTCCTATACCCAGTTATCCCACTGTTATCGGATCCGATGTGGCTGGTGTTGTCGCCAAGGCGGGCCCTGGAGTGTCAACCGGCCTTGCCCTAGCCACCCGAGTCATCGCTTTTGCCTCTGGTTTCTACCACAATGGCTCACCGGATTACGGTTCCTTTCAGAAATATGTCTTGGCTCAGCCAGAGGGCGTTGTTGTACTCCCTGACCATCTTTCGTTTGAACAAGGTGCTGTTTTCCCCTTGGCTGTTCTGACTGCCTTGACAGCATGGACCACAATCGGCATCTCGCTCGACACTCAGTATACGCCGCAGGATAAGCAGGCAGTACTGATCTGGGGTGGTGCGAGTAGTGTGGGCACTTTTGCTGTTCAATCAGCTAAATTGCTGGGCTTTACTGTCTATGTGACTGCCAGCTCTCAAAACCACGAATACATGAAGCAGCTCGGGGCGCACGCTGTCTTCGACTACAAGGATGGTGATGTTGTCTCTCAGATAGTTTACCAGGCTCAGAAAGATGGCGTCAAGCTCAACACAGCACATTGCGTCGTCAAGGAAAGCTTGCAGCCAACGCTAGACGTACTCAAGGAGACCAAAGGCAGTGCACCAGCTATGGTTGCACATTCGCCTGTCCTGCCGCAAGATCATCCGACCCTGGACAATACTACAGTCCTGTTCAACTGCCCGTCGGCGGATAAGGCTGCCAGGGACAAGCATATTGACCAATGCTTCAATGGATGGCTTGGAAAAGGTCTCCGGTCAAATACAGTTGTTCCCAGCCCGTTTATTCAGGTTGAGGCGGGTGGTCTAGAGGGTTTAAATTCTGCGCTGGATAAATTAAAGGCTGGGGTTAGTAGCACAAAGATTGTAGTCTCTATATAATTATGTATTGTATATGATATCACCTGGGAGTTGCCCTGTTTTGCTGCAAAAAGGAAGCCCCTGCTTGTGGTCCTGCAGTCGTGGAAGGTTTGTATGTTGATGCAGATTATATACTGTGAATATGCCATCTACAACGAAATTTGTTGTCATTGAATCCGAGGCTATCCGATCCTTGTCAGTAAGTAAATGGGCTCGGCATGTCGCTCGGGCCGTCGCCGTGCTCTATTGGTAGAATGTGAGTCCTTTCCTCTCAATGTCTCAGTAAGTCAGGATGAATGTCGTACATGTTTCAGTAATCCAGGGTGAATGATGCCCAAAGACTGAGTCTGATCTGTGACAATCTTTTTTTCACATTCGGAATACCGCAAACTTGGATCTTACAATCTAGTCTTGACTACTGAAATGTAGACAATTAATCATTAGAATTAGCAAGTGTTTTGGACAAAACAGCAATATGGAATATGTATTGGTTGAGTGTTACTTGATGACGAAACACTGACAACGCGAGCTAAAGTTTTAGTTGCGACAAGTGTATGATATGCCTCCAATAGCGGTAAAGCTTAAGCCACGGGCTAGGATCAAGATGGAACAGCTTCTTAACGGTATTACGAGATGCTAAACACTTTTTACTAGACGCTTTACTTCTGTCATCTCCAGAAAATCTACAACTAGTTAGCGATGGACAGTTCACTGACTCTGTGTAAGACATGAGGTTGGATTCACCCAGCTGAGTAATATCGAATACAAGGCCTTATGAGAAAGACATGTAAGCTACGAGCATTTACACCAACTATAAAAGGCCCTTGTTTTGTCCTTTCCATCAACACCTTATTTTTCTACATCCCTCATTCCATCCTCATAATCATATTGCCAAGCAATCATGAAGTTCGATCTCGCTTATTTACTTGTCCTAGCCAGCGCGGCTCTTGTTCGGGGAGATTGTTTGCCGCATGTAAGGGCCACAATACCAAATCAAATGTCATTGACAAGACCATACTAATCGATTGGGGAATCTAGGGCGCTCAATGCGGAGGATTTTTTGATCCTGATTGCTGCGCCCCATATCAGTGCCTCAACTCTCAATGCAATGTAAGCCATGTTCCTACACATAAGCACGAAATATTGGTTACTAAAGTCGTTGAAAATTCTAGCCTAGGTAACTCAGCACCTATATCGTTTGACACTCGTTCTGCTATTTGGAGGAGAAAGCCTTCGGCCGTTGCATGGAGTTCTCCACTAGAGTTAAGCTCGGCCGGCCGTTGACGGGTTCAATATAAAATTAATACAATTGGAATATTTATTCTTTTTCTAGCCTGGAACATTATATATGCATCAATGCCCATATTATTATGCACAGTCATAATCTAAGTGAAGCTGTCGGAAACTAGTAGGGCGATGTGTAGTATGCTATGAGTCCACTTTATGCCCGCGATAGCCGTTAAAACAAGACATTAACTAGCTAGGTAAAGCTATTACCTCAATGTTACTTGGAATAGACGGGCTGCGAACTGTTTGTGACCGCGTTGGCTATTGTACCCAACATCATTCAAAGAATGAAGTGGCATGACCAAAAAAGTGTTAATGACAAGAGCTGTATGATGGGTGCCATGATAACAGCGTCTAATATGACCAGACAATGGATAGATGGAATGGATTATAAGAAGAGAAGATTCTAGTGAAGCATACAAGCATATATATCTGTGACGTAGGTGATATGTATAACAAACACAGCAAACAGGAGGATGCTGTAATGAAACTCGTAACCAGCGTCATGCCGCTAGTGTAACTTTTTATCGACTTCTTCGTAGGGAATTCTTTCCTTTTTCAGTGTAGTTTCCTAGTTCAACCAACACAGACATTTCCAACCAACCTCTGGTTATCAAGATCATAATGCAGAGCATATTGTTACACAAATATCTGACTACAGTGGCTGCCAGATACACATACCCATGTGAAAAGTGCTGTCCAATCACGAATATCAGCATATGTAGATATCTTCCATGTTGGAAAACTCACCTAACCACAGCGGACAAAGTCGATTGAATTCGTCGCATATCACTCAAAACCATATCTCTCTCCCAGTATACGCTGTCGTACTGAGACTCCCTCGAGGCGGCTCTACTTAATGTAGTCGAGGCAATTGTAAATCCAAGACAGAGGATAACATCGCATCGAAATCTAGTATTCGTATAACCGGTGTGTTTCGAATCGAATAGTCTTGGGAAAATAATGTCCAGACTACCGTACACTAAGGCAGTCAGACACTAGAGAAGTGATTAGGGCTTATTCGTAAGGACTGTTAAATGTATTGGTGAACGTCTTACTATTAGTATTATCAGACTGTCGAAAAAACTTAGAACATCACATAATCGTTTGATGGAAAAGCATGCGATGAAGATGTAGAGGCTCGATGAGACTAAGCGCGTAGCTAGGAGGATCGTTTGTGTATAATCGGAGAGACAACGTTTTACTCCATCCATCATGTGTAACTGTTAGCGGCGGCGAAGAGGAGGAAAAAAAAAAGAATATGGAGCAATCTATTGTGATACTGTGTTGGAGTCAAATCGAAACTTCATCTCATCGTAATCATAATCATCACCCTCGCAAAGCTACTCTTTCATACGCTTGCAATAAGCCCTGCATCGATATACAATACTACGGTGTTCATCCGAAAAGATGGCGGTAAATCGGATGCGTCTAGCTATCCGCACCCGAAAGGGAGAGACGGGGTCGGATGGGCTGTTGACTGCGATATAATGCCAGCAACGGTCACATCATGAATGGATGATTTGCGTGTGTCATCAAAAGGAGAGCATAGGACAGCGGTGGGCCAAGAAGATCCACAGCCGTCTCTAATGCGGTAACTTTCGCAGCGAGAAACGGACACTAACCCAGTAGGTCCAGAATCATCCCACATTCCACTTTATAGTGCTTCACTATCCGCGTATTTAGGTGGCTAGGGCCATGTGTAGCCTCGTGTGATTCGCGAGCCGGGGGGGCTCCAAGCTTCAAAAGTCCGCGGACCCGTTAGAAAATCCCTTAGCCTTTGCTCCTCCACATGGCCAAAAGAAGCAATTGGGGATGATCGTAGCACCAATAGCAGGCGAGGAAAAAGCCACTCTCCACTTTTATAATAACGAAGTAGAGGCCATCCCCCAGCTTTTTTGAATCATTTGGCCAGAGGCTCATTTTACGAGGGGAGCTCTGGACAGAGAGAGGGAGAAGACTGATGGTGATGGTATTTTGCTCCATCCAACACAGCATAGGCTGAGGATTGTATGCTAGCAATACGATGTCCGAAGAAGAGGTTGATTTGGTATTAATATTAAAGGGTATATGTCTCCAACTATCAGCTCTGCTGAACTAGACGTGATCCATGTTATGGTTTTGTTGCGGCTGTGGTAGAGACGGCTTTTGAATCCGATCTGATTTCTGAAATCTTTTCTGCAATTTCCTCTGTAGATGTCTCTATTGATGGGATACATTCATCACACTGGTTGCGGTCAAGAGTACGCCGCAGCTGCTCTTCACACCATGCTAGCCGCGCAAACAGGTCCTTTGTCGACTGCCTCCGTTTGCGAGTAGGTGCTGGTGTGCTTGGCTGACAGACAACTTTGAGCTGAATACGTGTAAGTAAATAAGAATATGTCAGCGCGCTGCTGTGTCTTATCTTTCAGGTGGAGAGTTGGCGGATGCCGCACCTTGATGCACATAGAGCATGGACTTTTGCGATTGCATTTCTTCTTCCTTTTTTGGCAGAGCCGGCAGGCAAGTTTCCTCCCTTCGTTGACAACCTTACTGGGAACACTGGTTGGACCAACGGAACTCATAATTCTGTCTTAGAAAGAAAGAACAAAAGGTAGGAAGAAGTGTAAATGTTGTATGAAGACGAGGGCTAGTAGTCAATGGGATTAGCTGGGCTGCAGCCAAATGAAGGATGTTTCGAAAAGAAGGAGATATAAGATGAAGAGGAATGATAGTAGCTAGGTATAATAGAAGTTACATCTTGTCTCAGGCAGGGAAAAGCCCTGCCCAGACGTTGTGGAAATCTCACATTTTGAAGTTTTTGTCAAGTGTGCTCTGTAGAGTGAGAGATGGTGCTTGGATAATCTGCATCCGCCAAGACCCATGCACCGATCAAGATAGCGGGTAACTTTGGCAAACTTTGTTCAACATCCAGCAGGGGTCTCGCGGCAAATCGAGTCATGGATCAAGCTGATCAACACGCAGGCGAGTCGCAGCCAAGCTGAACGGGCAGGGCGTCTCCCAAGGGTTCGGGATGCCAGGCGGAATCGTGGTCTATGAACTGTCCGCTTGTATGTAAAGACTGACGGTTCTTCGGAGTTTGCGAAGAGCCCGCGGATGTGGAGAAACAAACCACAGCCACGATTGGCTAAGCGGGATCGAATCTGCGGCTCCTTTAACCAAACTCCGCAAGATAGTAATACGAAGTATAGCCTGGCCATAGTGTGATAGCACATGTACTTTGTAGTAGTAACGAGAATCTTGTTTATAGGAACCTTGCGTATTTCACCGGCAACAAGGCGTCTATTAGGAGAATAAGGGCATAGCCCCCCTGGATTACGGCACCGTGGATTTGCTGTCATCGATTCGGGGCCATGATGGGAGGGCTTTCCGAGACCCGGTGCTTTGGCAGGCTTCCGCTGTCCGATGCTTGGTTGATATAAATCCTGTAGATGAAACACACGATTGTCAGATTTCTTCCGCTTTCTGTCTACCAGGGCCTCTAGGACTGATACCACTCATACAGTTGGTTGTAGCTGAGGTTAGGAGATACCTTTCCTATCGAGTCATCGTGGAGCAATATCAGCTGACTGAGGAAGCAAAGTGGTCGAGATCCGTATAATCACGAGACGCACGATCTTTGAATATCGAAAGACAAAGGAAAAAGGATATTCCCTCCAGTGCCCCAAAAATGCCTTTTGGGCAGCCGCCAAGCTCGCCGGGCGGTGAGTCCAGCCCAGAGTCCCGTGCTCAGTCGACTCACGGCAGTGCACAGACTTTTGTCGACGGCCAACAGCACCTCTCCAGCTCCAACGACGTCGATTCGAAGAAGGATTCTCGCCGTGACAACAAGGACTTTGATGCTGGACACGATGACGACCAGTCTGAAGAGAACAACAGTCTCCAGGAGATGCAGAGGCGTCACAGCATCGTGCAGCAACTGGCCCGGCAGTACACGCACGCCTCTGGAGTCGATATCCAGGGACAGCCCGACTCGCTGTTTGGAAACGATGACCCCGAGTCTCCCCTGAACCCCATGAGCAGCAAGTTCAGTGCTCGCACCTGGGCAAAGACGCTCTCCAAATATGCCACTGAGCACGGGTCTGGATTCCGCCGCACCGGTGTGGCGTTTCGAAACATGAACGTCTATGGTTTTGGAACTGAGACTGATTTCCAGAAAGACGTTGGAAATGTCTGGCTTTCGATTCCCGATCTTGCTCGGCAGACGTTCAGAAAGTCTGGCAGACGACGCATCGATATCCTGCGCAACCTCGACGGCTACATCAAGTCTGGCGAGATGCTTGTGGTGCTTGGGCCTCCAGGCTCAGGATGCTCGACCTTTCTGAAATCGATTGCCGGCGAGACGAGCGGCATCTACATTGACAGCGAGACCGAGTTCAACTACCAGGGCATCAGTGCTGAGGAGATGCACAACCACCATCGCGGTGAGGCCATCTACACGGCCGAGGTTGATATTCACTTCCCAATGCTGTCGGTGGGCGACACTCTCAACTTCGCTGCCATGGCACGATCTCCTCGAACGCTGCCCCCTGGAGTCAACTCCAGCCAGTTTGCCACGCATTGCCGAGACGTTGTTATGGCCATGTACGGCATCAGCCACACCATCAACACCCGCGTGGGCAATGAATATGTTCGTGGTGTGTCTGGCGGCGAACGGAAGCGAGTCACCATTGCCGAGGCCACGCTCTCCAACGCCCCTCTGCAATGCTGGGATAACTCCACTCGCGGTCTCGATTCGGCCAACGCCATTGAGTTTTGTAAGACGCTGCGCTTACAGTCCGACATGTTTGGCCAGACAAGCGCTGTTTCAATCTATCAGGCACCTCAAAGTGCTTATGATGTTTTCGACAAGGTGCTCGTCTTGTACGAGGGGCGACAAATCTACTTTGGCCCGACAGACAAGGCTAGGGACTATTTCATCAACCTCGGCTTCGATTGTCCTGCTCGTCAAACAACGCCTGACTTCTTGACTTCGATGACTGCGCCGAGTGAACGAATTGTCCGATCTGGCTGGGAAAGCCGCGCCCCTCGTACCCCTGATGAGTTTGCCACCTGCTGGAAGAACAGCAACGACTACAAGTCTCTTCAAGCTGAGATGGACAAATTCAATAAGGAGCATCCCATTGGAGGAGCCGACGCTGAGGCATTCCGTCAGCACAAGAAGTCGACCCAGGCAAAGCACCAGCGTGTCAAGTCTCCCTATACCCTCTCGTACGGACAGCAGATTAGGCTCTGTCTCTGGCGAGGATGGCGGCGGCTGATGGGCGATCCAAGCCTGACTATTTTTTCCCTCCTTGCTAATTCAATCATGGCCCTCATTATTTCGTCGCTCTTTTACAATCTCCCGCAAACAACAGGAAGCTTCTACTCGCGAGCTGCGGTTCTCTATGTTGCCATCTTGTCCAACGCCTTCTCCAGTGCTCTCGAAATCCTGACTCAGTATGCCCAGCGGCCCATTGTCGAAAAGCATCAGCGGTATGGATTCCATGTGCCTTCGGCCGAGGCCTTTTCGTCTGTGCTCTGTGATATGCCGTACAAGATTGGTAATGCAATTTTCTACAACTTGGTTATATACTTTATGACGCATCTCAACCGTACGCCAGGGGCTTTCTTCTATTTCCTCTTCGTGACGTTTCTCATGGTGCTAGCCATGTCTGGAATTTTCCGATCTATGTAAGTTTCCAAACAAGCAAATCATGCTGGACTATTGCTAACTACAATGTGTGATACCTAATAGTGCTTCTCTATCTCGAACCCTCTCGCAAGCCATGGTGCCAGCTTCACTGCTCATTCTCGCCATGGTAATCTTCACTGGATTCGTCATCCCCGTCGATTACATGCTTGGATGGTGTCGCTGGATTAATTATCTCGACCCTGTTGCGTACGGATTCGAGGCACTCATGATTAACGAGTTCAGCGGCCGCCAATATGAATGCAACTCGTTCGTTCCAAGCGCTCTCATCCCAGGCTATCAAAATGCTACAGGAGTAAATAGAGCTTGTACAGCTGTTGGATCTGTCCAAGGCCAGAGCTTTGTCAGCGGCGATGCCTACATCAATTCGCAGTACAAGTACTACCATGCACACAAGTGGCGCAACGTCGGAATTCTGATTGCTTTTGTTCTCTTCAACCACTTTGTGTACTTTGTTGCAACCGACATTATTCAAGCCAAAAAGTCAAAGGGCGAGGTTCTCGTCTTCCGACGCGGACACATTGTTGCTTCAGGCTCCAAGAAGGCCGACGCAGAAGCTTCCTTATCCGGACCCGTTCCTGTTGTGGAAAAGGGCACAGATATCTCGGCTGAAGAGACTGCAAATATTCAGGGTTCCACAAGTGTATTCCACTGGGGCAAAGTATGCTATGATATCAAGATCAAGGGCGAACCGAGACGAATTTTGGATCACGTTGACGGCTGGGTCAAGCCGGGTACGCTGACAGCTCTTATGGGAGTATCTGGTGCTGGTAAAACGACACTTCTCGACTGTTTGGCTGACCGTGTCTCTATGGGAGTAATCACGGGTGAAATGCTTGTCGACGGCAAAATTCGCGATACTTCATTCCAGCGCAGGACGGGCTACGTTCAACAGCAGGATCTTCATCTGGAGACAACGACAGTTCGTGAAGCTTTAGAATTCAGTGCACTCCTACGACAACCGGCCAGTACACCGAGAGCAGAGAAGCTTGCATATGTGGATGAAGTTATCAAATTGCTAGATATGCAGGAATATGCTGATGCGGTTGTCGGTGTGCTTGGCGAGGGACTCAACGTTGAACAGCGTAAGAGACTTACCATTGGCGTGGAGTTGGCAGCCAAACCACCGCTTTTGCTTTTCGTTGATGAGCCAACCTCTGGTCTTGATTCTCAGACGTCCTGGGCTATTCTCGACTTGCTGGAGAAGCTTTCCAAAGCCGGTCAATCTATCCTCTGCACTATCCATCAACCATCTGCAATGCTGTTCCAGCGCTTCGATCGTCTTCTCTTTCTCGCAAAGGGTGGCAGAACTGTGTATTTTGGCGACATTGGCGAAAACTCCTCTGTCATGACTTCTTATTTTGAGAAACACGGCGCTCCCAAGTGTTCCCCGGGTGAGAATCCTGCAGAGTGGATGCTCCAGGCTATCGGAGCTGCTCCTGGATCTTCGACAGAAATCGACTGGCACCAAACTTGGCTTGATAGCTCCGAGTATCAAGCTGTTCAAACTGAACTCCAGCGCTTAAAGGACGAAGGACATGACAATGTGACTGAGATTCGAGATAAAGCTTCCTACGCTGAGTTTGCCGCGCCATTCTGGGCCCAGTTTCTCGTCGTCACTCAGCGCGTATTCCAGCAGATTTGGAGGACACCATCTTACATCTACGCCAAATTCTCTCTCTGCGTTTCGGTTTCTCTCTTTATTGGACTAGTCTTCCTTAATGCTCCGCTGACTATTCAAGGTTTGCAAAACCAAATGTTTGCCTTTTTCAACATTTTGACTATTTTCGGTCAGCTCGTACAGCAACAGATGCCGCATTTTGTTGTCCAGAGATCGTTGTACGAAGTGCGCGAGAGGCCCTCCAAGACGTACAGCTGGAAAGTCTTTATGCTGTCGCAGATTGCCGTCGAGATTCCATGGAACTCGCTCATGTCTCTTTTCATGTTCCTCTGCGTCTACTATCCCGTGGGTTTCAACAAGAATGCCGAGCCGGCTGGACAAGTCGCTGAGCGGGGCGGCCTCATGTGGCTTCTCTTCTGGCAGTTCCTCGTCTTCACATGCACTTTTGCTCATGCCTGTATCGCCATTACGGACACTGCCGAAGCGGGTGGCAACTTGGCCAACGTTTTGTTCATGATGTGTCTCATTTTCTGCGGTGTCATTGCTTCTCCATCCAGCATGCCGGGATTCTGGGTATTCATGTATCGTGTTTCGCCATTCACGTACTGGGTATCGGCTGTATTGTCCACCGGTCTCGCCAACACAAACGTCACCTGTTCGAGCAACGAGCTTGTGCATCTCGAGCCTCCGAGCGGCCAAACTTGTGGGGAGTACCTTTCGAAATTCATTGATGCTGCTGGGGGATATTTACAAGATACGAATGCCACCAAAGACTGCAGCTACTGCCCTATCGCTGACACGAACGTGTTTTTGACCAGCGTCAGCTCTAGTTATGATCATCGATGGCGCGACTTTGGCATTGGAATGTCGTTTATCGTCTTCAATATCGCGGCGTCGCTTTTCTTGTACTGGCTGATTCGTATGCCCAAGAAATGGGGAAAGAAGAAGGAGTAGTTGGATGAGTCGATAACTGTTGATGTGCGTGTATGATGTTGATGTGGTTTCAACGATTCATTTGGTTACATCTGGACAAGACTCCTTACTATTTCTAAGGCATTTTTTTATAAGATATTCTGGGTAATCCTTAGAATTCACACTTACACATCCTTTCGGATGGCATTTCTTTCACTTCTTTATAGACCAATTTTCTTATAGAGTGGCTGTTTCCGGTAGACAGCTATCGGAACAGCCTATTATAATTGCATGATGTTATATCAATAGAGTAGAGCTTATGAGTAATTAAACATGTAGTCGTTCAAAATGAATTGATGTGTGAGGACATCTTAATACTAATTAATTTATCAACTTAAGAGTGTTTTATATAATCAAGACCTTGTTCATCTGCTCCATGACATGATATGTTGTGTTATTTGTTAATCCGCGATTGGAAGAGAGTGTCGCAAAGGGTTTCGTATTTGTATTGGCTAAACAACATCCGCGACTACACACTATATCTTTTCAAAGCCCAAGAGTTTCCAAATTATGGTTAAAAATGTAACGAGTCAATATGGTTGAACATGAAATCAGAGCTGTTGCTTCTATAAGTATCCTCTTTGAGGCTGTTATTCATGGCCTCAAAGTTCAAAAGCATGTTGCTCTCTGACCATTGCGGCCAAAACACATCGGGACGAGTGCCGTTGTTGGGATCCAGGTTGTGCAAGAAGTTGATGTAGTACGTGCGCCCACTGATGGTGGGATAATTTGTGTTGTCTTTGTCGAACAAGGTTGCAGTATCTGATCCATGGCGAGTGCCAAAGACGCCATTTTTCGGGTCATAATCGTATGAGGAGAAATACGACCACGTAGGTATCCCTGGGCTGGCCTGCTCGAAGATTTGGAGGGAGACGCGGCGTATGAGATTGAAGACGATATCGCCGAGAATGGCAGTTATTCTCTTCTTGCCTGGGTAGTACTCGAAGGCGAGAAATGTGCGAAACGGGCTTCCATCCCAGATATATTTACTGTAAGTGTCCACAAAATCGGTGATGAGCTCAGTGGTGGCAGTCTTAAAGTAGTAATCAGACAGATACTTTACTATTTTATCAGTCGTGCCCATATCCTGTTGAAAGATGCTAAAAAGCGTTCCCTCATCTTCTTGAGTGCCAAGGATCATAGGTACGTGATGGAATTTTCCTGCCCTGGCAAGCACATCTGGGCTATCCGATAAAACATAACCGTCTGGCCTGGGGAGATATGAAAGCGCAAGAGACTGGTATGAGAAGATGCCTGGGACGGAGTTGGCAGCGTCAGTGAAATTCTTTGTGTCCAAGGCGCGAAGGCAACTCAACGAGTCGTCAACTTCGCATCCAGCTGCTTTGATCACGGCATCATAGACTTCCTGGCCTTTGTGCGTGTCCAAAGGATCAGTGGGTGTGGCAGATCCAGAGTTCATAATGGCCGCACGGAAGAGTGGGCTGCCATTGTAGCTGGCATCGCCATCATAGAGGACTAGCTGATGAAACACGGAAATGGCCCCGGAAGACTGTCCCCAGATAGTGACTTTGTTGGGGTCGCCTCCAAAGGATTCAATATTATCTGCCACCCATTCAAGACCCATACGCTGGTCAAGTAGCCCTGCATTGCCGCTGCCTTCATTCAGAATCTCTTTTCCGGGCATGAACCCCAAGCCGCCGAGACGATAGTTGACGGCCACAAAGATGAATGGCTGTTGATGCAACACGCCAGTCTCAATTAACTTGGTGCCATCAAATGCAGAGGTGCTGCCAACAACGAAGCCGCCGCCGAAGATCCAGAAGAGTACGGGGAGGCCCGCACCAGCCTCGTAGCCGTGAGGGCGCTGAACACTGATTGTCAAGCAGTCCTCAGAGAATGGGTCTGACGCATCACTGGCAGAACTTTTAAATAAAGTAGACGCAACTGTGCCCTCTGTAATATTGGGAGGATGTACTTCGCCTGACAGAGCATTTGTAGCATTGTGTGGTGGTACTAGATGTTCCAGACTGAAGAAGGGCCCCGGAGGACATGATGCAGCAACTCCAGTAGCATCAAAAGTTCCAAGGTCTTTGGACAGTTTCACAGGTGGCCGAAAGCGCAAATCCCCAATCGGCGGATCAGCAAACGGGATTCCGTTGAATGTATCGACCGTGTCAGCCGCGTTGCCAATGATAGTTCCAGATGGGATGACAACAGTCACAGGTCTCGTTGCATCCTTTGCGGCTGCGGATGGAGCAGGCACCGCAGCGACGACAGGCCACAGACCAGCTGCAATGGCCGATACAAGGGCTGCCTTCATGGCACGTTATAGAGCAAAAACCTACAGGAATATGTGGTTGTCTGGCTTGAACTTGATTACTGCGGTGGCCACATGTGCGGAGTGAGCATGTCGTGGGAGGATCAACAGCCCTTTATAGGAGAGACAGGACGCCACATTATCTGCTTCTTCTTGTTAACTGTGTCCCAGTAACCTCTCCTCGGATGCAAATACTAATACCTGACTCAAATTCTATCCCGGGACAAATTGCTTCTCCGGCACTGACGTGAGAATAGCGTAGATGTGCTTAAGCCAAGAAAGAGTGATTCAGTAATTTTGTTGCACTTCCCCACGCCAACACACGGCGGCATGGAGTTTTGAGGAAAAGAGTAAGCTAACATGATGGGTTCGGAGTAGTAATATTGGATATGTTGTCCCCCTGTATGAGTCATATCACTTGTCATTCGAGATTTGCAATTTCAATTGTGCAACGAACGACGCAAGATGCATGGATGTAGATAAAGGGTGTCTAGATTGCGAATGAGGAGCGAGAAACGTGTCTGGGAGCCACAAGGGGACCCGAGACATTCATAGCAGTAATATCGTTGTTGCCGAGTCGCACCCAGACAAGGTTTCATACGCAACCTAAGAGCCTTAATGAGATGGCATGGTGAATGTGCTCTCCTGCCTTGCTTACCTTCGATCGAGGCTTTTGACCTGGTGTGGACGTTGGTCATGTGTTTTCGTCCCCAGGCCAACGAGGCAAACGTTTCTCCATGCACGTTTCAGTTGAGTGGGCACAGAGTACGACATGCAACATCGTGTAAAGTATGATTGAAAGGAGTATGGAAATACTCTAGAGGGAGAGATAAGAGAAGTAGAAGCACCTCCTCGTGCTCCCAGTCAGCGAGCTCATGCATGACTGCTCCTTGTATTTCGGTGCGTTTTGAATATTCGTAAATCCTCTTGGTAATGACATCGGGGTACATTGACGCTCTATTTGACCTAATCGATAAATCTCCTGTTGTCGTGGTGGCTCCGGGATCGAGTAGTGGTTGGCATCATTACTAGTATCATGACAAGATGAACACTTCCGATATACCATCCTTGTCGACGTGTATTGCCTATAGACCATCTGGAACGAAACTCATATATGAAAGAGGATAACTCCAACAGCCAAGAAGCCTGAAGCGATGAGGTAATCGCACGTTAGTCTGATTAGGGTTCATCTGCAGCAATTGGAATGGACAAGTATCTGACGAATTGACGTAAATCTTTATCTTGGCTCGTCAAAGTCAAATCACCTTCCTTGATACGGTAAAGGAGCTTGAATTCTTTCCGCACAGCGGGTGTGGCGAGACTTGCATTGTCGCTAATAAGAGACGCGAGACTATGAGGCTGTTAGAGCTCGATCAATTGATGGGCTAGAAGAGCACCCTTTTGACGGTGTTGATACAAAGATTAGCTGCCCTGCAGAAATAAAATGAAAAAGGTTCACGAGTTTCAGTCAGGACTCCCTGAAAACAAACAGCTAGGATGCAACTTATTTGCATCAATTCTGGGCGTCTTTGAAGAGCGATAATTGACCTCTGGGCAACACCAATCGTATTGGGTAGCACTGGAAATACTTGAGCGTCCATTCTAGTCTTGACGATGCAGCACTTCGCAGCACTGTTGATATGTTAACAGTCCAAGGTAGTCGCGGCGAAACATTAGACAGCTTGAGTGACTTGAAGAGCGCGGAATCAGACACATGATGCATGAAAATTCGAAACTTGTACACACTCGCCCGAAAGTTGTTCCCAAATGCGACGTTTGATGTGGTGTTTAAGCTAAGATCAGGGCATAAGGCTCGATATGCTTGGACATGAATTTGGCATAGAGACTTCGTTCATCCGTTCTGGTGGCTGCTTAGCCAGTGCCCTATCACACCTTTTTCTATTCCTGCGTCCCCATATGTAATATCGTTATTATTATAACTCGTTGATCGGTTATTCGTTCTCTCTCTCGCGTATTTCGTGACTGGGATAATTGACGCTTGTATCAAATCATCAGCGAGACATCATCCTTTGCTCTGTCTGGGGGGTGCTTCGTCTGTCAGTTTGAGCTAGTTTGGCGTCAAATTTTGCGTAGTCTAGCTGAGTTTCAGCAGAAAAAACAGGCTACAGATCCTGTCTTTGGAGAAATGGGTTGAGATGCTTATCGAGAAACATTCGCTTTCCATCTAGGGAGAAGTTGCCGATTTGCAGTTCTGAGGCATGATTGGTGAAAGGACCGAAGAAATGAAGTTGAAATGCCGAGATTCGATGGATGAAAGAAAGGTTGTAGAGACAGACAAAAGTGGTACAAAATGGATGCTTTTTGTTCTTTTGTATTCTGATAGAAACGAGAGAAAGTCGTGGTCGATTCGCGGCCTGTGGCATCTGGGCGGTTGAGCCAGCTGAGCACGTGAGAGTGACAAGTGCCTCAGGGATAAGAACATGTACATGCATTTATTTGCAGATATAGCAATAGTACCTACTAGGTAGAGGTAAAGACTGCACCAAAGTCTAGGATACAAGATTAATTATACAAAAGGCTTAACTCGGTAGCATCTTGTTGTGAGAAGTTGGTACATGTAATTGAACTGCCTGCCTAGATCACCCATATCATCGTTTTGCGAAACCAGTATTCTCTTCTTTATGCTTTCTTATAGAAACACCAGCTCAAATTGCCAGCTCAGACTGTCACTAGCATCGTATCTAGTAGGTATCTTGATGTAGGAACCTGCCTGTATCTCAGCAGTTGACAAGGCATGGACAAGGATTCCGCTGCTTGTATTTTCTTCTTGCCCTTGATCTGTGGACAGACGTGAAAGCACCAACAATATGTATATTTTTTCTCTGTGTTCGGCTTTCTACACGGGACAGCTCCCTTTGCAGCATGTACTAACCGAGGTGCTCCATCTCCAATCCGGCAGGCACCTGATCCTCTTTTTTTCTTTCGGCTATTTAACAAAGTCCTGGAAGTCAACGGCGAATTGGGAATAATTACATGATGATTCTTCGCTAGTATCCGCATCATTCTTGTGGTGTTTCGATGTGTTCTGAGACTCGCATACATTCACTGTTAACATTTTCATCATCTTCATAAGTCGTTGCATTCCTTTGTTGCTTATTAATTGCGAAGGAAGACACAATGCCATCGCCTACTCACCTGCCGCTGATTTTCCCTTTTCTGCATCGCATGCGATGGCTTCTATCTCACCAAGTGTGTTACAACCGAAAAATAAGCGTCATATCCCAAGCTAGGTACTTGGGCTAGATACAGTTATTTGAGCATCGTTTCTAGCTGTGTCAGTAACATTATGTGCACCTTTCAAAGCAGTACGGAAATATGATTGAATGCCCACACTTGCGGAGTGCAGCGGCAATGATGGCGGTTGGAGGAATTCAGGAAGATGAAAGTCATCACTCAGTCCATCGCCCGATAGAAGAAAATTAGGACAGCTCTGTCAAGACCAAAATGTGAAGCTTAGGTGAAGGATGGAATCCATGCTCATGGTGCTTTACAAAGTGCCGCTTCCGCGGGTGGTGTTGTCTGCTTGCATCTCTTACACAAAGTGAACATCCTACTGCCATTAACCTGCATCTTTGTAGATGTAGTGAAAGTAAAAATTCGCCTCGATATAGAGCCATCAAGTAGAAGAATCGATATTCTTTTGCAAGGCAAGAACAGATAAATGTACATACACGTAGTACATGCATCGACATGTGACAAGGCTGCCAAATGCTGCCCAAATTGCTAGGCTGCAGTATGCCTTACACATGCCGGCCTTGCCATCCATGTATTCTGCCTTGCAGGCGGCGGCTACCGTTTCATCCCACCTTTGTCTTCTCCAGCTTCTGCAGTTTCAACAACCGCAGATTCGACGTGCATGTTGCTTTAGCATCACCATGGAAATCCCAAGGGCCATATGGCCTGACGCGGCCTTCGCAATGCTGATAGCTGTCGCCGTAAACTTATCCTACAACTTCATTCTCGCTTCGATTCGATCAAATCGCGCATCAAAGGGGATCAGTCGGAAGCCGTTTGTACCGCAAAAATTCTTGACTTTAAGAATTTCCAATATACCTTGTAGCGAAACCAACGAGGAGAGATTGCATAACATCTTGAAACATCTACCAATCGAGGCCCAAGGTATTGGTGGCCAGCCCACTGTGCTTGGTTATTCATATTCGCCCACTGCAGTATCAAGTTTTTCTTCACGATATTCAGTCGCTACTGTCACCTTTGAACATGCCCCAGCCATCAAGGAACTTGAGACGGTTCTCAAGCAGAAGCTTGGTCGCGCAGCCAACGATTTGAGAGTCGACCACGAGTTTTTAGGCATGACACCATTGCATAACGGCGGCGGTATTGACGCACGCGTAGAGTATGTCTTTCAACCTTAGTGACTACATGTCAGTTCATGCCGGTCATGGAACGCATGCTAACGGCGTCCCTTTCTTCGGGAAGCATTATTGCTGTGACAGGACTCGCAGGCCACGCTTTTGGGTCATGGAAGTCGAAAAACGAACCGCACATGTGGCTACGCGATTTTCTTCGACAATCTGTCCCAAACACACGCATCTTTACATACGGTTATGATACCAAGATATGTGATAGCCAATCTGAGGTGTCTATTCTGGAATTAGGCAAGACGTTGCTCGAGTCCATTAAAATCACTCGAGGAAAGGATACTGTGAGGACACGCATCGGAGAAAAAAAGGAAAGAATATGGAGCTTATCAATTGTTAAAAGAAAGATCGGCCACTCATTTTCATCGCCCATAGTCTTGGCGGCCTTGTTGTTAAAGAGGTATGGTGTAAAGCATTGTGATTTTGTTTCCAAAGACTACGAAAGAGCTTCATCTAATTATAAACACAGGCTCTTGTTCGAGCGTCGACCGGCAATGAAGCGGACCAAACCATCTCTAGGTCATGTTATGCCCTACTGTTCTTTGGCGTCCCAAACAGAGGATTAAATAATTTAAGCTTAATGTCGATGGTCAAGGGGCAGCCCAACGAGAGCCTGGTGAGAGATTTGGATGAATCTTCTCGTTTTCTAAGCTCACTCCACGAGAGGTTTAATGCATACTTCACTTTTGATAATACTCACGTACTGTCTATAAGTGAAACTAAGCATACGCCAACAGTCGAGGTAAGTTTGATCGTCCATTTCGATGTCTTTAAAAAGGATGATGGTTAACATGTCTATGTAGTGGTGCTCCGAAACTGGCAGATGGGAAAGGACTGGACCCAAAGTCATGATGGTTGGGCACACATCAGCTGCTTACGCTCACCAAACCGAGAAGTTACATGATCGCCTTTCTATAAACGCTGATCATTCCGAAATGGTAAAATTTGACAACATATCGAATCCAGACTACTCGATTATTCAGGATAAAATAAAAGATCTCGTTAACGGGGCTCCGGGAACCATTCAGGAACGTTTTTACCACCATTATAGAAGTGAGTAAATTGATGGGCACAAAGTACATCTATACCTATGTAGCGCAGAAGTTGACCGATACAGGGATGAACCATCTGGAGAAACAATTCTTACGAAATTTAAACGCTCCTGATTATAAGGCGTTTCGAATTGACAAGGTTGGCGACCGAACACCAGGAACACTTAACTGGTTTTTGAACAATGATCTATATCAATGTTGGACATCTGCAAATTCCCCATCAGGCCTTTGGATTCAAGGCTCTCCAGGCCAAGGTAAAACAATGTTGGCAAAATTCATCTTGGAACAGTTGGAAGCCTCGGCTCTTGCGTCAGATCCGCCGGCAGCAGTCATTTACTTCTTCTTTTATGATCAGGATGAAAGCTTTCGTACCGCGGGGGCCGCCATGAGATCCCTTGTTAAACAGCTGTTTCATCTCGTCCCAGATGCATTCCAACTGGTCTCTGAGAGATTAGATATCGAAAGCTCCGCCATTAGCGATAGCTCATTGCGGGACATTCTTAAGGACTTGCTTCAAACATCTAGTCTCAGCACGATATACTGTGTGATTGACGGGCTCGATGAATGTCAAAGAGATGAATCGAAGAAGATGCTACTTGAGCTTATTACTGGTATACTTCGATCATCGTCTACACAAGCAAGAAGCCCCACTCCGATGATCAAAATCCTTCTCACTAGTCGCCCCACAGTCGATATATATGGCGATCTCCATCACCTGCCGACTATTCTACTAAAAGCTAACCATGACGACCTCAAAGCATTCATCAACAATAAAGTGCACGGGTTGCCATTTGGCGAAGATATCAAGCAGAAGGCAGTCTCTTTATTATGTAGCCGTGTGGAGCAAACGTTTTTATGGATATCAATCGTCCTAAGAAGGCTGGAACGTTCAACACCCTTACTATCAGAGATTGATTTGAAAAATATAATCGATGAAAGTCCATCGGATCTAAAGAGTTTGTTTGAAAGCATCATCAGTCAAATTAAAGAAGAAAAAGACATGGCAGCTCAAAAACTTTTGGTATGGGCCGTGCATGGCAAAAGGCCCTTGAAATTGGATGAGCTTCAGGAGGCCATAGCAGTTCAAGATGATTCTACCAGCAAAAGTTCCACCAAGATGTATTCGGCAGCTCTCACTGAGAGCCGCGTTACGGCCGCTACAGGAGTAATACTGGAGATCATTGACGGGAGAATCCATCTCGTGCACCAGTCGGCAAAAGAATTCTTTCTGGATAGCAAGCATCTTGCCGAATTTGCGTTTTGCATGAGCCTGCATCCGAATCTATACTTGGCAAATATTTGTATGACATATCTCTGTTTTACAGACTTTGCCGAATCAGCACCATGTGGGAACGATGATCTTATGAACCAAAGGCATGTTGAGTATCCTTTCCTGCAATACGCAGCGCGCAATTGGTATCGTCATCTGGAGTCAAGAGATGTCACTGAAGACGATATAAAGAAGTTCTCTAGACTTATTAGCCAATTAACCACGCCCAAATCTCCAACACTCTTGACATGGGGCGAAGTAAATGGAATTGCAAACCTAGAAGAGGCCATAGATAACTGGGAGGTTGCCGTGAAGGTCAATATTCAGTGGCTAGCTGAGTTGCAAATGGACTGCTCAGTAATCACGGAAGAAATAATCGAAAAGGCATTGGCCAATGGAATGACAGAATACGACTGTTTACGACCCCTTGTTAATAAACACGATGCTCTCTTTACGGAGAGAGAGCTTTGTCTAGTTGTTGAACACCTTGACCACGCGCTAGTTCGCCAAATATTAAGCAAACAACCTGGCACCGTTATTACCCAAAATGTTTTTGAAACAGCAGCAGCGAACGTCAAGTATGGTAGGCTTGTGGTCGAGGAGGTTTTGAAGATCAAGACTTGTTTCACGGTTACAGAGGAATTTATCATTCTAGCACAAAAAAACATTGTAAACGGCAAAGATATCATTCAGTTCATCATAACCAATTACAACATGGAGATTTCAACGGAAGGGGTACGACAAATCGTCGCAGGTGGAGATACAGAATTGGTGAAGCTATTGTTTAGGAGAGAGCAACTCAACGGTCTTCAAGCAGCACTTGAATTAGCAGTGGACCGTGTGAATTATGAAATGGTGAAGGTCTTATTAGAGAAGGGAGGAAACGAAACAATGGTTACAGAAAAATGTATGGAGTATATGGTGGACTCATTTGACCACGACGACGTGAAACGCCTTCTTCAAACGTATAAAAGGAAGGCCAAGGTTACAGAAAATATTATTATAAGAACTGCGAAGAACGAGAAAAAGAGAAAGCACTTGCTGTTATTTTTCTTGGAAGAGCGAGGCGAAGACTTCCAACTTACAGAGGGGATACTAAAAGCAATTATAAGTACCGAGGACGCCAAGAATGACGCATTAAAGTTCCTCCTTGAAAAGAGAAACTATGAGATACATATGACGGAAGATATTTGGAAAGAAGCCGCAGCCAATGACTCAAATGGTGAGACAGTTGGTCTCCTTCTTAGAGCGAGAAGCCACGAGTTTGATATTAGTGAAGAGATTTTGAGAAGCGCCGCGGAGAATCCATTGTGCGGTCATAAAGCTATGAGATTTTTCTTAGACGCACGAGGATCCGACATTCAGATTGCAGAAAGAATCGTGAAAGAAACATTAAAAGGCTATTTCAATCAAGAGGAGATAGCAAGCCTTCTCTCGGAGGCACAAAGACGTGGTGTCTTGCTCAATAGAGAGGATATCGTGAAAGCGGCAGCTGGGACACGCGGTGCTGACGCTATGAAAGCTCTGTTGGAGACATCAAAACATGAGATCCAGATAACCGAAGAAATTCTGAAAGAGGTTGTAAGAAGTTCATTTGATGACAGAATTATGAAATTTCTTCTCGAGAGCAAAGGCAATGAGATCCAGATTACTGAGGAAGTTTTAATAGAAGCGGCGCGAAATTCATTTGGTCATCACGTCTTACGGTCCATATTTCAGGAAGTTGACAATGAAATCCAAATTGGAGAAGAAGTTCTGAAAGCGGTAGTAAAAAATAAGCTCGGTGGCCATCGAATTATAAGACTCATTTCAGAGGAAATGGGAAACAAGATTACAATTACAGAGGGAGTCCTGATAGAGGCAGCAAGAAATAGGACTGACTGGGCAACAATCCTCTTCATCTTGGAGACCTATGGAGACAAGATTGAGATTACAGAGGAGGTTCTAAAGGCAACTATAAGAAAGAAGTCCAACCTCCGAATACTGTCTATTATCTCAAAATTCAAGAGGGAAGAGGTCCGGATTACCGATGAGATCAAGGAGCTTATGAGCGAGGAGCAACTCGAATGCTGGACTAGACCAGAACATTACCTCCCTCCATGGTTACGTTTAACTAATCAAAGTGATGAATGAATGAAGGCATTTGATGTTGGGTAGACGGTAATAAAAAATTGTTAAAGGGATTACATCTAGCTTCTCATGTTCGCTGTGTTCTCCTTCTTGACAATGCCTTGCTTATACTAGCGAGTAGCATTACAATTGTTCAACTGTCATTAGAGCAGTCTATTAGAAGAATGTTACTATTAAGTAGCTGTACGCTCAACCAAATGTTGCGCTCAGATGATAGTGGTAGTGTATGAAGGAATATTTAATAGAAACTCGCAGCAAAATTGTTTATACATCGATTCAGCTTTTTGAATAATCAACCTCCGTGATATATAGAGGATTAGAATGAATTGCCCAGTAGCCATCCCATATAGTCTTCGTTACTGGCCCAACCTTGCCATCTTTCACGGGCTGGCCGTCAAGAACCGTAATCGGCAAGATGCCACCAGCCGTTGTGCACATGAAGATCTCATCACAGGTATACGCCATCTCCACAGGCACCACTTCAACATGGACATCGATCCCATTGGCTCGCGCAACTTCCATGACCGTCTTACGAGTGATGCCGTGCAAAACACCGCGATCAGGTGTGTACAATGCGCCATTCTTGACAAAGACAATGTTGTATCCGGATCCTTCAGTCAGATTGGAATCGCCATCGGTGAGAAATGGATAGTCGGCGCCTCGGTCACTGGCCTCGTACATGCCGCGCACCATGTCCCCCCACTGCAGGTTCTTGATTGTGGGATCCATTGCGCCGGGGGGTGTCCGTCGAACTGTGCGGGCGACGATGGCGCTGCCTCCGCCGTACTGCATTTCGGGGCTCATGAGCCAGACGTAGGGCAGGATGATGATGTACAGGTTGTTGACGATTTCGTCTGGCTTGGAGCCTCGAACGCCTTTGAAGCCCCGCGTGACGATGAGTTCGACGTAGGCGTCTCGCATGCCGCTCTTGGCGACCATGTCGAACAAGATGCTCTTGAGGTCTTCCTTTGGCAGCGGTAGTTTTAGGCGGATTTTCTTGCAGCTTTCGTCGAAGCGGTTGATGTGGTCGTCGAGACGGAAGAACTTGCCGTCCCATACGGAGGGAACGTCGTAGCACATGTCGCCGTGCAGGAAGCCTTGGTCGATGATGGGGATGCGGGCCTCGGCCAGGGGTGAGAGCTCGCCTGCGATCCAGGCAACGCCGTCGGCGTAGGGATTGTTGCTTGCTTCAAGGGCAGCTCGCCGCTGTCTGTAGGCGGCGAAGATGGAGTCCATAGAAGCCATGGTGTTGGTTGTGGGTTGAGTTGTGAAGAATAGAACGGTAATGCAAGTTTCAGTTGTCAGTCTCTTTGTTTCAACTATTTTAAAGATGGGTTTTAGTCTGGGATGCACGCGTGGAAGTGGACGAAGAAAAAGAAAACAGAAGAGGACTCATATATTTATCTACACTCATTCCAAGACCGTATATCTATAGCTTTGCATCATAGCGCGGCCGATCGTGGAGATTCCTCGAGTCGTTTTGCCTAAACAAGATGACTCTGGCGATGCCTGATGAGGAAATCTGGCCCGCGTGGAGATGCAAGACGGCGCCGTTGCTCGGATTTCAGCGGCTGATGGGGAAAGCCGCCAATGGGGCGGCGCTGGGCACGCCACTTTGCCGAGAAGCCTTGTGGAATAGTTGATGGAAATTCCGGCGGTGGTGGCAGATGCTGTTGTTGGTGAATGTGAATCTTGGTCATGGAGGAGTGGAGTTTTGGTGAATTTAGCATCTCGCCACCCGCTACAGGGGACCTACGCCCTAAAGAAGACCAAAGTGCGCTAAATATGCGGCCATGAATGAGAAGAAAACCGGTATAATAGAACCAAGAACTTACTACTATATGAAAGGTAAATTATTGAATCATTCGCGCCTAGACGCTTGATTCGGAGGTAGTAGAAGAAGCATGGCAATGAATTTAATCCTCGAAGGAAATACAATTAGAGCTACACGTAATTTTCTGTAGAGCCAAGTGTGGCGCTCCAAATACTAGAATAGAAGCCTGTGCGCTGTACCTTGACGCAAGTACAGCGATGACGCAGAACATTTAGAGGCTCAACGGCCAGTGCATGCAAGAATTACAGCGACGTAGGGCCTATACAGCAGCTGACGTGCCATTTCCACCGCCCAACTCTCGCTGAAAAAAACATCTTCTCTTCAATGTTCTCTTCAATGTTCTCTTCTTTCAAAATTCAATCTCCATCACAGCAAATCCAGCCCAACGCTCGACATACAATCTCGCCTTCTACCATCGCCAATTATGATGGCTGCGTCGATTTCAACAAAGTGCGTTGCTGCGCCACCAGCTGCAGCTGCGAATCCATTCTGCGGTTTGATTCAACCGTAAATCACAGGCAGCCAGGCAGAAAAGGATTGCAAGTGTATCCAATGCAATTCCAGATGCTACGTATCCAGATCGTCTCAGTGATAACGACAGCTGACATATCAGACATCCATCTCGCCGTTTTACTCATCCTTGAGTTTTCTAGCTTTCTCTCGCTCCTGTATCCAGCTCCAGTTCGAGGCTAGGCAGAACCGGCTGTCGATCGCTGGCTATCGATCTCTTTCATGGCCCAACAACTCTTTGACCAAGCAAAAGGCCAGTTTCTAGCGTCCTTGTCGTCGATCCCACCCCTGTGCAGCGCCCACTTCGAGGCCTGCGACAATGGAGACGAGCTGCTGCAGCGCATCCAGGCTCTACCACGGCTCAAGAACAAGCCGGGCAGTGTCAGGGCCTCGACTCCTATCATCAAGCATCTGCAGTCCTACTTTCAAGTCATTAATACTGTTATCCAAGTCGATAAACTACACGCATCCACAGTATAAGGAGGTATTCATATGACTTTTCAGGTAATACATCTACACACTCAGTAGACTAATCCATCACAGGATGGCTAACGAGCTGCCTTGATCAACAGCTTGTTACCAACTACACGACCATTACAGACAAATTCGTCTCGTCTCTCTATGCTATTTCAGCCGAATTTCCCATATTTGATCGATTTTCAGAGTTGTTCTAGTATTCAGGCAAAATAACTACATTCGAGACAACTATTCATATCTCAAGGACTGCCCTCGCGGGGGCAACAGACTGCCACAGAAGAGGAGCTCTTAAACCTTTTAAGTTCCTGTTGCAGTTCGGTTCATGGTATGTTCATCATATTAGATGGGATTGACGAATATATCGACCATGGCTATCTTGTCGCAAGAACTAGCCAGAAGCAAGACACATATAATCGGTATCAAAAATTTCCCAGATACAGTGGTCCTATGGCAATGAGGGGCTATAGAACGTCGTGTCACAACGTAAACACATACTGGACGTGTCTGAGCCCTAATAATCGGCACATTTGTTTTCCAGATTAATGGTGTAGCTGACTCAACTCAGTGGCCGTATCCTCTATTGATGTGGCTTCTAAAGACCAATTTGATTCGCTTCTAGCAATACGCAGGACGTGGCTACGAGTTCCTGACCCAAACGACACAACTTGCCCGAGAGCACTATGGGGCGATAGGAAACATTTTGCCATGGTTTTTCACCCATACCATACTGATCTCATCATTGGATTTTATGACGGTACGGGGCAAGAAGGCGGCGATGTGTTTAACCATTACACAAGATTTGAACATGGGATTTCGAAAGTACTTGAGCCCTGAGGAGTTCATCCACCAATTGAGATGAAGGCTAATCAGCAATTGAATAGGAAATACTATGAGTCCCAGCACGTTTAACCATGCTTTCCGATTAACGAGATTCTGTTGTCCGACGATGGGCAATATGCGATCTGCGAGATGAACCACGATGGCTTGGCCGTAATTCCGATACAGAAAAGAACCATTAAAACCTATTCCACAAGAGTACTCAATACGAATGAAAACGTCATCAGAGATATGCAAAATGTCCTGATAAGGGCTCAGAGTGATGTTGCCCATTCCCCCTCATCCCCATGGCACAATAAAGCGACACGAAAATGGCGATGGTCCCAGCCCTTGTTCAGATCAATTTCCGCCGCTTGTATCTCTAGCCTCGAATTACCCAATACTTTGCACGGAATCAGTCGCCCTAGATGAGAAGACTCTACACGTCAACACGCGTGTTGCTCTGAACAGCGAGAACATTGAGCTAAGACTGCCAAAGATAAATGGATCAAAGTCAGTAATTTCATCAAGCGAGCAAGGTCAGCTATTTCTAGCAAGGCTACCCGCGATGAACGGCCTTTAGCACGTAGTCATCGACGTACAGATGCCGCAGACTACGACTGATCACGTCAAGTCATCTTGAACAGGGAGCGCAAGCGTGGAGCAAATATCCAGCCTAATGAAACGCAATTTTCGCCCGCCATTTTGTATCGCGATCAACGGTCTTTAGAAGATGCCATAGCGCAGAAAGACAGAGAAATGGCATCGCCAGAGGCCAGCAGAGGTTGCGGTTGACGTAACAGGCTTTTAGAGGGAGGGGAATATGAGATGTACGATTTGCATAAAGGTGTTTTGCAGCATCTTATTAAGAGAGGGAGAAAACAAGTTTAGCGATTTAGATGGAGAGGACAGCAGAAGCGATACCAGCCGAGAGAATCAAATTGGCACAAAGAATAAAGCATGGATGAGGCTGGGTTGATGGAGCGTTCAGGGTGTGATCTATCGCCTGAATAGCGTCGACTTTAACGATACTGCCTGCCAATACCTGCGTTACGAATCCTCTACTAGGGGGGCTTCAAAATCAGCCAAATCCCCGTGCATGCTCTACATAGCACGGGGGGTATGCTGATAAGGAAAATGTTCGATGATCGGGAAAAAAATAAAGATACCTAGCTTTATAGTGCAAATCCTATATAAAATTAAGTACCTATGTTTTATTATATACCTTTATTATTTTAAAATTTTAACCCCTTTAAAGTATATCTATATTGCTATTAATAAATAAAAATATTATAATATACTGCACTTAATACTATATTATTAATAATAAAAAATATTATAATATAACTTATTTTTATTATAATATTATTAATTTTTAATATTTTTTTATTAAACTACTGCTATAAATACTTTTATTAATAATTTATTTACAGTAAAAAAATAAATTAATTCT